ATCTTTATTCTTTTGGATTTTGGATTTTAAATTGATATATGTATAGGTATTGTATATATATTTTAAAATCAATTTATAGGTTGATGTTGGACCTAATAGGGTTAATTAGGGTTTCTAGAGTTTCAAGAATTTTTGGGAATTTCTGGAATTTTTCTATATTTTTCTGGATTTATTTTATATTTTTCTGAAATTTTTAGAATTAGTTGTATAATTATTTTGGGGCTTAAATTATAACTTTATATACTCTTTATATTATACACTGGTGGCTTGCTACTGATCGTCACATTAAACAAGTGGAGCAATCCAGTGTGGTACGATTATGGTAGATAGTGGTGCATGCAGATCTGGGTCGTAGATATTGTAGGGTCAATAGGATAATGATTGTGTGTGGTGCGGTGTACATGAGTACTATGCGCATGCGGATCTTGGCCACTGGAGTGTGATGACGAAGGACGAATGATCCAGTGCATCGCGGTGTTGGAGAGATGGTGCGCATGTGCATCTGGACCATAGATGCGGTCCAGTCAACAGAAAAGTAATCCTGTGTAATGCGGCTCACCCGAACGCATAGACCCAGCCAACCAGAGGAAGCCACATCAGCCAGAAAGAAGTACAAGCGCGTGGAAGAGCGTGAAAGCGCGTGAGACCACCCGTCAGCTTGTGGAAGCGCGTGCAGTGGGACCAGGCGCGTGTGGCAGCGCGTGGAGGTGCGTGAGGCACTGTTTGGGGTTCCGGAAAGTTGTTGTGGAGTCCGGTGATGTCTCAAAATTAATTTCAAGCTTGTTTGTGTTGAAATCAATCATTAGAGGATGTATTTTTGGTGTTTGAGGGCGGTAGGACGTTACTACATTATTTTAGTAGCGTTTTCTGACGCAATTACAAATTTAAATTGCGTAGAGGGGATTACAATACTTTGGATTAATAAGGGTACTGGTTAAAATTAGTTTATGGTATATGGAGTTAATTAATGAGTTTTAAATCAACAAATAGGTTGTGGTTGTGTGGTAAGTTACGTCTTATATGTGGTATTGCCTATTAAATCATAATAGGCTGGTTGTTTAAATAAATGATATGTTTATAATATGCATGAGATTGGTTATATATGATTTAGCTTATTGTTAAGTTTAAAAGTGGTACATGGTTAAATTGTAGGCATGAATTAGTTGCTTAAGGCTTAAATTAATTACTTAATTATTTGTATAAATAAAATACATACATAGGAAGCTTGGATGGGTTGCTAATTTAAAAGTATAAATATATATATACTTGTGGAGGCATAGTTTAATTGCCAATGTATAAATAAATATACTTGTGGAGGCATGGTTGAATTGCCAATGTATAAATAAATATACTTAAAGGAGGCATGGTTGAATTGCCAATGCATAATTAAATTGTTGTGTGTTAGATGATTAAAATTCCATCTATGGTTATTGTATATATAAATTGGATTAGGATTACATATTTTTAAATTAGAATAATCTAGTAATTACAGGTTAATGTATTATTTTATGTATATTAATACAATAATATTGGTGGAGACATGGATGATTTGTCAAAGCCTAGATATTGGCTGTGTGATTTAAATAATTAAATCAGTATTGGGTTTTGGATTAAATATAATATTCATTTAATTATATTCCATTGTTTAAATTAAAGGAGGTTCTTTTTAAAAGAAATAGTGGATTGGTCTAGGTATGATTAATATTTAATCATTGTTTATGATTTTTGAAAATTAATAAACCTAGTAATATATGTGGTTTTTGTATTATATATAATTATTTATATATATGCGTATCATGTTATATTAAAGTTAAAACTTTATTAGGTTTGGTTTTCATCAGAGATAATTTGCTTATTGGTCTTCAGAGGCCTGGTAGAGAGAACTTGCTCGTGGGTTTGACCCACTTATTTTTTTTTTCTTTCAAGTTATTAGAGGTTCAAGTCTCAAGGTTGAGGATCCGCAGCTGGAGGACTTATCTATTCTTTCCATTTGTTTCAAAGTAGGAAATTATTACTCCATTTGACTACAGTATTTGATTATGGATTTTTCTGGATAATGGATAATTGGTTAAGGGGTCCTTGTGTTACGGGATTCCCAAGTTGTAACTAGTGGAGGTTTATTAATTAATGAAATTATTATTTATTAGTTTCTTCAGCGTTTTATTTATTCTTTATTATTCATCTTTGTAATCTGTGCTTGTTTAAAATACTTTAATTGTTTTGATATCCCCTGATTTTGTGCGCGGACTTGATCAACCCATATTTCGAATCAAGGAGTATCACACTTGTTTCCAAGCGGTGTCCGGTCTTAAAATTAATGTTGAAAGAGTGTGCTTCTCCCAGTGGGGAATGTTCCAGATATTTCCTCCTTAGCTGCAGTTCTTGGGTGTGGAGTGGGCGCTTTTCTACTTCTTTATTGGGGACAACCTTTGAGAGTTTCCTCCAGGAGAGTGGGGAGTTGAGATCCGGTGATCAACAGGTATGAAAAGAGATTGGCAGGATGGAAAAAAACAGTATGTCTCGAAGGGGGGGAAGGTCACTCTTATTAAGAGTACTCTCTCGTCCCTTCCCACTTATTTTTTATCTCTGTTTCAAATTCCATGCTTTATCGCTGAACGGACTGAAAAAATTCAGCGTGACTTTCTTTGGGGTGGAAGAAGAGAGGAGTTCAAGTATCATCTTGTTAATTGGGAACAAGTTTGCAAACCTTTGAAATTTGGCGGTTTAGGCATTCGGAAGCTGGTCCCTTTTAATAGAGCTTTATTGGGTAAGTGGTTATGGAGGTTCGGTAAAGAACGTCATCATCAGTGGAGAAGAGTTGTCTCCTGTCGATTTGGGGAGGAGAGTGGGGGTTGGTCCTCTTGTCTTGTTTCTGTCACGGGAGGCGTTGGCGTGTGGAAATTCATTCGGAAGGGTTGGGATGTGTTTTTCACCCACATTAGATTCAAAGTTCGCAATGGTAGGTACGTTCGTTTTTGGGAAGACTTGTGGTGTGGTGATCAGTTATTGTCTCTTTCCTTTCCTCGCCTCTTCAATATTGCCGAAAACAAGCATGCTTATGTAGTTGATTGTTATCATCTTGATAGCAGTGAGGTTACGCAGGATGTGCGTTTTAGGCGCTCTTTTCAAGATTGGGAGATGACAGAAGTGTGCGCTCTTTTGGATTTGTTGTATAGACAGAAGGATGTTGGCAGAGGTTGTGATGATATTCTGTGGGTCCCTTCCTCTCATGGTCATTATGGAGTACGATCCATGTTCTTGTGTTTGTCCAACTTCGCTGGCCAAGAATTCCCATGGAAGTCTATTTGGCATTCTAAAGCTCCTCTTAGAGTTGCATTTTCTTGTTTGGACTGCCAACTGGGGAAAGATTTTGACATTGGATAATTTGAGAAAAAGAGGTAATATCATTGTGAACTGGTGTTGCTTATGCAAAACAGATGGTGAGTCCGTGGATCACATTCTTATGCATTGTCCTGCGGCGTGTGATTGTTGGAATCTTATCTTCACTATTTTTAGTGTTCAGTGGATGATGCCTGAGCACTCTTTTCAATTAATCAACGCATGGAGAAGATGTCCAGTTAAAGGTCATGCGTGTGATTTTTGGAGAATTGTCCCACATTGTGTTTGGTGGTGTATCTGGAGAGAGAAATAACAGAAATTTTGAAGGGAAAGAATCGACAATAGCTAATTTAAAATCTCATATTCTCCGTTCTCTTTTCTGTTATGTAAGAGGAAGCGCTTACTCCTCGATTGCTGATTTTTTTGACCTTTTGTACTCTATTGGTCCTTAGGGTTTTTGTTCTTGTGTATTAGGGACGCGTTCCCCTTCTGAATGCTTAAAAAAAATAAAAAAAAAAATAAAAAAGGGAGAAGAAAGCAAAAACCCATCCCTTCCTATCATCCAATTAGCTTTTTCATCTACAGACTGAAGCCCATAAACTTCCCATTCTAGCCTATGAAGCCACTGAAACTTACTAAGCTCGTGACAGATGACGGCGTGTGTCATAGAAATTGTTATAGTCCAACATATCTATGTTTTTCTGAAAGAATTCACCCAAAAATCCTATAAAATAACATTACACACATTGGTAAACCAAGTCAAGTCATTCATGCAAAGGTAGGAGAGAGAGAGAGATGCAATTAGGAACTGGTATTTGTAGTAATATGCCTTACAAAATTATGCAAATGACATTCATTGAGGAACCATCCGAGTAATGCAATTTTAAATATAAATATTCAATAAATCAACCATAATTAAATGCCAATCCGATATAAAGTAAATGCACGTTTAAAAACATACTAATATATTGTCATATTCTTGAAAAAAAAAAACACATACTTGTATATTGTCACATTCTAAAAATATTTATATCCTATTTTCTTAAAAAATTTCATGTACCGTGTTTGTGTCCATACTTCAAAATTTACGGGTATCCACAACACAAACACACCCAAAAAAAAAAACAAAAAAAAAGGTAGAAGAAGAAGAGGAAAGAGGTAAAGAGTAAGGCCGCTAGTATCAATAAGTCAAAATAAGATTGGCACTATCCCCTTCAATGGTTTTGCCTAAAGTTGCACCCCTAGAGAAATCAGCCCATTCAACTACACACACTATGAACTACTTGTTTGAAATAAATAGAAAACACCCTCCACACACCATGAAGAATGTGCAGCCATCTATTTTTCCCCATGTTGTTGAGGGCAGTTGGAGAGACACATGATTGCAACCACCCAAATCTGGTAAACTTTCAGGCAGGCATAGGCCACCATATAATAAGTGGTAGGATAATCTTTACTGTTGAACGTGTAATATTAAACAAAGAAAATTTCAGAGATGGACAGAGTTCTGATGATCATAATCATGCAGTACTCTGAGCAACAAAAAGCAACTTGGTCAATTCATCTCAGAAGGAAAGGATGCAGAAATTTCATCTGTGAGGGCTTTAAAGTTACATTTCAGAGACTAATTTAGAAAATTATCTGGTTTACAAGGTGCATACCTGCCAGGTACAAATGTAAAAGCACCTTCGATGGACCCTGAAGATTCTGGTAGAGGTGAACAGCTCTCATAAACAAATTCTTTCTTGCCTGGACGTAATAGCGGATACTGCAAATAAACCAACAAAATAAATTTAAACACTAATAACATCCCAAATAAGAAGTAGAGCTATTAATCTAATTCATTGTTTTCCATAAAAAAACTAGAGAACTCTAGCAATATCTGAGACAATCGAAACAATTTGGATTGATTCCAAAAGAAGTAACTTTGATCGATGCAGTTGCATATTTCCTTGTGCGTCCATATTACCCATGCAGCTCATTGATGCAGGCAGTAAATATCCGCTACTTCTAAATCCATTAGAGTTGATACAGACCTGAAGTGCTTTGAGTAATTATTAAATTAAAGTTGGTACAGACCCACAGTGCTTTGGGTAATTATTAAAATTACATTTGCAGAAAACTGCTTCAAGAATAGCATTCTTGAACTGCTTCACGAATAGCATTCTTTCGGTGTCTTTTGAGTACGTTGGCTTCTGATTTCTTATGCCCACTACTAGTTAACCTCTCTGTTTGTCTTGCTCTTAAACAGTGTGCCACAGAAAGACCTGTGGTGTTTGATTTTAGTTCCCTCTCAACTTTAAGATTACCATAATTCAGACTTCAATACACAACAATAGTTAAATAAAATATGTTTTAAGAGGGCAGTTCATTAACCAAAGGCAATAAAGAAACCATTCACTGGATATGCACAAACTGTTCTTTTGATTGTGATTTAAGCAAATTCAGGATACATCATCTAGTCGGCCTCAGATAAATTTCAAATGAAAAATTAATTTAATAGCATTAAACCCCAATAATGCTCATTTTTGCATGTCAAACACAAGAATTTAGTAAATTGACTATATTGTTTTAACCACTGAAGAACCAGAGTTCCAGCCTAATGTAAGTTAGCGCTGTAACAGCTCAGGCAGAATGAACCGCATTTTCCAGTTCATCTACCAACTAAAATTAAACATCACTACAAAAATTATCACCAAGACAAACAATTATAAAATAAAGAAACCTAACCTTTCCTATTACAGCTTCTCCATTGACATCAGACACCAGAACATCATTAGCACGGATGATCCAATGTCTCCAATACAGTTGGCAAGAGCCAAAGTACAATCCATTAAAGATGCATCCCTCAGGCGAAAGGGCCATGCGGATTGAATAAGAAAAATAATATTGCCCAGTAGTACTACACTCTGGCACAAAGACAGCAGAAGCACGGACCTGGCATAAATTATCATAGGTCAAATTTCAAACAACAATAGTAAAGAAAATAGCAACGGTAGTGGTAAAGCAACATGAAACTGTTGGCAATAATTTTAGCAACTGTAATACATAAAAAGAATTATAACACCCACCCTCCCAAGTGTAACAGAACTACTATGTTATATTATCACAACTTCCCTATAGGGTTCATATACTTATACAAACTGTTCGAGTTCAAAAAGATTATACAAACTTACAACCGCTTATTGCCTTGCACCATCTACACAAGTGACTGAATGCAACATTTGGCATCATTTGTCAGCATTATGAAAAACATATTTCTAAATAACAACTGCAATGCCACATACATAAAGAAGAGAAAGGGCACACAAATAGCTCAGAGTGAGTCTTGCCTGTTGAGGAATGGAAAAGGGATTTATTAATATATTTTCATAAAGAATCAGAAGAATGATTGATGTCTAAAGCCCCTTCCTAGTTCAGTGTGCACAACAAATAAATAAATGAACCTGAGCAATAGAAGCAATGATCATATTCATGCCCTGACCTAGTGTAAGACGCCATAACCAGAACCAAGGTTTTTCTTGTTTTTAAAAGCCCACTGACCGGTGGGTTCAACCCTGACCCAATCAGAACTATCTTAAGAATATTTGTTACACCATAAAAATGCTTTACAGTTATTCTGAGGCTGAATTGCATTGAAATTTCAACAAGATGGTCGGTCAACCTGAGTAAGAGAGACGATCTACAAGAACAAATTCTACCACCACCATCATCATCATCATCATTGCCTTGATCCCATATGAATGTCGTAGGCAACATGATCATCTCACCTATTATATTTGACTTTTTAAAATCAATTCTAATACCTTAATCCCACATTAATGTTGGTCGCCCTCTCCATTTCTCGCCCTCTATAAGAACCACTCTTCCTATTCTTACTGACACGTCTATAGGTCGTGGCTGTATGCGTCTATACCATATAAGTCTACTCTCTCTCTTCTTCTTTTTTCAACTAATGGTTGCCGCTTCTAATAAATTCTATCAGGTACCCTAAATGCATTTTGAAATATTTAATATTGAAAGCAATGTTCGCAGTCGCGAACGCGGTGAATTTTTCTGACCTTGCAAACGGGCCAAAGTCCACCAATACGCTAATTTCTACTACAAAATCCAATGAATGTGAGTTTTTAACGAATTTTAATGATTTTTGTTAATTTTTTAAAGAAGATTTAATACAGGTATGGACTTATACATGAATTCTAAGTTGTAGGCAATAAAGGCTTGACAATTAAGACATGTTATGTTACGACCAGCCCCAACCCGTGTAGATATTGTCTGCTTTGCACATTCTCCTCTCAGTGTTCACGGTTTTCCTCAAAATGTGTCTACGTGATAGAGAGGTATCCCCCAAAGTTGTTAAAATCGCGATACGATTCTACAATCCTAGACCCCCAAAACGAGTTAAATCGCATGAAAATCGCTCCTTTGGGTAGAATCGGGGTAGAATTGTAGAATCGTATTTTTGCACTAACACACTGTTTTGATGGGTTGGGCTCTTTTAATAAGAAATCCCAACGATCTTGGGGCCCAAAAACAGTAAAGATAAAGATGAAATTCTAAATTTGGTGAACATTGAAGACTCCAATTCACGTGGTCTTCGACATCAGGCCTTTTTTTGGTTTCTTTGTTTCTTGTTTAGATGTTCCTAATAGATTCATGCATGGGTATTTCTTGTTCAGTTGCACCTTTGTTAATCTGTTCTGTTTATGTTCTATTTATGTTTTTGGATATAAATTTGATTATTTTGGTCAGTGTATAATGTTTATAACTTTTTTTTTTTTTTTTTGATAAGTAAAATTTATTGAAAACGCTCAAAAAAGGGGAGCGGAACCCAAGAAAACAAAAAGGCCACAAAGCGCCTTAAAACTTTAACGAGGCCAAAAATACAATAATCTCCTCAATAGATTTATAATCTCTCCCTGACACCCAACAAAAAAGAGTGGAAATAATAGAGAACTTGAGCGTAGAAATAAATTTCTTTTTTCCATCAAAATATCTCCTATTTCGCTCAATGCACCACCAAATACAAAGAGGCGTAGCCCTCCAAGCCTCCCGAATAAGAGCCCCAACAGAGACACCTCTCCAAGCCTCAATCAACCCTCTAGAAGACCTAAGCATAACCCAATGGATTCCAAATAATCCAAGCATCAAATCCCAACAATCTCTGGCCATACTGCAGTGCAAAAGAAGGTGGTCAACGGTCTCCTCATCACATAAGCACATATAACAATGATTGACCACCACCTGATTCCTCCTCCTCAAATTATCCTGGGTTAAAATCTTGCCTAGGACGGAAGTCCATGCAAAAAAGGCAACCTTAAGGGGGGCTTTAGACCGCCAAATAGACTTCCAAGGGAAAGAGCCTCCATAATCAACCGAAAGGCACTTAAAGAAGGACCTAACCTCGAACCGACCGTGAGAGTTAGGAACCCAAAACCAGCAATCCGAATCCCCAACAATGATCGCCTGACGGTACAAAACTTCCAAAAGACGAGTAACATCCTCAATCTCCCAGTCCTGAAAGTGTCTCCTAAACTGGACATCCCAAGTCAGTCTCCCATTATCAAGGTGATAACAGTTAACCACCATGGTCTGTCTATGAGAAGCAATCCTATAGAACCGTGGAAAAGCAAGAGCAAGAGGAAGTTCCCCACACCAAAGATCCTCCCAAAATCTGATCCTTCTGCCACCTTTGATCCGAAAGCGAACATGCTTGCAAAAATCATCCCACCCTTTCCGAATAATAGTCCAGACCCCCACCCCTCTAGTACCGCGAATCTCAGCAGAACACCACCCACCACTAATCTCCCCAAACTTGCTTACGATAACTCTCCTCCAAAGCCAATGCCTCTCAATCCCAAACCTCCATAACCATTTCCCAATGAGAGCCTTATTGAAAGGCACCAATCTCCTTAATCCTAAACCTCCACACCGAATCGGACGGCACACCTGCTCCCATCGAACCAAATGAAATTTGAACTCCTCTCCTCTCCCCCCCCAAAGAAAGTTGCGCTGCAATCTCTCTATTCTCTCAGCCACAGAAGAAGGGATCTGAACGAGCGAGAAGAAATAAGCGGGGAGGTTAGAAAGGGTGCTCTTAATCAAAGTAACCCGACCCCCCTTTGAGAGATACTGCTTTTTCCAATCCGCCAGCCTCTTCTCAAATCTATCCACAACTGGATCCCAACTCCCTACGCATCTCGAAGGAGTTCCCAAAGGCAACCCTAAATAAGAAATGGGAAATGATCCAGTGCAACATCCAAGAATCTGAGCAAACCTCTCGATCTCAGGGACATCCCCAACAGGTACCAGGATGCTATTACCAACATTCACCTTAAGGCCAGAGACAACTTGGAACCAAATCAAAACGCATTTCAGATATCTCAATTGAGACTCATCAGCATCACAAAGCACTAAAGTATCGTCCGCGAACATCAAGTGGGAGATCTCTAGTTGGTTAGCAACATCCCTGCCCCACCCGAAAGCCTCTCAAAAAATCTAACTCCACTGCCTTCTTTAATAATCTGCTAAGAGCTTCCATCACAAAAAGGAACAAGAATGAAGAAAGCGGATCCCCTTGTCTCAACCCTCTCGAAGAAGAGAAAAAACCCGTCGGAGCTCCATTCACAATGACAGAGAATCGAACACTGGAAATACAGAAAAGAATCCATCTCCTCCAACGCTCACCAAAGCCCATCCTCTCCAATAAGTAGAGAAGGAAACTCCAACTAACATGATCATACGCCTTCTCAATATCCAGTTTACATAAAACACCCGGAATCCCACTACTCAACCGGGAATCCACACATTCACTGGCAATAAGAACTGAATCCATAATCTAACGACCTCCCACAAAAGCATTCTGAGAATCAGAAATGACGCCATTCATAACTTTCCTCAACCTGGAAGCCAAAACTTTCGCAATCAATTTGTAAAAACATCCTACCAAACTGATAGGACGAAAATCCTTAACATTCATCGCTTCTCCCTTCTTCGGAATAAGAGCAAGAAAGGTGGCATTCAAACTCTTTTCAAAAGAACCCTGAACATGGAAGGCGTGAAAAGAGCTCATCACCTCCTCACGGACTACTTCCCAGCACTCCAAAAGGAATCTCATAGAAAACCCATCTGGACCAGGAGCTTTATCAACATTACAGCTCTTCAAAACAGACAAAACTTCCTCTTCCGTAAAAGGCTCTTCCAAAGCAAAAGACTCCTCACTAGAAATAGAGTCAAAGTGTAGCCCAGCAAGCAGAGGACGCCAACCAGCTGGTTCAGTGAACAATTCTGAGAAGTAATCAGTAAAACCCTTACAAATCTCCTCCTCCTTACTAAACATCTTACGTTCATAATTCAGTAATTCATATAGTTAGTAGCACTAGCATCTGAGTTAGTAATAATTCTTATATATATATATATATATATATATATATAATTCATATCTAATTGAATTGATGTTGAAAGTTTGAAACTTGATTAGTTGAATTATTTCGATATATTAGTAGAACTACATTCTCTTATACATTATATTTGGAGTGGTACACTGGTACTTCTAAACAAGTTTTGTGTTTTGGACTTATCTTTGCTATATCTCAAGAGATATTAGTTTGAAACGTTTGTCTACTAGTTTGGTAGAATCTTACGATTTCAATCCGATTCTACAATTCCGATTCTATGGAGCCCCTAAAGATCCTATGTAGAATCCCAATTTTAACAACCTTGGTATCCCCACATATAAGTATCATCAAACCTCTCCCACCAGGCGATGTGGGACGTCACAATCACCCCCTCATGAGAGGGCGCTCTGATACCAAGTTGTCATGCCACAACTTCCAAAACCCGGATTGTGATAGAATAAGAGAAAAATTAAATAAAAACTTAGCGCCAAAATTCTTAAACATGAACCTTATTTTTTATTTTTTTATTTTGTGCCCATTCACGTACTTATTTACTCATTTGTATATATTAGACACCTATAAAACACATGTCAGCCAAGGGAATTCACATTTAAGGTTTCCTACCACATGGCACTTAAAGAACATTATTAACTCTAGTAGAACTTGTGTTCTCAGCTCACAACACATCTGTATACCATGTGCATCAATGTAGGTGTGTGTATGGAACCTAATTCTTCGTAATCATATACACATGTATATGTGAGTACACATGCTGATAATGAGAGGTTTCCCATTAAAAGTTCTTCCACCTACTGTTTTTCTACGCATTATATGCCAAGGGGATCACGTGTTCTTTTCTCTCATTAGGACATATAGGTGTGGTATGTTAGCAGGTGAGTAACCTGGTGGTAAGTCATGTGGTTGTACATGGTCAGTAATGTAGATAGAGGTTTTACACAATATCTCTTAAGGCCTATTGACACGACCACCGAGGTCATTAGGTACCCAAATAAAGTTACAGAATACCCAGCAAGTTACATGTTTGCATACATGCTACAACATTCACATGGACCTGATTTCATTTAGAATATATGCATACAGACAGGACCCACAATCACAGTACCTGAGAACCAATTTTACACTAATTTTAAATATCGCCCCCAATAATTAGTTTAGTGCCAATTAAAATTCGACATACCATTAACCAAAAATAATAAAGGTTTCAACTATTACAAGTCTAAATAATAATAAATAAAGAAAAACAAGGTATATAATAGTTGGGCATCAACATACAGAACATGAAAAAAAAAAAAAAAAAAGGTGTGTCTTGTTTCAATAACAATACACAAATTTGTACTTTTAGTATATCGTGTGCGCCTTGGTCTCCTGGCCTCTAAAGGAGACCAACGCTGTTGTGAGTCTGATACTATGCTTTTTAAAATTAATAAAGAGAGAGACAGAGTGTGTGTGTGTGAGAGAGAACAGAACAGAAAAGAAAAGAAATAGGAAGCCCTAACCCATATTCTTCTTCAACCTTTCTCTCTAGATTTTGAAGACTTTGGAGTGATATTTTGGTAAGGGTTCAAGAACTAAAGTCACTCTATTTGACGTGCTCTACAATTTCATACCATTGAATTCTTAGTTGTTGTCGGCAATAAAGGGGCCGCACTTCCCTGCTGGGATTAAAGCCAAGCCCATGTCTCTCAACAAAGTACTATATTTACTTTGGTTCAGGCTACCTTCCAAAAAAAAAAAAAATGTGTTTGAACCTTAGGGTTTTGGCGTCTTGCTAAAGCCAGACGCCAGCCCTCATCTCTCTCTCTCTCTCTACCCAGCCTTCACTGACTTCCCTGACAAGTCGTCGACCAACCCTCATCTCTCATGTGGTGTACTTGATTCAAGATCTTACACTTGATCCTGTTAAATTTGATGTTTTGAGTCTCAAATCTAAGTTGGGTATGAGTTTTAGAGTGAGAGTGTATTGCCAGCTAGAGTGAGAAAATGGCCAAAAAATGAAGATACGACGTGCTTTTAAAGTTCTCAATCAACTCCCCCAACATTTCTTGATCGACACCCAAATAACACTCGACCAAAGGAATTAGTCACAAGGTGAAGTTTTAGCCCCAACAACAAACGAACCTACATCACGTTGATGCATGAAACCATAACCTCGATGTTTGCTGAGGTCAATATTAAGGAGTTGGTCATTTCTGTGACAATTATACAAATATGGAAAGGATAGAAGATGTTCGAGAACAAACAACGACAAAACCATGGCATAATAATGGTAAAAGTGAGAGAGAATAAAAATCCTTAGACACCAAACCGGGAAGAGATGGAGAAAGAGACAGCAGCTTATCCCTAAAAAATCTATATGCTTATCATGCAACCTTTTATCATTTTGATTTAGTATCCACCTCTGGTCTTGACCTACTATGGATATTTCCCCTTTGCCAAACTTACCAGGCGGACTTCGTAGTTTAACATTCCACAAAATATTAAACAGAATGCGCTAGTAACCACATTTAACTTTAACACAATGCATTGGTAACCACATTTAACTGGGCCTTTTTCAAGCCCCAGTTAAGCTCTTTCATCACAAAATACGGGTGATATTTTCATGGCAACAGATTGGCATGAAAATGAGCATTCATTTAAACATTATAACCTGAAAGAAAATAAATAAACAAATAGATAGCAATGCAGAAAAGAAAGAACTTGGAAATATGTGAAGCTTATGTGGTTGGTTACCTTAACACCATTTGTTACTGCAGTGGAACAGAGGGGCAATTCCTCTGGGAACTGATTAATGCTTCTGATTTTTCCTTCCTCCCGAAGTTTGATAATACCATTTTGTAAGCGGCGGACATGCTCTTCTAACCATAATAGCATGGCATCTTGTTGCAGACTACCTCCAGGATCATGCACAGAACTAATCAAGGCATTTGGTACACAAGGAAACATTTCCCCATCATCTGTAAGATTTTTTGTTCCAACATAAAGTTGACCATTGGTACAGTTAAGGAAGAACATCTTTTCATAATACGTGCTAGAAGCTGCCACGAGAATATAATTGGATCTGTTATTAAACTCAAGAACACGTACGGTATCCTTTGTTTCACTGATTACATGTCTTAGAGGCAACAAGTACACATTAGCTTCATGGTGATAAAAAGAATAGCCTCCTATAAGGCCCAAGGGACTTCCATCCATGCTTTCATCATATTGTCCGCTTCTTAGATCTTGACCATCACAAAAACGATAGAGAAGTCTTGTGGGAAGAGGCAGCTTTACTTTCAAGCAGTCCTCCAACTCCTTGATTTCATCCTCAGACGCACCATTCCGCAAGGTAGCCACAGCCTCTGGGAAATTTACTGTCAACCAATTCCTGAGACTGCCCCAACATATTTTTACTCTTCTAACCAGAGACCAAGGATACATACCAAAAGCTTCCCTCCATTTCTGGTAAGCAGCCTGGAGGAGAGATCATTAAAATTTAGTAAGTTGCCAATTCTTTTTTAAAAGAGTACACGATCAAATACTATCTAAAAGGAAGCATCCTAGTAAATTGTAAGATGAAAACTTGGACAAACATGATAAATATATTATTTGCATGAAAAGAAGTAAACTAGTAGAGCATAACTTCAGATGGGTCAGGAGGCCCAAGACAGGCTGATTTCAGTAAAAAGCCAACTGACCTGGCTTGTACCGGGTTTCATATGAGTGGCCCCACTAGATTTGAAATAGTCAACATATGTGCAACAACTTCAGGCTGGACCAAGCTGTCAAGCTTGATTAATCTGGAGCTGTTTAGTTTTCATCCCAACTTGCCATTCATTCAGGCAAGATTATAGTTGGTGCCAAGCTTTTCAACCCAAAACCTTATGATTAGACATTTTAATATCTACGGTTTGGAAGAGCTGGGAGGTGATAGTGGCAAACCCCATCATGCAACGGATGCTAGTTCCTTTTCAATGAAGGCACATTCAAGAGGACAAATGTAATGAACATGTAAGAATTGCAACAAAATTGGTTCGAGACATGCAAAAGAATAGACACATTGCATTTGAAGTTTCAAAGCCAATATTCTGTATGATAAGTTACCAAGGGCAATAAAACATTATGCGACTTGAAGAGAGAGTTTTTAGTATTTTGCCTAGATAATTTGTCCATAATTTTTCCCACATCTAATCTAATAGTTATATTCTTCTAAGAAAAATCAATCACATTTAACTTTATCCACTTATCAAGACTAAATATGATGCATGAGACTCCAAAATCTTGTTCACAGTCCAAATTCATCCAATTTGATATTATTAAAAAGGGCAAACCCAGTGCACGAGGCTCCCATCATTGTGAGATCTGTGGAGGATTAGATGTATGCAGCCCTATCTATTACCTCCGGAGGGGCTGTTTCTTTATTTCGAAACCGCGACCTTGAGGTCACAATGGAGCAACCTTACCTTATTCTAAGATATAATAAGGTGGTGGTATAAAAAAAGTGTTAGATGGGTTTGAAAAGTGCCTATGGGTTTGAACCATCCAATCACAAACTCAGCAATAAGTTCATGGAGCTAAATATCAAGTGAAGAACCTAAAGCAAACACTGAAAGGCCAACAGAAAAGTACCTTGAAGAAGAGGAGAAGTTTGAAATTTCGGTTCATTCGAAAAGTATATGTTAGAGCTTTTAATAGTAGGTTGCTTCTTGTCAACGACTTACAAGTTACTTATTATTGTTTCCCAATGTACTAAATGGTATAACATGTAGAGCTTGTACTTTTGTTTCGATTTTCTCAAGTACCATAGAGCAGCTCAAAGCTTCAAAGATAATAACAGTATTAAGTACCACCAAGAATATTTCGTTAGCCAGAAAACAAAACATAGATTTACAGTAAACATGGCCAAGTAGACAACATATTGTATCCCAAGCAGTAGTATCAAAAGGAATACCAAGATCTGAACAAGATTTCTGACATAATCCAAGAAAATTAATGTAAAGGGTTGCAATTATAAGTATCCTTTGTTTAATTAGTACTTAGTAACAAAATGGAAATAATAAGTAATAGATCGATAGATGCAATGCAAAGCAAATTGCACAAGATGAAACAAGCATCTAATCACAGTATAGACCAACACATGTGAATAGAATAAAATAAACACACATACACGTAAGTAGGTGCATATAGAGAGATATACCTTGAAAGAAGGGGTAGGGTTTCCGAGAGGATCTTCAGGGGATGAGAGGTCGAGTTCATCGGAACAGAATTTGGACCAGAGGGAGTCGTCGGACGCCCAAACCCTAAACCTCGTGCTAACGCAACCCGCTGCTGCTGTGTCTGCGGGACCCAATTTTGATAGGATGATGTGAACGGCCAAACCTCCCACACACTCCAAACCCATCTCTGTCTGTCTCTGTGGTCTGGTTAGAGAAGAGGCCTAGCTAGTTTTTGTAAATGCGAGATGAAAAATTGAAGAAGATGTTTATGTATGGTGATGAAGTGTGGTCGAGCTTAGGTGAGCCCGCACTCTGATCAGTCATCATCGGAAGTTTTGTTTTGTTTGTAAACATGCGATTTACTTTATGCTTGATATAACGCGAGCCGCACGTGTCTTCTGTTCTGTACAACAGCTAAAAGCCAAAGGAAATTCGCCTAAACCAATTTTGCTGACATCATAAATCAATCCCAATTTGTATAAGTTAAAAGAATAAATAGTATAAATTTTTTAAAGGGTAAAGTATAATGACATCCTCTGAGGTTTGCCATAAAGACACTCAGGTTATGTTTGGTATGGTGGGTTTGAAGGGGGAAGGATAACATTAGTTATGAAGGAAAGGAAATAAGAGGATAATTTTAACCTCCTACGTTTGGTTGATTAATGAAGGAAAAGAAAGAGAAGAATAATAATTATGTTTGAGAAAAGAAAAAGAAAGGAATTATTTTAATAAATTGACTATTATAACCTTTTATATTTAAAAATATAAAATATATATATATATATATATAGTCTCATGTACTGGCCACAAGAGAAAAAAAAAAAAAATTTAAAAAAAATAGGGCAAATAATTTCAGTCTCCCCAATCTCGCATCCATCTCTATTTTATATATGTGTGTGTGTGTATAGTCTTAACTTGAGACCACAATAAAAGAAAAATAAAAAATAAAAAATAGGGCAAATCATTTCAGCCTCCCCAATCTTGCACCATCTCTATTCTCCTTCTCAACACTGAACTCTCTCTCTCTCTCTGTTTGCACTATCAAATTGTTCAAATTCAAAACCCATATATTTTCAGTTTATCTCTGTTTGCAAGAATCAAAACTTTAAAACCCATATCGGCATCATTTCAGATTGTTCAAAAAATTAAAACCTAATTTCAGATTGTTCAAAAAATCAAAACCCATATTAGTTTCCATCACCCGCTACTGTTCCAATTCGAGTTCGCCGTTCTCAACTCCCAAGAGCAAAATTGGCAACTGAAATCACACACAAGCCTCTCCTTCCCTTTCCCTTCATTTCCTTCCATTTTTTGGAGGTTAAGAAATTTACTGTTGAAGGCACAAGTTAACCCTCCAAACCTTTCCCTTCCCTTTCCTTCCAACAATTTTTGCCAAACACAAATTTTTAATCCCTCTACATCACCTTCCCTTCCCTTTCCTCCCATTTCCACTCTACCAAACTGACCCTCAGATACAATTTAGCCTGTTTTTGGACAATGACACTCCCTCAAGTTTACTTCATTTGACAAAGACACCCCTTATTGCTCTAACATGTGATAAAATGACTTAAATGCCCTTTGACTTGTCAAATGACACTTTTACATTGTAAAATTACCAATTTACCCATCCTAAATTGTCCAAAATAACCTCTTTATCTCAACCACATACCCATAAAGCTGCCGCCGCCGCCGCCACCACCACCACCACTTCTTTTATTTCTTCATTCTCTCTATTATATGGTATATTCGGACTCGCCATGAAAGCTCATAGTACTTCATAAATGGAACGGAGTGGGTTGGGATGGTAGATAGAGAGGTATGAGTGGGATAAGGAAATAAAAGAGGTAGGCATGCCTCTGTCCACGTTTCCCCCAACTGTAGTTCACCGCAACGACATGGTCAAGCTCTAAGGCGAAGTGACTAGGCGGATCAATTGTGTGGAAGCGGAAGGTTCAGGTCTACAGAAGCGAAGGCAAAAGGGGCCTGGATCAGATTTGCGGAAGGAGAAGGGACTTTAATTAGGTCTGCGGAGGCGAACGGGCCTGGATCAGGTCGGCGGTGGCGCCGCCACCATTGTCGAAAGCCTGTCGCTGTAATCACTACTGCTTCGAGCCGCCGTCTGTAGCAGAATGTGGTTTATGAACTACTCCGCGAGACCCAAAAGTTTTAGTTCCATTTTCGCTTCAGTCCGGTGAAGCATACTGACCCGATTCAACAAACAAGCCAAATGAATAGGGCGGTGAATGAATCGGTGATGGTGGTGGTGTTGGGTCTGATAAGGGCTTTACAATCATTGTTGGCAATGGAGGTGTGCTGGGTTTGATTAAGGCTCCGCAATCGGCATCGCATGGTGGTGGTGTTGGGTTTCAATTACAATCAGTGATGATGGTGATGGCGATCGATTAGGAATCTGCAAGCGTATGTGTGTTGGGTTTAATACGCTGATGTGGGGTTTTGATTTGGGGTCAGCGGTGGTGTCTCCTGCTGTGGTGGTGATGGCGATAGCAGGGGTGTGTTGGTGGTCGTGGGATGAGTATGGTGGTGGCGGTGGCTGTCACCGATTGTGGGATGAGAATGGTGATGGTGGTGGCTGTCACTGGTTGTGGTATGAGTATGGCAATGGTGGCTGTCACCGATTATGGTGATGGTGGCGCAGATGTGGGTGGTGAGAGGAGAGCTGAGGGATGGAGGTATTGCTTAGTAATGCATCAAGGGCAATTATGTCATTTAAGTCTTCAAATTTTTTATCAATTAAATATTGAAGGGCAATTTCGTCTTTTACTAACTTTTTAGGGGCTGTTTGGTTGGAATTTTTGATAGGGGGTGTCATTGTCAAAAAACAGACTAACTTGTATCTGGATGTCCTTATGGCAAACTTCAGGAGGTGTCATTGTACTTTACCCTTTTTAAAAAAAATAATGCTATTTAAATTCTATATATTTCAATTCGTAAATTTAACTAATTAAAGGTACGAGAAGTTGTTGCTAAGGTATAAAATAAATAAATAAAAGAGTTTAACTAATTAACTTAAATTTTAATTTCTCTAGGCGTTACTGTGAGAAGAAAGACAAGGAAAGTTAGCGATACCAGAGTGACCCGTTGCGTGCCGTTGAATTAGGCAGGCATCAAACTTTCTGGATTAACTCAGCATCAAATTTTCATTTTCTGTCCAAATATAAAATAAAAATAAAAAACCACCATACCCTATGCTTAATGGACACTTGATATTTTAGTATTAACATGTGACGTTTGAATACGCGAATGAAAAAATAATAATAATAAAAAAAGTGATATAAACATTTCAATTTTCATACCCTATGCATGAGAATCGCATAGAACTTTGTTTCTGTTGTTGTTAATAGTGATGTTGTTGTGCAGAACTGCGGCTTGAAATAAGAAGAAGTAATCCAAATACAAATGGAATTAGATTATAGTACAGGGATTGTTAAGCAACATTCAAAGTTTAATGAATGGTTGTGGGCTTTAGATTTTGAATTTTGTTACAAGGAATGGAGTTCAACTGTTTGTTGGTTCCGCAATTAAATACACTAATTAGTCAAAATGCAATGGTAAATCAAACTTCTCTAAACTTAATTTCATTTTGAATTGTCCCTTCCAAAGTCAAATCACCCAAACACAAAAAAAAAAAAAAAAACAATAACAGATGAATAGGACAACTATTGGAAAAGAAATTAAACATAAGACAACTATTGTATGACGTCTCTAGTTGTAGAGTGGCGCATCACAGATCGATATAAACCATCATGTTTATCTGTTGTTGTTGTTGTTGTTGGTGATTTGGTACAAACGCCCTCAAGTCCCTAATACCTACACATTTAAAAAGTTAGAAAAATGGAACTCGTTAGCCATATTTCATAACTCACTTCTTTTTTCTTCTTCCAAATAACTGTTAGTCGACAAATAAAAAAGAGTAGAATCAAAAATAAGAAAAATACAAATTTGTCCAACATCAAATATAAACCAAGGGTTTATTAATTTTATATACCAAAATTGATAAGAACTAAAATGGTTATTAACTCTGCTCTGCTTAAACAATGCAATTGCAGTAATATTATTGTAGACAATATTATGTGCCTATTTTGTAGAAAATGATCGTGATCATGTGTATTTTGTAGAAAATTATTGTAGACAATATTATTTTGTACAAATTCATGGATAATGGGACTATATATATTAACTTCAAAATCTCATGTCATTACATTAATCTTCACATAGGATTCATATTCATAATAGAACAATGACAGAAGACTTGAAACCAATTGTGTTAAAGTAAAGAGGCATTTTTCGACAAATAGGTATTGGGGAATATTCAAATATCTTTCCTAACAAGTTTCTTTTTGCCTTATTCCTAAAAATGCTTCATACGTTGAGCTTAGCTTAATTAACCAATGAATCAACTAAACAAATGCTATGTTTTGGGGTGAAATTATTAGATAATTCGATCTACTCGACTCCATATTCTCATATTGAAAAAAGAGTCCACAACATAGTATTAATATTTTATTTTAAAAAAAATCTCAACATTAATTTTTATTGAATTAGATTACCAAATATCAAATGGACTAGGTCCATATAATAAATTTATCTGATTTGGGAACACCAAATTGACGGCTTAAAATAGTTTGTTTTACGTCGCCATTACCCAAATTTTGTCTCTTATCTCATTTTTGTTTGGGACAGTGACAATGATTAATTTGATGATGAACAAACATCCAGGTTAACGTATACCATATCTTAATTCTTAAATTAAACTTAATTCTCCCATTTGTTAAACATGCAATAGGAGAAAACAACTGTTGACACCCAGGTTTGTTTTTAGTGACATTGTAACGAATCGCAACTATTGATAATCAGAATACTATTTGGTTTTATGTTATGCTTTTTAATGTGCCGTTTGATGTTATGAAATGTTTAATTTAGTGTGTATTGTTTGCTTCCATTTGTATCATTAAACTTGATGTTTTGGTCAGAGATGGGTTCAACTACTCTGATCATCATCTATTGTTTCAGATTATTCTAAAATGATTGTGGAGCCACATTTACACACGATTTTTTTAGGGCATAATTTAGGAACACATAAAATAATGGAACGATAGTGTAACAGGCATTACTACTATTTTTGGCCATTCCAGTCACTAGTCTTGGGCAATATTTATAAAATTAGAGGAAAATTTTCCAGCTAAAAATCAAACATGGAAGCAATTTAAGAAACTTTCTTATATTTCAAATTCTATGAACATATTCAGAAATCAGAATTGATGTGGAAGAAAAAATTAATCAATTTGAGTGTATCCCTTGCATACGATAAGCCAATACAAAGTGTGTGTGTGTGTGTGATATAACCAATTTGAAACAAGCAGTTATATACTGGATTGAACTGAAAGCCCCAAGGATCGATGTTTCATGTGACAAAGGCACGATAAAGACCTCGAATTGAAGAATTATTTAGATTAATTACATAAAGTTTTTCATTAATACTTTGGGGTTCTCATTATACAACCAAAAATCAATGAAAGGTGTTAATCAGCCATTTTGTACTCTCAAGTAAAATAAACCCCAGGCAGGGTGTATTAACACCTTCTGCCAGATTTATAGTCTATTAACTTTTCGTTGACCGTTAAAATTGTTGTATATTAATGTGTTTACCAAGTTTGATATGGGTTCTAGAGCTCTTCCATTGATATACATACCTTCAATCATAATTATCAGAAAATATGAATTCACAGAGCATCCAAACAGAGTCATTTAAGAAATAATTTTGTAAAAGAGATCTTATAAAAGACAATTACAATTCACAGGTACAATTTGATAAGGTCAAATGAAAGCTAAACTAAAGCTAGGTAATAGATGAGCAAATAAATGACAATAAGATAATGCTTCAAAGTACATGAAAAAAGGATACACGGTTTTTCTAATTATAGCACTGTAAAGGCATGTCAGTGGCAAGAGGTAAACAGAGAGATGAGCATTAAAATCTTCCTATGGTATGCACCAGCATATATATAAAACATTTTAAAAGCAGAATATACTACTAGTAATACAAAAGCATCAATCACCAATCAATCAATCATTGGATCAATTTGCATAGGCAAACTATATACACAAGTAGATTAGAAGTTACACTATTTAACTAACCCATAACTGCATGATAAAGCATTTTAATAGAAGAAAGGATTGGAAAAAGACAATGAAGTTGCGGAGGCATTATTAACAAAAATGGTCAAGTTTCAACAACCAAAAACAGTCAACAGCATTCAAACACAAACGGACACCATTAATGAAACTTACAAAGACAAAGCAAACAAAAAAATAGTAGTCCAGACAAGATTTAACCATCAACACTAGTATCATCTGCAACGGCGAATATAAGAAAAAGGTCTATCTAAATTGTAGAATCAACATGCTACAAAATCTGATTGATCTTTTACAATCTCCAACAACTCCAACAAAACAACTGTACCGAACAGCTGGCTGCAACCACTACTCCATCAATTTGTTCATTTTAATCTTAATAACTATCAGATTCATACAATTCTATATACCCTCATCTCAAATATTACCAAAAGAGGTTCCGTCAATATCGAAATGTAACTGGCATTGTAAGGTACCAAGACTAATCTCTTCAAAGTTCCATTTTTGCACTAAGAATCGCACATCCAGCCAGATATCATTTTCTTCTTAGTCCACACAAAATCTCATAACAAGCCTTCAACCCTACAAAAAATATTCCTAGGGTTTCATCAAAAGAGGGATACTTGAGAGATACTCAGACCTCAAAATACCAGATTAAACAGCACTGAATTATAAACAGACCAGTCATGTCCTCTGTTCCTCCAACATTTTCTTCCATCAATATTGACATGTAATTGACATTGGAAGGTACCAAGACTAATCTCTTCAAAGTTCCATTTTTGCAATAAGAATCAGAAATCCAGTAATATATCATTTTCTTATTAGTCCACAAAATCTCATAACAAGCCTTCAACCTTACAACAAATATTCCTAGGGTTTCATCAAAAGAGGGATACTCAGTCCTCAAAAATACCAAATTGATTATTGAACAGCACTGAATTATCAACAGACCAGTCATGTCCTGTTCCTCCAACATTAGCCCTCTAGCCTACCAAATGGTGTCGTCAACATTTTATCACAACACAAATTTTAAACCATGAATACAGATACATCCAGCACATCCTCCAACAACAAACATTAAAGCACACAAAGACGAGAGAGAATGAGGAGAGAGAGAGAGAGAGAGAGAGAGAGAGAAATAGCTGCTACAAGTTGAGAAACGAAGTAATTAGAAATGAATACATTCTTGAGATGGTTTAAATAGCCTCAATTGAAAATAAAATGAAGAAAATCATTAAGTTGATTTGAACATGTGCAAATATGACCACTAAATACGCCACTTAGGAAGAGTGGCATGGGCCACATTGAGGGTAATGCAAGAGGAAGGAGAAGACCAAATTTAACATGGGTAGAGTTAGTAAAGAGAGATATGATAAAATGTGGTTTAACTGAGTTATCGCCTTAGAACCAAAAGGATTAAACTCTCATGTAGCCAACCCTAGGTAGTTCGGAAAGGCTTTGTGGAGTTGAGTTGAGCTAGTTATTTTGTTACAATAAGTAAAGGAGGAGGGACAAAACTTTGCTTCAATCTCTATCTCTCTCTAGAATTCAAAGTGCACACTATTACTTTTCCCTTTGTATAGGCTATTAAATAAATTTTAATGGCCAAGTGCCCAAGTATTTAACATAGAATTTCTTTCCAAATTTCAACAGATATTAAATCAATGATACTCCATAAATTGTTTTCATTTCACATTTACTTCTGAGTTCTGACATTATAACATGTAATCCTAGTCAATGTATCAACAATCGGAGTGCAGACGACTGACACATAATCTGAATGTAGTGACCATCTAGGAACTTGCAATAACAAGCAAATGAAGCCAAAAAAAAAAAAAAAAAAAACAGAAGTGAATTATACCCTTTTGTCCTGAATCTATTAAAATTCTGACTTTCATCACCATTTCTTTCCATACATTTCTTGCACCACGAGCCACGGATACATACAAGTTAGAAAACTATCTCTACATGCCATCTATACAAACATGTTTCCTTCAGCTTATAAACAACTGCTCTGTAAATGAAACTAATTCCAACACCAAGGATGGCAAAAAGTAAACTTCTAGAATAAGAGGCTACAACAGCACAAGCATGAATTTCAATAGATGTACTCATTATTGTCTGAGCAAAAGAACATGTATGACAGAGGGACCAGAAAGCTCGACATGAGATTTCATTCTTCTAGAGGACTGCAATCCAAAACCGAGCCCCCAATAATAGATCATATTATAACTCCAAGAAAATATGTTTAAACAAGTAGACACCCTTCGATTTCTTTCTTTCAGCCAATTTTTTAATCCCCATAGCTAATCACTGAAACCAAAAGACTGGACCTTCCATGCCACAAAAAATACTTCCACAAGATAAGCTTCTACTAAGAAATACATAGACTAATCATTCCGTCCTCAGCACCTCACAATAACCAAAAACTTCAAGAACCCACAATAGTTCAATTTTCCATAAGTTCCAAATAACGTTCTAAAGGGAGGCTAGTTCTAAATGCCCAATGTAATTCAAACATCCTGCATCTTTTTCAAAGTTTTCTAAATACCAGACAAACCACACAAACACGATAGATTTACAGAAGAACAAGATAAAACATGTCAGCAAAATTACAATTAACTAACCACATTTTAACAGAAATACTTCCTGAAGAACTCATCTACTTAGAAAAGAACCATGGATTAAGTATGTAATTACCTATTAAAGGAAAGCTCATCAATGATTCTCAGGCCCTGCTTGAGTACTTTTTAGCTGCTGCTGCTGCTCCTGCTGTTGTTATTGTTGTTGTTGCGGCTGCTGCTGTTGTAACTGAAGGAGAAGGTTGGCTGCCAATTGTAGTGTTGACTGGTACCTCTGATTCTTATCACCCTCCGCATCCAATGTCCCCTGACCAGATCCATAAAGCACAGACTGATGCTGTTGAGCCTGATTCGGAAGCTCCAATATCTCTTTTTCAGTAGCTGGGGGCACGGCATTATCTCGCCGTGAAACATTAGCACCATGGACCTGATTAGACGATGCAACAGAGTTTATAGATTGCTGATAGACTGACAAATTATACAAATCAAAACCATCTGTTCCATGAGCTATCCCATAACCCTTCTGAGAGTTCTGAGGAACTTTAAATTGATACTGCAGGTTGACCTGTGAAGAAGCTGCAAGCTGCCCACTCTGAAAAGGGATAGCAAAGTTAGTTGATGGCCTAGAAGAAACTGCAGCTTGCTGTGGCAGATCAAGAGCAAGATCTTGAATTTTGGAGCTGCTAGTAACCCCTAGTGCAGAATGGCTAGCTGCATTTGTGACGGCTGGGTAACTCTGAAGCAAAGGAGGAAGTTGTGCCTGGGAATTAATCTGAGAACCCAATTGTTGAAATAAATGACCAGTCTGCTCAGAAGCTTGATGATCACGACCCTGTGGCAAGATTGTTTTAACAGACCGTGCAACATTAGGAGGTAATGAGGGTCTCAAGGAGGAAGTTCCTAGTGCAGGATGAGCACTTCCTAAATCAGAAGAATTTTGTTTTCCAGGTAGTAAAGAAGCTAGTGTTGCGATGAGCTCAGGTGTTAAAGTTACTCCAGCTCGTGATACTGCTGCAGTATTAACTCGCGTAACTGGCTGCACGGATAGGGAATTACTCGCTGCATGAACAAGATTCTTTGGAGGAATCATTGAGTCCTCACGTAAAACGCTATTATAATCCATTTGTGAAACTTTCTCCACCTTTGCGGGCACCACATCGTACTTGGTTTGAGAAGAAGGAATCTGCCGTCTATCAATGTACTGAGGCTGAATTAACTGTGAATGTGACTGCATCGATGTGCTGCCACGAGCATGTTGGGGGAACTCCAGAACAACCCCATAAAGTCGTTCAGGGCCTGTGACATTCAAAATTTTCGTAAGGAAATCTGAAGGAGGCACCAAAAATAAAGTAGTCCCATCATCAAATTTGGCAACCCCAGCCCGGTTTTTGGCACCAAGGTAGGAAAGAAATTCTGTATAAGCAGCAAAATCATCCTCCGTATCTGGCAAAAAGAAGAAAATCTTAAATCCAACAGCCTCAGCAAAGTGCTTCATTAACATGTCCAACCCAGTTCTGGCAGAGCAATTAACCACCTCAGGACTGCAGAATAGAAAATTCCACAATTAGAATGATAGAACAGAAGGAACAAATACGCATGCTAAATTCACCAGATCACTAGATCAAAATTCAAAATCAATCAAGTAGAAAGATTCCAAATTTGAAATTGTCAAGCTAGTAAGCAACAAATAACCCAATATTTAAAAATGAAGCAAAAGAAAGGATGAAATTTGAAATACTGAAGAATGCCAATTAGGAATGATTTCTTCCATATGCAAACAATTCCAAAATGATTTATCACACAATAATATGAATATTCTCAAGAAGGGCCCATGGCAATATCTCATAGCATATATAGACACAATATAAAATCTATATAACAATGTATAATTGTTGTCACTTCATGAGATACTCGAATAATCATGGATCGAATGAGATAAAATCAGTTTATGTACCACACAGATTATGCATGCTACATGGAAACATATGTGATAATTCCAGAACAGTGGAAATAGCTTGGATATAAATTGGATGGGCGTTAACAAATTATTCATTAGTTACATCCATATGACGATATTAGTGACGGTTGCTAATGCATGATTCATAAATAATTCATATGCATAATATAGTTGGGAAATGAAAACTTCATTAATGGTTCTATACAATTAAGGGTAGCTGCATCTGAAAACCCAATAGAATTTGTGATCTGCCCTATTATATCTCGAAAGCTTAACTAATTAACCAAAGATCAATACATAAATTATAGAAAAATCCAAAAGCTTCTGTTAATAAGAGAAACAAACAAGACATAAGAGGTGCTAGGCAAATTATACTTACATCTCAGTCTCCAATGCTTTCCCAATAGGAATACAACGAGCATAACAAATGGGTGTTCCAGCCTTAGCAATAACGCCACGCCATATGTAATCAGGATCAGGATGGCTCTGGCTAGTTACGGCAGATGAGAATCTTGCACCCATTGGACCAAGACAATGCTTCCCTCCAACTATCGCAAGTGGACCTGAAGCACCTCCATCAACTTGTGGACCAAGCCTGTATAATTTGTCCAAATCCAACCCTTGATCACCCAATTTTTTCAAAGGAAAAGAAGTATCATAAGCAGGCAAAGCACCATCGATCCTTAATCGTTTAGATTCTCTCTGAATTTGGTTTGCTTCAAATACATCCAATGCACGAGACATGGGTCTGAAGGGAGGCTTCAAGACTGGTGAAGAAGGGAGCATTCCAGGTACAGGAGATGACTTACTCCAACTTGGACCGCCCGTCAAAGTGTTGGGATTAGTGTCTGGTAATTTATGCATAGCAGTCAAATCATTAAATTCTGAGCCTGAAAGTAGAGGTTTAAAGCTACCTTGAGGGCTAAAAGGCCTAGTTGGCATATTCTGTCCAACAATTCCACCAAGTGATAAAGGTACAGGAAAATTATTTGGAACTATTGGGCAATTATGACCAACTATGTCCATTTGTGCAGGCCGAAATGGAAGTTCATTCAAAAACATATCTGGACTTGGACCTTTTATTCCTGGATTAAATCCTAAAAAATCTCTGCCAGGCACATGTTCACTGCTTGAAAACATTATTGTTATTCTGGGATCATTAAAAAGCCGGCCCTGCAATCCCTCTTTGGCACGCCGTGCTTCATCTACACTTCTAAATTCAACCAAACAGAAGTGCATTGAATGGAAACTTCTAATTCTGTCGATCTCACCAAATAAAATCATTGCATTGTGGAGCATCTGTTCATCAATATGAACAGAAGGCGGATAACCTATCCACAAGACATTACTTAGTTGTCCATCCTCTTTTTGCCCTCCCAAAGATTTAGAATGCTGCCACGAATACAATATGAAGGAGTTAGAACATCACCAAATCCACTTAAATTAAAAGTACAAACCGTGACCAAATATTCAGTCAGCATCTCCAATGCAAAATGCTATATTTCCATGCCAAATCTATATTTTGAGAGGAGCTACAATGTCAAAATGCTATATTTTTGCAATTCTGCTCCAATGGTGTATTTCATCCAAAATGCTATTTTTTGACACAACAACCTTCCATATTTTGAGAGCCCATTGGAGTGCTTTATTTTCATTTTAGCAACTTTTGACAATCTCAAAATATGAGAGGTTTTTTGAGCGAGCCAATTGGAGTGCCTTATTTTCATCTACTTGCTATATTTTGAGTTTGAGAGGCTATTTGAGAGCCTCTATATTTGGCAATACATTTTTTGTTTCTTTAATAAGTATATTTGGCAATACTTTTGACAATCTCAAAATATGAGAGGTCTTTTGAAAGGTCATTGAAGTGCCTTATTTTCATGCAATTGCTATATTTTGAGTTTGAGAGATCATTTGAGAGGGCATTGGAGATGCTTGGAAACAAATTAACGCAGTCAAATGCACTCTACAAATTTCTAAATGAGAAGTATAACAGACAAGGATCTCCCTGTCTCCCAAAACAACACAGACTGATTTGGTATGCCACTAGAATGCCATGAATTTGTTTGAAGTATAGCAGGTTATGAAGCCAGCCAAGTTACATAATTATTTTTGACACGCATACCTAAAAGGACGTGAGCATTGTTGGCAAGTATTGCAATATCTCATGAGGTAATAGATGATGGTTAGAAATTACCTGTTGTATTTTAGAATCAGAATAAGAAGGTTCAGAGTAGTTTATATTGAAATCTTGCAGCATCCATGGTGAATCAAAAGGGCCCATGCTCCTGCCCAGAAACTGTCCATCCCTTGAAACAGAGCGTTGTTCCTGCTGATAAAACATAAGTGGCTCAACTTAAAATTAAATTAAAACAAGTTAATAAGCAGACACATAAAGAATTCCAAAAGTAGTAGCCAGTCTATAAATGTCAGCTTGGAATACATGGGTTATGCAAGGGATCAACAAAAACTGCTAGCAAGTCAAACAAAGCTAGATAAGGTAACGGACTTTTTTGTCCCAAGTCGAGATGGACTTGCAAGAAAGAGCTAAGCACTCTCATATAACATAGATCCACCCAACATGGCAAAAGCAAGATCAATCTCAACTTGTGGGTTAAGAAGTTGAGTACTGACTCTTCAACCAACACCTAATCGATGCATCCATAATTCAAAAATAATTTTTGTTTTTCCAAAACTTAGCTGACACATTAAGACGCTCACTAGTATAGCAAACACATTAAAAGGAGCAATATCCAACAACCTTGGGTAGAAGATGAATATTCAGATGTTTTACCTTTCTTCCTAATATACCTACATGGCCAAGTCAAGCATGCAATGAAAACTTTTAATACATGACAAGAATATTATTGTAGTGACAAAAATATAATAGGAGACTATTAGTATTAATATCATATTATCATCATCCATGCTTTAATCCCATAGAAATGGGGTTTGTCACATAAATTCTCTTTTCCATTCTTTTCTATTAAAAGCCATCTCTCTTATAATATTTAAATTTCTAAAATCATTTCTAGTAACTTCAATTTTATGTTAATTCCGGCCACCCTCTCTATCTCTTACCTTCTATGCAAATTAGTCTTCCATCTTCTTATGGGTGCATCTATAAGTCTTTGTTGTATATGTACAAACCACCTAAGTCAACTTTCTTTTCTTTTATCACTACCAGGAACTACTCCTAATTCCTCCCTACCTTGTTCAGTGCTACATATCTCTTCTAGTCACCCTACAATCCATCTTAACATTCTTATTTCAGCTAAATGAATTTGTTGTTATTGTTAATTTTCTTAAGCTCAATCCATATAAAATAATTAGCCTAAAAACTGTTCTATGATTTTTTATTTTTTTTACTTAGTTGCCATTCTTTTATCATATAAAAGCTACTAGCCATTTTGTCCAACCTAATCCAATTCTACTAATTATGTCACCATTTATTTTGCCACCTTTTGTATTATTGGTCTTAGGAATATGGTGGTTTTGGAATCCTTTAGTTTGAAGTGACATTATATTATCATTTTTTTTTTCCTAATTAACATTATATTATCATTTTTTGACTCTTTATTAAATCTGCATTCCATTAAATTAAATCTTAGTCCTAGTAATTTCTAAACATTCTCATGCTTTTCTCTACATTTCTAATTTTATTGCCATATTTTCTTTTGAGGTATCCAATAACAATAAATCATCAACAAACAACATGCACCATAGAAAGCATCCTTTATTTCACCTCAAATTAATATGAAAAATAGGCTTAAGACTAATCCTTGGTAGCTGGTGCAATCCTACAACTATAGAAAAATCACTAGTCTCACCACATATAGACCAAACTCAAATTTATTTATTCATATATATATATATCCTATGGAGACATGTCATTGTTAATCGGTGTTGTCTGTGGATGACCAATGGAGAGTCTGTGGACCACCTTCTCTTGCACTGCCCAGTGGCCCATGACTGTTGGAGCCTTATGTTGGGTCTTTTTGGCGTTCAGTGGATTTGCCTCGAACCTCGCGGGGTCTTATCGATATTTGGAGGGGACAAAGGGTGGGGGCTCGAGTTCGCGACTTCTGGAGGGCGACTCCCCTCTGCATTTGGTGGTGTCTATGGAAAGAACGCAATAGAAGATCCTTTGTTGGGGAGTTACACATTGGGGCTCTTAAGTATTCTATTTTTTGTTCTCTTTTTAGTTGGGGCATGGGGAGAGATTGTTCTTCCATTGAGGAGTTTTTGGACTTTTTGGGGTCTTTGGATCCTTAGGCTTTCTTTTTTTGCTCTTGGTTCTTGTACAGCTCTTGCGATGCGTTCCCCTTTTGAACGCTTTCTAATACAATTTTACTTACCAAAAATATATATATATATCCTAAATCTTTTATCATTTCTATAAGGATTCGTTTTATTTGTAAAGCACGCCAAATTATATCTCTCGGTACCCTACCGTATGCTTTTTCTAAATCCATAAAAATTATATGTAAATCTCTTTACCTACTCCTACACTCTTCAACTAATTGCTTTATTAAGTAAAATAGCCTCCATTATGGATCTTCCTGGTATAAATCCAAGTTGATTATCAAACACAATGGATCCCTTCCTTAATCTTTGTATTATCATCCTTTTCCCATATAATCAGTAATAATATATATATAGCGTGTGTGTGTGTATTTTTATATATAATAAAATTGTTTACGATATTTGTATAGCTTCATCCTCCATATAGGCAATTCGTTAAAAACAAATTTTTTTTTTTTAAAAAAAAGCCAGAACCTTATAAATGTCCAATTTAGATGTATGTAAATGAGATAATATATTCCTGTGTTGTTGTGTCCATGTCGTGCCCATAACCTATGTCTTTAGAATTGAACATACCATCATATCCGTCTCATGTCATGTTTGTGCTTGTATATGTGCTTGTGCCACTTGGCTTATGGGATTGATGTAAGAAAACAAGGACAATTATCAACAAGCTACCGGGTACCTCCCAAACATAGGTTTTAACGATCTGATCTACAATCCGCTATAAGACTGAAAAGGTAGTATGCGTCTTATAGTCATGTAAGTGAATTAAATAAGAAACTACATGACATCCCAAATGCCAAAAAAATGGCCTGAGTCAACCTATCAGCTAGCTCACAACTAATCAATTTCCCGACAGATATGGTTATAAATTTTTCAAAGCATTTTAGATTTATTAACTTACTCTTTTTAGAGGTTGTGATCTGAGGAAATCCACTCGTACTTGGACACCCCCTATTCTCTTCCCATTCATACTTTTCAATGCTTGAGAAGCATCTTCTAATTTGAAAAAGTCAACCAAAGCAGCATTCCTCTCCCTAAGGAACTTGAATTCCTCAATTTTACCAAATTTGAGAAATTCCTCCTCCAATTTATCTTTTGAAAAAGATGCGTTGATTCCACTCACCCACAAACCCTTGCACGGTTTAGCCTGCAAACAAGATTGGTAAGAAGAACAAAATAAATCCAAATTTGCATGTTATCATAGAAAATCCACACAATATAAATAACAAAGGAAAGACAATTAAACTATTTCTGGTACAAATTGCCGATCCCCGTATGTATAGGTGTTGAAGGATGGATACGCGTTCAGAAAACCACATGTATATCCACTATTCTGAGCTTGCAACCCATCAAAATTTGAAACCCATTACTCAATTTCAAAAAGCTCATACTCCAATGGCATGTACATGCATAAATCATTTTGTTTAAATTGATTCAAAGCTAATTACCCTTTCCCCTACCACTTTAATGATACGTCTCCCTGTTGCTGTACAGCAACTGCCTTCAACTTGGAGAGACTGGTAGTTCAAACTTCAAACTCCTTAGGGAATTAATAATGCTTATGAGGGTGGCACAAATAGAGATTGATGTTAAATTTGTTAATCAAATTTATGTCATAATGGATTGAATTTGAATCACGATATTCCACTCAATTACAAATCTAATCCACATCCAGATTTACATCAACTTCCAAATATATAGCTATAACTTAATGCTCCCATAATTAAATTTTTTTCCATGCTCAGTGACATCATATTCATATACAATCAAAAAGAGGACAAACTTTCGGTTCACTAATATTTCTCTTCAAAAGAGGTCCAAACAGTAATATGGCAAGTATATTAATATAAATCAACCGATCCATGAAAAGTTATAGGGGAAAAAACACACACAATTACAAACACATACACATTGAGTAAAAAAGAAAAATAAAAAACCAGGAATCCAATAAGGCACAAAGGGCAGAACAAACCGGTCTTGAAAACTCAATCTTAATTTGATTCCCATGAAAAAAGGTCCCTTGGAGAGCGTTTTTGGCCGCCTTTGCATCCTCCGCACGTTCGAAGTAAATGAACCCATAACACCTTGATGCATACGATGTTACAGTATCGAGCGCACCGTGTTTTCCAAACAAGTTCACCAAATCGGAATCAGTGACATCACTGGACAAGTTTCCGACCCACAGATTATTCGAGGGTGGCTCCTCCTCGGCTTCATCTGAGTCCTTCCCGCTTTGAGTTTGCTTTGGATTCTGATCTGCTTTCTTTTCCGATTTGATCAGATTAAGCATGATTGGTTGTAATCGAAACCCTAGACATTCACGCACATAAACAAAGATTGCAGCTTTTATAACAAATCAATCTCTTACTAGGAATAGGAAACACCAGTGGTCTGAATATATATATCTTACAGCGAAATGTAGGGGAGCACAGAAATGAGAGAGTGAGAGTCGAAAATCGACGGAGAACAAGGAAGGCTTCGCTTCTAGGTATATACTACTCCATATGATTATCACTCGCTCGATAGTGGATAGTAGTAATCGCTATACTAGAGATGGAAGATTTCAGAGAGAACGAAGGGTACAGTTCAACCTAGAGGATGTCATGAAGTAGCCCACACCATTGGGCGTTTTGGTATATTTATTTATTTACTTTATTGTATGAGATTTTTTAAAAATTTACAATTGTCCTTCTAAAACTCTCCATTTTTTTAAAAAATATCTATAGTATTTAAACTTTTCAAACTAACGAGGAGTGAAATCAGAATTCCGTAAGAAGTAAAGAGGTACTATATTAAATTAAAGCACTAAATGAACAAGGTGGGGGTGTAAATGGATGACACAATGCAAAATATACGAAGAAAGAGAGGGATTTTAATGGTGGGTGATGTTGGTGCTCAACTTACCTACAAATTCATTCAAGTGGCGGCTTTGGATAAAGAAATGAAAACACTACTCCAAAATTTTTTTTTGGCAAGAGGCTGCTTCAAATTAATATTCAAACAGAAAAAGAAGATTAGAAGACGATGATTTTTTTGTTTTATTTTGGTAAGAAACTCAAACATTCAAGGTACTTAGTGTACTAATTTCAACACTAAACTTTCTATTTTGAAAAGCAAAAAAATAATCATGATTTGAAATACATATAATAATGTGTTTGACTTGGGCTTGGGTTGGTGACATCTCCATTCATACTCAAGTCTAATCTTAATTAATTTTTGATTGAAATTATTTCAAACCAAGTTTAATCCTAAATATGTTGAGAACTTTGTGGATAATTACAAAAAGTAGAGAGGATTCTATGTAGAGCCAGATTGACTCAGTCAAGACTATCATGTGAAAAACTATAAGGGTATGTTCGGGCTACGTGTAATTAGAGCCTTAGAAGTAAAATTAGTAAATTTGAAAAAAAAATTGTAATTAAAAAAATTAAATCAAAATTTTTTCAAATTCCACGGTTTCCATTTTCACGTTGCCTAACACACTTTAAGTGTAAATTACATTATATGGGTGCACATAAAAACAATTAACAAATCATTCTTTCTAGAATGATTTGGAAGGCCCTTCACTTCAAAATGTCACTACAAAACACACGTCGCCTTAAATTACATTATATGGGTGCACAGAAAAACAATCAACAAATCATTCTTTCTATGTTAGAATGATTTGGAAGATCCTTCACTCAAAAATGTCACTACAAAACACAACTTAACAAATCTTTGTTCTAACTTTTAAAGATAAAACGGAAATAATCTCCTCTCTTTGAGGTGAATATGTTTCCTGTTTCGTCAGTTACTCCTATCTTATGCCAAAACTTCAATAAACTTGCATATTACCATATCTTTATTTTCTTATTGTTTTGGTCTATTTTAAATTTGTCTTTGTTTTGTTAATATGTAAGTCTTTGGGCTTTGTTTTGGGCTGCTCATTTTGGGCTTGCTGAGTCAATCCTATTTTAATATTTAAGCCTTTAACTCATTTTAAATACAGTATCAATTAACTTTGAGGGTATTATGCAAAATATTTATGACACAGAGTGACAGAGATATTGCATTTAATCATATTTTATTATATACTTATAATACCACGTAGTATTAAATTTCTCATAGGAGAGGAAATAATGAAGAAACATTAACAAATTCCAGGCGAACGAAAGAGAAAGAAGAAACGGTCTCTGTTAATGGCGACAGAGCTCGTCAACCGATCTCTGAAAATCAGAGATCTCATCATTATTTCCACCACAACCACCACCACCACCACCATTTGTCAGGTCATTCTCTCCCCTCTCTCTTTTGCTCTCTGTCTGTCGATATAAACACATTCATATACATATAATCTTCATATCATTGTTACATCTGATTTGAGTTCAGATCATTATTAGACCATGGTTCGTTTATTGATTCATTCCTTTCGATTTTCAGTACTGTCTGGGTTTCAATTGGAATTTTTTTTTTTTTTTGGGTTCGTAATTAGATCTGTTTTATCATTCAGCAAAAATTGGAACTCAATCAGGACGTTTTTTTTTCTTTATTTTTATATTAGAGAGATAAACGACAGTTTATATAGAGATATTGAAATAAGAGAGAACTTTTAGATGGAGAGAGATGAATTTATCTATGACTTTCTGACGTAGTTCTCAAATTATTGAATTTATGTGCAATTATCCACTTTTTAAGATTAAGTATTTAACTTGTAATTAAAATTTGAAGTTTCAAATTTTTTTTTTTCTTTTCACTTTTTCATAATGTTGGATTTTTTATGATTTAATTTTGTGATCAAACGCTTGTATTTGCACTACATTTAGTAAATTTCTGAATTGGTTGATTGTCGATGACAGTAGAGGTTGAGGAGTTGAAAACTGGAAAGAGATAGAAAGGGAGGGACTGGTGATGTCTTTTGACGGCGACGACAAGCAATGGATTTGTGGAAAGGCTGGCACAGTGAATCTACAGCTAGTCAGTTCTATTGTTCGGGACATCGGGGAGCCTTGTCTTCATCAATCACCTATAAAGGTTGTTATAGCTGTAAGATCCCGATTGAAATCTTATAGCTATACGATCCCTGATGAACTCATTTATTTCCCCTGCAATGGATCAGTAATAGTTGTTATAACTTATAGCTCTACATTGGCTGTTATATATTGGTAGTGACTAGTATTTGTATCGCACAAAGCAATTATGCAACGACTAGTTTACTAAGTTCTAAAGAAAGACCATTTCTTTATGAGATTATGGCAATACTTGACAGAAAATAATAATAATAATAATAATAAATAAATAAATCATGAAATGCAGGCAATTTTACCTTTTGAAGTTTTTGTTGTCATCTCATGCACGTTGCATATACATGCCACATTAATATATGATTACTGGAAATTGATCTAAACAATGGCATCATTACTGTTTGTTCTGTTATGAAGAGACCCCACTTGGGCACCTTGTATCTTTATCGAACATTGAATTGTCTCAGCGTCTCTATGTTTAGCTATTTATATCTCGAAAGTTCAGTCTATACCCGATACTGTAAAAAATTGAACTCTAGTTAGAGGCTTTATCTATGTCTTTTGGGAAGGTGGGGGGCCTATGTTGATTTGTGGGATTTAATTATGAAGTTTTCATCTATCCTTTACTATTATTTTGTAGATCTATTTACTTGTTTATTTGATCAGAGGTGGAGAGGTGAAGATGACTGTTTAATATGAAGGGTGGTAGGATTTGGGGCATGCATAGAATTACTACAATCAAAGCACAGGCCAGATAAACAGGGGCATTGGGTAGAAAGTAGAGGGGGGTTGATGAGGGGAACATGTAAATCGCTGCTGCTAACTGCTTAGATGATTTTTGAGTTTGTGAAAAATTGCCACACATCTGAACTATTGCCCCCTTCAGGCTGAATGAGATATAGATTTTGCTGTGTTCTTATGGAAGGAACATGGGGAAGGATTTTCGGGAATTCTGGAAAGCGCTTTATTTTCGTCAGTATTGGTAGATTAACTTTTGAGTAATTCTCAAAAGGGCTATGTATGTACTTCTCTAAATTGGTTTCTAGTAATTTGATTGCGATGTACAGATGTCATTTTGTATTTCCATTTTGCACAGTTGCACTAAATTTTTTTTTTAGTAATTAGAATACTAAATAATTTTTACCTTATCATTGAAAACGTAGTGATTTATTGCTACTGTTTTTGATAACGCAGATAAGCAAAATGCTTAAGCCAGACAAGTGGCAGTCGACCTTTGATAGCGACGGGAAGGTCTTTAGTTTTCAGAAAGCGCTGAAATTGATTGTTCTAGGGGTAAGTTGCTTCATTGCTGTCATATTTCTTAAACTCCATATGTAGGTAGTTTCTTGCGGGTGTAATTGCATTTTATTGATGGCTCTTTTTTTTTTTTGGTGGGGTGAGTCTGCAATTTTTTTAAGGTGCACATTTTCCATTTATTTAGCTTATATAAGTTTCCACAGTAAGGAAGCATGATGCCAATTTTGTTGGAGCATCAGACTTCCTAAATTGCAAAGGTGGCCTCCTTGCATAATTTGCAGTCACAATAAAACCCAAACCCTTTTCTGTGCTAGAAGTAATTTGGGAACAATCTCTTTGAACATCACATTGAATTTTATGTTTTAAGTTTGTCAAGGGATTTTGATGGCCCTAAAAGCTTTGTTGTTAGACCTGTGCTTCACTGCTTGAAAAGATTTTTTTTTTGATAAATCACTGCTTGAAAAGATTTAAATGACCAATGAGAGTTTTTTAAACTAAAATGCTGATCTGGATTTTACACTGACATACAATTAACAAATTACTAAAGTGATTGGAACAAGTACCCATAATTAAAGTGATCAACAATGTTCCTTTTTCTAAATGTGACTGTAGTTATAGTTCTCATCCTTTAATTATTGAAGTGATCAACGACTTTGTTTTGCTATTTATTGGTACATATTTCTTGACTGAACCATGTTTTGCCTTTTTTTATAATTTTATGTACTGTCTTTGCATAAACAAAAGGGCAGTCTAGTGCTTGGGATTCCTGCCACTGCGGGATCTGGGGAGAGTAAGATGCACACAACCCTACCTCCGCATGTGGAGAGGCTAGGCTATTCCCTGTTTCAAACTTGTGAACTCCAGGTCGTGATGGAGCAACCTTATTGTTGCATCAGGGCACACATTAAATGACCAATGTTAGAATATTACTGCTATTAATGTTATAATATGTTCTAGACTTCTATTATATCTTAAAATGCATAGACAAATACTCATGTGGGATTAAGGCAAGGATGATGATGATGGTATAGACAAATACTCGTTATATTCTTATTTCATGTTATCTATGTCAGATTATGTTTTATTGTTTATACATTTCAATAGATGGAATAATCAAGAATCAAAAGGCTTATCCTCTTTTGCCTTGAGGCTTATGGCTTGCCTTGATGGGAGCTAAATGCCTTGCCCAGTGCTTTTATTTTTGTAAAATGCAACTCCTAATATTTTTTTTTTTTTTGAGTTCCTGTTGAAGCAACCGTGGATTTACATTTACTGGGAAAAAAAAAAAAAAAACTGTGGATTTACATATGCATTTATGTACCAATCGTATTTGAAGGACTTGAATTTTGTTAAATTTGTGTACATGCATCCACAGGTTTTGCAGAAATCAACCAATTGATTAAGTGCTGTCTATGCAAATGTGCGTCTTTTCATCACATATTGTAACATAGGGAGTTTAGAGCTGATATCTGTTATAGCTATCTTCTGGGTGTTATTATATGGTAACAGTGTAAATGTTTTGTTTGTGTAGATTATATTTCTGATCTAGGTGGTTCACGGTTGTTCTTATAACATGTTTGGGTGCTGATAGTTCTGTTTCATAATTCTTAGTTTCTTATACATAGTTCTATTTATCTTTCGGTTAAACTTCCTAACTAATTTATCTATTTATAGTTCGTCGATTGGAATGTCTGTGAGTGGGTGTTCCTTCTTAAAAGAGGCTTAATAATTTTTTTTGACTTATTTATAACTAGAATGCACTTAATTATTGTATGGTAGGGAGTGGATCCATCTATAAGGCCTGAAGTTTGGGAATTTCTTCTGGGTTGTTATGCTTTGAGCAGCACTGCAGAGTACCGAAGGCAATTGAGGACCGCCCGGAGGTATAGGCCCCTTCAACGTCTACTATATTTCTATGTGGATATATTATCTTCCAACTCTAATTTTTCAACTGTTCTACTTGTCAATTTGCCATTTTCTTTCTTTCTGTCATCTGAATCTGTTCATGTCTAATGGTACTCCATGTCTTATTCATGTATATAAGGGCTTTAGAAATGGGAGAGAGTGGTGTTGTATAGAGTTTTGTGTTGCTAAAAGTCAGTTAAATTAAGGGCATGTTGTTCTTACTTATCAAAAAAAAAAGAAAAAGAAAAAAGAAGGGCATATTGTGTATTAAATCTGTGATTCACTCCTGGTTTTATTTTAAAAAGTTCCATTTGTGGGAGTTTTGACATCAAAGACCATCATTTTTTGTCCCAAGAGATTAATGATTTTATTGCTATCAAATTTTTATGTTCCTCTGTATACGGATTATATGTGATGGTGCAGTTATAGAGATGTTTTTTATTTTTTTGTCGCTTGCCATGCATTACACTACAGCAAACATGTTAGTGGGTATAAGATTCTTAAGGGACTAACTTGAAGGACTTGCTGGAAAATTGTTCTTAATTTAGGAAATGCACAACAAGCAATGCCAAATGATGGATTGTAATTACTTAAGAGCCTATGAAACCTTTATTGCAGAGAACGTTACAGGGATCTTATCAAGCAATGTCAAATGATGCATTCAAGCATAGGAACTGGTTCCCTTGCCTATGTTGTGGGGTCCAAAGTTATGGATATGAGGACAATGTCCAGAGATGATGGGGGAAGGGAAGCTGTAGTCGAAAGAAGACAAGCGTCTGATGATAATACTAACAATTTAGTAAATAACTGTAATTTGGATAAAAATTGTACAGATATGTCATACACATGCCAAAGGGAAAGCTCTAGTGATTCAGATGACCTTAACAGCTTGAGGAGAAGTGCAGATAGTGCAGCATATGATTCTTCTTGTTTTCTACCTGCTTCTGGTCCATACAACTGCAGTTCCCCAAAACGTGGGAGTGAAGAGCGTGGATCACAATATGTAACTGAAAATTATTTTGATTTTCCTCCATTACCTGTTACAGATTTGTTTGAGAAGTGTGGCGATGATGGGAAGGAATGTGAGTTGCATGATAATAGACATTCTACACGACGTAAATTGAGATTCGAAGATGAGCGTATGCACAGTTTTCAAATCAATAACAATATAGATTTAGTTGTGGAATCAAATGGTTCACCATCTAATAATGCCTCACATCCTATGAACTCTGAAATTGAATTGGTTCATCCTGATGTGCATGAACCAGTATCTTCATCCAACAATCAGGAATACAAAACAGATATAGTGAACAGATTAAGAATATCAGATGTACCGGAAACACCAGTAATAAAAGCAACCACGTCTCAAGGAGGGGCCACTAGTGAGGACAGAGTATCTGAGTGGCTTTGGACACTGCACCGGATAGGTAAATAATTATGTATTTGTCAATTCTTTTAAAAAGCAGTGATTTTCCGTTTATGCTTTTTCTCAATATCCTTATATTCTTTTCGTCTGACAGAACCTGTTTATTTCAGTTGTTGATGTGGTTAGAACAGATAGTCATCTTGAATTCTATGAAGATACAAAAAACTTAGCTCGAATGTCAGATATTCTTGCTGTTTATGCTTGGGTTGATCCTGCGACAGGATACTGCCAAGGTTGTGGATTTGTCTTTGTTTGAACATTTTTCCTGTTATTTTTCTCATTCACTCTGAATGATTTTGTAATATCAGCTTTAGTCATCACTGCTGCATATTGTAACTGGAAGTTTGTTATTAGGTATGAGCGATTTGCTGTCTCCCTTTGTTGTTCTCTTTGAGGATAATGCTGATGCATTTTGGTGCTTCGAAATGCTTCTGAGGAGAATGGTATTTTCAGACTTGGGAGATTCCTTTAGCTGAATAACTTTATATTCTTTCTCTTACATATACTATACAAACTCTCCAGCGTGAGAATTTTCAAATGGAAGGACCAACTGGCGTGATGAAGCAGTTGCAAGCACTGTGGCATATCCTAGAACTCACAGATAGGGAAATGTTTGCTCACCTGTCACATATAGGTGCTGAGAGCCTTCATTTTGCCTTCCGGATGCTGTTGGTACTCTTCCGTCGGGAGTTGTCTTTCAACGAAGCTCTCTGTATGTGGGAGGTTTGTGCTTGTAGTTATTCTTCCTGACTAGATTTAGTTTGTTGTGATACAAATTTGGTGTATCAGTCATGGCATGATATATCTAGTAAATGATTAATGAAAAATGTGCTCTGGACTCTCAGTTGAGCCTCAAGCACTTGGTAGATTGACAATAAAGGTGGGGAGGGGGAACTTTGGTAAAAACACAAAGGAATAAGAACTACACTTATAAAGTGGAGGTCTTGAGTTTGATTCCCAATTTCCCACCCTTGAGGCTAGTCTTACAGGGTTTTTCTTACGGATTAAAATAGGCATGTTGCATTGGGGCTGCCACCTCTTGAAGGAGATTAATCCCACCCCCACCCCCCCCAACAACAACAATAATCCCCACACAAAATAATAATAAAAAAGAATAAGCAAAATCCCTTATGTAATTGTGTAGATAGTTGTCATATTTATATGCTATAATGAACTTGAACATGTCCTTTGCTGTGCACCTAAAATATATCCTTTGACAGTGTAGTGGGCAGGCATATGTATTGAATTATTATTTACACAAGTTCCCATGTAGGGGGTAGGGAGGAGACGTGTTGATTTAGCTAATCAGTTGTGAGCTGGGTAGAATTCACTTGCCTTCATCATCTTCACTTTGATGTAATTGATCTTGGTTTGAGTTGATTGAGGTCCAAGGAACATTGATTGCCTAAATTGTAGTTGATAACAATTGATTGCCCGTGTACTTAATAACAATAGTTTATGCGGAAAAGTATCAAATTGCAAAGTTAAGTAGTATCTAGATGTTCTAATCCTACTAACTCCTGAAATATTTGATTTGGATATTACTTTTCATCGCGTAAAAAATTGATCCTGATTTTACTCAATATTGACGTATTAATTTCAATTATTGAATATCTTGTTATTTTTCTTTTCTTTCACTCTCTCGGCAGATGATGTGGGCCGCTGATTTTGATGAATCTGTGGCCTCTGATTTGGAGGAGATTTGCCCGGAACCATTGGTTGTACAGCTTCCCAGAGAATCTGGTTCAGTATCAGGAATGGAGATGGGAGAAGAGGTCATTGAGAATAATCACAGTAGTTCAAAGGGTGCTATACAATCAAAACGTGGAAATGTAGAACAATCCAGTTCTGACAACAATGGAATGAAATCAGCATCAACCCATACCCATCCCTTTTGTGGCTTGACAAGGAATTTCTGGTCAAAAAATGATCACATGCAGATCTGCACTGTAGTTTCATCAACAAGGAATGGTGATGATGAATTACCTGTGTTTTGTGTAGCGGCGATTCTTATCATCAACCGTCAAAAAATCATTAGAGAAACCCATTCGATCGATGATCTGATAAAGGCAGGTGTATTATACTGAGTTTTGAGCTTTTCACATAAACTGTCACAGTGGTTCATATAAATGTATAGTAATTTTTGTCCTCATTCTTGGCTGATAATCATTTGCTAATTTGTGCTTTTGCGTAGTTTAGAACATTGATAGTCCAGGGTCCAAAAAGTTGATTTGAAAGTTTTAATATGATTCATTCTAATTGTTTGTTACGAGAATTTTGGACAGTAGTTTGTTTAACAAAAATGCATCTGGCATGATCATAACTCATGCTTCATGGATTTTCTTGTTTACTGATCAGTTTATTCAGTAGAACATAGACTGCATGCCATGTCTCATAGTTAGATGTAACAAGGTTAGGATAAAATTTTCACATTTAACTATATAATGGTTACAGGGTTAGGATAAAATTTCTGTGCAAATTTTGGCCTATCACTTCCAGTTAAGTGGTTATTTAGATGAATATTTATCCATAAACTACTTGGTCTGAAAGCATTCTACTTAAATGCATTCGTTTGTCTAGAGTTCTTGATCAAGAACTATTATATTGGAAATCAAGATTGAGGAGTTTTTTCATTTTGATGAAAGATTTGCTCATGAACTTTTCTGGACATCATTTTTTAATGCATTCTTTTTTGCTATAGCTCATTATTAAGGTTATGTTTCTTGTATTTTTTTGGCATTAAAGTCTATGCAAAAATCACGTGCTTTGACTTGACTGAAACCAACATGGAGTTAGGCTGTACCAGGTTTATAGATGCACATAGTTACAAGTACCCAGAGGCAGCACTTTTTGCCATTATTTTTGTGTGCCACTGTGTGTCCAAGCTTTGTTCATCGGCATGGTTTTTTTTTTTTTTTTTTTTTTACATTTTCTGTTTTCTTCATGAGATAAACCTTTAATGTTTCAGCGCTTTAATGCTCTTCTGATTTTAGAGTTTTATATTTATCTAATTTTTTCTGTTGGTAAAGCTCATGTGACAATTTTCATGGCTTCAATATGCATTTATGCTCTCTCTTTTTCTCTCCCTTAAAACAGGAATGAATTTTTATGTGTTCAAATTTTTGTGGGGTGTGGTTCCTTTTGTGAATAGTTCTGAGTAGTCATTAATGTTCATTATGTTTGCAGATATTTAATGATAGAATGCTCAAGATCAAGGTTAAGAGATGCATACGCAATGCCATTAAACTTCGGAAGAAGTACTTCTACAAGGTCTGGAACATTTTATTGCTTTACCTTTCATTTCTTAACCTGCTTTTGTTGTAATTTCAGTACCTTTGCTTTGTCTTCTTGCATGATGTTTCTTACATTTTCACTGAAAACAGTAATAGTTTATACCCTTTCTGAAAATCCTGTCTGTTGGAACCAGCTGATCAAGAGCAGGAGCCCAGCAGCTCAGAACGGTGTCTAGGGTTGTTCTGTTTACCATATATACCTAAAGCTCAGGAATGGCACTTTGAGTTGAGGCAATAATCTGAGTTTCAAGATAGAGTATGGCGTTACAAAATTTGATATTAAATCTTCTATGTAAGAGGAGTTTACAGCAGACTGCTGCTGCCGTTTGTACCTCAAAATATCCTCCACTACTAAGGCAAGGTAATTTTTGCCTAGTTCTTCTTTCCTTTAAAATCACAACGAGATAACCTGACACAAGTGTTTGGTCTACATTTAGCAAATTTGACATTGGGCTGACATGGAATTAATTCTATCTCCTTTTTTTTTTTTTTTTTTTTTTTTTTTTTTTTTTTTTTTTTTTTTGTGTTTGGTAAGTTACAGAATTGGCTCTCCCTGTTATATGGTTTATACTGAAATAACTAATACATATATTCTGGTTTGAATTCCATGTAAAATTATGTTAAGTAACATGGATCAAGCTCAAGTAAAGAAGCGTTGATTTTTCTGTCTAAGCTGGTGTTGCCAGACTGGTTTTGTATTTGGCTAGATCTCACAATGCCTAACACATAGCAATGGCATAACTATTATCAATGCCTTATAGGTTTTAATTGCATCTAGACTTAAAGCAGCATTCTAAACTAAATTTCTGCATTTATGAGACAGTTCCCTACCATGGGTTTAGGCATTGGTGTTAGCCAATCTTACGGAACATGGGATTTTGATCAGTGTAGGATGAGTCTGGTTCTCCGCCATCATTTTGGCTGCTGGGTCAACTGTGAGCTTTGTGATATAAATTTTATATCAATATTATCAAAGTTGACAAAAATAAAAAAATAACTTTTTATTAGCATATGTTAAACTTCATTATTATTATATTCTGAATAAATTTAAATAAAAGGAAATAGTCTGACTAAATTTATGATATTCTGGTAATTTTATGAGCAGACTCACATACAGCTGTGTTCTCTCTAAATTCTGGGGAGTTTTTGTGTGCAACCTGACATTGAGATACTCAAACCAGTTATCTATCCTCCATGAAAAGTTAAAGAAAGGAATATGGTTCTTATTTTAAAATCCTTTTATCAGATCGTCTTTAGAATCTGTTCCAACTTCCAGTTGTTTGCCCTAGTTTGAACAGGTCGCACTCCTGCCCATGACAAATTTGTAAAGCATTTGTGGTATTAATATTTAAATGCTGACTCAGTATTTCTTATGAATAATTCTTCTCAAAGTAGAAAGTATTTTTTTAAGAACCCGTTTTAATATATGCAAAAGGAATAGTCTTTTGTTGTTTCTCTTGAATAAAAATAGAATATGTACTTATCAAAAGGGAAAAAGTTCAAATTAAAAAAAGAAAGAAGAATCTTGGTGTGCCTAGGGGGCTTAAGCATGGAAACCACGGTTGCACATCCTTCAATTTGCATCTCTTTGGACCTGTGGATTCAACTAAGGTTTACTTGTTCTTATATGAATTGCAGCTAGACTTTATCATCATATTATTTTTGGCTTAAAATTGTACGCAAAGAATATCTCCTTGTGAAGAAAAAGTTAAGAATAGTTAATATGCTTTATCAGCAATTGCACTTGATTTTTGTATAACCCTTTAAACATACTGCTGCATGTACTTGGGGGGTACTCGGACATTCCACAGAATTGACTTCATTTAACTGGGTTTCCTGTGGATTTTACACTTGCATTTTCTGTAGGATTTAGATTAGGACACTGCTTACCTATGAAACTCTGCGATTGGTTTTAAAATTCCATAAACATGACAGGATTCACATTTATTTGGTATCATACTTTTGGTATATAGTAATTGAATTTTGAAGGACCTCATAAATTATGCAATTGTTTGCATTGTTCTTTCTTCCTTTCATTCACTCACTCATTCGTTGTTCCTTCTTTCCTAATTCTTCTTCTTTGTCTTTGTTTTTCTTAAATGCCAGTGAAAGAAGTGAAAAGTGGAACGTTTGCTTTGCTTCACTCAGCTCTGATCATGGATGCTTCTTGCAGGTTAGCGGAACACGAAATTTCTCTATCAAGTTATATATTTGGAGAGTTAATCATGTATCAACAATTTTGATTGCTTATGTGCAAAGTGATTCTTCAGAAGAAAAAAAGCAAAAAAAAAAAATCAGAGTCAATGGATAGAAGGTTTTTGGTTTGAACTTCTGATAACAAAAGTCATAGTATAAGAACTTGTTTATAGTCTTATTTTTAGAGAAATATATTTTTCATTCATGCCCTTATTTATAGTTTCATGTTCCTCCCTCTCGAAACAGAAAACACTTACTATCCAAATGAAGATATTGCTCCCCACCTTACCCCAACAAAGCAGTTTTATCCAAATAGCCATTTTGCCTCTTCTCCTTAAAAAAGCTTCATATAGCACATTGAATCCCTTTACTTAATGTTGGGATTATTCTTATTTGTAAAACGGCAGTTCCGGCGTATCTCTCCATTGTTCCCTGTCAAAACTTTAAGACCTCCCATCCGGTTTATTGATAAAGCAAATGCCTTGCGGAAGTCTTCTAAACTGACATTGAATTCCTGGGTTAATTGATTTGTGTCATCTCCATACAGTAGCTGCTGATCAACTCCAAGAACGGATTCATTATTTTGTACCACAGAGTAGTAGCTATTGCTGAACTTGTAGTTGGGGTTTCTTGGGTTAAGAAGGACGAGTGGGTCATGTTGGCCTTGCTTCACTTTGGGTGGGCACTGCTTTCTCATTTCATCTAAGAAGGATTTCTTCATGCTGGGGTCTGGTTTTCCAGTATTGTTGAAATTGTACAGACGGTCTAAGATGTAGCGACAATGTGTTCTGCCCATTGTGTGTGCTCCTGAAGCACACAAAAAATATTTATTTTTCTTTAGAAATGCTATAGGAAATAAGCATTACTACAGAGGGGAAAGGAAAAGGACAAGTATATTAAATAATTTATTTTTGTCAACGATGACTGGCGAACTTAAGTAACCAAAAGGGTGATTCATTTCGGGAAAGTTGGAGGAAGGGAGAAAAGAGAAGGAAAATAGGAGGTGAGGTGTGTATTTTCTTTTTCTCAGTTATTAATAGTTGTCTTTTGAGGTGAGTAAAATTTAAACTGGTGAATTTAGGCAGTACCTAGTTGAATTTTAAAGTTTTTTTTTAGCTTTCAATTGGTTTTGGATTTTGGGTACTTTTAAACACTTACTTGATACGGAGTAAAATTTAGCATAAAGTCAATATTTTGGGGTCCAACTACATGTCAAACTTTTGACCTTCTCACCTCCAACCTGGATGAAAGCTGGAATTCTATTTCAAGTCTCTGATCAGACTACTAAGAGACAGGCTTAACCACTTAGGTTAGCTGAAACCTTTAGACAATGTTATGGCATCTCAAGTCATGGAACGTAAATTTAAGTTGTGATTCTGCTCAAATGTCTCATTTTGGATGAAGATTTGGGATTCAGAGGAATTGGATGCTTACCTAAGAGTGTAGCCATGTCCTGTACATCTAATTTTTTGGAGTTGAAGTATGCCAGTGCTGATTCCCAAGAAATGGAGGATGATGGGAGGTCCACTGCCGCTGAATTTGACTCGAATCCATCTCTTCTTCCTAATAAAACAGGATACGATGGTGCTCCTGCCTGTAAGTTTCATCTGAATGTGTCACTTACTAATGCTAGAAATGCAATATGTTTATCGAAGTGTTCGACTGTAGGGAAAGGAAAGGAAAGGAAAAGGAAAAATGTTTTGCGTTTGATTGACAAGAAAGTAAAGAAAGAAAGGAAAACAAAACCCATTTTGTTTCCAGCTTTCTGTGTTTTGATTGTGATAGTGAATGCTTATTATTAACATAGGAGAGAGGTGGAGGCATTACAAAAAAAAGGGCGTCCCTGGTGGCGAGGTTGAGAATGTCAGCACAGGAGACAACTCCCTTGCACTCCGTCCGATTTTCTAGGACGGTCTTGATTTTGTCAATGACAACAAATCCTCCTAGCCCTGAATTTTGCGGTGCAGTTTTCTCCGAATGTGGCCCGTCAAGGAGGATGGATGCTTCACAACCCTATATCACATAAGTTGAAATTAGCAAGTAAAAATATTAGAGATGCTTATTATATATGATATGATATGGTTATAAGAAATCTAGCTAAAAAGAAAGAAAAGCTCTGAATATATATATATATATATATAGTTGAATTGAGGAGCACAAGGGAGGAGGAAACAACATACATTGGGCATGCAATCTGAGTAGAGTAACCGAAGCAGCTTTGGCGTAATGGTCTGGTCTTTGTCCCAGAGCAATTTCACTTGGTGGCGGACGAATGCCTCTACGCTGCTGCACGTGTTATGTTTCTTGTAATAGTGGCGGACAAGAGGACGGTCCTCCGGCGGTAGGGACACCGCAGCCTGTACACAACGTATACACAAGCAGCTCATTAGCACAAGAAGAGCTAGCAGAGGGTGGAGCAAACACCTTTCTTTCCTCATCTTCAATAAAAACACATAAACCAACCTCCTCTATATGATGCACTAATAAGAGCTTGCTTATATGATGTTGTTGTGTATGGGATTGGGTGGTGAAAGGTACAGCAGTAGTAATTGTGACTACTGCCTTCGGATACACAGCTATTTATAGACTTGGAACATCGCAGCAATCCACGTAGTACTCACCGACAATGCCAAGTTGGAAATTATAAAATTAATATTTTTTTAGTTGGTTTTTTGTTTTAAAAGTTTTTAGTCCGAATGTGACGGCACGTGTGTAGGATTTTTCAGGGTGGTGTTCACATGCACCGAGGCCTTAAACATTCTTGTACGCCATCTAACGCAAAGCGTCCATGACAAGATACGCGTACCCGTCTGATTCTCCATTGCTACGTTTTAGCATCACCACGTCAATCCTTGAAACCTTTGACTTTGAATAGAGTTAGAGACCAACATATTGAAAATCCGGATGTGGTATAAATTCAGTGAGCTTTAGCTCACCGGATCATCACTCAGCATGGAAAGTTGGAAAGTGATTATTTTTGGGGAAGAGTTAGCGTTGCCACCCCGGCGTCATATTTTAGTTACCGGGGAGCCAAGTTTTGATAGATCCATAGTTATGCAATTGTATGTATGTGTATATATATATATACACAATATGGAGATAGGACTCTCTATAGGGGAGCTGAACGAGCCTCTCCTTTTGAGTGAGGTCCATTTGAATGCAATCGCGTCGTTCAACTTCCATGTACTTAATAATTGATAAGTTAATCCGATGAAGGTTAGGAAAAAATAAGAATATTTAATAATACGACAATACATCATTTGTTGGATGAGGCAAGTTCAACAGAGTCCCTATAAACTCTTGCGAAAAAAAAAAAAAAAAAAACCGAATGTGCGGTGATTAGATTAGATGGATTGTTGTTACTCATAAACCAATTTCATGCTATTATCAAATTGATATGTGCCTTTGAATAATTGTTTTGAGATGTAAAACCAATTCACACTAGGTTTTGCATTCCAACAAGAAACACAAAGGTACATTTGCATTTTTGGAGGTGGGCAATAGTGCAGAGCTAGGTTAGGTGTTTGGTGTAAAACTAATCATCAAATAGTATTATAAATTTTCATACTGATATAAATCAAATGAATTGAAGAAAATTGAACAACTTATAGACGAGGAGAAGAAACTATTGTGCAATTTGAATGTGATGAAATCTCTCTTTTACGAATTCAAAATTAGATACACAAAAATTGGAGGCAGAAAATGAAATAGTTTAATCTAAAAAAAAGTATTACTCATACATGAGAGCCATTTTTTCACATTAAATCACTTTATTTTTTATAAAATATATATATATACATACCCGCTTTTTCTTAATATTAGTTTAAGAAAGTTTGACAGGTGGTAGTTTAGGAACTTGATATACATCATACACTTAACATGGTACATGACCATTCGAAATGGGAATAATTAAAATAAAATGATTATAAATGACTTTTGGGTGGCTTGAAACTTCGTTAGATCTTTGTTGATCCAAGACAGTTTTATTTATTTATTATACATATGCACGTATGTGTGTGTGTATATATGTGTGTGTGTGTGTAATTGGTAATAAGAAGCAAGAGGTAGGTCGTGGCCCAGTTGCAGTGACAGTACAACTGTAAAGAAATTAGTTAGGCATAATTAATTGAGAAGTTAAGTTAAATAAAAACAGAAATTAGTAATTGAAGCAATGGGTCGGCACAGGTTCTGATGTGACCTCCCTCCATGTCTCATCATCATCTCAAAATTATCATCCCCTCCTAATAATAAATGTTTAAGGATGGATTTATGTTAGATTCTTTGTAGTTTATCAATCAAAAACATACTCTCATCTAATAATAATCACCTTTAGACTTGCCTATTTAATATTACCAATTAAAACAATGACAAATTACTTACAAAAACTCCCTTAAATTACATTTAATACGAGTATAGTTTAAGGGAGTTTCTGTAATTTTTTACTGCAGTTTGAAGATCTATGATGCTGTGTTCAATATTACAAGGAAAATGATAGAAGAATTTGATGACGCTATTAACTTGACGTGCAAAATACACTTGGAAGAATGTCGCTCTTTTGCTACTAGAAAGATTTTTCCACTTTTATCATTAATTAATTGTATCGTGTCACACAAATAAAAGTACTTTATTTTTACTTATAAAAAAAGAAGAAGTAAAAGTACTTTATTTTTGTAGGGTCTATTATTACGTGTCACTATTTAATAAATTAGTGATATAATATCTATCACTACAATCACTACAGTCACAACTAACTTTTCTCATTCAATTTTCTTTCACGAGCCCTAAACTTTTCTCATTCAATTTTCTTACACGAGCCCTAAATCTAGTTAATTAATATCACAATGAATAGGAGTGGTTACATGAACGAGAATTCTTTACCTGAATAGTCAAATTTTTTTCTCGTTCAAATATATATATATATATATCTATATATTTCTTTTACCTTGGGCCAAACTATTGGGTTTTATTTGATATTGGTTTTGGGCTGGCTTCTACTTCTGAGAAGGGCTAATGGGCCTTTTCTAACAAAAACCTATATTAAATTGGGCTATATCTGTTTTGGTAAAAATGGGCTGGACTAAATTTTATAAAATATTTTAATCTTAAATGGGCCTGATTCTTATACTGCATACACATATTAATGTGGATGGTTTTATTATTGAGCCTTGTTCAGGGACGTGACCGTTAAGGGTGTGTTTGGATAGACATGGAAAAAAAGAAAAAAAAAAGAATAGTATTAGTCATGAAAGAAAAGAACAGAAAAGAAAGGATAGTAGTAATTTATATTAGTGTTTGGATAGATAGGGGAGAAAAGAAAAGAAATGATAGTTATTCTTGTTTGGATAAGATAGAGGAGAGAAAAGAAAAGAAAGGATAGTAAACAAATTACTTTTTTACCCTTTCATAATCATGGGACTTGAATAGAATAATATATCTGTATATTAATTTGTGGAGACTAATTTTAGTATTATCAAAATACTACTTAAAATCACTATGCTTTCTCTCCCTATCTCTCCCTATCTTCTCAAAATTGAAGAGAAAACAAATAAGAGATAAGGAGGGATAGCTATTCCTTCCTATCTCTCTTTATCTCTCTACTTAACTTACCCAAACACAAACTTACACTATCCTCTCTTTTCTGTTCTCTCCCTATCCCTCCAAATCAACCCTACTAAGGAATTCAGTAACAACGTTTGGAATTTTAAAGTTTATTCCGTTTATTGAATGAACTTGAAAATTGCATTTGGGCTCAGTTTGTTCATTGAATAAATGAACGCTGATTGAAGTTGTTCTTAGTGAGATCAATTTATTTACAATCCTAATTATGACTGCAGCACTCAATAGTCCAATAAATTAGAGGTAGTAATAAATTTGAACCATAAGGGATTGGCTTCATTGGTCATGGAGTATTGAATTTCAGGTTTGAATCTTTTCGAGTGCAATTAATTCTTTAGGAGCTCGGACTGTAGATATAATTCGAGTTTTACTTGATTTTTGTGGAGAGTCACTTTACTCGGGAGGTGCAATTAATTCTTTAGAAGTTAAGACTGTGGACATAATCCGAATTTTGCTTGTTCTTGTGAAAGAGTCATTTTACTAGAACCCCGTGAATTAGTTAGGACGAAACCCCCAAAAAAAATAATAATAATAATAAAAAAAGAAAAAAAAAAAGAAAATTTCATTATACGTACATTCCGAATTCGAATGAACAAGGGACTCGATGATAAAATCATCTCAACTTGGGCTTTTCACATTGATTGGTATTCTATTTCATGATGTGTATGATGATATATTTTTGTTCAACTTTGGCATTTAATAGATTAGAAATTATTTGGGAGATCTACATTCAATGAACCAAGACCACCAAGGGGTTTTGCAAATATCGTTTTTACTTACTTTTAAATATATATATAAAAGAAAAGTCTCTCCTTTTACATGTGGATAAAATCTGGTATACATATTTTATGCAAAAAACATTAAACTCTCTAAAATCTCCTCAAGACGCCAATTACGTCATATGATTTGCCACTCGATTTAATAAATTAAAAAAAATCCAATTAAACCACTTGGATTTTGTGTGTGTATTTAATATTATAAACCGTTGAGGTCACATTCAATTAACAAATTAAAGTTGTGCCCGTCATCATCACAAAATGGTCTATCTTATTATACGTTCAAAAAATAGAATAAATTATGAGGTACCATTAAATTACGCTTTTAATTCCCCTTGTATGACACTAGTCCCAATGACTTGAAAATCGAAAGGCATGGCCAATTATAATTTTGATTCTAATTAAGGGTTGATATCTAAGTCATATAAAATTAGAACATGAAAACAGCATAATTAAGTTATGAGTAGTGAAAATTTAAATAAAAGCACGTGTAGAATGAGAGACACCTGTTGAGAAGAATTGTGTGACTTAAAGTTATACAGTAATACTAGTAATTACTACATTAGTTTTTAGACTGGGCTCGATTATTATTTTGGAGGCTCTACAACGGCTTAGTTGGATAAAAATTAAATTCTTGTTCCTCTTGTTATGAATTTTAGAAGTTCGTATTCGCTTAACTTGTTTAATTAATAAAACAAGTCAAATTCAATCTCATGTTCGTATTGAGGCTGCTTGTGTTAATCAACAAACATCTTAGCTTACTTACCAAGTTTGCATATTAGTCACACGTAGAACCATATGAATGTCCACACAATTTAATAACAATGAGACCATGTTCATGAACATAAATAAGTCTACACAAATATATATGAGTCGAGTTCAATATTATTATGAATTGGCTCAACAAGTTTAGAAATTAGTTAAAATTCAACTCCTTGATTAACAAATGGTTTCGACTAAATTGAGATTTAAATGAACTAAACTTGAACCGTTAATAAATAACTTAGTTTAACCGTAACACACACAGTTTGTGTTTTCATTTTCAATGAAGAGGGCTACGTTGAAAGCAAAAATATAGTTGCAGGCAACTTTTTATAGTATGATGTAATATGTATAACAAAATAAAGATACTCCAAATGAAAGCATTAAAAACATTAAATTGCAATTTAAGTAAAAAATGTTAATGAAGAAAGAGTTTGTTTTAATAAATGAGCTTGGTCATTGGTGACATCACATGTTATTGATGGACTACAATTTTTTTGGAGGACCTTTACCTAGTCAAACTAATCCACGGTTGGGACTGTGTTTTGTTTCATTGGTTTTGGCCAAAAATAAAGGTCCAACCTGTTAATATAGTACAATAAAATTAAGTGTGAAAATTAAATATTGTCTAACTTTTACTTTTAAACATGTATTTTAAATTTTAAATTTTACTTTTGAACACTTATTTTAAATCTATTAAGCCACATTATGAAGTTCATCCAATCTGAATTAAACCCAAATATTATTTAAAATATAAAGCTTCAAATTTCAGATGTTTGTTTGAATTTGTGTTTTATGATTAATAATTTGTTAAACTCATCGTGATTTTAGGAATTAATGGTTACTTTGACTAGGGATGATGCATTAGTTGAGATGAGTTTCAGGTCATCTATTATGAGACCCATCTTATTTCAAAAAGATTAAAAAAAAAGGTCATAATAATTTTGATGTGATTTTATAATGGAAAATTCAGCTATTGACTTTGTATTTTAAAAAGTCATAAAATATCACTAAATTACAAAATCGTTAAACCCACTTAAAACTTACCCGCACTAAGATGAGAGTCACCAGCTCCATAAATATGTCACCACCTGATTCAAAATGCCACCCAAAACTGCCTGCAACCACTACACCAAATTAGCAATTTTATGGATCTCACATAGATATATAAAGTACTAGTATATAATTATTTATATATTCGTACACATTGAACCTAAACAACAAGCAGTAAGTTCCTCCAAAGAGTTCCATTTGTTGTACCTTTTAGAATATGCTTTTTTTTGGGTAATTTGTTTTTTTGAGTATGCTTTAGTTGACAAAAGGCGGCCAAAAAAGAGGAGCTTCAGTGAATTGTTTTTGTTATATATATATATATATAAAGTTGTTGGTAATGGAATGGTGTATTGACTGCCCCGCTCTACACGTATTCAACACCGAAGAAACGACTAAATACAGCAGTCGCCATGACCAAAAGGTTGGTTAACTTGACCCAGAAAACTTTTTTGTTGTTGTTTATTGACTTCGTTGATATAGCTAGAGAGAGAGAGAGAAAGTTAAAAACAGATGCATTTATGTATCACAATCCTATCAGTGATTAGAAATGAATTGAACAAATAACAAGTTTAGCAGTGATCATGATATACGCGTATTTGAGAAGTGGATTAAGTTGCCTAGAAATTATATATATAAGTGTTTCTCTCTCTAGCCTTTTATAGAATTTGATTATTTGACACGCGCGGCTGCCAAGTGTATATATATATATATATATATAATGTTGGAATCTTCATCGTGTTTGAGTGTTCAAAGCTATGTATATGATGCATCATAATCAACCAATATACAAGTCAAACACTCCAACAGAAATTACACCCATGCTCATTTTATTTCAAATTCCTCAACTTTTATACACACAAGACCCATATATAAGTTGAGGGTTTGAAATGGGTCTTGTGTGTATAAAAGTTGAGGAATTTGAAATAAAATGAGCATGGGTGTAATTTCTGTTGGAGTGTTTGACTTGTATATTGGTTGATTATGATGCATCATATACATAGCTTTGAACACTCAAACACGATGAAGATTCCAACATTCTAGATCATCACATACGCACCACATGATCTCTCAATTCCTTCCTACCTAGTACATATATAGAGAGAGAGAAGAAGCTTCATATATATATATATATATATATATATATATATAATGCGGAAAAGGGTAGACTAATTGATGTGATATATAGATGATGATGTGGGGTTTGTTTCTCAAAATAAAGCACGCTATAGAATATAAAGAAGAAGGGTTGAGTTTGAGGAGCTGGTAGATTCTGAACGTGGGCTGCGTTTTTAATTTATGGTTTGAAATAACACACAAACTTGCATAGCTATTAGGTAGAGTTTGAAGGAAGTTGATGGATTTATGGGAGCAACGGATCATTCAATATATTTCAGCAACAAGCAATCAACCCCTCTCTTAATTGCCCTGCAATTCCAACTCTTCCATCAACTCTCTTTATCTCCTCCTTCTCCTTCTCCTTCTCCTTCTGGTGAGTTAAATAGTTCATTAATCATCTATATCTATATATATTTTTTTACATTTTAATTTATACTCTATGCTCATTCTTTCTCCTTTCTTTTCCCTCCATCTATAATTAATATATTTCAACCCCTTTTAATTTCTGCTACTCTATATCAAAACACTAGCTTTCATTTATAAACTCTATAATAAATTTCTCCATCTCTCTCTCTCAATTTTTTTGGATTATACAGAACTGAAGGAAAAAGTCTCCAAAAAACACATGATTCATTTCTGCTAACTAAAGTGCCTTTATTAATTCATTCATTTGCTTATACCTAAGATGTTCTTTAATTACTTTACTCGCAATAAGAGTCATACTTCACGAAATTAGGCTGCTTTTACGAAAAGTTGCTCCATTTATTCATCTCTTTCAAAGCTAATATTAAACCTTTTTACTCAATTCACACTGAACCCGGCCACATGCTTTTTGGGTGCCTTTCTTTATCCACTATATATATATATATATATATATATACTTCCTTAGTTTACAATCCTAAGTCATCATATAAGAACCTCCCTCCTCTCTCGCTCTCTCTCTCTCACACACACACACACACAGGTTTGACGTGGCTTACCTTACCTTTGGGTAATGCATTTGTTAGAAAAGCATCACCCTAAATTTGGTCACTTCCTTCGTATACTTACTTTTGGTCACTTTTACCCCCAAGTTCATCATATACTTGCATAATTACTACTATTGTCTTACAAATTTTATTCATTTTTTAAAAAAATATTTTACAGGTTCAAGATGATGGGCTCTTCTTATAACACCACAAAATTGACACTGTCCCTATGTCTGATGTTGGTGATTTTGACCTTAAACTACACTGAAATGGTTGGAGGACTAACCCAGCTGTCTTCTACTACTTCTGGACCTGCAGGTGAGATATATGATTCTTTTTCATTTTCTTTTCTCTTTAGTGTTTTTCTTGGGCTCTCTTCATTGATCTGAGCTCGGCCCAAACAAAACTTGACTTGGGTCAGCTATAGCCTATACAACAAAACGCTTCATGCTTCAACTGCATATTTCATCAAGACCTGTAGTGCAAATATAATAATATTCAGTGACCTGTGCTGCTTAAATGTATCTGTGAATTTGATTAATCTAACCCATCCATCATCTATTATGGTTAACCTAATAACTGTGTGCTTTTTATTTTTATTTTTTTATACCGGACTCAGATCCTCTTCAGCACTGGAGAGGGTCCTTTACTCCAAAAGTGGAGGTTACATTATCAAGTATGAGATCATAGGTCGATCCAATATTCACCCTTAATGGAATACAAGACACTCTCCGGCACTAAAGAGTATCCTTACTCTTTTATACCATATTTCACCTTATTTTTGATACATGAAACTTGTGCAAATTAAATTTGCGAGTCTATGTTAATTTAGTTAGTAAAGCATATTGATTTTCTGGTTATTCAGGAAGAAAGTTGCTTCAGACACAAAACGTCTCAGAACCTGCGAGAGAATCAGATGATACTGTAAGGGTAGATCCTTTAGATAATCTCAAGAAATACAGAGGAGGATATGATATCAGAAAAAAGCATTATTGGAGTGTAAGTTTCTCTCTCATTTTTATTGGAGTGCAAAGTCTATCTCTCTCTCTCTCTCGAAATTGATTTTTGCCTACACTATATTGTGCAGTCAACTATATTTACAGGTATATATGGATATGCCATTGGAGTGTTTTGGCTTCTGTGTGGTTTGGCTTATGGAGGATTTCTACTGGCAACTACTACTTGTTGTAATAGTAACAATAGAAAGCTGCAGAAGAAGAAGAAAGGATCACATTGTCACAACAAGTACTGTTATCTCTGGTGGCCTATTATTCTAGCAACACTCTTCACTATTCTAGCAATGTAAACATTTGCTACTCCCTATCTTTCATATATAATAATAGTATAATTAATAAATGCACACACAATCACACATATGTAATGTTGAATGCAAAGTTAGTGACCCTAATTGTCAAATTGCAGAACTGCATCTGGTTTAGTTCTTGGGGGAACAGTGAAATTCCATTCAAGAGCAAAGACAGTGGTGGACATTATTATTGATACGGCAAATGAGGCAACCAAAACCATATATAACACAACTGGAGCAATGAAAGACATTAGTACTAACTTACAAGGAACTAATTCTTCAGATCCCGAGGCTTCTACCTTCCTTAACACCACATCTCAACAGCTTGACTCTACAGCTGCAGATATACATAGACAAGCCAGAAAGAATAGGCGTTTAATCGACACGCTTCTAAAGATAATGTAAACTCTATCTCTCTCTCTTTTTCACACGCACACAAAGTTCAAACACATTGCATAGCCATAAATAACAATATATATCTTTTCCTACTTGCAGGTATATAGTAACTATGGTGGTTATTTCCTTGACCCTGACTGCTGTGATAGCCCTATCAGGTGTGTGTGCATCTTATTACGGTTTCCTATATTTTAAATTACAATGCAATCCTAATGAAGGTGAAAATTTTCTCACTGCAGCCTTTGGAATCCTCAAGTTACGACGGCCACTTCACCTGTAAGTAAACCGAACCATTTGATCTATATTCAGATACAAAGTGACTTATTTTACTCGTAGAACCTGTTTGGTTTCTAGGTAAAATTAATAGAGATACAGAAGTTACTAATGTAGTCTTTTCTGTTTTTAATCTCATACAGGTTGTTAATATTGTGCTGGCTACTCACAGTCTTCTGCTGGTTGTTTTTTGGGATGTATTTCTTCATAGAAAAGTAAATCTAAAACTCTTTCCCTTCCCTTCTCTCAACTGTTTCATTCATTCTTTCTCAAGACATTTCTAGGAAAAGAAGAAGAAGAAGGAAATGAGAGTATAAACAACTAAAAAGGAATTGGCAATTTTCAGGTTCGCAGGAGATACCTGCACGGCACTCGAAGACTTCCAACAAGATCCCTATAACAGCAGTTTGAGCTCAATCCTCCCTTGCGACGAGTTGCTTTCAGCAAAACCAGTCCTGTCTGATGTCAGTGCCGGAGTTTATGATCTCGTGAATAAGGTAAAATGTACTAATTAACTCTACTAGTCATAATAACAAAACTAGATAATTCAATAATCTTGAGTGGAGATGAACATATTATTTTATGACTTCTTGGTGCTGCTTAGAATTCAATGTTCCAAGGAGGAAAAGTATGAAACTGAATGTTAAAATTAACACAGATGAGCTACAACTTAGCCTAATAATATGTTAGAGATTGTCACAGTGTTAGCTTACATTAGCATGCAAAACCATGGACAAGGTCTGAAATGGTTGAACTAATAATAATTGCATATGCAAAATTTGAAATGAAGCAGGACAGAGAAAGAAGCCGCCAATGTTAATTAGTTCAGCCATTCTGTAAGCCTTCCAACATAGGGAGTCTTAACAATCTCTAACAGTCAGTTACATCTTTAACAGGTTCAACATGCATACCTTCAATAAAAAGAACAAATTACTTTGATATAATATCATTTCTTACGACAACATTACGTGCCGGAAAAAAAAAAAAAATTAATAATAATAATAATAAAATCATATATATTAGCTATTCCAATTTTACATCTGCTTAATCATGGATGGTTTACTTTAGAAGACTGACTGACTTCTACCACAAAAAAAAAATTGCAGGTGAACGCAAACATAACAGAAATACAGGGAACATCATATATTCAGGTCTGCAATCCTTTCTCAGGCCCACCGCAGTATCAGTACCAGCCAGACAACTGCCCAACAAATGCAATTCCGATAGGAGATATTCCTCAGGTATGCGAAAGTAAAATAGGGTCATTTAAGACAATAATTTTGAACAAATCACACAAGCACGTACGTATGTTTTCCTGCAGGAATTCAAAGGTTTTTGGCAATATTACTAGTAATTTCTGGATAAGAAACGGATTCTTAATTGACCATATTATTGGACTAAATTTATATTAACATTTCTTTTCCCCTTTCTGAAGGTTCTGAGACTGTTTACTTGTTCTGATGATGCCAATAATGGAACTTGCAATGGAGGAGTATACATGTCATCTACAGATTTCAGAACAATAGAGGCCTATTCAAGTTCCATTCAGGACCTGCTAAATGCCTATCCTGGTATGGAAAGTCTGGTCGAGTGTCAGACTGTAAAGGATGCATTTACTGAAATCCTTCACAAACACTGCAAACCATTAAAGAAAAATGCACATATGGTGTGGGCATCACTGGTGTTTCTCTCCACCGTAATGGTGGCTTTGGTTATGATATGGATAACTGAAGCTCATCATGAAAGAAAATACCATTTTTCAGATGGGTCCGTGAAACCACATTCTGTGGCAGCAAATACTCTGGAATCTGGAACAGCTAAAGCACTCGACAATGATTCCAATCCTAATTCAGTCCTGTAAACAATAATCCACTTCCAAGACCAAGTCTGGTTTACAAATGCACGAGCAGGAATTAAGAACTCTGGCACAAGATCAAGATAGAGACTTCATAAAGCAAGAAATACACAACAGAAATGAAGAAGAGTAGTACAAAGGTTCATTTTGATTACATATTTGGACCGGATTACATATTCTTTTGTACATTAGAAGAGTAGGAATACACAGTTTCATTGGGTTCAGTAGAAAATTAGAATTGGGGACAAACCCCTCAATGGTATACAAGAAAATTTGTTAAACAATAATACATCACATTTTGATCCAACTTATCATCAGTGATGTGTTGAATTGTAGAATAGCTCAATACATTATCTATTTTAGTAAAGTCCGGATGAAGATATCCTAATTATCTACGTATATCCCCTTGATAGTGTTACTGTAGTAAGTTATGTGCTAGCTTTGCCAGTAAAGTCCATTGGGATTGCAGCAAAAACCAGATTCAATTCTGTCTGAAGCAACGATACAATCAGCCAAAATTTGTATAGGTTAACTAACTGTATCTTGTCAATAAAAACATTCCAAGCACTTTGTTGGTGGATTTTCTAGCTATAATCAAATCAAGGTTGCAGAAGATAAATCCATGAACATATTATTGTAAACCCCATTACTGTATCACACGTGCAAAGAGTGACAATCAATGACCACTACATTAGTTAACAAAGGAGGGTTATAAAGAAGCTGCAAAAGTAGCAAGTAAAAGCTATGTGGCTTTGTTGGGACCAAAAACATACTACACTAGAACAACTAGCCAAGCAATTCTAAGATGTCTACCGATCATATTGTGATTTTCCAAATGAAAAATTCCTCAAATCCAGGAACTGAGAAACAAAAAGGTGAAAACCAGCCGCATAAGGCGAAAGATAAGGGCTTCAGTTCAGATCACCCTAACCCTGCAAGAAAAAAAATAAAATGTGTTAGCAGGAGCACAAAGATGCTATTAATGAAGAAAACAGACGTCAAAACCAAAATACAATCTAAGCAGACCACGCACAACCAGAATGGCACTTGAGAATTCACAAGGGCAGGAACAGACAGTAAATTACACTGACACCATTGAGGTTTGCCTTAATCACAGTGGATTTTGCCAAAAAAAAAAAAAAAATTGACTGAGGTGAGAAAAGGCATTTACCCTTCTTCCTTATATAAAAAAAAAAAACTGTATGACATGAAATGACCAAGTTAACCCAATAATAATAACCCCACTCTCTTCCATCTCTTCCCCATCTCTCTACATTCTCTCCCTCCACAACCACCAGCTCCAGGCCTCCACCACCTTTCTCTCTCTTCTCACACATCTTTTCTACTCTATAGGCTACCGCCACCACTCCTTCACCATCACCAATTTTCACTCTCCACTCCTACCATTTCCTTTACTTAATCAATTTCCTTGCTGTTACTTTGCTCGAACTCCACCACGCTTGGCTCTTACCACCCCTACGTTCCCCTTCCACATACCTATACGTACATATATATGTATATATATACACGCGTGCGCGCGCACACAAAAACAGAAACACATATATCTGTATGTACACAAACACACACACACAAATATGTATAAAACACACAAATATACTTATATATACAAAAACAGAAACACACAGACATAATATGTGTGCGTGTATATATAGATATAGATTCTAGTTTAGAATTATTTTCTTAACCCATCACTTTGAGTAGGATATGGCCATGGCACCCATGAAGATCATCCCATTAAATTATAGTGACCACACTTCCTCCCTCTAATTTCTTGATAAAACTCATGAAACAGTCTTCTGCCCAGTCATATGCCCATTATCGATTATATTCATAGTCAAAACCATCCCCTTTCTCTCCAAGTGGGTTTCTTTTTATCTCTAATTGGGTCCTCTCTTCTTGAATTAGAAAACAACTAAATCTATATATTCAAAACTCATATAGGTCTTCATGTTATATGAATAGTGGGTGGTGGCATATGAATAGGAACCTACCTCACTGAGGAAACCAGCTGAATATCAAATACTCAATAAGGAGAGGGGTAGCACTGTTAAGTTTAACTTCAATGTGGACTTATCAAAAAAAAAAAAAAAGTTTAACTTTAATGTGGAGCTCTGGCGTTCAAGAGCTTGAATGGAAACTAAACATAAAGTTTGTACTCCTTCCGATAAGAGTCCCATTTTGGGACTCCAACTTTTGAAGGGGACATGCACGTAATGCATTAAATTTGAAACAGGAAAGTGAATGCCTATTTTGGGACATCCCAAAAAGAAAGCAGTACATTTATTTTGGAATGGAAAGGAGTCAAATATAATTAGTGGGTGTGGTCAAACTCTCCTATAGCAATAGTTGCCGCCACCATGATAACGACAAGAGGGCATGTTGTGGAAAAGATGATGAATGGTCTGAAAAACCAATAGGAACTGATGTCTGTGAGAATTTGAAGTCACAACACGCTCTTTGCTTAGACTTTCAACCATGGGGCCTATATTATGTGATGATCATCATGATCATGATCTCAACTGGCTATGATGATGGAGTGGGTGTAGGCAGCGCACGTGAAATATTTTGAATACATGGGGGAGGGGGGGAGGGAGAGAAATGCATTTCATATGAATATGTTAAATGTAAACCAATATGGAAATTCATGTGAAATGTAAAGAGGGTACAATTGTTGACTAAGAAAAATGTTAATGGGACACTTTGGTGATTTTACATTGCAGTTTAAGGTTAATGACATCTTCTCAGTCAGTGAATGGGTAAATAGTAATAGGTCCTTCCTCAAGTGTTCAGGTCCTCAGGAGTCGATCCCAACTAACTAATAGGAGGGGTGTCACAATAGGTTTTGGCAAAATTTGTCATACGTGCCAAATCTTAAGGGTGTCAATGAAGGTTTTAGTGTGTGTGTAATTAAGACAAATCTCAAGAGGAATTAGTGTATTTACCCTCATGTAAAAAGTAAAAACTAAGCAACCCAATAGTTAGGGTGTTTGCAAATTTAGGAGATGCAAACTCTAATCCTAGTTCCTAAAGCAAGTCCTACTTCCAGCATTTCATGAATTGGAAATGAGCAAAGGAAACCCTAGAAATCGAATGAGAAAACATGTGGGATAGAAGCCCTAGATTATGAAAGTTTTATGATTATAAAAACAAGTAAATGTATTAAAAAATGGGAGAATTGGAATTGAGAAAGAACTTAAAAATTGGAAAAAGATGAATGACCTGGTGCGAATTGCGAATGTTAACACGGACTGGTTCGAGCTTGGAGACTCTAGTGTCCAGGGCATCGAATTTCTGCTTCAACTACAAAAAGGCAACAGAATTATATATATATATATATATATATATATATATATATATATATATATATATGCAAATGAATGTATTTAGGAGATGAGTAGTGAGAGAGAGAGAGAGGGGGAGTACACTACAGTACAGTTACATTACTTAGCTTAGGTTTGAAGCATATCGTATTAGCATACCTGGGAGGGAAGAGAGAGAATTGCGATCGGCCCAGAGATAGTTGTAGATAAATTGTGTCAATGCAGCTGCGGACGATGAGAAACCGAAGGCGAACCGCATAACACCATTCTGCTCATCATCTTTTCTTTTCTTTCCTTTTCTGTTCCAACGACATAGATTTTTTTTTTTTTTTTTTTTAACCGCAACGACATAGATTGACAGAGATAGATGATGCAAACCAACTTATCAATGAATTTCTACTACGCTGCATTTTTTAGTATGCTATGGTCCAATGTCTCCTTTTGGGGTGGGCTTTTGTTAGTCTACTCCATATGTGCAGCCCAATCTTAAAAATTACTAATTCTTTTCTTCTTCTTTTTCCCTTTTTTTTTTTTTTTTACAGGTAAATTATTAATATGGACGCCTATTTGTCTCATCATGGGCAGACTGCACCTAAACTTTCTTTCTAATAATTAGCTTAAAAATAAGAAATGAAGGGAAAAAACAATGATATCACAAAAGTAAAAACTGCGACAATCAAGTCGAACATAAGAATCAAGTCAACTCTTTTTTGGTTACTTTTTGTTCGATTATAATAATATTACTACTCACATAAACTTTTTGTCGAGACTCGAGCTTAGCCTAGATTACACTATTGTGCTTAGATGTCATTTGATAAATTAATCCTTACTCCATACTTTTTCTCTCTATCTCTCTCAAAAGACAACACCACCCTTTTTGAGGGTTTTTCCTTTGGTTTCTCCTTCCGGTGAAATCATCAGGATCTATAACAGATTTCTTGATTCGTCGAGTGGTTAGGTTCTCTTTGCTTTTCTTGTTTTTTAGTTAAGTTGGTTTTCTCAGTATGGAGGATGCTATAGCGAATCAGTTGGATTTCTGTTCTCTCTCGGCCGAGGAGGAGCAAGAGATCGTGGTTGCCGATACGGTGGCTCTAGAGGGGCTCAAACTATGTGTTCATAGTCTGGTTGGTAAACTTTTCTCTGATAAACCGGTGAAATTTTTTGGTATGAGAAAGTGGGATTGTGAGGGTCTTCAGATGTATCAAATTAAAGATTTGATGTTTCAATTTTTTATTCCTTCTGAAGAGGATAGTGAGCGGATTCTGTGCAACCGCCCTTGGAATTTTGATAGGGATTTCCTCTCCGTTCAACACTGGTATCCGTAATTCGAGTTCTATTCGGCTTCCTTTTGGCATGTTCCCTTTTGGATTCGGGTTACTAATGTTCCCTTTGATTTAACTACTGAAGTAGCGGCTTTGGAACTTGCCTCCTCCTTTATGTCCTGTGAAAAAGTTGAAGTTCGAGATTTGGGCTTTACCGGCGGCCGTTATCTTCGAATTCGAGTGGGTGTGGATATATCTAAACCGTTCTGACGTGGGCTTAAAATTGTTCATGAGGGCAAACGCAAATGGATGACATTGAGGTACGAACGTCTCCCAGCACTCTGTTATTTTTGTGGCCGGGTTGGCCACGCCGTCCGATCCTGTCCGTCCAAGACTGATCAGGCTCCTGTTGATGAACGCCAGTTTAGTGGCCAGTTGAAAGCTTCGGGCTTGGTGGGTCGTAATCTCAAGCACTAGAGAGGTTTCGGTTCTACTAGTTCTTCTTCCGGGCCATCGCCGAGTTCCTCATTTGTTTTCCCAATTTTTCCGGTGGTTGGCGTTACTTCCGATGCAGTCAATAGTCTCCACAGTGGCTCTATTAATTCCAGTGCAACAGTGGCTCAGGCTATCAATATGCACACGATAGGCCTACGCCCGCCCGTACTCCTTCGAGGGATGCTGTATCTGTTCGTGTTAAGGACCCCGGTCAAATGGGTGGCCTGATCCAGCAGTTTTGCCCCGAGTCCAGTTGTCTTCCACTAAAGCTGCGACCCATTTCCTCTCTGTACCCGATTTTCAGAGGCCCGTTGTGGACTCCCCTCTTGGGCCTTGTGATAGCTTGGAGGGTGCTAAGCCCATTCCGTTTGGGGCTTCTTTAGGGCCAGGTTCCAGCCCTCTATCAACTTTATCCCCCGTTTTGGAGCCTGCGACTTCCTTGAGCCCAGGTGATATCTCCTCCAATTTTATTGCCGAGGCTGGTTCTTTCCCATATCTGCACACGATTTCTGCTCCTCCTGCGAAAGGCATGTCTTTTGTTTCTTCAATCCCTTCCCCTGTTACGATGGGGCCAAATGTGCTCTCCAGTCCTTCGTCCTGGAAGAAAAGTGCTCGAGGGGTGGGTGTTTCCAGCCCAGCGATTTCCACTCCTTTTCTCAAGCTCAAAATTACTGATCGTTCGGTATCTTCTTTTTTTGGTTATAAGAAAGCAAAAGGAGTGATTTATGTCGTTCCTCTTCCCAAGTCCCCAGTTGATTCTCCAATCCCTCAATCCAATCCGGTGGTGGTAGCCAGCCTTGCTTGGCCCCGTCCCCCTCAATGAGGGTTCTGGTGTGGAATTATCAGGGTTTGGGGAACCCCCTGACAGTTTCCTAGTTGAGGAGGTTAGTTCACCTCCATTCCCCTCTAATTTTTCTTTCAGAGACCAAGAATGTGGGTGATAGAGTGGATAGAGTTCGGGATCTTTTTGGTGGGTATGACTCATTTGTGGTGCCTTCAGTTGGTAGAGCAGGGGGTTTAGCTCTCTTATTTTCAAAAGAATGGGAGGTTTCTATTGTTGATTTTACAGATTTTCAGATCACTTGTCGGATTGTGGGAGGTAAAGGTATGACCTCTTGGTTTTTTACTGGGGTTTACGGTTCCCGTACCGGGAAGGATCGGGCTTATCAATGGCGGTATATTCACAATTTACAGTTTTAGTTGGGTCCCAATTGGTTTGTTATGGACGATTTCAATGCCATTTTGCATCGAGATGAAAAGCAGGGTAGGCGTTTGAAGCAGGGATGGATGTTAAAGGATTTTAAGCATTTTTTGGAAGACTGTGAATTGCTTGACCTCCGATTTAAAGGTTTCCCATTTACTTGGCGAAATAACAGAGATTTCGGCAAGCTTATTTTAGCTCGTCTTGATAGAGCTCTTGCCATTCATCACTGGTCCCACCTCTTTCCTCGGTGTATGGTTCATCGTCTTACAGTTCAGGGGTCAGATCATCATGCATTACTGTTATGTCTTAATGATTCTCTCGCTCACTTCACTCGCTCCTTTCAATTTGATGCCCGTTGGGTGAAGGAGGAGGCGTTTAAACCGCTTGTGGAGAGGACGTGGGGAACTCATGTTGATGATTCTCTTCTTCCCAGAATTCCTACCAAACCTCTCTACTGTTAATCAGCACTTAAACTTTGGCGGAGGCGAAAAAGTAATAATTCTCAAACCAATTTTAAGCGCCTTGAAAAGGCTCTGTTGTGTCTCAAGGAGAGTGTCGATGGGTTTGACAAGGTTGAGTGCTTTAGGCAGGAACAGGAGTTGGGCAACGTTTGGCGGGAAGAAGAGCTTTTTTGGCTTAAAAAATCCAGAATTTCTTGGCTGTCTCATGGGGACAAAAATACTAAATTATTTCATCGCAAAGCTCAGATTCGCCGTCGTAAGAATGAGATTTACGGGTTGGAGGATTCTTCGGGATAGTGGCGCGATTCGAAAGATGATATTCCTCGTGTCACCGAGGATTATTTCCAACATCTATGTGCTGCGCCCCTTGTTTTTGAGGATGCTGATTTTTGGAGTAAGGTGGTTCCAAAAGTTACTCCGGCGATGAATGGCTTTTTGTTACGGGATGGAACCTTCTAGGAATTATGGATTGCTCTGGCTAGCATGGGACGCTATTAAAGCTCTTTACCCCACTGTTTTTTCAGACAAATTGGGCGGTGCTGAAACCGGACCTTCTACGGGGTTTCAGTGATTTTCTCCCTGGCGGTCAGTTGCCTCAGTCTTTGAATTCTACAAACCTGGGGCTTATCCCTAAGGTTTCCCATCCTACCACTATGTCTAATTTCCGTCCCATTGCTCTGTGCAATGTGGCTTATAAACTCTTTTCTAAAGTCCTTGCCAACCGACTCAAACCTTTGCTCCCTGCTTTGATTAATGAGACCCAGAGTGCTTTTGTGCCTAACCGTCTTAGTCATGATAATGTCATTCTTGCTTTGATTTTGCTAGTGTTATTGTAACAAGTTATGAGCTAGCTTTGCCAGTAAAGTCCATTGGGATTGCAGCAGAAACCAGATTCAATTCTGTCCGAACCATCGATATCTCAATCACCCAAAATTTGTATAGTTTTGCTAACTTTGTAATAGTTAAACTGTATCTTTGCAATAAACAAAGTATCTAACACACTTATTTATGGCCAATAAAAACATTCCAAGCACTTTCTCGGTCACCTTGGAAAACCATGAAAAAAAATCCGTTAAAATATTATTGCAAACACCCATACCACAGGTTCAAAGAGTGACGATCAATTACCATTACATTAGGTAACAAAGGAGGGTTATAAAGAAGCTCCAAAAGTAGCAAGTAAAAGCTATGTGGCTTTGTTGGGACCAAAAAATATACAACACTAAAACAACTAGCAAAGCAATTCTAAGATGTCTACCAATAAGAATCTGACTTTCCAAATGAAAAATTCCTCATATTGAGGAACTAAGCAACAAAAAGGTGAAAACCAGCCACATAAAGCCAAAGATAAGGATTTCAGTTCAGATCGTCCTCGTCCTGCAAAAAAAAAAAAAAAAAAAATTGTGTTAGAAGGAACACAAATATCCTATTAATAAAGAAAACAGACGTCAAAACCAAAATACAATCTAAGAAAACCGCACACAACCAGAATGGCACTTGAGAATTCACAAGGGGAGGAATCAGGCAGTAAATTACACTGACACCATTGAGGTTTGCTTTAATTACACACGCTAGTGGATTTTAGAAAAGAAAAAAATATACACTGACCGCTTAATGGAGTTAGTGATGAAATGACCGTAAAATTGAGGTGAGAGAAGGGATTTACCCTTCTTCCTTCTAATAATATATAAATGGGAAAAAAAATAAAAAATAAAAAATAAAAAAAGAAGAAAAGTTTGACATGAAATGACCTAGTTAAACCCCATAATAATAACCCCACTCTCTTCTGTCTCTTCCCCATCCCTCTATATTTTCTCCTCTTCCTCTCCTTCCTCCATAACCACCAGCTCCATGCCTCCATCACCTCTCTTTCTCTTCTCTCACACTTTTCTACTCTATAGGCTACTGCCTCCACTCCTTCACCATCACCACTTTTCCCTCTCTATTCTCTCCAACCACTTCCTTTACTTAATCAATTTCCATGGTGTTGCTTTGCTCAAACTCCACCAAGTATGGCTGTTACCACCCCTACTTTCACCTTCCACATATCTATATATATACACGCGCGCGTGCGCGCACACACAAACAAAAAGAAACAGATAGATTTGTATGCACACACATACATATAAATATGTATAAAACACAAATAAATATTTGCATATAAACAAAAAAACAGAGACACATGTATAGACATATATGTATATATATATATAAATAGATTCTAGTTTAGAATTATTCTTTCCCTTCACTTTGAGTAGGTAATGGCATGGCAGTCATCGAGATTCTCCCATTAAATTACAGTGACCACACTTCCTCCCTCTATAATTTCTCTCTAAAACTCGTGAAACAGTCATCTAGCTCGGTTTCTCTCCCTCTCGTCTTGAATTAGGAAACAACTAAATCTATATATTCAAAACTCAAATGGGTCTTCATAGTATATGAATATGAACCTAGCTCAATGAGGAAACCAACTGAATATCAAATATTCAATAAGGTGAGGGGTAGCACTGTTGAGTTTAAATTCAATGTGAAGCTATGAAGTGGGGTAGCACTGTTGAGTTTAAATTCAATGTGAAGCATTGAGGTTCAAGAGCTTGAATGCAAACTAAACAAGCATAAACTTTGTACTCCCTCCGATAAGAGTCCCACTTTGGGACTCCAGCTTTTGAAGGGGACATGCACCTAATGCATTGTCCTCCCTGAAAATTACAAAACTAACCCAACAAATTTAAACATTCACTTTATTGATTTGAAAGGATTTTCAAAAACTAAGGACAGTTTGGGAAATTTAAATTTTGAAACAGGAAAGTGAATACTAATTTGGGACATCCCAAAAAGAAAGTAGGACATTTATTTTGGGATGGATAGGGGTTAAATATAATTATAGAGTATGGTTGAACTCTCCGATAGAAATAGTCGCCGCCATGATAACGTCAAGAGGACTTCTTGTGGAAAAGATGATGAACGGTCTGAAAAACAAAGAGGAACTGATGTCCGAGTATTTGCAGTCACAACATGCTCCTTGCTTAGATTTTCAACCATGGAGCCTATATTATGTGATGATCATGGTCTCAACTGGCTATGATGATGGAGTGGGCGTAGGCCGTGGATGTCTAAAAAAAATATGTAATATATATTTCACCTTTATAAATAATATATTTAATAAAAAAATTACGTATATAATTAACATTTTGCAATTTTTTCAAATTTTCAAATTAGTTTGCTGTGCAAAATTTCATAAATTTTTGAAATTTGATGATTGATTTTGAATATCTAGGGGAGGGAGAGAGAAAGTAATGCTAATGCATTTCATATGAATAACATATAAACCAATACGGAAATTCATGTGAAATGTAAAAAGTGTACAATTGGTGACCAAGAAAAATGTTAATGGGGCACTCTGGTGATTTTACATCGCAATTTAAGGTTAATGACATCTTCTGAGTCAGCAAATGGGTAAATAGTAATAGGTCCTTCCTCAAGTGCTGAGGCCTCAGGAGCCAATCCCAACTAATTAACAGGAGGGGTTGGTACATTACAGATGCCAAATCTAAGGGGTCTCACAGTAGGTTTTCACAAAATTTGTCACAAGTGCCAAATCATAAGGGTGTTAGTGTACGTTTTCGTGTGTGTAAGACAAATATCAACAGGTACTTATAAAAAATAAAAAAATAAAAAGACAAATATCAACAGGTATTATTGTAATTTACCCTAACGTAAAAACTTTGCAACACAATAGTTAGGTGATTGAAAATTTAGGAGATGCAGACTCTAAAAATTCTAAAGCAAGTCCTACCTGGTGCATTTCGTGATTTGGAAATTAGCAAAGAAAACCCTATAAATTGGAATCTGTGAACAACGAAACCCTAGAAATGGAATGCAGAAGCATGTATGATAAAAGTCGTATATTATGAAACTTTTATGATGATAAAAACAAGTAAAAAAGAAAAAAAGTTGGAGAATTGAAATTGAGAAGGAACTTAAAAAATTTCGGAAAAAATGGAAAACCTAGTGGGAATTGGGAATGTTAGCGAGGACTGGTTTGAGCTTGGAGACTCTGGTGTCGAGGGCATCGAAATTCTGCTTCAACTACAAAAAGAACAAAAAGGCAACACAAATGGGTTCCACGTAGTCTTTTATTACTTACTTAGGGGTAAACATGTAATTTCACTAATATTTATTTTTGGTATGCAACTGTAATGGATAAAATTCAACGAGAAAAACAGTAGTTGTTTATCTTAATTATTGATTGGTAACAAAATGCTGATGATCAAATTTATCATTTTTCATACATCATATTGTCTCATATGAGATTCGAATTGCTCACCTAGCTTTCTGTTGAAATAAGTAAATTACAGCAGCATTCCAACATGGATCGTTGTATTAGGACACCAACCAGTTACCGTGCGAGAATAGAATAATGCAAAGTTTGACAGGGGAATAACTGTAAGATAAAAGGATACTAGAATAACTGTGGGAATAGTAACCCTAAGTTTGTATTATTGACATGTAATACATAATATTGAAGAGGGGAAGGTATTTTGGTCTTTACACCATCCCCACAATGATGAGGTTGATGATTGCTTTTTTTAGCCCGTGTTTGAATAGTAGAGACCACCATGCCAAACTGTTGACAGAAATTTCAAAAAAGATTACTTTATGACCTACTTGAGCTTGTTGCTTATTCACATTTTCAATTAGTGCCCAAAAAGCATATTTCAAAATGATTACTATATGAATTTATTTTTTATTTTTATTTTTTATGGTAATTATAAGTAGTGGGTCATTTTTATTAATTAACAGCAAAACAATCGATGCATTAGCCTTTCCTTCATATTACATGCAAGCACTTTATTGCACAAGATCGAGGAACATTTTCATTGGTCTGAAAAAGTCTTGGAATACAATTTATCTTGCAATTTGTAGCCTTACAGGTACTAACTGGTTTATCATTATATGTGTGTGTTTTGTTCAGTTGACTTTTCTAATACTCTAATTTGTTCAGGGACTGAGTCCATTACTATGATACTAATAGGTTTAAGTTCTAAATCAACAGTAAGTTCTAAATCAACAGGTTTCAGTTAACGTTTCCAGTTTCAGTTAACGTTTCCAGTTTCAGTTAACGTTTCCAGTTCCAGTTAAGGGGTTGTGTATCAATATCACTGTAGAGCCTTACACTTCCCTCCCTAAGTAAATCAAGCAATTAACTTATATACTTCTAATGGCTTTGTGGAATGTCCTCGGTAAGGCTTCAACTGTGCTTGGCATAGGTGGAGGTGTATGATCTATCATTCAGATTATCAAGGGGCAGCAGAGCCCACAACCAAATGCCGATATGCTTGCACATGTCTTTGACATGGCGTTAGCAAGGGCAAGGGCAGAGTTAGCGGAGACAAGGGCAGATTTGGCTGAGGCTGAGGCCACAGCAGCCAAAAAAACCCTGATGAATATTGAAGAGATGTTCTCTACTCTGCTGGCTGAAAAGAAAGGAGGTGCTGGCGGCGGCGGTGGCGGTGGTGGTGGCAGCGGGCACTTGGGTGATTTTACATTGCACTTTGAGGTTAATAACATCTTCTCAGTCAGTCAATGGAATGGGCGATTTGTTGAGTTAGGGGGTAGTTCGTCCAGGTTGTTGATATATCAGTCATGCAAAGGAGTGGGGCTCTGAGGGCCAGTTTGACATCTCATTCAAGAGAGAGTAGGAAGTCATTCATACAATTCCTATGGCGGCTATGGCTGCTACTTCGGATGAGTGTCACTCACACCTTTACTATCAACTGGCCTACCCCCACCTTCAGATGTCTCCATTGCAGAAGAACCTTCAGGAATAGCCATCCATTTTCCTTGCTTCTTTACCACCCACTCATACCTTGTCTTCACTGGAACATTCTTCTGAGGGCTTGTACTTCGCCTACCTTCCTTATTATCCTGGTAAGGTTATTCCTCTAATTTGTCCCCATGCCCTTTTTATATCTCCAAAATCCTTATTTTGTCATCTTCTTACTCATGAGTATTGGTAGGCTTGTGCAATAAATGGCTCAGCTGAAAGAGTCACAAAAATCATTGTTGATTGGGCAAGAAGAAGAAATAAGAACCACACCCGTCTAATAGGTCCTTCCTCAAGTGTTCAGGTCCTCAGGAGTCAATCCCAACTAATTAACGGGACAGGTTTGTATATCACACATGCCAAATCTAAGGGGTGCCACGGTAGGTTTACGCAAAATTTATTCACGAGTGCCAAATCTCAGCGTAGGTATTCGTTTGTGTAAGACAGATAAATCTCAAGAGGTATTAGTGTAATTTACCCTCATGTAAGAACTTTGCAACCCAATAATTAGGGTGTTTGCAAATTTAGTAGATGTAAACTCTAATCCTAAAGCAAGTCCAACTTCCAGCATTTCATGATTTGGAAATGAACAACCAAAACCCTAAAAATTGGGAATCGTGAATGAAACCATAGAAATGGAATGCGAACACGTGTGATAAAAGTCGTAGATTATGAAACTTTTATGGTGATAAAAACTAGTAAAAAAATGAGAGAATTGGAATTGAGAAGGAACTTAAAAAATTGGGAAAAAAATAAATGACCTGGTGGGAATTGGGACTGTTAGCGAGGACTGCTTCGACCTTGGAGACTCTGGTGTCGAGGGCATCGAATTTATGCTTCAACTACAAAAAGAACATAAAAGCAACACAATTATATATGTGTGTGTGTATGTGCGCGCAAATGAATGTATATAGGAGATGGGTAGTGCGAGAGAGTGGGGAGTACAGTACTCAGCTTAGGTTTGAAGCATACCTGGGAAGAGATAATATTGCGATCGGTCTCGAGATCGTTGGAGATAAAAATTTTCATTGCAGCTGCAGACGATGAGAAACCGAAGGCGAACCAAAGCACCCTTCTTTTCATCATCTTTTCTTTTCTCTTCTGTCCTCTTCTGTTTCCCAGTTCCAACTGGAGTTATAAATGAATTTCTACTACACTGTTTTTTTTGAGAATGCAATGGGTCCAATGTCTTCTTTTGGGCTGGGCTTTTGTTAGTCATCTATATATGGGCAGCCCAATCTCGCAAATACATTTCTCATTCCTCTATTTTTTACTTTTTTTTACAGGTAAATTATTAATGTGGTCCCCTACGTGTCTCATCATGGACTCCACCCTTTACCGAGACTACTATTTCAGAGCTTAAACTTTTTTTCTACTATCACAACCACTTTTATTTAATATATATATATTTAGTAAAGTAAAAACTGCAACAATCAAGCATGATAGCCAACTCTTTTCTTTTGAATACTTGTATCATATATATATATATATATAGCCAACTCTTATATATTCCATGTAGTAAAGCCAATCTCATGTATATTTGAGATTGGCTTTACTACATGGAAGGTAATTAAAACTAATCCAAGCGCATGTTTTTGATAGAATTAGGAGACAGTAGTGTAGTGTAGCCTCATCGTGGATTTGTTTCCGACAAAGATTACATCAAATTGGCCGCCAAAATGGAAATCACTTTGCACCAAAACAACATTCGAGTAAGCTGTCAAAATCATTGCCTCTATTTCTATTATTTATATATATACAGATTAGGGTTAATCTTTTCAAAAAGATTCTTCCACCCATATAACGTACACAAGCTAAAGACATTCTCTGTTTTCTCATCACTTTATATTATTAATCTAAGTTTCGCTTCTTTTATTAATTAAGAACCTCTAATTACTTGCATATATATGATCAATCTCCAAAATGATGCCAAGTATATATAATTAGCTTTCGAACATATTGGTACACTGAAAAAAAGAAAAAAGAAAGCAACGTACAACATGAATAATGTAATCATCCTTTTTCTTTTCTTTTCTCTTCTGTTTTTTAATCTTTCTATAACTAAAAAGAGAACTTAATATATTCAACACCCTTAATATACACATACGTGTATATATATGCGCGCGCACACACACACACACATATATATATATATATATATATATATATATATATATAAAACGCGCGCGCACACAAAGAAAAAGAATGACTTGCCACCATGATATTCCTTTTTCTCCTGTCTCATCCCCACAAACCAACTGATTCCAAGACCACCTTAGCTACCCAAACAAAATAAAATAAAAAGAAGAAAGATTGATTTTACCTTACTCCACGTTATGTGGAGCTAAAGGCTCCACGTGTTCACCCTTTTTTAAAATTTCTTTCTTTCTGTCTTTTTGCTTTAATTATATGGTTCCATTGGGGCAACCCGCATGGAACAGGACCCAAGACCTAAACATTTATTACTAGAGCGAAAGAAAAAAAAAAAATAAAAAATAAGTATCATTATTTATCTAAGATAAAGCATCGCAACACAATATTTGCATGTCATTTAAAAAAGTGGAATGAAGGTAAGCCTACAACTTATGTATTTATTTTTGTTAGTTAAATATGTTCGGTATGAAGTTCTAATTCCTTACTTTCACTTTTAAAAAGGAAAGGTAGTACCAATTTGGCCAAGGAGAAAGATCCATAAGGTTTTAAGGACCATTTTTAGAAGTGGTTAAGTTTTGTACAAAACTCAATTGAAGTTAAAAGCATATAGAATAATCCGTTAAATTTGAAATTCAACTATTTTATTCCAATCATCGAAGGACTCATTGTCACGTATAAAGCAAAACTAGCTTATAAAAGGTGGTACAAAAAGAGAGAGAAACAATATATATATATGTGTGTGTGTGTGTGGTCCATGTTTTCATTAACCTAGTTGGCAGGCCTGTTTAAATATAATAGTAATGAAAGTTATCACTTGATGAATTAAATATGGATTAATGTTCGTGCACAAGTAATTATATGTATAAGCACCTGATTTTCCCATAGAGGTATTTTGTTTTTATGCAATGTTCTTTATACCAAACACATGCAGACAAAGTATGTATGTGTGTGTGTGTATATATATATGTTATTATGGACCACAAGAAGGGAATCATAAAAAATATAAAACACTATGTTTAACAAATTAAGCAATAAAGAATGAAAGGAAGCAGAAGCAAAGACAGTACTTCTCTAATCATTGGATGGTGAAACACAAGCTCCCATCCACCCTAATTGTCTTTTTGTATAGATTTTAGCATGGAATAAACCTTTTTTCGATACCCTCCCTAGTTTGCTTTATTCGATACACCACCCAATTCCAAATCTTTAATTTCTTATAATGGATTCTAATATATATATATATATATATATATATATCAAGTTATTTTTACATAAATTCCTTTGTCCAGACTCCAGACTCAATCATTCAAACTAAATCAGAAGTGTCTAACCGCCTTGACAGATGCATTGTTTTCCTTTAATTACATGACATCAGACGTGAGAATTAATGCATTTACCTGTGATTTGTTTATATATGTTTAATCTGTACCTTTTGAAAAAATTATTATATATTGTCCTTTTTATTATAAGTTACACGCTACCTTTTGCATTCGATATGGAATATATATAGATATATTGAATGGTAATACAGAATATATATGTACCAATCAATATATATGTCTTCCAAAGCATAAATATTGATGGACATGATCCATCATCATTCCTAATTAAGAAACAAACTCACTAAATACGTACTTGGCAATTAAGTTCCCAATTAAGTAGGATTTGGGGACTTAATTTGTTATAGGGATCCTATGAAGTGAAAATATGTGGTTGAGCTAATTAATTAGTGAAATAATTAGTAAGACTATATAAGCTAGTCACATTAACGTACTTGTCTGCTTCAAACAATGTTATTGCTTTTATCATCATCTCTTTGTTTCTATTAGCTAAGAATACAAATATATGGTTTTGTTTTTCCTTTTGCTTGAGTTAGTTGCAACTAAATTATATATGGAGATTTAATTTGTATTTTATATATTTATGTCATGGAATAAATGTTTTATTCCTGGCCAAACTCCTCCTTAATTAATTAATATATAAATTTGACGACATTGACACAATGAGTTTTTTGGTTTATAAATTTGTCCTCTTTTGGTTCGCAACAAGTTATTAGTTGCATTGTGTTTCCATGCAGCTGCAGTAAATGAGTATTTAAAATCACAAGTAGAACATTCAAGCTGCGCGCAGGAAAAACAAAATGAATCATCTAACCTTTTTGTAGGCCCTTATATATTTAGCTAGTATTTCAACTAGTCTTGTGAATTAATAATTAAGGAGCCTGAATTTTTTTATTTTTTTATTTTTTTTATTTATTATTATTTTTTTTTGTAGAATGTGAGTGTTATTAATTAATATTAGCAAAAAAAAAATACTTTGGAGCACAAATTAATAAAGTTTGGTCATTGAGAAATATTACTAGGCTAAATTGATTAATTTTCTGCCAAATTAACTTCTAATTATTTTTAGTTATAGGTTTCCTGATTATATATATATGAGCCATCAACTGGTGGGAAAAGACTTAATTTGTTGGGTTGAATTGAGATGAATACTAATCTGAGCTTATTTAATAGAGTTTTGATGTTTATAATTGAACAAGTTTGTCATCGTAATTCAACTTCTGTTTTTCGCTTTATATAGAGCTCGTCATAGCTTTATATTTTGTTTTAAACTTTGCGTTTATATATATAAATACATTTTTTTTTCTAATTAAAGCAGGCCCTTGAATTTTCACAAAAAAAATAAAATAAAATCACAGTTCATACATCACCATTCTAACTTTAATTGAGTAAACTTACCAGCTTGTGACTATAGCGGTTCGCATATATTATAATATTCCATTTGGTGATGTATGAACTGTGATATGATTATATATAGATTAGCATGAAAATGACCCCAATTGTTACCAAGGCTTATTTCTCATCCTACTAATTGATCGAAAACCAATTGGTTAACTTTAGTCTGCAAAGGAGCTCCACAATATATACACAGGGATATATGTATAGAACTCTCTTGATCACTCCATATATATATATATATATATAAGCTAAGTAGGAACACAATCAGACTCCTTACACACGCACCATTAATTACTAGAAGAGCAGAGCTAGGAATGGTCATGATCAGCTAATTAGGTAGACATGCAAGGCACCAATATTAATCAGCAGCCGCAGAGTACTAGCCACACATCAACAAGCCGATCATCAGATTCGGCCGGTGAGCCTAATGGTCCGGATGGAAAGTGGGCTTCAAAGCTTCTTAGGGAGTGTGCAGGAGCAATCTCAGAGAAGGACTCTACTAAGATCCATCACCTTCTGTGGATGTTAAACGAGCTCGCGTCTCCTTATGGAGATTGTGATCAGAAATTAGCATCTTATTTCTTGCAGGCTCTCTTTTGTAAGGCCACTGAATCCGGCCAACGATGTTTCAAAACCCTAACTTCAGTAGCTGAGAAGAGCCACTCATTCGATTGCGCTAGGAAGTTGATATTAAAGTTCCAAGAGGTAAGTCCATGGACAACTTTTGGTCATGTAGCATCAAATGGGGCTATTTTGGAAGCCTTAGAAGGGGAGAGCAAACTTCACATAATTGACATAAGTAATACCTTTTGCACTCAATGGCCTACTTTGCTAGAAGCTTTGGCCACCAGAAATGATGAGACACCACATTTGAAGCTCACAGTTGTGGTAACTATTAGCGTAGTTAGATCGGTCACGATGAAGGAGATAGCACAAAGAATGAAGAAATTTGCAAGGTTAATGGGAGTACCCTTTGAGTTTAATGTGATAAGCGGATTAAATCGTTTGGAAGAGCTCACAAAGGAAGGACTTGGGGTTCAAGAAGACGAAGCTGTGGCTGTGAATTGTATTGGGGCCTTGCGAAGAGTTGAAGTGGAGGAAAGGGGAGCCATGATTAGGATGCTCCAATCGCTTCAGCCTCGTGTTGTGACAGTTGTTGAGGAAGAAGCCGACTTTTCTAGCACAAGAAATGAGTTTGTGAAGTGCTTTGAGGAGTGCTTTAGATTCTACACATTGTACTTTGAAATGCTTGAGGAGAGCTTTGTTCCAACTAGTAATGAGAAATTGATGTTGGAGAGGGAGTGTTCAAGGAGCATAGTTAGGGTTTTAGCTTGTGATGATCATGATCAAAATGGTACTAGTACTGGTCTAGGAGATTGTGAGAGAAGGGAGAGAGGAAGCCAGTGGTCTGAGAGGCTTAAGGAGGTTTTTTCACCAGTTGGGTTTAGTGAAGATGTTGTAGATGATGTCAAGTCACTGCTAAAGAGATACCGAGCCGGGTGGTCTCTTGTGCTGCAGCCACAAGCTGCTAGTGGAGATCATGACTCAGGAATCTACTTGACATGGAAAGAGGATCCAGTAATATGGGCTTCAGCTTGGAAACCCTAAAATGGTCAGAACAACATTGCTAGCTAGCTATAGTACTCAAGCCAAGCAAAACATGGAATTTATATTATATTTGCAAGCTAGCTAGCCCTTAAACAATGATAGAGTACTTTAATTCTTCCCTTTTTTAATTTCTTTTTCATCTTCATTCATACTTGTTTTTGGTTTTTTGGTTTTTGGTTCCAACTTTAATTTGCTTTCTGCTTGGGAGTTTGTGTTGCTTCTTTTGCTTTTCTAGCTTACATTGTACGTTTGTTTGAAAGTACTTGCACTTGTGCCTTTTCTGATAAATTTTATCACATTACAAGTTCCAATTGAGTTGGTTGAATTGTTTGCTTAATTAATTCCTTTTTCCAGTACTCCTCCATTATTGGTTGTTCTGTACATAAATATCCTGCAGATTAATTATTACAGTACATATATGATATTTTCAAAGAGAAGCACATATATATAGCTACATGATATATATTCATGTTCTCCAAGAACCCCCTCTTCTATCATTTGTTCCCGGCCGCCCATTATGGATGTATATTGCTATAAGTAGCTAAGTAGATATTCAATTAACACATGATGGGTGATCAAATAATTGGAATTATATATGCAAAGGTCTTCTATATATCTTGGTTTGTGAATGTTCTTCATATATATATATAAGCAATTGATGACCATATATATACTAGAAGCAAGAAACATCACATTTATTTGATGAAATCAGTAATTTTCTCTTGATAATGGCCCGGGTTTGTGGCAGTGACCCATGCTAGCTAGGGTTTTGTATAATATACACATGTATGTATAGATAAAATACCATATATATATGTTATATATGGTCTAGCTACATTAATTATACACATGTGACCTACCCTTGAGTTCATCTCCCTGATGCTTTGGGTGCATATATATTGTTTGATTTGGTTCGATTTGATTTTTTAATTATATTCTTAACGGTTTAGAAAAGTTTGAATCGAACCAAATTGCTGAAAATGCCTAAATGGGACTAATCTGGACAGTTGAAGAACAGTTTGGATCGGTACAATTTTAGGCTACCATCAGGACTCAGGATTTCCTAATAGTATTCATTCTTTAAATTAAAAATAATTAATGCACATATTAATATAGATGGTCTTATAATTAAAAAAATAAATAAATAAATAAATCAGAGCAAAAACGTAGACAGCTAGATCGTAGAGTTGTGAGGTATATATACCTCTCATAGTTTTTGTTCTTGAGTTGTTGCTCAAACAATAACACAATCATTCTTTATGGTTTTTTTTTTTTTTTTGGTTAACTAATCATTCTTTATGGCTGAACGTATGAGAAGAGTAGATGAAAAGGGAATTAAACCTCACCTGCTCTGGAGGAGAGTTGAATAAAATTTATAACTACTCCATTAAACTTTTACTGACCAATTATCTTTCTTTTTCTTCTTCTTCTTTTTTTATTTTTTAAATTTAGAATACAATGTCGATCATGCACACACATATATATATATAAACCTTTCTGCATTCAGTATAGTGTGTTGCATGTCTCACTAAGGTTCTTATCCAATATATAATATTCTTAATAATTAATAACAGAAAATTTAAAGCGTTGGCATTAAGAGTTTTCTATCATTCTATATATATATATGTATGTATGTATGTATTTATTACATATATGGGTACGTAATACATAACTTTAAAGTACTCCTTGGAAGTATGTGAATGAAAATACCTGTTTGTCCTAAGACTTGTAGGGTACTGATACAAAACATGCCCCTTTCACAATCCAATGCGATAAATTTTAATTTTTCATTTGTAAGCACTATGTGTATATATATATATGGATGTATTATATGCATACTCTACACACACAAAAGAAAAAGAAAAAGAAATTTATTGCAATATAATTAAAATTACTGGAAGATATAATATATATTGGTTGGGGATATCGACGAAGTGTATTGGTTATATGTGAAATTAAATGTATTTAGTGGAAGTGGAGCAAATAAAATGGGTTAAAAAGAAAGAGAGAGGGGCCCATTACGAAGAAGAGTAGTTGTTGGTGGGAAGCACAAGTATACCAACTGAATCCCATGGTTGCTTTTGTGTAGTGATATGAATAGCATATTTTGCCTGCCATACACATGCATGGAGGCCAACATCACATAGTGGAAACACAACTTTTCTAGATTTAGATATGACTAGTACTGCTAATTTAGTCACCTTACATGCACTAGCTTTTTATCCACTCCTATATTATTATGCTAAAGGAACCTCATAACAATAATAGGATTGCATCCATCTTTCTCTCTCTCTCACACTATGAACCAATTATCACATGTTTCTTTCATTCACAAATATGATTTCAATCATTCACAAACTTACATGTAAGCCAAAAAAAAAAAAAAATTGACAAATTTACTTGTATGTTGAGTTATAATTGATCGAGATCATAAAATTCTGAACTATGTGTTATTTTTTAGTGAACACCTAACAGTTGTTTATTTTTTTTAAAAAAAATAAAAATAAAAAATTAAATGCCATTAAATGCAAAGTATTGTTGAATCAACCTTAAACGAACTGGGATTAATGATTGAGATAAAAAAAAAACCCTCGCATGTTGGTTGTCTCATGGGACTGTGGGATTGATCACCACAGCTGTTGTGGTGGGTTCCTCAGTTTTGTGAGGCGCGATACTCATCAAGTGTCTCGGCTTCTATCATTGCTCTAATGATTGGACATGTGATATTGAAAGGCTTAGAAGGGAACTCTTATTATGTCACATTATCTTGGGGAGAAGTTGTCGGCAACTGTAGGTATGAAAATCTTTTAATTGTGGGGATGTGTTTTAAAAATTTTGAATGTGGAAAATAGACAGTATTTCCGTATCAGGTCCAAATAAATAGTATCAAAGTCAAATCCCTCCCGAAAATAAAAAAAGTATGCACTAGTCCATAAAACTTAGGTGACGTTGGTCCATGAACCTAAGAGCCTTTTGGTATACGTTTTGTTTTTGGTATTTTTGTGTTTGTTGGGTATTATAGCAGTGAATAGTAAAAAGATGAGCTTGGTAAAAAAATGTTTTGTTTTGTACAGTGCTGAAATGTTTCATGAATAGTGGCCAAAAGTTGAAACACCAATTTAGTATTTTTACATGTTCCACACTGTAGCAACGAGTACTGTAGCAATGAACAATATCTAAAAAAAATTTGAGAAACCCTAAAATGACCTTTTAAAACTAGCTATTATATTTTTAAAATTTGCAATACTTTTTTAACCAACATGTTTTTATGTTTTTGCTTCTAAAATTTGTAACAAATAAACGTTACCAAACATGTTTTCGATTGCTATTCAAAACACCTAACAACAAAATACTTGTTTTGTTTCAAATTAAAATATAAATGTTAAATCAAAACGCGTACCAAACAGATGTAACCTCATGTTCTTCGGTTAAGAGACATGATAGGCTATAAATTGTTTGCACTCTCAACTAGGCATGTGCATGGTGATAGTTTTGGTGCCTTTTGAGATCTCCGCATTGTTAAATGAACATTCTAAAGTCTGCTAGACACGAATTAGTTCCTCATATAATTTAGAGAGTAACAATAACCATATGGAAGTTGCTAGAGCTCTGTTAGCAGTAATATCATAATGAAAATTAAGCTGCAACTAAGGACCATATATATTTAGGTGCAGACATGTGTTAGTCTTGTTGTGATGAGAAGACCTGAGTTATATAAAGTGAGAGCTACTAAATTCAAGTCACAGAAAAAAAAAAAAAAAAAAAAAGAATTCGCACACGAGTGTGTGACGCACACTCACGTGATTGCTGATAACTTTTGTACCGCGCGTCATGTTCTTTCTGCCTCTAGAATATGTGTTGGCACTTAGGCCCAACTAAAAAGCCCGTTAAAGGCATCTTTAATGGGTATTGGCCCTTTGTTTCCTGACAATGCCCTCTTGATGGGTCCAATATTTTCTGATACCATTACAAATTCAAACCGAACCGATGGTTGTTTTTTCTTTCTAGTCCATCCCACTACAAAGTCCATATATACATCCCATCTCTGTTTTTTTTCTTTGCGACCACGGTTCGGCCTGTTCCAAAGTCCAAGAGTCGGGCTTGGGTTTCATAAAATAGATTCAGGTCCGGCCCGTTAGGAACCCTCAGTCTAGCCTTTATATTATTTCATAACCACGGAGGTAGGGTTAGGACGTGCTATCATCGCAGCGGAAGCTCTCGAATACAGACCCCAAAAATGGTACTAGTCTCTCTCTCGATCCAGTTCTCCTTATCTCAACTCGATCTGTGTTTTATCTAACCTAATATGTGAAATTCATATGATGTAAACCTAGAACTAGTGCTTCTCAATACTGAAAAGTGGTCTTCGCTTTATATTTGCTTAGGGTTTATGATTTTTATGATTTTCGTGCTGATTCTGGTAGTGAGCTCAGAGTTTGTGATCTCATTTAAAGCTATTTATATATATATATATATACTCATTTATGTATATTTGCGAGATTGTATGTGTAGTCATAATCTGTAAACTTTGCCGATTTAGGTTCTGTTTGTTGTAATGGAAACAGGTCCTGGAACAATTTAGCAAGGGAAATATCCTTTGTTATGTGTCATTTGTTTCGATAAAAAATGAATTTATCAAAACTTCTCCTTGATAGACATGAAATCAGCTTTTTCTAGAAATTTTCTTTTATCACGTTCAATTTTATCTTTTACTTGGAGAAAAAAAAAAAGAAAAAAGTCTTTTCTCCACGACTTTATGTTGTTGAAAATCATTATTTGTTTCTTCATTTAGTCCTTAATTTATTGAAACACTGCTGCAGTATTTGTTTTGTGGTTTCATTTGACTAATCTTGCATTTGGACACATGGATCCGGTGCTTCAACACTATTATTATTTCCACGCTACCAAATGGAAAATGTGTCATGGAAATGGAAGCTTTATGATTGTTATCTTTGTATAGTGTCTATATTAAAGCTTCAGGTGGTCTTTGACAATTGCTTTAGGAACTATTTAATTTTGAGTATCACTATAATGAGCAGAACAAGAAGGTTTTACTAATGTAAGTGATACAAATATATGATTTGGGTAAAAGAATGAAATTTTTATAGTCATTACACAATTTGTTGAACTTTTCTACAAATTAAAACTTGTTGGTTCCTGCAAATTGTTAATTTGTGCTTAGTAGCAATGCTGAATGTTCTCTAATCAAGACAAAAGATCCAAGTTTTTTTTTCTGAAATTCTATCGAAGTGATTGGGATATTCTATTAAAAAGGGTCAAATTTGGAATTTTAATGTAGCTTAAGATGAAATAAACTACGGCAAAGACAAAATCTTTTGCCTTTGGTTCTTACAAGTGCCTAGTGTATATGCTATAAACTGATAATCAACTCAACAAAGCATTTTTGTCATAATCATATTTTTGTTGGGCTTAGGAGTTTCACCTCATCTTATGTTACTTTTTTTGTGGGGTGTGTGTGATGGGGGTCAAGTTATTTGGATTTCATTTAGTGCTTAAATGTTTCCTTTTCTTTTCTTGTCCTCAGCCTAAGCAAATTCACGAAATCAAGGATTTCCTTCTCACTGCCAGAAGGAAGGATGCACGTTCTGTGAAAATTAAAAGGAGCAAAGATGTGGTCAAGTTCAAGGTTCGCTGCTCCAAGTATCTCTACACACTGTGCGTGTTTGACTCAGAGAAGGCTGACAAGTTGAAGCAGTCCCTCCCTCCAGGTGAATTTTGTTCTTTTAAGATTTTACTTGTATTGTATGTCGATGATGATATGATATTATAAATTGTCTCGGAGTTGACCTTGTATATTTGCCTGTGTACACGCATATGATACATGGTTGTATGCATGCTAATAACATGTCCTTACCAATTGCACCCTATCAATTGTTATGAATTATTTAACATAACAATGAAATTGGTGTTCGTAATTTTAAAATTATTCTGCTTAATTACTATGCATATCAAAAGATTAAATGGACAGCTCAAATGATACCTAGACATTAAGTTATATCGCCATCCACCCCACATTCTCTTCCTTCCCCTCCTTATAATTTCCTAGCAATTTCGGTTCTTTTGTGCATCTCTTGTTCCCTTCTTCTTATGAGAATGTAGGTGTTTGTATTAAATAAGTTGTTCTTGATGATTCTCATAGTATATTTGCTTCATATTTGCAGGTTTGAGCGTGCAGGACCTGTGAGAAAAGCTAGCGTGGAACCAATTAAATGAGCTCAAGTTTGAGAACTCTTTTGTCTGAAGTTATGCTTTCAAAAGTTTTAAAAGTTTGCAAATGGATTTGATGTCCTTAATTATTAGGTTGATATGGTTGCTTTTCATGCTATTCTATTTGGACATGTAGAATTGGGTTTCTTCTTATTACTGGAGTTTCTATATGAATATTGATTTTGCCTATTTTATTCTTGACCTGATGATTGTGAACTGGATTGTTTTGCAAGTTCATTAATTCCTTATCTTTGATTTGTTGGATCGTCATCAATAATTTTATAATTTTGAACACCTAGCTTACATTGTGAATGATTTTATATTTTGGTTTTGAAGTAGGTAGGCTGCTCTTGGTTGAAATGCACTCTCTTAAGCTGGTGAAGTACCTATTGGTGGAATTAATATTTTTTTTAGTAAAAAATATATGTTGTGTTTGCGAGCACCTAGAATTGAAGTTGGAAAAAAATTAGTTCAAAGTTTGTATTAAATTTTCTCTAATTCCAGTTCCAAGGTGTGACGATTATGTGGTCCCACAATAGTTTTTTTTTTGTTTGTTTTTTTAACTGTGTTGTATATATATACAGTAGAATATTAGATCTGTGTTTTTTGCTAAGTTGAGAATATAACAAATCTTGCTTGGATGATATATAATGTTGGCCTTTTCATCTATTTACAATATTTGATATACCTTTTTGATTCGATGTAAGTAGATCTTAAAAGCCTAATATCTATTTGCAATATTCCATATCATGTTCCTTAAATGCGTAATGTGTGCACGGTTTCCCTTGATAATTGTCTTTTACTTGGCTTCTTGAGTTTAGGTAAGAGAGAGATGTGTGTGTGTGTGTGTGTATAATTATATATGTTTTCTTTATGTATCTGTCTTGTAGTGGTTACCTTGAACAAAATATCGATAGGGGTATAGAAAGGAACAATGTTCATGTATAAATTATACAATGTATAGAACTTTCTCCTTTCTCAACTCAACAAAGAGAAATAGAGTCTACGAGACACATTTAAGGAACTAGCATTAAGAACTCGATATTGATATTGTGGAACCTCAGCTCTATGTTAGAGAGAGTAGAAAGATGGGACTGATGGGAAAGCAAAATTTTGTTGTCAAGTCTCTTCTTTTCTTTTACTCACCTTTTCTTTTCTTTTACTCACCTTTATTGTTTAGCAAGCCATGCCATTCCATTTGTAAATTTTTTTTTTAGATTAAGGCGAGGAAAAGAAAATCATGACAACAAAATGTATCTGAAAATTCTCCAAATAATTATTGTTAGCCACCTATCCATTTCCCTCTCAATCATCCCTCTACTCTGACTCCAGGTTCTACCATATCAAGTTAGAACCAATCTGTATTTGCTGGTTCCTTCCTTAAATGTGTAACTCGTATCCTGATACTTGTTTTGGTGAGTTTAGGTAACACAAAGTTTGTATGTATATCGATATTTATATTACAGTATAATTTTATCCATGAATATTGTTCTTTTATATATTTTTGTGATCTTTTGTTAAAAGTAACCATTGCAAGAAAATGTAGAGGAAAGTGTTCATGTATAAATTATACTGTAATATAGACACACATATTACCTATTCTTGTTGAGTTCTTTCCCAACGTAATGGGCTAGTAATAGCCAAGTCTTTTGTTATTGCTTTTGGTCCACCACTGAACTTTCTCTTACATATATATACATAACGAGTTATTCCTTAGTAAAATAAATATAAATTGAAAATTTATTGGAATTATAAATTACGTGTAGAATTAAATTAAATACAAGGAAAAGTGATCTTCCTTTTGTTTTTTGTTTTTCCATTTCATTCGCTTTGTGAACTGATAAAGTGAATTGTTAGTTGAATTTTGGATATATACTCATTCTTACTGAATTGAACTTCAAAAAAGAGTTTTATTTGAAGAAAATTTTTAGCTTGCCTAATAACTTCTCCATTTTTAGTATAATAAATAATACTTATATTAATAAATTACAGAAATATTTAATTTTATTTGAAGAAATATATGCACTTGTGTGTGGAGGCAGAAATTATTGATTTATATGTGGCACCTCTCCTATAATTAATAAATTTTATTTGTAAATCCAACAAATTAAGCTCAAATGATTTAATCAAAGTGAATATGTTTGCTCTAGTTTATGCACCTGAACAACTCATATTTCAGTAATTATGCTCTTACCCTATTTCAGTAATTAATGCCACTGTTGCAATTTTTCCCTTAAAAGAATGAAATTTTCATATACTTTCAGCAACAAAGATGAAGATCGAAAAGAAAATGAAACAAAGATGAAGATCGAAAAGAAAATGAAGATTAAGGCTCTATTTGGTTGAGCGTAAAATGTTTGTTATTTTTTATTTTTCAGTGTTAGGCAAAGTTTGAAAAAATATTTTTTTGGTAGTTTCACTTTCGAAAGTGTTTTTAACAATGATAATTATTTGACAAAAACAAAAGGTCAAAAAATAATCAGTGTAAAAGAAATCTCATATATCTCACTAAAAACACGTAGTTTAAAACCTGTAGAATTTGTATTTCAAATGATCCAATACATTGTTACAGTGAGATGAAAATCAAAACTAAAAAACAAAAGAACAGGAGATGTCACATCTTATTAGGACAAGGTAATACACCATCAAAATATAAATATATTAAAGCTATAATTGTTCACAGCAACACCTTAATAAATACGCATGCAGAATGGTTCACACAGTAGGTTGAAATGAAAATAGGATAAAATGATAGAGAGAATAATAATCTTCATCTTCTTGTAAACGAGTTGTAAATTAGCGTAATTACACCATGGGTCATTTAAGTTTGTCACCGCTTCATATCAATAAGCATGTATTGTTTTTCCTGATGGGTTGAATTTTATTCATACAAATGGACAATCTTCAACTTCCAAAGATTGTTCGCCAAATAAAAAGGGAGACTCCATAGAGAGGGTTAAATGAATACAATTTTTTACCAGGGTTTTGTGGTTTAGAACCGATCAAAATGTAACATCGCTTTTCAAAATGAATGGTAAATGTTTAAGTTTATAAAGAGGCAACGTGAATGTGATCAAGAATTTAAGGTGAACTTTCCAATAAAACACATATATAATTTGATCTAAGCTAACAAAGAAAATTCTATTCTCTTCTAGTTAATTTCCTAATCCAACTAACCTTCACCTTTTTGCTTTGCTAATGAGTGTGGCCAAGACCCTTAAACTTCATGCTTTGTCTTTAATGACTTTAAACTAATCATTACTACAACCACTTTCAATTTTTCAATATATTATGTTATTTAATTAACTATTTTATTCTCTTCTTCTTTAATGAAAAAAAAAAAAAAACAATAAGTAGAATAATAAAGCAGGCAAAAATATCATTGGTAATGAGTCGTTGAGTCCACCCACCAATGGAGGTTGTAGTAGATACTGTATCTTTATCACCAATATTTGGTTTTTCTGACTCCAGTGAAATGCAAAATACGCATAAGACAATAATTTATTTGTTACTAATATTATCATCACGTAATATTTCTTTTCTCATAAATTTTGTTGCATTATCGATTTAAAGGTGTCATAGTGTTGTATTTTGAAATAATATATTATATAAAAATTAGATTCTCAAAATAAATGGGCTGTCTAAATGTTTCCATTGATATTATTACATCCTCGATTTAAAATGCACAAAAGAAAAATCTTGGCAGTTGAAGTTTTACCACAGCCATAAAACAAGGGAGAGATCGTTATTCAATAGTGGTCTTGATTATATGAAATTTTGAAACACGTATAATAAAATTAGGATTAACATAAATTTGTACAAAATGATTGCTTTTATATTGAAAATTTGCATGATAGTCTTGATTTCATCATTTACTATGTATAGGTCTAAAATCAAACCCCAAAATCTAAATCACAATTATCTTTTACATGAATATACGATCATATATACCCAATTATCCATAATGCAATACTTTCTTAAAGAAACATTTTAATTTTTTAAGTATTAATTAAAAAATAAATATTTTAAGTACCAATTATCATTTTCCATAATATTCAAAGTGCATTATCAAATGCACTTAGTCAATGAATACTATAAGAAATACAAACACTTTCACCAATATAAGAACTTAAAAAATTTTTTGGTAATATTTTTAATGAATACAGTTGTAGGGTTTTTGTATTTTGAAAGCAATGTATGAAAATTATACTCATTGACTTTATAAATTAAGTAATAAATTTAAATAAGAATAAGAAGAAGAATTACACTTACATACATAAGTACAAAAAGAAATATTTTTAGAAGTAGGAAAAAGAAATATTTTTAGAAGTAGGGAAAAAAAAAAAAAAATAGAAGAAGAAAGAAAGAAAAATGAGAAACTTGAAAGGAGAAAATTTTGAATTTGATCTGTAACTACTCGCCCTTTGGACTTATAGATACCGGGTAAACCCCCGGCTATCCATCTCGCCCCCATAGTGCGAGTAACAGGTAAGTCATGAACTTGCAACGCTAGAGGAGAATCGAACCCACACCCAAGTACTAATAGTCTAGCACTTAGAGGATGAAAATTTATCTTTTTGTAAGGAAATCAAAGGAATTTGAAATTTTAAAGAGAGAGAAAGAAAAAATTTAAGAGATAATTTTAGAAGCTTAAATTTTTTAAAGTGTCATGTGATATGAAAGGTTGTTCATATATTATTATTATAGTAAAAGAAAGATATGTTATGTATTTTTTAGTTGGAAATTAATATACATATATATTTGAATAGATAAACTAACAAAGAAAAATCTTTATGAATTGAAACATGAAGATTCTCTAGTAGCTAGTTAATTTCCTAATCCACCTAAACTTGACCTTTTTTTGGATTGAGATTGCTTGCTAATGAGTGTGGGCAAGAAACTTAAACTTCATGCTTTGTCTTTAACGACTTTAAACTGATCATTACTACAACCACTTCCAATTATTCGACATATTTTTTTATTTAATTAACTACTTTATTGTTGATCTTCTTCTTTAATGAAAAAAAAAAATGAAGAAAGGATACGTAGAATCTAATAAAGCAAGCAAACAAAAATATGATTAGGTAATGAGTCACGCACCAACCAATGGTGTCTATATTGTTACCGATACGGCAGTTAGAGGTTATAGCTACCTTTATCACAGGTCTTTTTGGTTGGTTTCCTGAAATGCAAAATCTACATGACAGAAATAATCTATTTGTTGCTCGTTTTCTTTGCAATAAAATATTGTCATCTCATAATATGTTGCATGAAAACTGCATCAGATAAATGTGTTGCGCGAATGTACTTATATATTGATATTGTATAAAAGTACGTGTCATGTTCTCAATTTAAAATGCACAAAATCAATCGATAAAGATTTTAATAAGTTGATGGTAGTGATTTTACTAATTTTTTTTTTTTTTTAAAAGATGAAGCAATGTATAAATAAATAGAAAAATGTACATAGGCCTGTAATACAAAAAAGGAGGTTATTATTCAATTTTACCATATTCATTAAATAAAAAAGGTCATTAATAAATATCAAATTCGTTTTTTATTTTTTATTGATAAGAAGTGTTAGATATTAGATGTAGGTGCAGAGAGTCGAAACCTGATATTTCAAAATTTTTGGGAGGCACTAATCAGCCTAATCCACTGAACTATCAAAGTAATTATATATTGAAATGATTATATGAGATATTAAAAACATCCTAAATAAAATTAATATATACTTACATAAATTTGTACAAAATAATTGCATTTATATTAAAAATTTGCACTTAAATGATTTTAGACCCATGGTAAATGATAAAATAAAGACTGTCATATATAAAGACTATAAGTGGAAGCATTGATTTTCTGCAATTTTTCGCAATAAGTGACAAGTATATATATCTCACTTAAATATTCATAATATATTAATGTAGTTGTAACGTCACCATGGCATGTTCAGTTGCATCACAATTAGCACTTGGATGCTAGATTTTGGGGTTGACTTGGATATGTCAATTAAGGAGGCTCATGTCATATCAAACTTTGCTCCACAATGAAATCAACTGGCTTTTGTTTTTGGCTTTTTGCCAAAAGACAACAACATTAAAAACTTCTTCCAAATATTTATTAGAGTATAAAAAACCTAGAAAATAGTTCTTATAAACATTCACAACTAAAATGGGAAAAAATGTTGGGTGTAGTTTATGAAACAAATTACAATGGATGTGCATCTAGAAATCTTAAAATTAGGTTGGTGTAATTTATGACGATGAGGAGGAAATTACAGTTGCTAAGTGTTAAAAATTTTAAAATTTCATGTCAAATCCTTTCCACCTTATACTAAGTATTTCTTATTGTGTTATTGCTTGTAACTCATTTATTGAAAAATCTATTCATAATTTAACATTTACTTGCATTTAACATATTGAAAAGGCAGAACAAATCCTGCTACAAAAAAGAGTTTAAAGTGCATTTGGATATATTTATTGGTTTGAGAGAAAAAAAAAATCCAAATATTATTCCTTTATAATATAAATTTAATTTATTGGAATGATCAAAAACCAGGGGAAATAAAAAAGGAAATTACATATAGAATTAAATTAAAAATTATAATTAACTTTTACTTGCATGTCCTTTTCATCCCCCTCTTGTATAGTGACCAAACAAGGACAGGTTGTCTTCCTTTTGTTTTTCTTTTTCATTCACTTTGTGAACTGAAAGGATATGTTACTCGAATTTTAGAAATTTACTCATTCTTACTAAATTGAACAATTAAGAAGAACTTCAAAAATATTATTATTTGATTATTATCATTATTATTTTTTGAGCTAGTCTAAATTGTCTAATATATCTTCTACATTTTTAGTATGGTAAATAATATTAATATTAATAATTTACCCAAATATCAAGAAATTAATGAGATGGGAATACTTACAAATTTGATAAGATGGTCTGTCATATTCAACTGTAAGATAATCTGAAGTCTGAAAAACTGAATAATAATAAGTAGCAAATTAGACATATAATTCATTAGAACAATTTGTAAATATACACAGAAATATAACAAAATTGTGAAATAAAAAGGAATTAATGCGGTTTGGTCCGCTTCAAAATATGTTTGAACTCCTTCACGAGTTGACTGATGATGATGGATATGGTTGGTGGTCCTAGATCCACCCCTTTACCCGCCACATGTTTCATGTGGTACTAATTGGAAGCATAAAATGATAATACAAAAGAGAGGTTGGTTTCATTAATTCAAATCATTAGTGTTGTGTTGTTTCTCGTATTTGAAAACTGTTTTCGAATTATCCATCTCTCTAACAATTAAATTAGGGTGAAGTGCAAAAAACACCCTTTAAGTATACATATAATGCATATTACACCCCTACAGTGCAAAAAAATACCCCTTAAATTTTAATTTGGTTCAATCAAGTCCCTCTTGCCAATTTAAAATCAACCTTGACTTAAATACCCGTATTCAATAATTTTATAAAATATATAAAAGTACAAAATGTTGTAAAAAGACCAAAAACCACAACACTCCTGGCCTCAGTTCTCAAACACTCTCTCTCATCTCTCTAAAAATTCATCACAAAACCAAGAGTAACATTGCCGGCACCGGCAAGCAGGGAGAAGACGGGCTCCGCCGTCGTTGCACAGCCAACAGTCCAGCCAAGCTTCATTACAGCCGAAGCCACCGTCGAACAGAACCCATGTCACCGGCCGTCCATCTCCGCTGGTCCACCGATCCGAAGCTCACTGCCGCACTCTGTCCCAAGTCGCCGTTTCAGTCATCTAGTCTGCTTCTGTCGCTGCTGAAGAGGTTGTGATTTTTGCCGGCGTTGTGAATCTGGCCGTGAAGAAGAAGCTCGGTGGATGGAGAAGAACCCACCGGCGACTATGGATCCCGGGATAGGCGGGCGGCCAACGAGATCTAACGGCGGTTATGAGCAAGAGGCGTTGGAATCGGCCGCAGATCGACGGATCTAATTCGTCTGAGAGAACCGTCGGGGTAGCTCCTCCGATGCCGCAGATCGTCGTCGTCGTCGTTGACCACCGACCTGCCTACCTCTCTGAGCCTGTCCCTGCCCGAATCCGATTCGTGTGAGGTCTCGAATCAAGTATTCGGATCCCATCAAGTCACACAGCCTACCCAGTTGGCTCCACCACCACCATCATCGCCTGTGATTGTACACCAGTTAGCTCCACCACCGATAGCTCCACCACCGATGGTGGCTTACAGTGGTCAAAACTTCGAATTTGAGAAACAGTTCTATAGTCGAGAATTCTTGTCTGTGATGCAAGAGATGGTTCGAAAAGAAGTGAGGAACTACATCAGATTGAACAAAATGGGCTTCGTTTACTTGCAGAAGCAATCGTGTCTGTAAATTATTAGTATATTTTAGCTTTTAATTTCATGTTCTAGCTTTTAATTGGATGTTTGTTGATTCGGTGATGATGATGAAGAAGAAGAGTGAAAGCAAAATTGGGTGCAAAAGAAGACGGTGGTGGGACTGGCGGTGGAGAGTAGAGAGAGAAAGAGGGGTATTTTGGGAAGATTAAAAGGGCTAAATGAGTATTACAGTAAGGGTGTTTATTGCACAGAGGGGTAATTTTGCACAATTTTAAAAGATTTGGAGTGTTTATTGTATATTTTTTTAAATAAGGAATAAAAGTGTTACAAAAAGTATACTTCCGTATTTTCTGCACCTTCCCCATTAAATTATTTAATATATATTATATCCAAAAACAATAATTGAGAATGCAATAATTTAAATTGATTTTGCATTTTTTGATATAAGTATTGAAAGATATCTTTCAATTTAATATTGTTACGTGTTTTGTATTGTGGATGTAATTGCATTCGATATTAATCTCAAATTCGTTCCAAAAGAGGTCCACCCAGAGCCAGAGGTGAAAGTAATTGCCGGAATCTGACTTCATAACCCCATATATGTACGGGGATCTGATGCTTTTTAGGTAACCGACACCTTCATACTTCACATGCACCCATTTTCATACATCATAAACTTTGTTTATGTTTTTGGTAAGTCATACATCATAAACTTGACTTAATGTATGTATGTATATAATAATTGAAGGATTTATTTATTTTTATTTATTTATTTATTTTCGGAATAAGAATTGGAGTTCAATTTTACCATATTATAATTTGAAAATGACAAAGTAAAGTAACAAAATAAAATTTTTTTATTGGTTTCTGTAAAGATTCTCCTTCCAGTTCTTACTTCATTGGCCTTGCAAGTTGCAACACTACATTCTCTCTCTAGGACGATACATACATGTATTGTGTGTCAGGTAGGTGCTGCTGTGGACAGCTCCATGTATCAATCATGCGCTTACTCTCTCTTTCTGTCATTAATCATTTCTCTCTAAATATATTTTTTTTAATCTGTCTTTTACGAAAACAATCTCTGCAAATTTAGCATCACCCATGTTCAGTCTTTGAAACTTTTCAAGTTTTCTCTAATTCTCTTATCTTTTACTAATACCCCTCAACATGTTGTTTTTTACCCAACTGGATTTCGCCGAGCAATCAATGCCAATTGCCTTCTCTTTTTAGCTGTAACGCATTAATAGTTTCCAATTTCTACTGCCAATACTTGTTTCGTTTTTTAGTCATTTTCTCCTCTCCTCTCCTCTCCTCTGGGTTGTTGCGCGCGCTCTCTCTCTCTCTCTTCTTCTAATGTTAATGTCCACCACCGTTAAAAGTACCAAAAAGCTTCGACCTTTGATCTCAGTTCTTGAAAATTGAATTCTTTTTCTATTTGGGTTGTACTACCAACGCTTTGTTTCTTCCTTTTGGCACTACTAGTAAATCTGATATTGATTGCTGTGTACTTTCTTGTGTTTCTTAACCATTATTAGTACCAAAAGCTTTAAACTTTTGATCCGTTTTGTTGAATAATGTGATTTTTGTTTTCTGTTTGGCGTCGTATGATCATCTGCATACAAAGTATAAACCCCCCTTTTTTTCTTCTTCTTCTATACAACTTGTCAGAAGAATACATAATTTCTTGTTTTCGATCTGGGTATTGGAGAAAACCCTTTATTTTTCTAAGAACAAACCCTTTGCAAGAATTTATGTGGTCTTTTATATCGAATCTTCAATTTTTGCAGAGTGATGCAATTTGAAGGTCCCAACATTAAGAATGGCTACTTTGGTCCCTGGTGTTCTGTTAAAGCTCCTTCAGCATATGAATACAGATATAAAAATAGCAGGCGAGTACAGGTCGTCTCTCTTGCAAGTGGTGAGCATTGTCCCTGCACTCGCTGGTGGTGAACTCTTCCCAAACCAAGGGTTTTATCTCAAGGTATCAGACTCTTCTCATGCCACCTATGTATCCCTCCCTGATGAACATGATGATCTCATTCTTAGTGACCAGATCCAATTGGGTCAGTTCATACATGTCGAACGCCTTGAAGCTGCCTCCCCGGTCCCCATTCTTCGCGGGGTTAGGCCCGTCCCCGGCCGACACCCTTGCGTTGGAACCCCTGAAGATATAGTTGCCACTCATTCTTTAGGGTTCCTCAATAACAATTCTGTTTCTTCTTCGGGTTTCAAACCCTTAGAAAAGTCTAAATACCCTTCAAAAATAGTGAACCATAATCATGTTGGGGTGAAGGATAATAATAAGTCCACCCCTGTGAGATTGAATAGTAGTTCTAAAGAGGATCAATTGGATAAGAAAACATCGTCATTGAGTCGATCAAAGTCTCAATTGTCCAAGGCGGCTTTGAGTTTAGTGGAGAAAAAGGAATCTTTGATGAAATTGAAGTCCTTGAATTCAAGGTCAATTCCTTCTTCTCCAACGAGTTGTTATTCATTGCCTACTTCTTTTGAGAAGTTTGCAAACGGGATTAAGCAGCAGGCAAAGATCAAGGGGTTGGAGAAGGCAACAGCTAAATTAGGGTTGGCAGAAAGGGTGAGTTCTGTCCGTGGGGCGAGTCCTACTGCCAAGAAGGCGCCAGGATTGAGCTCGATTAAGAATTTCGTTCAGGGGATTGAATTGGGGTCCAAAGCTCTCAGAAAAAGCTGGGAAGGTAATATGGATGTGAAGGCTAGAGAAAGTCCAACATTGAGGGCCACCAAGCATGAGCCTCGAGCTCGGAGTAGTTCTGTAAGTTTCTTGGTTACTTTAAGCCTTTATCATTATTACTTTCCACAATGCTTGATCAGCTTGAGTTGCAAAACTTAATTGTTGTTTGTGGAATGTAGCAAATGTAATTATGAATTAACCTCGTTTGTCTGAATCAGTGAGCATGTGCAGATGGTTTTGAAATTTAGACCTTTTGCTGTATTTTTCTCCTAAACTCCTTATTTGTTTCTCTTCTTCTGTATGGTGGATATGTTCAGTTACTTGTTTGGCCTATTGTAATAATCCTGGTTCTCAGCCATCTCACTAATTTATATCGGCCAGGTTCCTAGAAGATCAACAAGTGACAGGTTACCAGCTAAAGAAGAGATTAAGGTTCAGAAATCCGCAAAGTCATCTAAAGAGGAAAATAAGGTACATGTGTCTCCGAAGAAAGTTACTGCAAATGGAGATTTTCTTGAACTTGATAAGCAAAACAAGCAAAGAACTTCTATTGGGAAGAAATTGTCCGGAGAGGCTTCTAATCATGGATTACCGGGAAACTTGGTCAAGGTTTCTTTCAATAATAGGAGATTAACAGATGGAAGTGTTTCGTGGGCTTCCCTGCCATCTTCTCTTGCAAAACTTGGAAAGGTATAACCTTTATGATTCTCAGATCTTGGCACATTTGATTTACACTTCTTTCTTCTGCACTCTCTTCCTATCAAATTCTCTTTGCCCACAAATTTGTTTTCTTGCTTATTGTTTTTGAGATGAGCATAGCTTTGGGTGATCAAAAGCTTTGCCATTCATTCCAAGAAATTGATTAATTGAGTATTTGTTTTGGTAGCTTGTTGATTTAGGTTTGACCTGCCCATCTACTATAAATTTCACATGCAGACTTTCACCAAGTTTTGTTAAATTTTTTTGAAGATTTTAAAGGATAAGGGCCTGCTTGATTCAGTTTTCTGAGAATTTGACAACTAAAAAAAAGTAAACATTTCGAACATTCATTTGGTTGAAAAGTAATCTGAAAAACGTTATCTGGAAACTGAGTTAAAAAAATGGCCCAATTTCATAGAATTGTCTTCTGTGATTCTCTGAAAATTGTTTTAAAAAAACTGAACCAAACCTGATTCTGAATAAAGAAACTCACATACTTCAATATTATAGGACGTTTTGAAGCATAGGGATGCTGCACAAGTGGCTGCCATTGAGGCAATGCAAGAGGCTTCAGCTGCAGAGAGCATACTTCGATGTTTAAGGTAATTCTTCCCCTAAGGAAAAAGATACTTACCAGTAAAATGTGAAAGTAATTTTTTGGTTTGAAATTATTCACAATGACCTAAAATTTTGATTGTTAAAGTTAACTGTATTCGTAAGTGACACTTTTGTTGACTGGTTATTTCAGAATTGCTTAAATTATGGATTCTAGAATTTGTTATTTGGCATATGCATGAGAAAAATGAAATAAATATCGAGTGGCATATTAGACTCACTTGTGTAGATGGTGTTCACTCCCAGTTCTGGAAATTCTGTGATCAGGACATATTAGCAGTCTTTTGACTACTAAGAATTTTAGTCGTCTGTGGTTTTCAAATATATGGAGGCGCATCACGTACTTTCCCACATTACTTTGCTAGATTGGTAAAAACATTGGATCAATTTGGCATGTTGACAATAGGTGATCATCAGGATTGCATATTACCTTCAAAATATTGATATTCTTAAAAATTCCAATGTGGAAAAAGCCTAAAGCATTTGTTGATGGAAATCTGTGTCCAGCTATGTTAGAAGGACCTTCTACTCTACATTTATGCCGAGTAGGAGAGCCCGCACTACATGCATTACATACAAGATATTCATGTTATCTCCTAATTAGTTATAAGTTTACTGTAGGCCTGTACCTCAAATATGCTTCTGAGTTCCAGGGTATGATGATCACTTGATAGTCTACTATTTGGTACATGATGGTGTTTCAACATTATTACATTGGTAGTTTGAAGGGTCGCGACATATATGTTTTCATAGATGTTTTAAATTTCATTATGCTTTAAAGCGCTCTCAAGATTACTAATCACAGGTCAAAGTGTTGTACACCTCAAAAGGCATATGTGTATTTTAAACCAAACAGCTCCCAATTTTTCCTTACAAGTTTTAATTTTACTGTCATATAGGGAATAGTTTATTCAAGTAACGCATTTACATTTTCACTGTGATCTTGATAGAAAACTGAGTAACTTTAATAATATAGGCAATATCACATATGGCACACGTTTACCTTTGCCTTCTTTTTGATGTAATAGAGCAGATACAAATTCAATCTAGTAATTTGCCTCTGGGTTAAAAAAAAAATATCAATCTAGTAAAGTATGGAGCTTATGAATTGACTATAATGTTGCTACATGCATACAGAAGTATTGGTTCAGAAAGAATTTTTAAATATTTTGAATGTGCTAGAGTAGCCTAATGGATAATAATTCTGAAGATGCTTGTAAGATTTGGTCCAACATATAAATTTTATTTTCAATGGTAACTGACGGATGATGCTGTCTATTCTCTTTCAGAAACAATTTCCCTTTGAAAAGTTTAAAAACTACATCAACATTATTATCTTTAATAATTGAAACATAATTTGCATAATAATGAAGAATATCACTAGGTCATATTTTTGGTTTGGAGCCTTCCACACCCCTTGATTATTCTTTCTCATGTGGGTGTTTTATTATTGTATTTAGATGTCACAAGAAATTTTCTAAATATTATTTTAGTATATGCATCCATGGAAAAGTAATTTTGTCCATTGAGTTTGTCCTATCCCATTTTGTCTGACGTGTGATGCCTGAGCTAGTGTAGAGTCTGTATTAGCCTATAATATGTAGACACAAAAGCAACAGCTACATACAAACCTAGACACGGTTATCCCCAAGACCTGGACAGGGCGAGTTGGTTATAACTTATATGCATGTGTTTGTCAATGTATTCTTTTTTTTTTTTGTTTTTTTAGTACATATAAATTGTATGGAAGAACTTCTAAGACTTTGTATTACTATCATCACAATCAAGTTATGGTAGATTAACAATATTATACTATTATATTATAAGCTTGTGTTCTGTAGTTTTAATATCTGGAAACGAATGAGAAACATCTAAATTTTGCATTTTTTTTAAAACAAAGGTGGTCAGTGTAAACTATATGTTGACACCATTGTTGTAAAAGTGTCTAACATGCCAATTGTTGATGGGAGAAGTGAACTACTAGTCGTAGCTTTTATCATCTCTCTTGGGCCCTAAGTAGAGCCTTTTGTTCCTTGCAATGTCTACCGCACGTCCAGCACAAATATTATGTTGCAAGGATTTTATCATCCCAAATATTTTTGAGCATATATTCCCCTTTGTAATCTATTCCTGCTCAGCTAATGCTAAAGTAGTTACATAGTAGTTTTCTGGTGTTTACTAATATGGTTTCTGAAATTTAATCCACTGCATAATGATTGCAATTTACCACTAGTATTGTTCAGTTGCTTAGAAGTTGTAGCTTCTTGGCGAACTTTGGCTTGTGAGGACAGACGAATGGCTGACATAAGCTTGCATTTTATTACTGGTTGAGTATACAATGTTAAGAACTCAGGATAAAGGGGACTAATCATGAAATTTTAGCGTTCTAAAGAAGCTATAAAAATTGCAATCATAAAAATTCCACTAACAAAACATTTAATGCATTATTATTAACTTTGATAAAATTAGCATGTGTTTATTCGCAATTGAATTTAGGATGACTGATATTGACCGAAGTACGACTCGCTTAAGTATGACAGCGCTTATGCATGAACGTCATGCAATAACGGTGTTGTCAAGCACCATAAATTGTATTAAATATAAAAGAATTAATAATAATAGCTTTGGAAAAACTCAAAATCAGCAAATCTGGGAACTTTATTTCTGTTTTTTCCTAAATTATTGATTAAGAAAGAACTCATGGAGGTTCCAAGAGGAGTGATCTTGTCTTCTCTCCACCTCTTTTCTAAGCAAAAGGTTGGTTTAGTAATGTCTCTGTTTTTCTATTGCTCTGTTGGACAATAAATTGGATGTGATGCATAGGTTTTATTCCTTAATTTGTGTTAGGCTTTACGTGGTTTGTGGGAAATTTCAGTTATGTGAAAGTGGGTTTAAGTTGTAATTTTTGGAAGTTTATGCCAATTCACGTGTGAATTTGGGTATTCATTACTCTTAAGTTCTCAATCGATGTTTTTTTATAATTCAGTTTATTATACCTGCTTTTGCCTAAATTGGAAATATGCAAGTATTTTGAATCTTCATTCAGTGTTTCAAATCTCACTAAGTGCCCACTTCTGTTTTGGTTTTCATTTTGAGCCTATAATACATATCCGGAGAAGATGTTTATTCCAACACAACTTTTTTGATTTATTATATTCCCGTGGCAGCACATATTCCGAGCTAAGTTCCTCTGCCAAGGAAGATAATCCACAGCTTGCAGTGGAGCAGTTCTTGAGTCTGCATGCAAGCTTGAATAATGCTCGTTTGGTTGCTGATTCCCTATCTAAAACCACCCTGGCCGGTTCATCTGCAGATCTTGAAGAAAGCCCTTCAGAAGAATCACTAAAAGTCACTTCAGACAGACGCAAACAAGCATCTTCTTGGGTCCATGCTGCATTAGCGACCAATTTATCATCCTTCACGGTGTTTAGCAAACAAGCCACTTTGAGTCCAATTTCAGCTTCAACTCCAGCTCAAAGCCCGAAAACTGTTCCAGGAAATCAACCCGTATTAGTCCTTGAAAATTTTTCAAAGAGTTCCTCAACAAAACCCCAAACCAAACCTCGGCAGGGAGTCAGCTCTAAGATTGTGACACTAGGGACTCCACGACGGCTAGTGGATGGGCCAGCTGTAGGGCAGAAGCCACGGGCTCCACCTCCAATAGAGTGGGTTAGAGGAGATGGTCTTGATGAGGCCGCCGACTTGGCTGAAATGTTGCAAGCAGAGTCACAGAGTTGGTTCTTAGGATTTGTAGAGAGGTTCTTGGATGCTGATGTGGGTGCTTCACCTTTGTCGGATAATAATCAAATAGCAGGCATGTTGACTCAGCTCAAGAGTGTGAATGACTGGTTAGACGAGATTGGGGCTAATAAGAATGAAGAAGAAACTCCTCATTTCTCACCTGAGACTATTGACAGGATAAGGAAGAAGATTTACGAGTATCTTCTTACACATGTGGAATCTGCAGCTGCTGCACTTGGTGGTTGCGCACAAACATCACCGGCAATTGACACCAAAGTGAGAAGATGACTCGAATGAAATCCAGTTTTCACCGTGCATATGTGGAGCACAAAGACATCGCAATTGGGCCCTTCAACTGCGAAGTGGTTATTGGAGCTCAGTATTTTAATTTGTGTATATACATCCTACATGGGGTTCAGGTATAGATGGAGTTCTTACTATTAATTATCAAAAAAGGTAGATATTTGAGGATTTTTTTCTTTTTTCTTTTCTTTTCTTGTTGGAGATGGCCATTCTCCTTTACCATGTTTGTGTTTGTTCTAAATTTTGATTCAATAAGACTCAAGGTTAATGAATTTTATATTGGTTATTTTGGAATTTAATGGAAAAAAATATCGTTATAAAATTTTGTTTGGCTGCTTAGAAGTTGCAGGAAAGTAACTTTTGGAGTCTTGACCATTGGCATTTTAGGTCCAAATAGTCCTGCACAGCCAAGTTTTTGGATCATTTTCTGGCTAAAAGATTACCATATTCATTGGAAATATAATAGATTGATGATGGTGGTTTTTGCATGTTCGAAGATCTTCAACCTGGATGGTTGATATGCCAATGAAATTTGGATCTCTCAGAAGTTTTTATATGACTAGTTTAGCTTATGGGTATTTTTCCCGATAATCTAGTTTAGTTTCTGTTCTTGGAAAAGACTAGTGATTTTTTATTTATTTTTTCCAAGTAGTACCGTAATAGTTTATGAGTCCATCTTAGCTTATGTCGTCAATGTGGAAACTCAAATTTGGTGCCTTTTTGGTTCTAGATAAATTTCATAAATTGTCGACATTAAAATGCACAAGAAAAAAAAAAAGTTTGCTCAAATTTGGAAGGCAGGCTTCCAATGATATAATTATATGGACACATACAGAAATTATGGTTATCTGTCTGTATCCATCTATTCGCAATCATTTTTCAAGGGTTTAATATTGTTATATATCTTTATAAACTGGCTGGTGGGAATCATGACATAAACAGGCCGATGTATATATAAATATAAATTTTGTTTTAGCATAAGTGGTTCCAAATTATATTAACATCATCATGGATTAAAACCTATTAAGAGATTGTGACAAGAACGGTCAAAACCCACATTGGTTAACACGGTCTTTTGTTATCGATGGTATTAAAGACACCTTGAGGGAGAAATAGAATCGAGGATCAATGAGTATAAATATATTTTGATTGTTGTTAGTCAATATTGAGTGTCTTTTGGTTCAGATATTTAGAAAAAGTCTTAAAAGCATATTTAGAAAATTACAAAAGATGAACAATTGCTTTTACATTTGTCTAGAAAAGTGACTTCAGAAAATTGAAAGAAACATACCCTAATTTAATAATTACAGAAAAAAACAGAAGAAGAAATATATCATTTTTCTGACAGTGCCATAGATTTAAAAGTTGGCCCTTTTATTCCGTTAAAAATCTGGAAATAGAGAAATTTTCCAGTCTTTTCCACGATTCAAAATTCCAAGTAAACGCCATAAACGACTGACTTAAGTCGTCTGAAATTGGAAATTGACTCTGGAAAGCACATAGAATGAAAGAATGCCATTATTGTTCATCAAAATTACGTGAACCAGACCTTTGAGTTTTCAGAAAGCGTCTCTTAAAATAATTTATTGTTTAAAAAACAGTTATTAGGGAAGGCCAAAAAATTCTCATCAATGTCATTAAATATTTCTTCCAAGGAGTATTTTAAAGTCAAGTCAATAGTGGCGTTTTTGTGATAATTTGAATATCGGTGGGCATTTATTAGTACTCATTTCCTACAAAATTCTCTCGGACTCTCACTCTCGGATCAGACAGCCGAAGATGGCCGAGTCTGAGCTGAAAGAAGCGCTCAAGCTTCTCCTTTTACTCATAACTTTGCTTTCACTGTTTTTCATAGATTCTGCATATTCTGAGATATTCTTCGAGGAACGATTCGAAGGTAAAAACTTTAACCCAATGATTAACTCATCTTTTTTCACAATTTTTTCTTTTTCCAGTCAAACACCTGTTTGGTTGCCGAGAAAACATGTAAAAAATAAATTGTAATCGGAATCTTGAGAGCTTATATGCTCACTTTTTTTTCTTTTATAATTTTAGGACTTTATGTTTTGAAAATTTTATTTCTTTGCTCACACTTGTTGAACAATGTATTTGTTGCTGTTTGGTTGACTTCAAGTAGCTTTCTTATTGATTTTTATTATTCTTTTGTGTTGGTGGACCAAAAAAGATGGGTGGAAGAGCCGTTGGGTTCTATCGGATTGGAAAAGGAGCGAAGGAAAAGCGGGTACATTTAAGCACACGGCAGGGAAGTGGTCTGCAGATCCTGATGATAAAGGTATATATGTATTGATTTATTTGTACTTAGAATTATATATCACTTTCTAGTTGATTCTAATTTCTAAATTAAATGATTTTTTTTTTTATTATTATTTTTAATTTGGTTCAATTTGATTGATTTGTCAAACTTAATAATGTGAGAAACTTTATGAATAACATGTTGCTGGATAAAAGAAACTTGGTCAAAATGATTTGATGAGTTGATCCATTCCCTCCCTGCAGCAACCTTATGTGGGACACAGTTACTTTCTAATATTCAATTTAAAGCCTTTGTCATAAATCAGAACCAGAGCGAAATGGTTGTAACTATATTATATATATATAAATATCTAAATAGTATGTAAGGTAGCTTAATAGCTTTAGGCCATCAGACAGTTGTCATTTTTATCTTGTTTGAGCAATTGGGTCTATACTGTTTGCATAAGTGACTTCGTATGATTGGTTGACGCAGATAGGGTGTTGAATTAGAGGTAGGCATAAGTTGTTGGATGTTGCATCTCCCCTAAATTTAGATTCATGGCATGGTTGCACGTGTGTCTTTGTATTTTGCGACTAAGCAACATATTTTTGAGGAAGAAATTAAGCATAAATTTTTTTTTCCTAGTTAGTACTCATACACACTTGTCTTTTCGTAGACTTGAACCCCTGACCTCCCTTTGAAAGTAATAGGCTGATACCGCTAGGCCACTGACCCGTTGGTAAATTAAGCATAAAATTAGTTAATAAAGTAATTTTTTTTTTTTTTTTTCTTTCTTCTAAATGAGAAGGCACCATCCTTTATGCTTGTGTATATGTAAAAGTTGACTCATTTGTAATTTCATACAAGTTTCAGGCATGGATGGTCACTTTTTCCTTTTCTCAAAAAGCATTTGACACTAGTTGTTGATAGTGAACTTTTTAACATTGAGTTCCATTCTAGTTTCTAACATAACAAGTGACATCATAATAACCTTCTGTATGACCCATGTCCTTGTCAATTTAGCATTTACAGACATAAGTTATGATACCAAAATCAAATTAGTTTTAATGAATGGAATATCTACCAGTTGCTAGGCACGTGAACTACAAAGCTTGAGCCTTATTATGCTATCCCATATGTGATCTGTTGAATTTACAGAAAAAATGATCATCTGGAGAATTGCAGTAACTATACGCTGAACATAACATTGGAAATTTTATTTAAATATTAAAAGGATTTTGAGTTATTTAATACTTTTGAGTTTTGATTATTAAATAAATGTGGCCGACCCCATTCACTCGGGAAAAAGACAAGGATGATGATGATTAAATAGATATATTAACTAAAAGACATGGGTGAAAAAGTTAGTGAAGGGAACTATCTATATGATGCATAAGAACAGTTGATCAAGATTATATTAGGTCATATTAATCTCTAGACATACCTATAATCTCAATTATATATATTTCCTGATGATTTTTGGCCGCAAGCCAAACAGGATTTAGACCCTCTATGCCAATGCAATTTGTTTTATGATCTCACTAGGTGATGTCTGGAAATGGTGCAGGTATTCAGACACATAATGATGCCAAACATTATGCCATATCTGCAAAGATACCAGAGTTCAGCAACAAGAACAGAACTTTAGTGGTCCAGTATTCTATAAAGTTTGAACAGGACATTGAATGTGGTGGTGGTTACATGAAACTTCTTTCTGGTTATGTAAATCAGAAAAAGTTTGGTGGTGATACTCCTTACAGGTCTGTCACTTTGTTAATTTTAGATATTTTACTTGTGTCATGACTTGTAATACTAAACGGTCCTCCTTTTAGAATGTCCGTCTTATGGCCTGATATCCTGCCATTCATACAAAGTACCTAAATTCTTTATCACTGTTTTATCATCTTGTATTGTTGCTTTTTAGTTTTTACATTGTTACAGAATTTCATGTTTTTATACACAGACTAATTAAAGATTGATAACTGCTTCCTAGTATCAGCTTAGGTATCTGAGCTGAATCCAGTCTCTTGGAATCTTAAAGTATATCCTTACTAGGAACCTTCGCTAGCACTACTATGCAGGCTGCTAATCATAAAATAGATTAAGCACTCATAAATAAATAATAAGAAAATAGATTAAGATATCATTTAATTTAATGTGTTTATGATACCAACAGGCTAGTGGCCTAGCGATACCAAACCCCTACTTCTTAAAGAGAGGTCAGGGGTTCGAGCCTCCGTGGAGGCATGTGTGTGTGAGTACCCAACTAGGAAAAAAAAAATAATGTGTTTATGATAAACTAAAAGTTATATATCACAGCTTATGAACCAGATGATACAGCTCTTAGGGAAAGTAGACTTTGGTGGTATGGCCATATTCAATGTAGACCCGATGATGCATCTCTTAAAAGAGGAATAGTTGTTTGCCTAGAAGGTAAGCGTCAAAGAGGCTGACCAGAGCTTACATGGGATGAAGTAATAAAAATGATTTCAAAAAATTAAATTTGAGAGAAGACGTGGTGTATAATTGGAAAGAATGGAAAAAGAAAACTCATCTAGCTGACCCCATCCATATGGGACACAGGCAAGGATGATGATGATGATGATAAATAACAGTTTATGAACCCATTTGCAGAAAGTAGAGGGAATGACTCCAGTACATCCACCTGTGTGTGTGTGTGTGTGTGTGTTTGTTTTAACTATTAAAATAAGGACAATACTTGCCTACTCACCACTCTATTTTTGTGCCACATCAGTGGTGAGTATGAACTCCCTACTCACCACGGTGAGTAGGGAGTTCATACTCACCACTGATGTGGCACAAAAATAGATGGACAAGTGTCTCTAAATATAAAATAATAAAAAAATAAAATATTTGAGAGGTTAACGGGTTAGACCCAATAGGATCCCAATTAAATCCTAATCTAATCTAACCAAATCAAATCTTAATCTAACTCTATCCTTCACACCTTCTCTAATTCTCTCTCCCGACCACAAAACCGTGTGAGTAGGGAGTTCATACTCACCACTGATGTGGCACAAAAATAGAGGGACAAGTGTCCCTAAATATAAAATAATAAAAAAATAAAAGATTTGAGAGGTTAACGGGTTAGACCCAATAGGATCCCAATTAAATCCTAATCTAATCTAACCAAATCAAATCTTAATCTAACTCTATCCCTCACACCTTCTCTAATTCTCTCTCCCGACCACAAAACCGGAAGAAATAATGATGGTGAACATATGTTTACTAATCTTCTTTCACTCAAATTATTAGTTCATGATCTTATTTCACTTTGGAATCTATTGAGTTCTATAGTCGATGGATTCATATAGGGAATCAAGCTATACATATTATCAATCGAGCGCAAGAACCCAAGTAATTTGCTAATCACGTGGGAAAGAATAAAATTGTTCATTAAAGTACTTGTTAAACTATGGCTGACATGGAGTTATTTCTCAGAGGTACCATAAGCCATGGTGGAGGTGCGGCTGCCAAAGGAGTACATGTTTATTCCTCCTTGACATCTACTACTGCTGCTGTGCTTTATGAAGATCAGACGAAAAATAAGATTGCTTATTGAAGGCTAACCTGCTTTGAATGACTAAACTTTTACTACGCTAGTTACAGATTAGGGTTTCGGTTAGCAATGATACTGTGAGAGATAGAGTTAAATTAGGATTTTATTGGGATTCTATTGGGTCTAACCCATTAACCTCTCAAATCTTTTATATTTTTTTATATTTAGGGACACTTGTCATTCTAATTTTACGCTACATCGGTGGTGAGTATGAACTTCCTACTCACCGGTGAGTAGGCAAGTATTGTCCTTAAAATAATATCTATGATGGGAATGAGTATGGGTGGGAAAAGTGGAAAGGATAGACATTGAAATAAAAGCATTTTTTAAACTTTTAGGTTGTAATAGTAAGTGACAAGACGAGGAAACTTGGGCAAGATGCCTGGTTGCAACAATTTAAAAACTACCACAATAAACAGCGATCTACAATGAATGCTTTACAAAAATAACTAGAGGATAGAAAAATGCAGAATGTAAGGGTTAATTCATACACATAGAATCATGCTTGTGAGTGTTTATGTTATACTATTTATAGTTAAGTAGTATTGGTGGTCTCAAAATCTTAATTTGTAAATTACAGTTGCTTTTGTTTGCATAAAGTATATGTTATCTTGATTTATTGCCTTTTTTTATTTCTTTCACCCATTTGAATGACCTAATTAGTGGCAGTACAGGATAGATCTTCTTATTTCTTGCTTTCCTTTATGCAGTTTGATGTTTGGACCAGATATATGTGGCACACAGACAAAAAAGCTCCAAGTGATCCTTTCCTATCAGGGGCAGACTTATCCCATTAAAAAGGATCTACAATGTGAAACAGACAAGCTCACTCACTTCTACACATTTATTCTAAGACCTGATGCATCTTATAGCGTTCTGGTTGATAATCGAGAAAGAGAAACTGGAAGTATGTACACAGACTGGGATATCCTTCCTCCCCCAAAAATTAAAGACGTCCATGCAAGAAAGGTATGACATTGTAGAACAAATTTGGAGCATCTTCATAAGATTATCTATTTGTCTTAATCATGAAACAGTTATCTGGTCTGGTTTGTGCTATGCGTTAAAATTGGGTTGAGGTTTTGCATTTTGTAAACTGCTTTACTCTAAAGGTCCAGATGTTAAATTGAATCAAAATACCATAAGGTAATGTACAATTCTAGGGTATAATGTATGCTTATCTAGCTAAATTCATAATGGGGACAAATATTTAGCCTCTCCTGTATTTTGTTCTCTAATCTGTATTCCAATGTACTGACTTATATTTTAACTCTTACCTCCCCTCTGTTGCAGCCGGCAGACTGGGAAGATAGAGAGTATATTGATGATCCTAATGCTGTCAAACCAGAAGTATGGTTTTCTCTATTTTTACTTAAGAATGATTCAAATGGTGACATAACTTTTCCATATAAGTTCCACAAGATTATGTTGTGTTTTGGTGTTGCAGGGATATGATTCAATTCCAGCTGAAATCCCCAATCCGAAGGCTAAGAAGGTTTGTGTTGATTGCCCAAGTACTGCTTTCTTTAAAATGTCTCCTAGTCCAAATTCTCTCTCTCCATTTTTGTTTTTTTTCTCCATCATGCCTTGCAAATGGAGATCTTTTCAGTCAGTATACATCGTTATTTCTACCTTTTCTTCTATTCATTTTTTGTGACAACGTGATTTGGCAAGTAAAAAACATATTAGGTTTATTAATTGAAAAGTAAAAAAAAAAAAAAAAAAAAAAAAAACTGCTTTCCTTGATTTTGTTTTTTCTTTTTCTTTTTCTTTTTTTCTTTTAAATTAGCCTGCGGATTGGGATGAAGAAGATGATGGGATATGGAGACCACCAAAGATCCCAAACCCAGCATACAAAGGACCTTGGAAGCGGAAGGTGCTCTCAATCTTACCAAATGTCAAGAGTTTTATTTTTAAAGCTCACATTTATTGCAGTTTCAAAATTTTAATTTTGTGATGTTACAGAAGATTAAGAACCCAAAGTATAAGGGGAAATGGAAGATTCCATGGATTGATAACCCAGGTACGCTGTTCTTTTCGACCAAAAAAATAATAGTCATGTGGTTGCCAATTTTCTAGCTGATCAACCCGATTCAGTGTTCTAAAGGATTCAGTTGAGGTTTCTAACCTGTTTAGATAAATGGAATTCGTTTGGTCAGCGACCATGATTGTTTGAGTTTGGATTGATCCTCTACTTAGCTGATCATCTTACTTAGCCTTTTCTTTTATGTATAGTAGAATATATCATATTGTAATAGATTATCTTAACAATTCATTCTAATGTCTATTTGACTTGGACAAAGAATATTATGAACTAATGACCTTAATATATTACAATAATAGTTATTAATGATTTCGTGCTATTAGGAATAAATTTAGAAGATATTTTTTGTGTAGATTAAATTATAAAAGGAAAAAAGGAAATGGTGGTAAAACATGCTTTTATGGATCAGGTTTGGGTTTGAATAAATTTTAATAAATCTGGTCATTGTTTGAGTTTTGCCACCCAAATGATAATTGGTTGGTTGAGCATCTACCCTCATTGCCACCTATTAGAGAGCTTTCTTTAGTTTTTCCAATGCGGACTAGACAGAAATCTCAATTCAACTCGACACGTCTTCTTATGATCTTATTAAGTATATTTGTCAACCACTTTAATGCCTTTCAAGCCTCAATAGGAAAAACATCTTATCTTTGAGGTCTTCCTGTTATCATCTTTCTTAGTTCATTTTTTCTCTCATATGCCATGTCACTTTGGAAATAGTATATGTATATATATTTTAATTTTTATGATTTTCATTCAACTTCTCAAAGCAACTTTTCTACCTTTCTTTGTTTTTCTCATATTTCACCACAGCCCTTATGTCCGCACTCTTTATCACTTAACATGATTGGAACATTAAGTTTCTCTCTCTCAGTGTAGATAAGTTTGTTTTTACTATTATTATTCATACCTAATTTAGAATATAGATTATCATCTGTGCTATACTGTGCCTTCTCTTTTTCTTTTTGGGTGCCTATTATACAGTGAAAAAAAATTCATTTTCGTTTTTTCCCCAAATTTATGACGCACTCTTTTTGTTTTTATCATGGTTTAAGGATCATAATCACTAAATATATTTAACTATGTTCTGTCCCTTTAGTTATATTATCCCTATCTACTTTTTTAGTAGTGATCACAATTACTTTTAAATTTTTATTTCCTTTTATCACCACTCCATTCTATAATTATCTCTTCAAGATATAGTAGAGTTTATATGCTGTATTTTCAAATTCATTTGTTTCATCTCCTACTCACTCAGTTTCTTGTAGGCAATGTTGTATTCTTCCACCCCTTTACATGTTAATGTTTATATATTTTGAGTTGGTGACCTTGGCCTACTATCTTGAACTAGTTTCTTTACCTGCACCCATATAATATAGTCTAATTAAAAAGATATATGTGTATTATTATTTTTTCTTTCTGTTCTTTATGTATATTATTCCTATATTTGGTTGATCAATAGGCTGCATATATCTCTATTCACATCAACCCTGAACCAATGTACCCAATGTAGTTCCAGTAGTACTTTCCATCCGAACACAGTGTCATTTTGTCTCATTCTGAATTTTATATACTGGGTTTTGGAAGGACTCAGAAGGCAAAGAATTATTTAAATTTATTTTTGGTGTCCAGTTATTATTTATTGAAGGATTAATTTAATTATATTGCATCAATTATCTTTTAGTCTTTATGCTGGCAACCATATTTTTTATATTTCTGAATTAAGAACTTTTGCTTCAGAGTCCATTCCAACTGAATGGTTGAACTTGACACATGAACCTGTGCCTCTTCCTATTAGTTTTCTTTTATGGTTCTAAATGCACCATTTGTTTTTCTGCAGAATTTGAAGATGACCCTGACCTTTACGTGCTGAAGCCAATAAAATATATAGGAATTGAAGTTTGGCAGGTAAGAGTAATGAATCTGATTATAATTATACTGGAATTCAACAATATAAACCTGCTTTCAAAGAGTCTGAAATGATAAGAGTCAATGAGTACTTATTTTATGAAGAGAAAAGTTGGTGTCCTTGATTGTTAATTGTTCTATTAATATTACTTAAAAGCCAGGACCCTAATGTCCTGAAATTAGGTCAATTCACCAATTTCATGTCCATTTTTTGAAGCAGTTGCTGCTGTTGGTGTGGAAGTCTTCCTTTTTCTTAATTATTTTGTCCTTATTATTAATTTTTTTTCTAATGGAATTCTTTGATTGATATTCTGGTCAGCAAACAATGGGAACTTTACTAGTTACAATGACTGGAACTTGTTCCTGTGCCCAATACAGTCTTTAGCTTTATCTGAAATAACTAGAGCTTCACAAATTGTTGCATTGCAGGTAAAGGCTGGGTCAGTGTATGACAACATTTTGATTTGTGATGACCCACAATATGCAAAACAAGTTGTGGAAGACATATGGGCCAAGAACAGGGAGGTCAGTCAAAGCTCTTTAAAAGTTCATTTGATATTTAGTTAATCATCACAATAGAAGCATTTAATTTGCAAGTCTCCATCTTGTTTGAAACGTTTCAGATTGAAAAAGAGGCCTTTGAGGAGGCAGAGAAAGTTAGAAGAGCGCAGGAAGAGGAGGTGACTAACAGAGTTTAATTGCTAATGCAGTTCTGTGGTTTGGTGTTATTGGGTCCCAATAGGTGTCATAGTTCTTCTAAGAATTTCTTTTTCAGAATATTCTCTATTTTTAATTTAAATAATATTGTGTGTAGGATGCTAAAAAAGGGGGAGACAAGAAGAAAAAACGGCGCCGAAGGGTATTGTCATAAATTTTTTTTTTTCTATTATTCCCATGAATTTAAGTGTCCATCCAGTTCCTATGTGCTGCTCTACATTTCGATCAATATCTTATTTTGAACTAAAATCAACTAGTGTCCGTCTGTCGTGTTTAAGCAGGTGCAGAATGAGTTAGTTGTTCTTTTCTTTTTTCTACTTGGGAACTGAGTTAATTTTTTTTGTTTAAAGCTCTAATAGCAATTTTATTAGCTCTATAGTTGCACAATATCCGTACCTATCTTAAAATGGTTCAACAGCGGACTGTCCAATATCTGTAATTAAACTCGCAAATGTTTGGCAAATGGTATCTTTTCCTGTAAATCCATGTATAAAGCTATTTTTCCAAGCTAAGAGGGAAAAAATTAAATAAATAAATAAATTGAAAATAGTTACAAAGTTTCTTGTCAGATTGTTTTATTTGATTTCCAAAGATTCAACCATGTATTTGATGATAAAGTGGACTCCGTGCGAGTCATAGTAGAGAAGATTGAGTCTACAATGTCTATTTTGGCATCAAAATTGAAAATAGTTTCAAAGTTTCTTGTCAGATTATTAAGATTGGAAGATTTAGAAGATCTATACTATATCATACTTCTTTTGCTTTAAGAAAATGTGTGTCATTCACTTTCTTGTGATGAACTATTCCTAAAAAACCAAGGACTCATGTGTAGGAGTTATGAGAAAAGCGAGTTGTTTGGTAATTATGATGCTAACAAAAGGGGTTTACGAGCTTCTTTGAAAGGTCCGAAAGAAATATACAATTGTGGATGTCATGGCTTCTGAGTGGAAGGAGATGGCTGTAATGTCATCAAAAAGATCAATGGAGGAGGAGAAAGCTCTGACCATAATTCTAAAATTATAGAAGCAGTTCACATAAGTAGAACCCTGGGTTACTTTTTTCATGTGGGTTCCTACCGTCAACGGTTGTTTCTTCGGATCAGAAACCTCAGACAAAATGAGCTTTGGCATTAGAAGACTTGATTTCAAACACCATACGTCCATAATTTGGGGGTTCCAAGATATGTGGGATAATTCTGTTCTTCGGATTATAAGGCTATTATAGTTTTAGATTTCCATTTTAATGAAGTATCTATTCACCGGAACATATAATACCCTATTATCATTGATAACTTTTTTGTTTACAGGGATGCATCTATTTTCATATGTTTATACATGTACACGTCTAGTAACGTATATGTATAGAAATGCATGTGTGTGTATTTAGGTAATACATATACATCTAAGTACGAATTTTGAACATTAATGCATGTGACAGAATGTTGGGCAGCTGAGAAAAACGTATTCACAAATTGAGTGTGGCGGAAATGTGAATGTTGAGATGGATGTGCAACAAGACAAGAAATAATAGAAATAGAACTTATTAGATTGGTGAGATGATTGGAATAGCCCATTGGGGATAGAATGAGAGAATATCAATCAAGATTGTTTTTAGACACATGGAAAGAAGACACTAAGTGCACAATTAGGAAGAGTCTAGAGTGGCATGGTCCACAATAGGAGTAATTTTCGGGAAAGGGGAGGACCAAAATTGACATGGGAAGAATTAGTAAGGAAAGATATGATAACATGTGATTTGATTAAGGTAGCCTTGGAGTAAAATGAAATAATCGGATTCATGTAGCCGACCCTAGGTAGTTGGAAAAATGTCTTTGCTTATTGTTGTTGTTGTTGTTGTATGCATGTATGTATATGTATGTATATGCATATCATAGGATGCATGAATGAAATAGGTTTGAAGAAATATGTTGCTATAGGCTTGCAACAGAATACCTAAGATTCAGACTGTATGATAATCAAAGTTAATTTAATGAGACCAGATGGGATTAGTTGTCAGTTTATTAGGTTGAATACACTGGTATTTGTATTGCTGCTGACTTGCCTTTCAAGCAATGTAGCTGTGATCTTCATGGGGAATGATGATGATGACCACCTATTGCTAGGAAATGCTACACTTATTTATGGAATCTAACTTGAATTCCTGTCTTCTTGCAGTATGACCCCGACGACTACTTGGATGATTACCATGTAAGCATCTCTCTCTCTCACACACACACAAACACAACTTATCTTTTCAGAAGAGCATGAAGGAGAAGTTATTTATGACTGCCAAACGTAAAAAAGAAGTGCAGAAGCTATCTTTACTTGATAATCTTCATCTTTTAAAACTGCAGTACAGTTAATCAGTTTGGTTGAAAGAACTTATAACATTTCTTTTGCTACCTTAATAGTTGTTAGGAACCATTATCTCTCTACTGGATTGGGTTCAGCATTTAAGGCTTATATTTATGCAATTTATGCTGACCACATTCTGATATAGGTTTGAATATTGCATGAGCTCATACTTGTATTAAATCTAATAGGAGAAATGATGTTGATGATGCTGGAAATTTTTTTGTATTATAATCCATGTGGCCGACTCGGTCATACTGGACAAGGCAATGATGTTGATGATGCTGGAAAATTTATTGGCCTCTCGTTCACATGTAAATATAAAACTAAATGCGAGAATTCTTTTACTCTGTTATTGCAGGATGAACTATGAGAGGCAATCGACGGCTAGTGAAGTTTTGAATCACATCCAGAAGAGAATATTAGCGTTCAACATTGCTGAAGCAGTATTTTTTCATCATTTTGTATAATAATTGTTGTAACATTAGAGGTTACATACAAGAACTAGTTCGGGCCAAACTATGGTTTAATGGGGTGGGGATTTGAATATATAATTTCCCATTTGCCAGACAATAATATATGCTACGTTGGATAGAGTCCTGATATGATGTAAAGTAACAATTCCTATCTCTTTTGACTTTAAGCAGCCATTTCTGTTCCTAATTACACGACGTGAAGAAATTATTGCTAAATATGTTTGGCGGAAAATTTGTTTTCTTCCTTGTGTAGAAATGCAGGGTGGTTAGAATTCACGAAGAACTCAATAGATTAACAGTATTCTTGGAAAAAAGAACTTGAGAATTGAAGCATGAATTGAAATGACAAGATTTTATTAACTGGGTATTAGATTGCGAGTTTAAACTGTAACAAAGAAGTTATTAATTCAAGTTTGCATCACTTTATATAGAAGAAATTGTGGTAAAATTTCAAAACAAATGTGGTGCAAATTTGAAATAAAGTTTGTGCAAATTTAAACAAAAAACTGTAACAAGTTTAAATTAGTACGTGTCCACATATTTCTCCTCCTTATCCAACAGGCTCCACGTGTACAGGTCATTTTGTCGCCACCAACACTTGACTAGTAGTAGCAGGCACCCATCACAAATATAAAAAATTAATTCTATTTTTAATCAAATTAAAATAACGCGAGGCAATTAATTGAATTCCATATGAGATGATTGTATTGTTGTGAGCCAAGCGCCAACCCATACACACTCTCTCTGTACACGAAGAAATTAAATGAAATGAAAACGACTCAGATGATGATCTCAAGAGCGTCCTGCGTTATGCCTTCCTTCCCTTGTTCTAGGGTTTGTTTCTCTATTTGTGTACCACCTCTCTCTCTCTATTACTCATATAAGTGTGTATTCATTCATTGTCGTACCTGCAAAATTGTTAATTCATCTGCCCTTTTGATTTTTCTCAAAATTTATTCACAATTGTTCAAACTATCTTTCCCCAAGTGTTGGAAAATTTTGAAACATTACAACTCGTAAGGGTAGTGTTGGAATTTATGAATTTCTGATTTGGGTGGGAAATCAAATGGGAATGAATGCTTGCCGAGATTTAATTCGTTGAAAAAAGTTTTTTTTTTCACTTACCTTGTTCGGTGTAATTTTCAGTAATATACCGTGTATGTGTTGCACATGAACAAATGTTATTGTGGGAGTGATGGTGGTTGTAGTCAAGCGACTACTTGTATGGTATTGCTAGTTCCGGACTAACTATGAAATATTCAAATGTTATCTTATCCGCATCACAATGTTTTTGTTGATGTGATTTCAGTATAAAATTTTGATGTCAGCGGTCTTGTCTGTCTTACAATGAGAACCCTTTTTTTTACACTTAGAATTTTGGGGTGTTATACAATTCCCTTTTTTTACACTTGAAATGTGTCTGTTGTCTATGCTCTTGGTTGCGTTTGGCATGGTTTGGGTGTCTCCCGGTTCCACGGTGGACATGTCAGAGGCTTGGAGAGGGTGTATGGTGGAGAGCCGAGTCAGAGATGATTGGAGGGGCATTCCCTTTGTTGGTGGGGATTGGATTGTGGTGCAAGAGAAATAGGAGATCCTTTGATGAAGAGGAACCTCCAATTTGGTCTCTCAATACAATATACTGTATACTTTATTTTTTTGGGTTAATGAACTTTATGGGCAGCATTGTAAATCAATGGGGGATCTTTTAGATTTTGTGGATAGCTTGAAAGTTTAGTGGTTTAGTGTCGCCTTGGGCACCTTTTGTTTTCTTTTGGGAGCACTCTCCTTTTGAGCGCTTTTAATAAAATCTTACTTATTAAAGAAAGTTTTCTTTATTATGTGATATCTAGCAAGTAGCAACAGTGGCTTTTTAATGCTCTCAAATCTGTTCTTTACCTTTATTCTAGGCATAATTGGAAACACTGGATAGTGCTTGTTGCTTTAATATTTTAGCCTAGTAGTTTGTTTACCAATGACACTTGCGATTTTGTGGTGATACCATTTCACATCCTATACATGAATATTTGAAAATCTCTTATTTTTATTTATATTTATTTTTTTATGTTTTAGACGAGGAGAGGGTTCTGCGTATGGCCGGGCATGAGACAACTTTGTCTTAGAAAAAATCTCTTGTATGGATTTGTGGGCTTCTTTTCGATGCCATACAAAACCTTGTGTAGCGTTACCAATATTTCCTCCACACTGCAAATTGAATCGGTAAGACCTCCTCATCTCTTTTTTCTTACTGTAATTAATGGTTTTGCTGCTTTGCTTGCGTTATGATTCGTCGTTTTATGGTACTTATCTCAATACAGTAGTTCTTTCTTTTACCATTATATTGGTGTTCTTTTGATCATTTGCTCTTCAGCTTACTTTTACTTCCACAAATGCTTTGTCAGATTAAATATTGTGACATGACCACCTAAAATGAATTTCAAAGATGCAATGCTTCACTCTATGTGGTATTATGTATTTTCAGAATGCATGGCGAAATATGAACCATCTGACCCAGCTGTACCGGCAGGGAAAGACATTATCCTTATTGTACTTTTCTGAGTTAGTCTAGTTGAATGTATATGAATGCATGTGAATGGGTGTACATGGCACGGACACGAGCGTGGTACATGCTACGGGGTGGCTTAATGTAGGATGAGTGCGAAGAATTCTCTCATACGATTTGTATAACAAAATCAATGTAGGGCTGTTTTAAAAAGGCTTCTTAAGGTTGATAATAATAAATTTTCTGCCTGAAAATTGTTAGAAATGTAAAACCAGGATTTAAGAAGGTATAAGGAAATGGTAAGGGTTGAGGCTTGCATTATGTATGAAACGAGGAAGTTTGGTGGCTGTTCTGGTTCTGAACATTACCTGTGAGTGTTAATCTGGGAATTTGGAACATTTTGTCTGCTTGGGATGAGTAAATGAGGGAGGAAGGTTTCTGGGCTTGTAAAATAAGAATAAGGCTAGAGCTTTTAAATCCGAGATGTTTGTAGAATTCTAAAGGCTTGAAATTTCAGAGAATTAAAGAGAATAATAATAAGAAAAGTACGCAATATTCCTTGGGCTTTTTTAATTAATAAAATTCTCTTTTCTTTGAAGTTTCTCTTTTTTGAAATTGTTGTGGTTTGATGTCACTTTTCCCCTTACATTGAAATGGTGGGAAGTGATAGTAGAAAATCTTTTTTTTTTTTTTTTTCCTTTACTGAGAAATTGAAAATGTTGAGAAAGAAGAAATCAGTGATTGGAGAAATTGGCATCAGAGAAACTTTCTTCTTATTGATCCAAAACATGAACTATAGTTGTATCACCCGTTGTTTTTGTCTCCTTTGGTTTCAGAATGGTTTCTTTGATATTCTGACTCATGGCAATAATCTCAAATTTTCTCTTTTTAGCCTGTTCTTCTGTCAAAGTATTTTCTCTTAATTCCCCTGAGTTTCTTAAGCATTTTGTCCATTTTTGAGAACTTTTTTCCATCATCAGGTGCCCTGTCTCAAGGACAACTATGCATATCTTTTACATGATATGGATACCGGTACCGTGGGAGTCGTAGATCCTTCTGAAGCTGTACCTATTATTCATGCCCTGAGTAAGAAAAATCGAAATTTAACGTACATACTAAATACTCATCATCATTATGATCATACTGGTGGGAATATGGAGTTAAAAGCAAGGTATGGTGCAAAGGTGCGACAGTTTGATCTTCTTCTCAGTTTATATGTTATTTTTTCAATTTTAAGTGTATCTTTGAAGTTTGAGTGAGGCTCAAAGTGCATTAACTCATAAATGCTATGATCATTAACGCATAAAAGTTAGGATCGTTTCAACTCCAAGTAGTTTTATTTACTTCTTGCTTCTTAGTACCCATGTGGGGTTTATCTTCTGGTTGTTGTTTACTTCATTTACAAGGTCATATTTGGACTTTACTTTAGATGCTTATATGGAGGAAGATCTCATCCCTCTGTCCACTTTGAAGAAAGTGCCCTTTTTCCCCCTCCAAGAATATGATAGTTTCTAAATTTCTTCCAAACAACAGAATATTGTCCATTGGGTTCTTGATGCAGGAGCATTGAACAAATCTCTCAAAGACAACTAAATTTTGATTTGAAAGATAAATATTGGAAACAAAGGGAATGATAAATTTAGGTAAATTAGTTTAAATTGGCCAAGATTCACATGTCAATTGGGTGCGATTTGATCAAGTATAAAGCTGGACTAGTGGCCTTTGTTTCCTATTGTTATTATTTATCATATTGTTACATGCAAGGGAAACATAAGCATAATGTGGTACCGCTCAGTTTTTCTGATGGACTAAAAAATTTATCATAATTGAAATTTTTAATCTTAATTTTGAATGGACTAAATACAATGGCTGACTAGCAAAGCTGGCTTTTCTTTTCTATGTTATTTGTAGGTAATTGGCTCGGGAATAGACAGGGATAGAATTCCTGGCATTGATATAGTTTTGAATGATGAGGACAAGTGGATGTTTGCTGGCCACGAGGTGCTTGTAATTGAAACTCCTGGTCATACCCGAGGTTGTATTTCAGTACTCAGTCAGTAGAGAATTATCTCATGTTGTTCTAGACTTCAATAGATGAAGATAATTTATTTATTTCTAAAACCAAGTTCTGCAATTGTGATATCACTTTACCTTCTTCCTTGTGACTGAGCATTTTTAGATTTCAGTTTGTGTTTAGAATGTTTGGCATGAACGTTTGGTTTATTTTCTTTTTGCATAGAATTCTCTCGTTCTTTAAATTCATTATTGTCATCATCCTTGCACATATCTCGTACGATGTAGGAGTTTTCATCTTTATTTTTTTAAACATATCCATGTAGGACATTCACCCCGGCATTCTGATGGTTATGGTTGTAATAGATTGGCTGTTTTAATTTTGTTATCCCTCGCTCACCTATCAGTTACTTGTGGTCTTCTTTGCATTTATTGTATTATGAATCAGCTCTAGCTTTATGGGTGAATTTTTTCCCTTCAAAAAGGTTGAAATGACTAATGTTACAATTTAAGATACATGTAAAGGGAAGGAGTTAATGTAATCGTGAGGATTACAAAGTAATTTTAAAACTAGTACTGTTTTGAACTTCACATTTGTGAATATTTTAATACTTAAGAGTGAGGTTATACTTGAATATAATAAGAGAAAGGTTGAAATGTCTTACAAATTACAAAGTAATTAAAACTAGTTTTGTTTTGGACTTCACATTTCTGAATATTTTAAGACTTAAGAGTGAGTTTACGCTTGAATATAATAAGAGAAGCTGCTTTGGCAAAGTACTAGCACCCTGCGTAGGCTGGACATATTCTGGATTATGCATTTATTTGATATGTTTTATTTCTAGTTTCATCATTTCAAGGAAATTTACACTCTTTTTTCCTTCATATTGATCTTAATTGCGAGCAGGTCACATTAGCTTCTACTTTCCAGGATCAAGGGCAATTTTTACTGGGGACACTTTGTTCAGCTTATCATGTGGCAAGCTTTTTGAAGGAACACCTGAGCAGGTAGATTTTTTTTTTCATTGGCAAGAATCACACTCACACCCACTTTTTGGCCCTATGGGCACTTGAACTCTTGGCCTTCTCTTTTAGAAGGTGAGGAAGGACCACTAGGGCTACAAGGACCTTGGTGATTAGGTAGATTTTTTTCTTCAGTTATGATACTGGTCATGTCCCTGTTATGAGCTTAGGAAAACTTATCTTATTATTATTATTATTTTTTGTGTTGGTGTTGACTTCCATCTTGTTAATTATTTATCCCTCTGGTCATTATATATATATCAACCTCTCTGTGTATTTTCTTGTGTGCTTAGATGAGCGGAAGGAGCAGTGTCAAAAGAGTGATAATTCATTCAAAGTTAGTAGTCAATGTGTTTCTTGTATATAAGATTAAAAGGTTGCTGAGTGATGTGATCATTTGTGAGAAGCTGTTTGTTCAGATCTACCAAGTTTTTGAACCTAAATATTTAGGGTGAAATTATAATTCATTAATTTTGTCTTTTTCGGTTGATGAAGATACACATGACCTAGGGAACTAGCCTTGCTTCCTTGCTTATTCTATGGACACTTCTCCACCCAATATTGTTTAATCCTCCATAAATCTGCTAGTGGAGCTTTGGAGAAGTCAGCATCTGCTTTGCCAGCAGTCCAAAAATGATAGTTTCTCAGGGCCAATACAACCTGGCTTATGGCATCAGCATTACAAAGGTACTTCTTGAATATTGAGCCTACATTTAAGTTACTCAGGATGCTTCTGCTTATCTCCGAAATCCTGCAACTTAGGAAGATTGGTTAAGACCCACTTAGTCATATTAATTACTCATTGCCCTTGAGACTTTATGTGTCTATACTTGACCCTCTTAGCAGCTTCCTTACCACATCTGGAGCAGTAACATTCAGTCGAGGGTTACTCTTGGTGTCCTGAAGCATGTTCATGCTGATGCTTCTCTGCATCAAACATATGTTAGACACTAGTACTGTAGTATTCCCTATGGAAGAGAGCGATGATGATTACTCTCTCCACTCTGAACTGGAATGCCGATGCAGGCAACATTCTAAACACACTCTGAAATTATGAACTTAAAAGAGAGAAGCTTTCCTAATACCCCTTATATAGAGGTAAAAATTATTATGATAAACCTTATGTCGACACCCTCTGAAGACACTGGTGGCTCCCAATCTTCAATAAGACCTTGCCACGTCACCTGAAGATGTCTATTTTTGATAAGTAAATAATGGAATAAAGAGCATTCAAAAGGCATCCCACAAGAGCTACAAAAGTCCAAAAAGGGCCTCTAAATCCTCAAAGAACCCAAAAGATCAACAAACTCCTCTATGGATTTACAATTTCTCCCTAGAACCCAACAAAAAAGAGTTCTAATAATGGAGAATTTCAAAGACCCAATAGGATTTTCCTTTCCTTCGAAAGATCTCCTATTTATCTCAAGCCAAATGCATCACCAAACACATAAAGGTGTAACCCTCCAAAAATCACAGACTTGAACCGCCATTGTACAACCTTTCCGAGCCTCAATCAAACATCTAGAAGACCTCGGCATAACCCACTGATACCCAAACAACCCCAACATCAAAATCCAAAAATCCCGCGCCACTGGGCAATGCAAACGAAGGTGATCAACTGTTTCCTCATCATTCGTACACATAAAGCACCAGTTAATGACAATCTGTCTCCTTCTCCTTAGGTTATCTTGAGTCCAAATCTTCCCTAAGATGAATGTCCATGCAAAAAACGCCATTTTGAGCAGAGCCTTGGAACGCCAAATAGCCTTCCACGGAAAGGGAGGGGTCGGAGCATCTGAAAGACACCTATAAAGAGATCTAACATCGAAGCGACCCTAACAAGAGAGAAGCCACATCCGAGAGTCAGAAACATCTCCCATGATCTCCTGTCAATACAAGAGCTCCAAAAAACCAATAACATCCTCAATTTCCCAGTCCTGAAAATGCCTCAAGAAACGAACATCCCAAACTATTTTCCCACTATCCAGGTGAAAGCAGTCAACCACCATAGCCTGACAATTTGAAGCAATCTGGAAGAGTCTAGGGAAAGTGAGCGCAAGAGAACGATCGCCACACCAAATGTCCTCCCAAAAGTGGATTCTCCTGAATGACGAAGCGTGGAGGTAAAAATTTGGGTACTAGACCCATTCACCATGTTTTCCATATCTGCAGCTCATGTGGCATTCTCCCACTTAGCTTGTGGATTGTTTCACCTCACTACATGTTGGCTCATGTGAAATGCCACATGGCATCTTTTCAACAACTTGGTATTCTCCTTTACGTATCTGACATATGCACACATCTTCTTTTGGAACATGGTCAATGTGAGACACAGTCACATTTTCGTGTAATATTTCCATCATTTTCGTGCAATATTTCCATCCTTGGTGTCAACAAATGTGGTGCCTTGACTTTACACCTCAACTTGAGTGGTAAGAATGAGGTTCTCTGCAGACATACTCTCTGTGTTAGAGCTATTTCCATGACGATTATCCTTCTATCACATGTTTCTCCAGAAGTTAGCGTTTGCTGGAATTTTCCAGGTGATTTATTGCACTCTCTCTACATCAGCTCACTTCCAAACTAGGCCTTCTGCAGATGCCGACACCTTTAAATATCCATAGCTGCTTGAGTCCATAGTGGGGTTTTGGAAGCTTCTGAAATTCACTTTATTGCACTGTGACATCAAGGTTACGGCTTGGTTCTTAGCAAATTCTTGGCTTGGCAGCTGAATTTAGTGCTTATTAATGTGTATATCTAGCTACACTCACAGCTAGGCTGGTCTTGGAGAGAGTGTTACCGCATTCTCGCAGAGACGTGTTCATGATATATCGTGCTCTGCGTGTTCTACCTCATTTGATAATATTTTATACCACTAGTTATATCTTCATTTAGACACATTTCCCAGCACTTGTGCCAGCTGGTCAGATGTTCTTTGTACTCCCGCTATCATATATTAGGTGTTGGACTGCTTGCCCCATTTCAAAACTTTGGGAGGGGAAAGAGTGACCTCAAGATCTCCAACATCATGAGTCTCTCTAACAACCAAACCCCTCCCCCCCTCCTTTTTCCCTGCTCCCTAAGATTGCATTATTTTTAGTTTAATTTACAATATGGATATTAAAATATTTTATAGTGTGAATAGTATATATTCTTTAGTATCTAATTGGATTACTATCTCAGTGAAACTAGCCATTTGTGGTTACATTTCTGAATAATGAAGTTTTGAGATTTTGAAATATTGCGAAACATAAACAACAAATAAAAGGTAAATGAATGTTATTTTACAATTTGAAATATAAATAGTACTGGAGAGTATATATTTCTGATCTCGATGAGACTTTGTGGTTACGTTTCTAAATGGTGAAATCTTGAGATTTCGGATTATTGTAAAAAATAAGATATAAATGAAAGCATGTTATAATTTTAATTTTTATCTGATGCCTAAAAGGATCTTACTATTTTTTAATTTAAATTGAATTATCGGCATTGTATAACTCCTATAGATTTGCTTCTATTTGTAAAACATACACAGTTCCCTGGGGAACTTCATATCTTTTGCAAATTTGTTGAAGATTCAGAACATTGCTATTTTCAGAGGTAGTTATTTGTCACACACTCAAACACCCTAAGACTAGCCATTCTGTTTATTTAATGACACTTGGCATTTGAGGGAAAAAGAGAGAAGAAGTTTGTATCAGGTCTAGTTACAATTCTGAATGTTTCTGTTCCAGATGCATTCTTCCCTCGGAAAGATAATATCTTTACCAGATGACACAAATGTATACTGTGGCCACGAATATACATTGGTAAGTTATTTTTTCTTTATTGGCTTTTTATGTTCCCTCTCTGGTTTAAGTGTTTCTGAGGGCCCTAACTTTGCGAAAGATTTTGACAGAGTAATTCAAAGTTTGCACTGTCTATAGAACCCAACAATGAAGCGTTGCAAAGTTACGCTGCCCAAGTAGCTAATCTCCGCAGTAAGGGCTTGCCGACGGTAAATATTGACTTCCTTTTCCTGGCAACTTATTTCTAGGTCCTTGCATGGCATTAATTTTTCCTTTCAAAATTGTGATAACTGAGGGTTGCCCTTAAATATCTAATATGTTAAACTTGATAATTCTAAATATTGATAACATTTTGGAAGATTCTATGTGATTCGATTGTGGATAATTAATAAATATATTGCTTTTAATTATATTCTTGCATGTGTCATGTTTTGCTGATAAATTTTTCAAGAAATCAAATATGTAGGTTTGCTACATTGGCTTTACCAGCAGTAAGTGGATTTATTTGTTTTATAATATAATAATCAGACTTTAGGAATAAATTGTCCAGGTAAAATTTTTGGTTCATAGTGCACAAAAGTATCTTCTTCTTTTCTTAAATTATTTTTTTAATGTGTAGGATATTAAGAAGTGTTTGACAAGAGTTTTTTTTAAATTTTGCCATAGTTCATTACCATTTTTATGTGATAAAGGATTTTGGTTTACTCTGTTGATGCCTCATGGCCCTCGTGTTCGATGCAAGCACTTGATAAATTATTAAATGTGTAGCTTGATGCATGCATTTGATACAAAATTACTCCTAATTTTTATGTTTCATACCTTTTTTGACTTGATTTCACAGTTGTGCTGCACTTATTTATTTATTATATTTTAGCATATAGTCTCATCTCCAATACAAACGTAAACTGAATGGCTTTAACTGTCCCAAAAAGTGGGGCCATAGAGAAGTGGAGATGAGCTTTCCCAGTTTGACTCCAGGCTTTGGTTGGTTGAGATTTGGAACACAGTTGAGGTTGGACTGGGCTCATCATGTGTTTCAAGTACTTAGAACAGATCTAACTTAAAGCTGAAGCTGAACAGATATCTTGTAGATACATCCATGATATTGTAACACTAAACAGATCCATGGTGGCTTGATTTAGGCAGTGGACAAGTTTTCTTGGGGCTTAGCCTGGTGATTTTTGATTGAGCTCAGATGAATTGCCACTTGCCAGCAATCTAAGCTAAGCTGGTCAATTCATTGGAGCCTAACTAGTCTATGAATGAGAAGGGAGGGATCATATTTTTATTGATAGATAAAGTTCTTAACTTGATTTTTGTCAGTCTATTGGGTCCTGCATTGGTTCTTGCTGAACATCATATTCTTTTAATTTTCCTTGACTACATGTGACTATTATTGTGGTGTCTTAGATTCCAACTACACTAAAGAAAGAAAAGGCATGCAATCCATTCCTTCGCACTTCAAGTATGGAGATCCGGCAGTTGTTAAATATTCCAGCCACGGCAAATGATGGTGAAGCCTTGGGTGTCATCCGCCAAGCAAAGGATAATTTTTAGGAATGACTATATTACCTATATTTGTTTGTGTATGAGACAAAATGAGTGTGTTCATTGTGTGAAATGTAACCTATATTGTTGGCCATTTAAAAAAATTTAATATATCGTTGGATGGCTAGTTCTTTTGTACATTTTTTTATTGGATCTTTCTTTTAGTTGTTGTTGAATCTGTTTTTGGTTGATGAATCTATGATGGTCAGAATCTAACTACCTGTGTTCATCTGTAACTAAAGAATTTAATTTAAAGGCTGCTTGCTGATGAATCTATGATAGTCAGAATCTTACTACCTGTGTTCATCTGTAACTAAAGAATTTAATTTAAAGGCTGCTTGCTCTTTATTTTGGGTTTTGGGATTTAAGCTGGGTTGGGGATTTTTTTTTTGTTCCTTCGCCAAGATGAAAGGGAATGTTGCATTGAGTGCTGGACATATCTTCTTTTGCATGCACTGCTACCAAATTATGAAGCACTTCACCTAATTCTAAACAAGTGATTAATTGGTAACCATTAATTTCTCAAGGCCACCTCCTCTGTATCTAATAATATTCTTCTAACTTAGAAATCATGATCTACCGCTACCTATATATCTAACTATATATATATATATATATATATATATTCATAGAGAAAGGGGGAAGCAGAACAAAAGTGAGAATGAACAGAAGTACAGTATTTATGTTTACAGATCAAGAATGCTGAATAACAATCCAGAGGCACAATTTTGGTCATACATGTTAATGGAGATCAGAAACTCCCTTATTTACAGCTTATTTCAAACACACAATTGGGGTTATTCATCATAATTGACCAAATATAATTTTACTTCATCCTGCCCTAAAAGTAAATCTTTATTCTGCAGAAAAGGGAAATCTACATCCTGCAGCCAAGACAAATATTTATACACCATGTCTGCAGTTTTCAATTCCATGTCCGATTTTTCTTGCAGCGAATGCTCCTCCTACTCTCCATCCATGGTGTACGCAATTTCCAATTCGATGGGTTTTAACTGCTCTTCTATTCCTTTTTCTTGCAGCAGCTCTTGGTGGGAGTGGGACATATTTGAAAATTGTTTCTGCTGGTCTTCATCCATCATCGAAACATATAATTTCATGTCTGATTTTTCTTGCAGCAAATGCTCCTCCTGCTCCTCAGTTAAATACTCTCCGTCCTTGGTGTATGCAATTTCCAATTCCATGGGTTTCAGCTGCTCTTCTACTCCTTTTTCTTGCAGCAGCTCTTGGTGGGAGTGGGAGTGGGACATATTTGAAAATTGTTTCTGCCGCTCTTCATCATTGAAACATATACGCTCCAGCCAATTTAAATATTCTTCATCTGCAGTTTCTAATTCCATGGGTTTCAGCTGCTCTTGTAATCCTTTTTCTTGCAGCAGCTCTTGGTGGGAGTGGGAGTGAGACATATTTGAAAATTGTTTCTGCTGCTCTTCATGATCATCAAAAAACATATGTTCCAGCCAATTTAAATATTCTTCATTTGCATTTTCTAATTCCATGTCAGATTTTCCTTCACAGTTATTGTTGGATTTCAGCTGAGTATGTTCTAAACAAAGAATTAATCAGTAGAACTTATATATATATATATATATATATACATACAACTCAAGCACATCATTAAGCAATAACATGCATGCATAACAAACACAGATTTTTGATGTACCTCTTTTATTATAACTTATGCATGAGCTAGGAACAGAACTCAATTCAAAAGAATATATATATATATATATATATATATATATATATATGAAGAATTTGAGTTCATGCATTAGTGATACATTCTTATGTACCAGTATATAAGTCCATTTGAATGCACTTTTCTATTCAGCATGCTCTTTAAATATGGCTTACATATATATATACACACACGCACGCACATATATGCAAAGATTCAGTTTATTTATTTATTTATAGCTTCAGATTCAACTATAGAATGCTCGCCATGCATTAAGAACTACATCTTTCATTTTCAAAAATTAAAAAGGTTTCCTTATTAACAATTGCAAATAGAATTTACATGATGTCTAGCTCACATGCATTAAGAACTACATCTTTCATTTTTGAAAATTAAAAAGGTTTCCTCATTACTAATTGCAAATACAATTAACATCTGTTTTATTTGTTTTCATGTCTAACTGTCTTAATTTATGCAGCTCATCACCAATGATAAATTATAAAATATATTACTCACATAGTACGTACTGAAATTGGTCCAGAGCACCTCATAATGTAAGAAAGGACTGCTATATATATATATAGCTACTTTCATGTCTACCTAGCTAGCTTAGTTATTCAAATTGGAACATATACTCAATAAACAAATATAAATATTAATTTCATGCATGATGTTATTATTCAAAATACATATGAATTATATTGATAATTGAAGTATTTAACTATAATCTCAGCGAAGAATACATGCATGCATACAAATTAATTAACTAACTGAGAGTACTTTATATACATATATAATAGAACTCTAAATTAATGTACTTATTAATACATAGCATATAGTACGTACCGTATCTCTTGAAAGACTATACTCATGCATAATCCAATCAGTTTTCATGCATTCACGACGATTTCGATTTTTGCTCTTGTACTTGTAAAATGTTGAGGTTTTGATGTAGCCAATGACTTTCAAATTTCGGGTGTTTCGCATGTATTTGTGTCCAGTGCTGGCCTTCCAATATCCTCCAACATCAAACTTCTCTTTTACATCTCTATCGGGCCTCTTCCCTCTATCACTAGTTACACATTTCTTCTGTCGACTTACAAAATAATATCTATCACACCCATGCTCATCATTATCCATATTGCTATTTGACCCATGAATATCATCTGATATACATATAGACAATTAATTAAAGTCATATATAAGAATATTAATTAATCAAGGATTGAATTTAAAGAAACTAATACTCTATATATAAATAGAGAGTTAGATATGGCATTGCTTAACCAGTCGATATCATGATATAGGAACTAATTACTTAAATGAAAGAAACCACGGCTCACATGCATAGATGTCCATATCAATGACTGCATTGGATGGCAGTTGTTCACCATTAAGCTTCCTCCTCAAGTAATCAGAAAGGAATTCTTCATCAGTTGGTTCAAACCTATATCCAACTGCTAGTACCTGATCATGAGTACTTCCACAAGCACTAAGGTACTGATCACCATATCAGTATTCATGGGACTAATTTGCAGCTGCAAATTCTCACTGCTTCCTACAGTTAATTTCTTGTTTATCCTTTTACTCCCATCCCGGATTCTACACAAAACACATTCTTGGAACTGCACTCACACACAACAATTAATTAATTAATAATGAATAAATCAAAAATTAATGTTTGGACATCTATACAGAGAAGAAGAAACATACTGCAGGGTAAATATGTATCATATATTAAAAAATTATATTAAACATACCTTATCCTCTTTGAGCTTAAATTTATGCATGATCCAATCAGTTTTGATGCTTTCTTCACGTCTTTGATTGCTATTTTTGTAACTGAAATATGTTAACGACATCACTGAACCAATAGGATTGCCTAGCTTATCTCGAATGGATTTATTGTTGTTGGCCCTCCACCATCCTCCGCAAAAGTGTCCTTTAACTCCCCGTTTTGGTGTTATACCATTCCCAGCTACGAATTTCTTCTTTCTTTCTACAAAGTAAAATTTATCAAGCTCGTTCATATCATGATCTGTTACATAAACATGTGCAAGATATAAGAATATAATCGAGAAAATTAAACCACAAGAATTAATCTAGTGAAAGATAATAAATATATATATATATATATACACACACACAGGCTAATTACAGTGTATGCACACACAGTCACACACACATATATAAGATGGATATATAAATATGCGTCTACATGTATCAAATAGGGTTTGGGAGACGGTTAATTAAAAAGATAGCAAAGACAAAAGAAAATATAATATTTGTTATTTCTTAGTTTTCTTTTGTGTCTTGCATGTGTTGTACAAAGGAAATCAGTGAATTGTGTGTGCTCGATCCATACGTCTTGGGACGCTGGTTGAATACGTTTCATATATATATATATATATATATATATATATATATATATTCTCAGACCGTATCAAATAATTCATTGTAGTGAAAGTTGATAGGATTCTGGACAAATAATTGGATAGACAATGGTCCACTTACTAACCTCTTCAATGAATGAACCATACAATCATTAAGATCATCCACCAACATGAAATGTTAGCTCATTTGTTAACTCCACCGACACAATATATATACACACACACATGCACTATATGCTACCTCACCGCCTCAAGCTCCAGAATTAATATGCTACCTTTTCACCGCCTCAAGCTCTAGAATTAATATGCTCCTTCCTACCAATTATCAGGTGCTTCTAATTTTATAATAAAAGATTTGATAAAATGCACCGGCTGTTCTAATCCATACCCTTCTCTCCAAGGGTCGCGTCGCCTCCAATTCACCAAACCACCACTCGACCGCCTCATCCCCGAATTCCTGGATTGTGCTGTCAAACCCATCACCCACTTTTCGCGTCACTGGCAGAAGCTTGCTCAAATCATGGCAACGTTGGTCTGGGCTTCGCACTGATCTCCGCAGCCTCTCCTCTAGCCGTATTTCTCGTCGTTTCTGTCGGCGGCGACGTTAAACCCACCGAATTTTCGCGTCACTAGCAAAAGCTTGTTCAAATCGTGGCGGCGTTGGTCTGGGCATACGGCGGCCGCGGCATTTATTTAGGCTTTCAAGAAAACATGAAGGGGGAGGAGAGGGGAAAACGGCGTCATTTAACTTAAGGGGAAAACGGCGTCAATTTTAGTACTATTCTTCTGTGTCATTTATCTTAAGGGCAAGACAGCGTCATCAAACTTAATTAAACATCCATATATATATATATATATATATATATCCAAATTATATATGTCCAAATTAAGAAAAATATGAGAGAGAGGAGACAATTATGATTTATATACATAAAGCAACCAGGGTTCATGGTTGTAGACATCCATGTAGATCACTGCATTGGATGGTAGTTCTTCTCCTTTAATCTTCTTCTTCAAGTAATAACGGATGAGTTGTTTGTTTGTTGGTTTAAACCCAAAGTTGTTAAAATCGGGATTCTACGTAGAATCGTTTTGGATTCCGTAGAATTGAAATCGTAGAATCGAATCGTGAATCGTAAGATTCTACCAAATTGTGAAAAAACAATTGAAACTAACTTCTTAAATAATAAGATCTATAAAATATAACAAAAATGAAGCCAAAACACATAATATTACACATCCATAAGTTCACAAATCTCAAATCCTTACAATATTTCAAAGTCCGAATATAAATAAAAGAAAATTTAGCTCAAAATAACATAAAAGAAAATTTAGCTCAAAATAACACGAGTTTACAAATCTCAAATCTTAACCCATCCATCTCCAAAGTTAGAAAATAAAATTACATATCAAAAGTAAACTTCTTTTTTTTTTTTTTTTTTTTTTTTTTTTAAACTGAAGAAATAAGAAGACCTTTTTGTCCACCAATCCAAGTGTTTCGGTGTATGTGACCTTATTAGTCACAAGTATGAAATTAATCAAGAGTTAGCACAACAAAATATGAACCATGCGTTAACTTGATCTCATTATATTATCAGTTTAGACTACAAGATTATACATTGGCTGACATATTCGGCAAGTGTTTTAAGCTTTTAAAATATTTTTAATTTTTAATCTATATGATAAGCCTTCAAAAAATAAAAATAGTCAAATGAAACCAAAATTTGCCTAAACCTGTTAGTCACGAGTATGCATCCTTGAGATATAATTGATCATTTTAATTTTTTATAATTAAACACAAAAATATATTATGGAACATTAACATACATGGTAAAAATAATTGATATATATACATATATATATATATTTCTTTTTCTGCCACTAATGAAAAATAATTTATATTTTATATAATAAATATTTAGCTTTGTATACTACACTTGGGCCAGGCCTCTTTTATTTTGTCACCTGGAAGAAACCAACCAAAAAATAAAAGAAAGTCCAAAAATAAAGGCCCAAACAACCAATTTCGTAGAATCGGTAAAATCGTGTAGAATTGTACGATTCTACCTCCGATTCTACGATTCTACCCCCGATTCTACTCCCGATTCTACTAATTGAACGATTCTGCTGCGATTTGACTCGATTTTGAGTTTTGAGTCGTAGAATCGTGCAATTCTACGACTCAGAATTGCGATTTTGACAACCATGTTTAAACCTATGTCCCTCTGGCAATGGCATATTGCCTGAACACCAAAGAAATAAATGGTAGATCTTTCTCTGTATGTGTGCTAATGAGTTTATTTTGTGCAAAATGAAATTGAAGCTAATACGTACCATGTATCTATATATAGATATAGATAACTTGGATACCAAATTTATTACTCTTAGATTGCTACTGATCAGTTTCTTGAATACTAAGCTAGCTAATTAATACAATATAAATACACACATGCGCTATATGCTACCTCACCGCCTCAAGCTCCAGAATTAATATGCTTCGTCCTACCAATTAGCAGGTGCTTCTAATTTTATAATAAAAGATTTGATAAAATGCACCAGCTGTTCTAATCCATACCACTAACTATGGTGATTAGTAGTGCAGAATTCATCATGGATGAGAACATTTTTTGGTTCATCAGTATTTTAAGTCTCTTTTGCTAGCTTTTAACTACAAATATCAAATATTATTGTTGTTATTAGCAATAGAATATTTTTGGTGCTCGAAGGATAGGATTTTTTGTTAACATTCCATGAATATTTCCCAAACTAATTTAGAAAGAATTAATGTAATCCGTAAAGGGGCATTGGGTGCTAGGCTGAATTAATTTTATCCTTAGCAGAGGGTGCCGGGCCAAATTTACTCCAGAAACTCACATCTATTGCAAAATTTCTACTTCTACTACTTTATGTGTTGCCTATTGTTTCTTGAACTTGATCTATTTGTTCTTAAGAAGAATAAGATCGAATAGAATATTTTTTGACATGAAATTACACAAAAAGTAAAATATTATGTCTCGAGATTGAAAAATACATGTGCCGTAAATTATGGAGTGTTTTAAGAGTTTGGTTCTGCTACCCCCTTTTTCTCTATAATCATAATATATTTGGTGACTAGTGATTGTGTATTTGCTTTAAAAGAAAAAAAGAAAAAGGAAAATTACATATAAATGGAGTCAAAGTTTCATATTTACTTAGAGACTGAGTCAAAGTTTCATATTTCTCTAAAATGGATTACTGAGGTGGCACATGATTTTTTACTGTTTAAAAAATTGTGGTGCCTAAAATGCCCTTCCCTAATAAAAAAGTAGTACCTTCAGTTTAAAAAAGTAGTACTAGTACCTTCGGAAAAAAAGTAGTATCTTCGCGAGTGTTTAAAAAACATGGTACCTGGACGCCAAAAAGTAATACCTTCAGTTCAAAAAAGTAGTACCTTCGAAGAAAAAGTAGTACCTTCGCGGAAGGGTATTTTAGGCATTATAATTTCTAAACAGTAAAAAACCATGTGCCACCTCAGCAATCCATTTTAGAGAAATATGGAACTTTGACTCAGCCTCTAAGTAAATATGGAACTTTAACTCCATTTATATGTAATTTTCCCAAAAGAAAAAGAAAAAGAGAATAATATGTACATCAAGTCATAAAAGTGACACATAAGCTCCATATATTGATACGAGGCAGCTATATATATTATATTACTTAAAAGTAGAGGTAACATTGATAAGAGAGAATTATTTTAGTCATGAGTTTGGCTTCAAATTTATTTAGCATTCGCGACTATCTTCACACCAGCAGCACAATGCTCCCGAAAATCGCATATGAAGAAATTATGTCCCTTTGCAAGCGTTATGTGGTCATTTTTTGTTTGAAACGCTACTGAATCGGCTGGAACCTTGCAACTGTTATACCCATCTTGATTTACCACAACCACAAGTTCTGACAAATGCAGATACACATGTGCTTGTTATATTGTATTAAAAACAGCTTCATTAATTCCCTATTTAAATTTAATTATTGCATTACATAAGTACTATTGATCTTCTAAAAGAAAAATAAGAAAAAGAAAAAGAAGAAAAGAAGAAAGTGCTTCATCCAAAATTAAGGATACGTGGAGTCATCGAAACAGAGTAAAAATGATATTTTAAGAGAAAAAATAGGTGGTGAAGAAAAAAATGGAGAAGGCCCTCTCTCCTTTACTTGACTCCATCTCTGAGTTATTTAGGGAGGACAAATCTGTCTCTCTTGTATGTATTACAGATCTACATATTCAATTCAATTTTGTTGACTTTTGAGTATTGTTTTCTTCTTCTAATTATTGTAATCATGCATTATTTAGTATGATTAGGTCGTTAAAGGTGGTGGAGATCATTGGAAATCAATGTCAGAAGCTGTGAGTAATTTTTCAAAAATAAATTTAGTTCTAACTTCTGGTCCACATTTATTACTTATGGATAAAGATTACATTTTTATTCAATATTATTGTTATCCATTTGTTCCAAATACAGGAAAAAGCTCCCTATGTAGCAAAGGCAGAGAAAAGGAAGACTGAATATATATTAAAAAAAACTCCAGGCTTACAGCAAGAAAGTGGTATTGCTTTTTAGTTGTATTTGTTCATCATTTGATTCGTAGTGTTTTGTTTGCTCTGAATTATTTCTTTCAATTTGTAGTCCACAAAGTTATTGTTCAGAAGACTAAAAAAAATTATATTTATTTTATTTTTATGGGTTAATCATATTATCAGTACTATTGTTTTGTTTTATCTGAAATATAACAATAAGCTATTGTTCAGAACAGCTCAGAATCTCAAATTAAAATACCATTCATTTTCTATAACGAAGCTAATTAATACCCTAGATTGCTAATGAGTTTCTTGGATACCAAGTTAATTAATACTCCTAGTGAGTTTTTGGATGCCGAACTAATTAATACCCTAGATTGCTAATGAGTTTCTTAGACACTGAGCTAATTAATATCCTAGATTGCTAATGAGTTTCTTGAATACTAAGCTAATTAATTCTCTAGATTGTTAATGAGTTTTTGGATAATATTCTAAATTACTAATTAATAGCATCCTTAATATTATTTAAATTATCCTAAGAGATAAAGAAAAATATATATATATTTTTAATTACTAAATGTACGAGTCTGGAGTTTTGCGGTACGAAACGAGACCTTGGGAGGAGGATTTAAATTGACATCCTAGATCCATAAGTGATAAATTGATGCTTGAGCATGGAATATGATGCCAAGGATTTGGAGGGACTGCAAGAGGGAGAGCCGTATATATGACCCGTTTGAGCCGTGCATATATTAATTAAATTGATAAATATTTATGAGAAAAATTAGAGCCCCACTTAATTTATGTAATAAAACAAGATTTGGCAAAATGTTATTTATTATTATTTTTTTTTCTAGTACACATGCCTCCACTGATACTCAAAACCTGACCTACCTTTAAAAAGTAGGGACCAAGTACCGCTAGGCCACAGACCTGTTGGTCAAAATATTAATTTATTAAAATTTTCTCAACCAACAAAATTACAATGAATTGAAACGAATTCGTAATCAATTATTGTGTGACAAGAATCTTAAAATAAATTAAAATTTCATAACCAGCGACACTATTGACTATCCTCAATCGATAATGATTGAATTGCATTAAATTGGTAGTTACACTAACAAACATATATATAGATAAAAATGTATTTATTGCTAACTAGTTCATATATATTATGCTTCACTTTTCTAATTTAGTTAATAAGCAAAAATAGTTTAAACATTTAATTAGGTAGTAAACATCCTATTGGACTAGAAATAAACTAAACTATTCATTAGGCTCAATTTTGATATATGAACTTGGTTAATAAAGGAGCCGATAATACATGAATATGAAATGATAAAGGAGCCAATTATACATGAATATAAAACTTCACCATGCACAGTTTTGTTATTAGATTTTATTTTAAAAGATTTTATACCAATTAGAATATACAGATCCTATATATATATATATAATACTTTCTATTTTCACACTCAAACGATGTAGAATTGTACACATATAATTCTGATAGCTTGTCAATGTCTCCTGCACCCGCCCACAAAGTTGCCACAATCACCCCTTTGGGATTCAACGTCGACGTTTCCATTGGCCACACTTTCGGCCGGGTCAGACTATAATACATTTTGTAACGATTCAGTCCACCACATGGTATGATACTGTTTGCTTTAGACCTGTGTTTATACAATTTTGTTCTTAAATTTTATTTTAAAATGCCCTATACCAATTGAAGTGTACGATCTTACATATATAGCACCTTCCCCCGTTGGATCCGCAAAAAAGGCCACCCCAAGCACACAGCAGCCCAAGTGCAGTTTGGATATGTATTCAACCCTTCTTAGTCCTTATTACTCCGATCCAATGGAACGCTCCTGCATATTCAACTTATATTCCTGCATATCTGGGGTGACGTGTCAAAATCAAAAGGTTTATGGACCCACAAGTAACTGGAGCGCATCTCTACTGAAAAGCGCACCGGAGAAGGGAAAGTAAGTCTTCACTTTATCTTCCGACACTGAGTGAGAAGGGAGCCCCTCTCTCTCCTCTCTCCCCCTTCTCTCTCTCCTGAGCTGACATTAGCATTCCTCTCTGAAATATGTAGATATATACGTTATACATTTAATAAATCCCGAAATCTATAGAGACCCAAAATGATCTCTGGGTTTCTAATTCGGAACCCTAGAATTGATAAATGGACAAGTGATCTGGAACCGAGCTTTGTATCGGAACCAAAAGTTGCCTAGATTCTCTTTTGAATCAACCACAATCCGTTCAACGCGTCCTTTATTTAACTTCAGGTATGTCGCTCCTTTCACTCTCTACACAGACACGTATATACGCCTTTATGTAAATATATAATCTCATATTTTACGTTGTTTTCATTGCTCTGTTTTTATACTAAAATATTTTCTTTTCTTTTTTGTTTTTTTGGTGTTAATGTTTAAATCTAAATTAAGCAAAAATTCATATCAAACTCATTTGGGTTTTTATTTCGCCATGAAAGGGTGACTTTTGGTGCTTTCCATTATTCAGAGTTTGTCAAAATGACGTACTTGTTCTTTCTTTCCATAACTTGGTTCCTCGAAGCTTTTATAGGATATGTGATCTTAGGTTGAAACAAACGGAACCTTAGTTCAATAGAAAGATCTCCTGTAGGGGTGTGTAAGCAGAAATTGGGTGCTAACAACACTAGAAACTGGCGTAATTTTTTTTATTCTATGTCAAATATGTATCTAGATATGTTGTGCCATCTAACTTATTGGAGAACATGCAATTGTATTATGAGAAGCACTAAATTACGTGTCCTTTTACTAGGGATTATACATATTGGAATGCAGGAAAGGGTTGAATATTATATGTTCCGAGCCTGAGGGAGTTTCATTAAAAATTGAAGTGAAATACTGTTAAACACACTTTTGAATTCCCAGTTTGATCTCTTTGAGTTTTGTCGCTCCGACTAATCCAATAGATGAATAATTTTAAGAAGAATTAAAAGCTCCATTTTGGCGCCTAAATGGTAAAGCCTGCATGCAAAGAGGATTGCAACTTAAAATTTTGAAGGTTACCTTTAGGCTAATAGTTTTCAAAGATGCATTTGTTCATCCTGGTATCCTTTATCATCTTTGTGAAAGAGCTGCTTTTACTACTGTGGTTCTTATTTCTTAACAAACTGAACCATGTTATACTCATTTTGTTTTGCAAAGTTATTAGTTTCCCTCACCTATAAAAAAAAAAAAAAAAATTTTTAGTTTCCCTTATTTTAGTTATTGATTTCCAATGGCGTCGGTTTTTTCTTCTGAGCTTGGAATATGTTTGAGGTTGGTGCATGTGTGGGTGTTTTGCAGTGAACTGAATTTAGGTATCCTATCAATTGCCCTGGGATTCTATTGCCAGTTTCCATGTTGACACAGGGTTAGTGGATCCATGGACTGTGTGAAGACCGTTGCTCGTCTTAAGGGTGAGTCCCTGAAATTGTGCAAATTTATATTGAAGCCTATCTTACTGCCTGATCATGTTTCCAGACAAGCCATGATTACAATGCCATCGCTTTTGCTCCAGCATTTAGTTTTGTCCTTATAAACTTGTCATATATTTTTTACTTTGGTTTCTAGTCCTTTAGATATTTGCATTGTCTCTTAGAACTATCTTTATGCTGACAATTTCTGTGCTTAATTCTTGTTGTTTGAGGCTTTTAGCACATATACTATGTTGCGACTTCGTGGAATTTGCATAAATTGATGCCTTCAGCATTTGATTCTATTAAAACCACCGGTCTATTATCAAACTGAATTCTTGAGTTAGAGCTTCTTTATTGTAATTTAATGAACTTATCCAAAATTTTATTCTTAGTGTGTGCATTTACTAATTTATCTTGCACAAGTCCACAATATGATATTCTCTTGAAGTCTGCTTGTGCTGACATGAACACCACATTCAGATCTAAGTGTACATCCATCTTGTGGCAGTTTAAAAGTTTGTAAATACCATTATGCTAGATATATACTATTATCACTATTTTAGTGTTGTTATTACCATTATCCAGAAATCATATTGCTACTTCCTTTCTCAGATGTCCCAGTATTGTTGTCCATTATTAAAAGTGATTGAGTAGCTATCGGTAATATTTAATGCTATAACCTCTGTTACAATGTGGAATTGCAAGCTAAAACAAACTCTAATCAAGAATTAAGTACAATATGGGGATAGTTATCTGTATTTAATATGTATGAATGCATTTGACGTGGTTTACTGAGGCAGTGGACAGTAATTTTGAAATGGAGGGAGTATGTTATGTACATATGTGTGTGTATATATATATTTGGGGTGGGGGGTGGGAAGGGGTTAGGCTGTGCTTCATCATCATAATAATAATTTTTTTATTGTTGTTGCTCTTGTTGTTATGGTGTCCTTGTGAATTGATGCCACTCATATGACATAATTACTTATTTTCACTTATAGCCTAGTCCAAATTGGTAGGACAAGTTTATTTGAAGTTGCTAAACAATTCAGTCATTTGATGTAATTGAAAGGTTCTTATGACGTAGATTATGGTAATGCATCAAAGAAATAAAGATAACAGAATATGTAATATGGGAATCCCTACAACATTTCAATGCAAACTAGAGTGGGGCACTTTGTTAGACAATGTAATTTTTCCGGTATGCAGATTGCCTCAACCAATCTCCTGCACCAAGGTGACAGCCTGGCTGGTTTTTGACGTGATAATGTCTATATTGAAGCAAAAGGGCAGTCTTGGTTAGAGTTGGACATTTGTTTCCTCTATTTGTTGTCTACTTCAAAAATAATGCGTCTGTCATTTGAATTTTGTAGAGTAACAATCTATTATTCATTTCAATTACTAGCTTTCATATAGATTGAAAGTAAAGATGATTGGAGATGATGTTAATCATAGATTGAATTAACATAGGTCAGATAGAAGAATACTTCTAGCATAATGTGTGATCACCATAAATTCTATTGGTTGAATTAGCATAGACCAGAAAAAGAATGCCTCTAGCATACTGTGGGATGAACGTGTACCTATAAAACTGGGAGGTAATTCTATAAAATGGTTATTAAACTAATCATATTTATGGGACAAAAGTCAGAGAATGTTAGGCAGTTAAGAAACAATAAATTCATAGCATGAGTGTGGCTGAAATGCAAATATTGATTTGGATGTGGCACAGAACAATTAAGGATAAAATTAAAATAAACAAACTCGTCGTGAGACAGTTGGAATGGTACTCAATGGAGATCAAGAAAAAAATCAATGAAGATTGTTTTCCATAATTAGTAAAAACCATTAACTAAACCATTGAGAAGGAGTGATGCGGTCCAATCCAAATGAAGATAATCAGTAACATGGATTGGGATAAAGGAGGAAAAAAAATGATAGCATTTTATGTGATAGATGATATGGCATTAGATAGAGCAGAATGACAAAACCATTAGGGAAAGGTTCTGTTGAGTTGAGTTGGATATTGGCTACTTTCATTTGCATCAAGGATTTAACTATTTTTTTCTTCAACAATTGAATTGTGCTATTAGTTTTTTTTATTTGATTCTCACTTCTTGCAATATTTTTTGTTTCTCTATGCCACTGCCTGTGGTATTATTTTATCTCTCTCCCTCTCTTCCTCCCTCTCTCTGACAAACACAAGACAGTCCTGCATTATTTTCTACCCTATTCATACAATGAATTACATATAGATGCTGAATACATTTATTTTCTTTGCAGGTTCTTTCTATCATCGCTTATTATTATTCACCATCTGGCTATCCAGTTTCCATGATGTAGTGGCAGTGCTATCACAAACTGAACCAAGTCACATATCTTCCACATCTGAGCTAGCTAGCCCACCTAGTAGTGTACACTTTGAACCCATAGAAATATCACCTGCTGTCATTCCACATTATCCTTTCCCGGAGGAACCTTTGTCACCAATGTACCCTTCCTTTCCAACCACTTATGATCCAGTTTTGACTGGGAGATGCCCTGTAAATTTTTCTGCTGTTTCAAGTATCATGGATAAAACAGCTTCTGATTGTTCCCAACCTTTAGCAGCGTTTGTAGGAAATGTTATATGTTGCCCACAGATCAGCAGTTTGCTTCACATATTCCAGGGATATTATAGCACCAAATCTGATAAATTAGTTTTAAAAACTGCAGCGGCTAATGATTGTTTTACAGATATAGTTAATATATTAGCCAGCAGAGGAGCAAACAGCTCAGTGCCTACTATTTGCTCTGTAAAATCAGCAAATCTTACTGGTGGGTCTTGTCCTGTGAAGGATGTAACCACCTTTGAGGAAACAGTGAACACAAGCAAATTATTAGAGGCTTGCAGCACAGTTGATCCTCTAAAAGAGTGCTGCAGACCAGTTTGCCTGCCTGCTATCATGGAGGCTGTACTTCAAATCTCAAGGACACAGTCGATGATCAGTGACGATAAAAATATTGTTCGAGAGCCGAATCATATTGATGCTCTGATTGATTGTAAAGGGGTAGTGTATTCATGGCTCTCTAGGAAACTCCCGTTGGACGTTGCCAATTCAGCATTTAGAATATTATCTTCCTGCAAAGTTAACAAAGGTATGGGTTACTTTTTTGTGTTATGTTTGTTTGTAACAAGTTTATTAAAATTAATTTCCAAAAATCTCAGGGATTGTAAATTTGCATTTGCATGTGATTTGTTACCTGGTTAATTTTACCTAGGCTGGTAATATCTCTTAGGTTTATGCGGTTCTGCTGTTGACTCTGATATGAAAATTTGCAAAATGTACATTTTCAAATAATTACATTTGTGTATTTGATTCTCTAGTATCTGCATTTTAGTATGTTGGCTTATTTTTGGCATGATTTGACTGTATTGCATCTGTGTTTTTCATTCTCATTTGCAGCTTCACTGACCCCTCTTTTTCGTATTTTTTGTTGTGTTTTTTTGTTTCTTTTCTCTCCTTTTCTTTTCTTCCTTTTATTATTATTATTATTATTATTATTTTTTTTTTTTGGGGAGCTATGTCTTCTTCGTTTCCTCAATGCAGTCGGGAAGTCATCTTTTAAGGCAAGGGGGTTATAAGGGTATGTTGCCAAAGCATGGGGGGTGGAGTTTTGTTAAACCTTTTATTCTACATGGTTACGTTTTACAAATATCGTATTATAGTTCCTGTATCTTTCTCTTGAGATCCGACAATATTCCTAGGGCTTTTCTTATGCAACACTAATGAAATATTACTTCAAAACTTTGTGAGGACACAATTTCAGATGTTTTCTTTGTAAAGCTGTACATTGTTTGATAAAATGAGTGGAGCTTTTCCTGTGCATCTTGTTTAGTGTTGCTCTGGTTGGATTTGAATCCTACATCTCCTTCTGCAAACAGCTCATTTCAATCACTATCCATTGCTTTTTCTTGTGCTTTTATTAAATTTTGTTGCCATCACATTTTGGAAAAAGAAATTCTTTTTATCTGTTCTGAGCTACTTTGAGTGCATTGATTTATTTTCAAGTGTTATTGTCAACTGTGAAGGAATGACGGATAAGATACTAATTTGTACTTGTAAGTACCATAAAATTATATCTATAATCTATGATATAGCAAGTAACGCTTATGGTTGGGTAGATTATTTCTATTTTTACTTATAAATTAAAAAAATATATATTTTATTTAATTTTGTACGAATTTGAATTTAAAGCCTTTTGTTTTGGTCAAGAAGATGGCAGTTTTTCACTTATCAAAAAAAGAAGTTGATAGTTTTCCCTTCCTTTCCTTTCAACCAATGTTCTTAAAATCGGGATTCTACGTAGGATTGTTCGGGGCTCCGTAGAATCGGAATTGTAGAATCGGATCAAGAATCGTAAGATTCTACCAAACTAGTAGAAAAACGTTTCAAACCAACTTATATCTCTAAGATATAGCAAAGATAAGTCCAAAACACAAAACTCGTATATAAGTACCACTCCAAGTATAATGTATAAGAGAATGTAGTGCTACTAATATATCCAAAATAATTCAACTAATCAAGTTTCAAACTTTCAACATCAATTCAATTAGATATGAATTATAACTTACATATAAAATAAAATAAAAAAGAATTATTACTTATTAGATTCTAGTGCTACTAACTTAGATGCTACTAACCATATGAATTACTGAATTATGAACATAAAATTATAAACATTATACACTGACCAAAATTAGCAAATTTATATCCAAAAACATAATAGAACATAAACAGAACAGATTAACAAAGGTGCAATTGAACAAGAAATACCCATGCATAAATCAGTTAGGAACATCTGAACAAGAAACCAAGAAACCAAAAAAAGGCTTGATGTCAAAGACCAACTGAATTTGGAGTCTTCAATGTTCACCAAATTCAGATTTTCATCTTTATCTTTACTGTTTTGGGCCCCAAGATCATTGGGATTTCTTATTAAAAGAGCCAAACCCATCAAAACAGTGTGTCAGCGCAAAAAACACAGGGCCAAATATGGCACGTAATAAAATCGTTACACCACTTGATTTGTGAAACTAGTTGTTTGTTTTAGAAAAATCAGCTCAACTCAACAAAGATTATTTTTTCATAAATATGCTGTATATAGTTCTGTAATGTAGGCTACTGTCTTTTCACACCTTGAGTCAGAGCACCTGGTTGTTTATTATAATAAAGGAGTGAGATTACTATATCATTTTCTATCATTAGTTTGCATGTGCTTTTAGGCTCTAAATCTGGATAAATTTTTCCTTGAGAGTTGTGAGTCATATGGAATTTTCATTTCATATACGTTGTCCTATTGTGATTTGTATTTATGATGATATTTTCTGTTGATGTTATATGAATGATTATATTTTGGACATGCAGTCTGCCCTTTGGATTTTAAGAAGCCATCAGAAGTAATTAAAGCATGCCGTAATGTTGCTGCTCCCAATCCTTCGTGTTGTAGCTCATTAAATACTTATATTGCTGGGATACAAAAACAAATGTTAATCACAAATAGACAAGCTATAATATGTGCAACGGTGTTTGGGTCCATGCTACAAAAAGGTGGTGTTATGACAAATATTTATGAGCTTTGTGATGTCGATTTGAAAGATTTTAGTCTCCAAGGTAAACTTTCCCGTTACAGTTTTCTATTTCAAATGTTTTAAACTTGTTGCCTTGTTCATTCCATTAACTGATCTACTGTTTTCTTTCTGTTATGTGGATCTGTACATTGGCACTGGTGCAGCATATGGACAAGAAGGTTCGTTATTTTTTCCATCTTTGAGCTCTCTTTTCATGTTTTACACTTCCACTTAAGAGTTTCTGTCCTAGTATGGTTATTGCCGTGTTTACATTGTATTGTACACTTTTTTGTATCTAATTATGTAAAGAAATTTGGTGCCCAATGGGATGTGGGTTGCGAATTAGGGAAATGTTTACTATTTATTTGAAGATTTTCAGCGATTTTGCCATTGGACTGTTGTGTGGATGGCTTGTCAAAAATTTTCTTGAAATAGCCCATAATATATAAGATGGACTAGATTTCTTAATCTACACATTCCGCTATGATTTCTTTTCAATGCAAAAGACCAATGGGATAGGCAAATGAAACCCTTTTTGTGTCTATCATAGTTATTAAAAGTGTACTTAGGCGCAAGCCGCAGGGTTTGCTTAATGAGAAAGAGTAAGAACTGAAATTGAAATTGAATAGTGTTTGGTATCTCTGCATTTTTTGAACTCTAATGTCAACACTCCCATGATAAAATATTAAATATACCCTATTTGATTCCATAATTTAGAGAACAGTATCTGTTGAAATTGTTAAGAAAATACCTTAGTAATTACTGAGAAATCTTGGTTTTCATACAACAGCAGGGTGTTTGCTTCGAAGCTTGCCTGCAGATTTGGTGTATGACAATTCAACAGGCTTAAGCTTTCAGTGTGACTTGAGCGACAATATTGCAGCTCCATGGCCTATGTCATCATCTATTTCAACCTTGTCTCTTTGTGCTCCTGGTAATTTATTGCAAAGAGCCATTTGTGATCTTTCCTTAGATTGAAATATTTCTTTGGTTTATTTCATGGTTTTACTAAAATTTGCAGAAATGTCATTGCCTGCACTACCAACATCAGAGACTTTGGGAAATCCTGGTGTGTACCGTGCCTTGTTTGCTAGCTTATGTCAGTGTTTGCAGTAGTTGAGCGTAGTTATTTATTTTGTTAAATAAATAAATAAAAATAATCGTAACAATAACATAAATGGACTGGAATGCTTAAAATGAAGAAAAGGGTGGTTATCCAACACAGTACTTATAGCAAATGCAATTGATACCTGTTAAGAGACTGCCAAGTTTTTTTATTCAGCTAAAACTGTTGCCTTGAGCGTGGCTTTAAAAAAACAAAAAATCTCATTAAATAACATATACTTTCACATTTCTTGAAGATAAATGCAACAATTTTAGTATTATTGGACATCCAACCGCACATTCAAAAATTTATGGCAAACTAAATTAAATAGTGAGGCGTCATGCTTCCTGGGCAACAAACATCTGACCTGCAAATTTAGAAATGCAAAGGAAGGAGAGAATAAATGGCATGTGTTATATTTTGTTGGTGCAATAACTTTCTTATGCGATTCTTTTTATGAGTGTTAGTTTCGGCTGCTCCTATATTAAATTTCTGTGCGTCGTCCCGGACTGAATTGCTGATGCCTGTTATGCACGTGTGCTATGATGCAGGTACTCGTGGCTGCTCAGAATCTCTTGTACTCACTTTTTCCATTTTTGTTCTCAGTACATTGTTGTACTGAATAGATTTAGCTGAAAAATGAGTCTGATTTTGGGGGACTGTTGAAAATTTGATTGTGTAGCCCATGTTGTATGTATATTTTGAGTATACTCCCACTTTCTTCTTCTTTTTTTTTTTTCTTTTTTTTTTTTTTCAGTCATGTATAGCAGCTGTTTTTGGGTTACCCGTGCTCGATTGGTCTGGTTCCCGGTCTTGTTTGAAGTATCCTTTGATGTATTTAACTAGAGAAGTCAGATATACAGGTGTCCACCATTTTCGGGTTTGAAGGAACTTTTCAAGAAGGGTTGTTTGGGTAAAGCAATCTCTGCTTCAATCCGTCAAAGAGTGTTTCATAAATGTTATATGATCTAAATATCAAAAACAGTATCATTAGTCATGACCAACCCAAATAAGTGAATCAAAGCCTATGGTAATGGAAGGCCTTAAGATATAATGAGAGGTTCATCCAATAGCTGTTATGCAGCATGGCAGGAAAGATGTTTGAAGTATCACTGGTGGTTCTGCATTCTACCGCTCTGCATTGATGTACACACTATTATAAATCCTGGTGGTGCCACTTCTTAGTTTACAACCATCGGGTTTCACGAGAACCTGTCTGATCAAATTTCCAGGAATCAATGAAAGTTGAGGCGGAAAAATACTCAATAAATTTTTTCAAATGAACCAAGTCGAACGGATTTTTTTTAAGCAACTGACATTAAAAAACATAGGTAATTTCTTGCAGGGGCCAGGCCTACCCCTTGCTCCGCCCCGTGTTGTCAACGGAAGCAAGTTCATGGCAAGGCGCCCCTGTACCCAAATGGGAATGGATCCTCTCCAAGCCTAGATTTAACGAATATAAAATCACCACATCACCATCTTGTTTGAATAAAGTTGGGGTATAAAATCAAAACATGGTGGGTAATTACAAATAAGATGACATGATACATTTTCTATTGTTGGGCAGAGGCTTGGAGATGTTTATAAGGAGAAGAAAAATGTTTATCAACGCAACACTTGTTTTAAAACATCCAGTCATGGGAATTGGGATGCTCTGGTGTGGGAAGGTTCGGGGAAGAGCATCCTAGCTATGGGATGCTGTCGGTCCAACACTTTGCCACAAGTGATGGGCTTAAGTGCCTAACTATCATTACTCTTGACTATAAAAAACTATATACTTTAGTATTAGCTTCGTTTTACATATTAGAGTCTGGTTATATCAGCCATTCCATTATACATATATTTTAAAGAAAATAATTCAATTTTGACAATTTGATAATAAATTTTATTAAAAAAAACTAAATATACTCAAAATCAAAATCATAATAATAAAGAAAGTTAAAACTGAAAATTATTAAAAAAATAGAAAAAAAATAACACCTGTAGCTAATAAAATAATTTTATTTACATATTCATTATTAAGCGGAAGGCAAGGAACTGATTTCATATTTAAAAATAACTCACCTTAATTTTATACTCGTTTTAAAAAGAGTTAAAGTGTATTAAAACCCGCTATGACCCTACTGCTAAAACTCATGAAATAATTAAAACTCGCCTAAACAATTATTTTGTTGTACTCGGCCGATAACAAAAAAAATCCAAATTACACGTTCTTCTTTTCTTTTTCTTTTTTTTCTTTTTTTTTTTCTTTTTCTTTTTTTTTGAGATGTTGATGTAGCAATTTTTATCAATATGTCAAATGAAAATTTGACAACTCAGAATTTATTTACTCTTATGGACAAAAGAATTTTTCTAGCAATAAGAGAAGAATAAAATATATATGTATCATGGTTTGCAATATCCTTTACGGTCTCAAAATAAGTATCTGAACTTGTATTTTATAATTTGTTCTTTTATAGATGATAGGTTATTTAATAATTTGGTTGGATTGAAACTTATTATTTTCTAGTATTTAATTTTTGATTGAGTATTATTAATAATTTAAATAATAAAATATTTAATTTTATTAAACAAGTCATGAGTTACACGTTAATAAATAAGTCGGGTTAATACGAGTCGTGTTTGGATTAAATTATTTAGCATATTACCCTAAAATAGACATGACTTTGTTATGATTCATGAATTGTTACCCCTAATATAGGTTGATTTTGTCCGAATTTGATATTTATAATTTGAACTCGTTTAAAATTAAGTCAAACTCATTCCTATTGTGCTTAGTACTTAGTCGCGTTGGCTGGTCGCGTGTAAAACTTTGTCACCCCTGCGGCCAACCATAATATATACACAAACAAAGTGTGTGGGTGTGTACATAAAACCGTACTTCTCTGTCTACAGGCCGACGCAGCAATGTCCATCCGGCCACAACCACTCCTCCTCTCTGTCTCTCCACCTCAAGAAATTGAAGGCGACGAGGGGAATCTGTAGAGTAATACCGTCAAAAATATCAATGGGTTCCAATTTAAACAGGTTGTAAATTGGGGTTGATCGGATTTGGTGCATGATGGGTCTCTCTCCGTTGACGGTGATGTTGGTAATTGACATCGTCTCCCTCCATTGCCGGCATCATATGCTTTAAACGAACCCATAAATTGCAAGCGAGAATTGGTCTTGTATTTGGCGAAGAACAATGACGTTGGGGTTGATTTGAATCATGACGTGAGAAGATGATGATTAAAGGAACGGAGTTACAGACACATATGGTGTATTTTATTTTTATTTTTTCGTGAAGTTATTTTTACAGGAAATGGGTTTTAAAACCCTAGGCTTCAACAGTCGTTGCCACATCTTCGGTGTCGGATTGGAGGTCGGTGTATCTCGTCAACAAAAGCAAATCTCTGTTAAATGATTTTCCACCTCTTCGAAGTTCTTGTCGTCGCCGGAGTTGGAGGCCAAAGAGAGAAAAAAAAAAAAAAATAGAGGGAGGTGGATTGGAGAAAGAGCGGGGTGGTGGCGACCGTGGGCGGTGGAGGTAGTTGTGAGGGAGAGAGAGCGGCGGCCATGGACGGACGGTGGATGCGGCGGCCATGGACGGATAGTGAAGGTCGTTGGGGAGAGAGGAGGGATGTATATATATATATATTCGTATAAGTCATAAGGCTATTTTTGTCTTTCTAAATTTTTACCAAGTCACGTGTGTCACCTGCCTTCTTTGACGTTTCTCACGTACTCAAGTCTCGCAGACCCTTCTCTCTCCCCGACAGAACCGCTTGCTTGATACAACCAACAGATCGGCGACACCACCGGCGACCACCAGATCGGCGACGACTTCGACTTGGGTAAGTTCTCTTTTAGTAATGAGTTTTTGTATTCTTTCTCCTGGCCTAGCCTAGCCTAGCCTAGCCTCAGTCTATTCTACTCTACTCTACGACCACCAGCTGAAACCTAAAAACCCTCGACAATTATCACTTCACTCTCCCCTCTCTTTCTAGATCTTTGTTATATAAACGATTGATTATTTATTTATTTATTTATTTTTTTTTTGTGAAGGATGGATTTTGTACATGAAGATGTCGAATCTTTATTGTTACAAACAAAGCATCAAGAGAAGCAGCTTAAACTTAAAAGAAGGTCTGTCTGTCTCTCTCCTCTTCTTAATTTTAATGTTCATTTTTGTTTCTTAAATTGTAAATCTGTATTCTTGAACAATTCAAATTTATCGTTTTACATAATTTAGATTCACCGCATATAATTAAATTTTTATTTAACTGCATCACATACTTCTCTTATTGTGAAAAAAAAAAATGTATCACATATATTAGTGGTCCATATACGTGTTTTTTACTGTGTTTTATTGGAAATTGATAGATGGGTTTAGCTGTTATTAATCTTGTATCTTGGGTATTTGGTAGGTACGGATTTTATAACAATTTTGGGGATTGTTGAGTTTCTTTATATTCCAATTTTCATTTTTCATGAGTTTTTTTGTTTTGTTTTTTTAAGCTTAGGATTGTTCAGGTTTTTTTTTTTATTATTATTTTTACTATTCCTTTTTTTTGTTGTTAAGAATTTTCAGTTCTGTTTTATTACTGCATTGGTTAGTAAAGTGCTTATCACAAAAGCCTAATCTTTTGGACCAGTTAATGATTTAATAGATCTTTTGAATCATATAATGTAATTCTGTTTTGAAATGCTATGAACCTGTGAGTTACATTCAAGCGAAACGTCAACCAATTGTTCCCTTTCCCCTTTTGACTGGTTGATTAGCGTATGCACTTCGTGGAAGCCATAGGTTTGCTTTTCGTATGACCTGATATATCTACAGAACACATATTTTCAAAATCATTCTAGGTTATCATTGTAATTTTTCCATGATATTTTGTGGCTGTTCGGCAATTCAGTTAGATATTCCAATTTTGTGCCAATAAGGAAAGAACTATCAATGGATTTGCACGCAGGTGGTTGATGGGATTACCTATATCTAATTCTGAGCAAAAGGTATTTAAAGGATCCAAGTTCCCGAAAGATAGGTATGTGGTAAAATTGGCTCAATTCTGTATGCTTTAATGACTATCCATGGAATATTCAATTTGTTAAACTTACTGTTCAGCATGGGAAATTGTTGAATAAATTATGGTTTTGTACTTATGTTTGACTATATTTCAATCTTTTCAGAAGTTAGTTATATTTTATCTATGAAATGTTTTACTTTTACCTACAATGTAAGTGTAGAACTCCTTTTATTATATTTGAAAAAAAAAAAAAAAAAAAAAAAAAACAGAAAGGATATCTATTGAATATAGGGATCAACAAAAAATGAAAACGAATATGGAACTCAGTATTCCTTTTGAGTCCTTCAAGAAAAAAACAGTAAGAAAATAGAATGGACTGTAAACTCTGCACCTCTACAAGGTGAGTGCAATCCTCGAATATGTATTACTTTTTCGCTTGGATTTAACAAAATAAAAAATAAAAATTGCTAGTTGACATATCTCCACTTTTGAAATTGAAGGATTTAGGCATATTTGTTCCTATTCCTATCACATACTTCTCATATATATATTTCACATATATATATATATATATATGTATGTATATGTGCATATTTGTTCCTATAATTCTATTATATAAGAGTTCAACTACCTTACATGGTTAGGCTGCCACAAAAGGTTTCAAAATGCGAATACGAATTTATGTCCCGTGAACTGTCTTTAACTAAGCAAAGAGATATATTACATCCCTTCTTGCTTGCGTCCCTGGTTCCTTGGTTTCCTTCGAATAACACAGCTAAGAGTGATACTCTCCTTTCATTTCTTGTTAATCCTCTATCAAGTGAGCGGCTTTACCAACTGGACCTAAGTACCTAACAACCCGTCAATTCCTTCTGTATGGTGCATCTGTCGTAGTATATGTATAGAATGTTGACCCAGGTGTCCTATTTTTTTCGTAAGAGCAACTCTCGTTTTTGAGTTAGCAATCATAGTGTTATCGTAAAGCAGCTAAGAGAGATACCCTCTTATAGCTTAAACATGGGTGTGCTTGCAGCTTAACAAAAATGTTATTGGCTAAGCTTAGTGCATCCTTGTGATTGGTGCTATTAAATACCCACGAAACTTTTGTACATCTATAATAAGCAGATAGGTACCCTTGCTCAAATCAATAGGATATTAATTTGCCTGAGATTTAGATTAGTGAATAGTGTTAAATTTTCATTTTGATTTTCTTTAAGGAAATGATAAAATGATGGTACCACTGACTATTGCTGCAGCTATCAAGTCTTTCATGGAATCTCCTTTGAGTGAACAAGAGATCTATTCTCCATAGCATATACTCCCTTTGTCCCAATTTATTAGTCTATTTTCTGGATTTCATCTTATCAAGGGACATGCATATAATGCAGTGTCCCTTTTGATATTTTTAAGCTACCCTTTGAAGTTTAAATATATATATATATATCATATCAAGTTGGGAAATTTTGCAAAATTTAAAGGGTATTTATGAAAAGATTCAATTATCTCACTTTGACTTTTCAAAGGTACAAGTATTTTGGGACAGCCAAAAAATGGAAAGATTGATTGATAAATTGTGACTGTGGGAGTAATATATACAAGAGCACATTTCCAGCTGACTTCCAGTTAGCTTGAGTGGTATCATAAAATATACACAAGATGACTATGTCATCTCCACCATTCTTCACCTCCAGGAAACTGATTTCTGATCATTTATTCAACCATCCTATCCACATTTGCGACTGTCACAATCATCACAAAATCAACTACCTGAACACCACCATATTCAACCACCTTCCTCCATACCTCGCTCCCTTCTCAAACAAGACTATTTTATGGGCACCTTCCGCCACTTCATCACCGCATTACTACCTCTAGCCGATATATACCACTGCCACGCCTCTTCTCTCTCTCTCTCTCTATATATATATATATCTTTATCGCTCTCCCCAACATGATTGTACCACGAGTCACAGAGCCACCCAATTTATTAAACCATTGGTCCATCACCTGTAGTTACTGAATTACCATCTGCAACCTCTGTCACCACCCCAATCTGAATCAAATTTCAACTTCCATCTCCACCTCAAGCCTAAACATGAGTTCCACCACACCTGCTTTCTCTACCCCAAATTCAATCCCATGACCATATATATATCCAACTCTTTTCCACCAAAAGATGAAGCCTAAGCTCCCCCTACCAATGACAGTAGAAAGCTCCACCACCTGATTTCCAATCCTCATCACAACCAAGAAGAATTATATGGGTTTTTGCTCTTTGGCCTGATAGCAAACTTGTTGACTTTTTCATCAGGAAAACTCGATTTTTTTATGGAGAACTCTTATGCTACGTTTGGTGTGCAGGAATGGAATGGAATGGAATGTCCATTCCAACCATTCCTTTGTTTAGTATACAACTTAAAGTGGGGATGGCCATTCCATTGGAATGAAAATCCATTCCTGGGAATGAAAATCCATTCCACAACTAAACCTATAGAATGGCCATTCCATTCCCAAGTAATTTATTTTAAAAAATCGACTTCTTAAAACACCCTCATATTCCAAGTCCAAAAACCACCATTACCTTCTATTACAATCATCTCCGCCTTTCACTACCACCACCACTACCACTGCCTTCCACCACCACCGACTTTCATCATCGCCCACCACTTTCCACCACCACCACTGTACCGCCACCGCCTTTCACCACCGCTACCTCCACCGTTTGCCGCAACCACCACCGCCACCTTTCATCACTACTATCGCCACCACCTTCCACCACCACCACTGCCATTGCCTTTCACCACCTTCCACCACCACCGCCGCCATCGCCTTTCACCACTGCCACCACCTTCCACCACCATCACTGCTATTGCTTTTCATTACCACCACCGCCTTCCACCACCGCCACCGCCACAGCCTTACACTACCATCGCTACCTTCCACCACCGCCACCGCCACCGCCACCGCCACCGCCACCGCCACAGCCTTACACTACCATCGCTACCTTCCACCACCGCCACCGCCATCGCCGTTGCCTTCCACAACCACCAACGCAGCCGCCATCGCCTTCCACCACCGCCATCGCCTTCTACCACCTTCCACCACCGCCGCCATCGCCTTCTACCGCCACCGCCACCGCCTTCCACCACCACTACCACCGCTGCTGCCGCTGCCGCCTTCCACCACCATCACCACAACTTCCATTGCCTTCCACCACCACCATAGTCACACCACTATCTCCTTCCACCACAACCACCACACTACTGCCACCGCCTTCCACCAACACCACTGCCACCTTCCACCACCACTGCTGCCACCAATTTCCACCATTGCCACCGCCGCCACCTTCCAACACCACCACCGCCACTGCCACCATTTATTTTTAAAAAATTATTAGAGAATAATTTTTTGTTATTTTATTTTAATTTAATTTATTTGTTACTAAGGGATATTTTGGAGAATTCAATTAGAAATTTATTCCATTCTAAATTTTAAATTGGTCTAACCAAATACTAGAATGGTTATTATCATTGCATTCCTGCACATTTCATATTTACAACCAAACAATAGAATGAGAATGACCATTCCATTCCATTCCCATTCTCATTCCATTCCCACTTGCATTCCATTCTATTCCTGCACACCAAACGTAGCATTAGAGAATAGGAAGGTTAACCTATATTCTCCATTAAAAAATATTTTTTTTATTGGGAGGGGAGATCCCTACAATTAAGCTTAACTTAAGAGGAGCTTCATGCGTTTTGCTCTTCGAATTATTAGCGTAATAAATACACGGGCGTTGTTAAGTTTAGCCAGCTGGCAATATCCAGTAACTCCGATGTTTGTATGGCCTAATTGGAAATGCCAAGGACTTAGCTTTAGGGTCTCACGTTGTGAACAACAATATAGTTTAACAAATCATGGGCTTTGCAATTGCAGGATTTCAAGCACTGTTTTTTAGAACTGCATGATTTCTGAATTTCCTAGATGTTAACTTGACCTACCATATACATCTCTAATCTATGGAGCTAAGTTGATTGTGTATGCAACTGCTATAGGATCCTTTTTGTATGCCAAAATTTGGCTGCAGTATGTAGCAGATTGAAAAAAATATTGTGAGTTATTTTTAAAGTTGCTACAGTAAACAAAATTTTCTAGAAATTCCATTTGGACTAAGATTGTTTCATAATGTTTATTTGCCTATACCCACATTACCTAATGAACAAATATTATCATGTTCTTTTACTTTCTTTTTTTCTCTTTTGTTTTATTTTTCTTCAAATGTGTTTTCTGAGAATAAATTTCAAGGTTGACATTTTTATTACATTTGATAGTGATGGCATTGGCGGTAGTGGTTATCAGTAGCGAGTAGCAGTAATAGAAGCATGCTCGATTCGCGTTGTTGCAATTGAGAATTGTGCTGTGTGTGTGTGTGTAGAAATAGTAGCAGTGACAAACACACATTTTAAACAAAATTCGAGTTTCGCCCGTGGCAGGAATGGTGAAATGTGCTCTCTGCCTTTGCAATGTTGCTTTTCATGTCAAGGCAATCAATTCTTTGCCTTACAAATTCTTTGTTTGATTAATAATGCCACTTGTTTTACTTTTGAGTTTGAGTGAGTTTGGACCTCTTTCCTTTTATCCAGCATTAATTACATATTTATGTGTAATTTTTATCTTAGATTATGTTGTTGAGTTCACTAAAGTAAAATTTATGTTTTTTGTATTCACAGGACTGTACCAGAATCATTGCTTAGGGAAGACGATGTAAGGATTTCTTGTGTCCTAAAATAATTTTGTTATACCGTCCCAAAAAAAAAAAAATTAATCTTGTTATGAAAATTACAGACATAAGATGTATTTATGTGGACCTCATAGTGATAGTGTTTAATGCATGATATAAAAAATCTACTGTATAAATAATTTATAAGTCAATGCCTTTGTCGTAGTTACATGCCATCTTTTACTTACCATAAATGTCATGCTTGTCCTTTTGCATCGATGCACAATTGACATAATATGCCAGTATTCTTGTGAAGCGATTCCTTGATTTTTATTATTGCTAGGTTTGGAGCCTGTTCTTTGTCATTATTACAGAGAAATATACAACAGTTTGGATTTTTACTTGACAGCGGATGGAAATTTTGTCTTTTTAAAAAGGGAATCTTGCTTGGTGCAATGGAAAAAAACTTTGAATTTTAGTTTGAGGGCAACCATTTTGTGCAAATAATGCCAAAGATTATTTCTGTACAAAATTTCTCTTATAGCACTCAACAATGTCAGGAGATAACATTTGATGGTGTCATTCATATGCATTTCTTTTCAAACTCTATCTATGGGGTCAAGCCTAGTAGGTGAACTTGTTTCATGCCGTTGCTGGATTTTAATACATCTCTTTCTTATCTAGACTCCCCTCATGTTCTTAAGTCACAAAGTCTCTCCTTTGCCCTTTCAATGAATTTCTCAGCAATGTCGTGCGACATATTCCCTTAACCTTCTAAGATTCTCTGTTGATTTTTTTTAAGAATTACGGCAACCTTCAGATTCTTAAAGCTCTGATTAGTTTAATGTTAAATAATTTGGTTCATGAAAGGTTTTACATTGAAATCCTCTGCTAACAATGTTTTAAGACCCCTCAAAGGATTACAAGACCGAATACCTTTTTCATAAGAAGACTTGAAAGAAAATTTTCTCAGTAAGTCAGTTTTAGGATCCCGGAATTATGGTGCTCTTCTTCCAAAAAATGAATTAAATTTTATCACTTAAGAAGGCCATATTGATGAAATGATTTCCCTGATTATTTTTACAAACAGAGCCTAAGATCAATATTACGAAAAATTGTAGGATCCTAACTTCCTCTTCCTTCATCATATTTCTTCATAATATTATAGTACTGCTCAAGGTTTCTCAACTGAGTTTGAGATATTTGATTTCATTTTTATTTTTTCCTTGCTTTTGCTCTGAAATTCTCAAATCTTTATTCTTTTCCTAAGCAAACCCATCCAGTCTTCTACTGTTTTTTGATGGATTACTTAGATCAAGCCCTTAACAATGCAAAAGAAAGGGAAATGCAGGACTAAATGTTCAACAATTCAAGTAATGTGTTACATGGCTAGTGAGATTGTCCAGTACTTGTTTTTGGAGTGCCTATTCGTTCTATTTATTACTTTTTTTTTTTCTGAGAAATTGCTGGACCGTTACTGTGACCCTTCCATTAATAACTAGGGTTTGAAGGTTTAGGATGCCTGTATGGTGTGATTTCTGGTTCATGTCATGGTACCAACATTATATTCTGGTCATCGAATAGGAATACACTGAGACGAAACTGCTTCTTTGTATCGTTTATGAAAATAATAGATCAAAGGAGTTACTGTGCACTTCATCTCTGGTAATACCTTTAGTTGGATTTTTGTGGGCTTGTTTTCCATTGCATGTGTAGCTTGAAAGAATGAAGTGCCCTGTTCTATGTCACAGTGTTTTCTCATTATCCCTTTTTTTTTTTTTTTTTTTTGACAAGTAAGAATTCATAAAAGGCGCGCAAGAGGGGAGCGCTCCCGAAGAATACACAAAACGCCAAAGGCGACAACTAAAGCTTTAAGCTATCCACAAAATCTAAAAGATCCCCCAAAGATTTACAATTACGCCCGTTAACCCCAAAAACATAAAGTATGCAATATGCTATATTTGAGAGACCAGATAGGTGTCTCCTCTCCCTCAAAAGATCTCCTATTTCTCTCACGCCACAAACCCCACCATAAACAAAGGGGAGTGGCCCTCCAAACAACCCTGGCTCGGCTCTCCACAATACACCCTTTCCAAGCCTCAATCGTATCCAAAGTAGTTCTTGGGAACACCCAAGACATGCCAAAAGCAACCAAAATCATAGACTAAACATCCCTTGCCACCTGGCAGTGGAGAAGGAGGTGAATAACTGTTTCCTCTGTCTTCTTGCACATACAACACCAGTTAACCACAATCTGTCGTCTTCTTCTAAGATTGTCGAGGGTGAGAATGCTATCGAGGACAGCACACCAAGCAAAGAATGCCACCTTCAATGGGGCTTTCGACCTCCAAATTGCCTTCCAAGGGAAAGAAGAACCTTGGATCACCATCAGGCTATCGTAGAACGCCCTAAACTCAAACACCCCTCTCGGCGTGCCCACCCACACCATCTCGTCCATCCCCACACCCTCCACCACCTGACTGTAGAACAAGGCCAAGAACTCGGCAACCTCTGCAAGCTCCCAATCATGAAACCCTCTATGAAATTGCACATCCCAAGTTAACCTCCGGTTATCAAGATGATAACAGTCGGCAACCAGAGCATGTCTAGTTGAAGAGATCCTACGTTTTCTCATTATCCTGCCACTAATGTTTCTTGTTATTTGTTTTCAGGTATATTATGAGACCATCAAAACTTTTGTTGAAAAAGGATTTGAAGCCTCCGCTGTTAAAAGAGATCACCATGTGGCTCAAGAAAGAATGCAACACTTTAATTTGTCCGGTGATGAAAGAAACCTTTTCTCCCTGCTTGATCATATGACCAATAAGGGGCTTTACGTTTTTGCCAAGATGCTGACAGGTGGCTCAACTTATTTTGAGAAAACCCCGGTGAAAATGAAAAAGATTATCAGAGAATGTCTTCCAAAAATACTAGGAAACCGAAAGAATAACCACCAAGTGATCATGTCTAAAAAGATATCCGAACTTCTGAAAGACCCACACAACTTCCATAGGACTTCCATGACGCTTTTGACTCCTGCATCCCAATCCTATCATGCTGCTGCTGCTAAGGTACTGGATGGACTTGAGGACTTCCCATTCCAGACCTTGAGCGCAATGTACAGGAAGCTCAGATGTATCCAAGGATACATGCCCCAGTTACATCCTCCAAAATCGGGATGGGGACGAAGCTCTTTAATTAAAGCAGTGAGGAAAAGATCCATGAAGATGCTATCAGAACTCGGTGAAGAGGATGCGCTGCAGGAACCATTAGTCAAAGCAATGGCAGTTGCAGGCTTATCGCTAAAGTTAATTTTAGGATGCAACTCTGTAATAGAATTTCAACAATTTTCACAGGAAATAGAAGCCTTACAGAAAGAGATAGCAAAGGCTATTTGGCTTCTCAAAGAGAAGGTGAGTTTTCGGGAGCTGAAGAATTTGCAGCTTTTGCTGGATCCAAATACTGAATTATCACATAGGAGTTTACGTACAGCAGTGAGGAACCTCCTAACTGAATATCTTTTAGAGTGCAGTGATATGGACACTATCCCAGGGTGCTTGTTAGAAACTCTTTCTATCATCAATAGAAGCACTCGAAGTGCCCCTCGTAGATTTTTGTCAAAGAAGGATATAGAAGAAGAGGTAGAATGTGTATTGAGTGTGAGTGCTCAGACAAAGCAGATTGTGTGGGACTTGCTTCCTGAACATGAGTTTGACCAAGATTATATAGATGCTTATATGGAGGATTTAGAAGAAAGCGATGATGATTATGATGATAATGATGACCAGCAACAAGCAGATATCCTGCAAAATAACAGGCTTTCTTATCCCAATGACGAGATAGAGAGCACTGGGGAGACTGACCCACTTAATTCCAACTTACCTGCCTCATCAGCTAGAGGAAATGGCTCTCTGCCAGTTCTTACACCTAGTGGAAGGCTGAACAATGATTCAATGGATTCTCCTTCTTTAGCTTCTTCCACTTCAGGTTGGGAATCAAAGGTTTTTGACAGCCCACAGAATATGAATGGAAGCCTGTACCACTTGGGAAGCACAAGGAGTTCGGGACTTACTGAACATTTAATTGATCCAGCGAAAGACTCCAAATCCGTTTCTTCCAACTTTGCGTGCAGGGATAATCACAAGACGAGTAGAAATCAATACCTTGCCATCCAAGAAGCCTGTGATGAGACGAGTATTGTCGCATATCATCTCATCGGTCGTATACAGAATGAGATAGCACATATAGAAGGCTTCGATTTAGACTGGGATGACATATCGTATCTCAGAGGCAATGATTCAATTCCTAAAGATTCTCGAGGTACTAAAGAAACTTGATTTAGCTCCCCAATTTTAAACTTCAAAAGTAATCAAAAGCACAAAGATTCATATTCAATTGATTCTCGTTTACTGTAGTTTATTCTTCTATCATCATTGTTGTCGCCATCGTCGTTATGTAATAGCTGTTGTAACAACAAAATTAACTAGTCATTCAAGTCAACTCAATGAAACATTTTCACAACTATTAGGATGTTACATGAGTCCTGATTTGCTCCATAAAAGGTGCCAAAAATTTGTTAGATAACCCATGTCTTTGCCCACCATAAAGTTTAGGAATAGACTCTGGTGGGTGTTTTGTCTTATTTTGTTAAGAAATTTCCTGCCGTATATGAACGTCAAGACATTAAGACAAGACAAAATTTCCCCAAGCATATTAATTAATGACCTCCTAATTATCTGTTTTGATAGACTCAATTGATTTTTTGGGCAAGCCTGAATAATTGGGCTTAGGCCTTGTTGAGTTGTTGGTTGTGGAGATTTGATAAATTTGACATTTAGATGTACACTCACATTTGATACATCTATTCAAGTTCATGTAACGCAGATGTATGGTGAAACCAATGGACTAATGAATTACCACTATCATCCGCCTGTGTTACTCTATTGTTTATTTTTTACTTGGAAGGGAATGGTTTGTGATGTTCTCCATTATCATGTACAGTCACAAAAAGAGTGCAGATTTCCTCCGAGGAAGATATGCGTGGCTCAGTCATTATTCGAGTACTTGAAGAGCTAATCCCTTTATTTCCTAAAAGGTATCTTTGCTTCTCAAGCTAGATTCTTAGAATCCATTTTATTTGCATTGCAGTTTATAATATTTGAAAGGTTTTACTCTAGATTATATTGGCATGTTCCGTTGCCAAACAAACTCAAGCTTTTACTTGATAATACCACTTCAATTCAGTACTGCCTATTCTAACTAAAGTTAAAATAGTCGAGTTTTCAAAGGAGAAATTTTCTGGAGTGTCCTTGAGTTCTACATATATAAATAAGTATTGATTCTACTTTTTAATCATGTAATTGTTGATAAAATAGGCATAAATTATGTGTTTATACTTGCAGTGGAAAAGAGTGTGTGAAGAAGTTGATGGGTTCAAACTAGCTTTAGCCTGTTTTGAGGGTTTTGTTGGATAACAGCCAAATGTCATGGAAGAATACTTTCGACTGCCTTTGTGTCTTTTTTCAAGGTATTTTTCCTTTTCCCTCTGGGTTTTACTGGGGTATGAGATGTTGAGCAAAGAGTGTAGCTGCACAAGCACAGGAGAAGACATTTTCCGACTTGTGGTAGATAAGATATTGAAGGTGATACATTATGGGGTGAGCGGCATAGAAGTGTAGCAATGGAAAAGAATTCAAATTAAAGTATCCCGGTAGAGATTCTGTCCAGCCAGCAGAATACATTTTCTTCAGCAGAAGTGTTGAAGAGGAAGCAAGTTAGTGAATTTATTTATTTGTGTATATATTTTGAGAAAAGAAAAATATGCTTTGAGTATTGTAGTTGTGCAGTCCCATCTTACCAGTATATTACCTTCTCTTTTTTTTTTTTTTTTTTTTAAATTTGCAGTTGATACCCATTGTGGAACTCGCTCTCTCTCTCTCTCTCTCTCTCACACACACACACACACACACACACACACACATGTTGTAAAAAGTTGCAACATCACTCCACAGGAACTTGTTGAACCCCAATCTCGGGCAGGTGGTGTTGTAGCAGCATGGTTCTTGGCAAAAATATCAAGGGTTACATTGCATGCAATATTTGTTTTAGCATGATGATACTTCACCCCGAACCGAAAAAGAAAGATGATTTGCAAAATGCTTGAAGAAAACAAATGAACATTAAGGTCCATAAAACCTTTAAAGGGACCATCTGAGGCATTGATTATGAGTATTGGTCGTTCATCAAAATAACGCCCATTGCATGTGGATGTGTGTGACATATGTGGTGTGCTCTTGGGGCCTTGGGCCAAAAAAAATAAAAAGTGGCCCTTTTAACAATATAAATAAAAATAGTCACAATTCACAAGCAAAATATTCAAATATATGTATATATTCATAAATTTATAATTCAAGATAAATAAATCTAAAAAACAATTAAAGAAAAAGAATCATAAAAAAAAAAAATAATAAAGTTATACAAATATTTGGGCCCAATATTAAATTTATGTAACAGTTGATAGTTCAACGGAACGAGGGAGGAGAGAGAAAAAAAAATATATATATATATATATATATATATATATATATATATATATATTTTTTGAGGCCTAATATAAAAGGAAAATGTTATACTTCATTAATTTTAATTTATGATTTTATCCTGAATTAAGTGGCTATTTATTTGTTACCTTATTTCACTGTTTTATATGTTTTAAAAGTAATTTTTAATATAGGAAAGAGAGAAAAAAATAGCAAAACTTATGATTAGAATCTAAATCCTAGCATAAAATTGGAATGAGGGAGGAGAGAGAAAAGAAAAAAAAAAGATATTATTTTAGGATATAAATATTTAAGACCTAATATAAAATCGGAATGAGGGGGAGAGAGAAAAGAGAAAAAAAGAAGAAGAAATTATTTTAGGCCTAATATAAAATATTTGTATTTATTAAAGTTTAATAATATTTAAAATATATATATAATAATTATAGTATAACTTAATATAAAAAAATTTTAAAATTTTAGGGCGGTCGCCTAAGACTCTAGTACTGTGCTAAGTCTCCCAATAATGGTATGTATGATCATGCAAGATCTTGTTTTGAACTTTCGGTAATAGTGTTCTTGTACCATTGTGAAAAAGGAAATCTGGAGAAAAATGAAAATAGGTTTTAGGGGGAGTGAATTTGATTTAACGATCAATATATTTAAAGCTAGAAAATGCAGAAACAATTGAAAAAATATGAAGGTTATTCTGGTCATTCTATGTTAACCTTTAATGTAGTTATTTCTTACCACCACCAAACGATGTGCACGAAGAGGTCTTCATATTTTCGGGCATAATCCAAAATGGTAAAACATAATATTTATTTTTATCAAACAATATTATAGAAGCATCATCACCCTATAATCTCATGGAAAAAAAATTCTCTCCGTTATTCTCTGTTGAATTAAATTCATATACATAGGATACACACACATTATATTTGCTAATTTTGCTTGCGCGTTTTAGACAAACTTAACTATAGTAATGTGATTACCTTGATTTCCTTGGCACATATCTGTATCTATATATATATAGAGTGACTGCCTTAATTTCCTTGGCAAATATTGGTATATATAAAGAGAGAGGTAGAAAAGGAAAAATAAAAAAGAATAGAATAAAAAGGGGTAGAACACAAAATCTAATAGCGAGAAGAAGAAAAAAAAAGAAGAAGAAAAGAAAAGAAAAGAAAAGAAAAAGAGAAAGAGAAAAGAATCTTAGCCACTTATTTATTTAATTTATTTATTCAACAATTCTCTTTAAAATTTGTGGTGCAAAAATTAAAATTATTCAATTCGACCGAATCTTACGTAACTACGGTGAATTAGATCTATTTTTGAGATAGGGATATGCTAACTCTAATAATCCAAAATTATATAATTTGTTCTTCCTTATAATTTTATTTGAATAATATGTTTTGTATACATATTTTTATTTTTATTTAATTGTTTTAAAATGAGGTTAACAAATATTCACGCATCCCGTCCAAGGGATTGTTCACACTAGTATGAATTGATCACGTGACCTGATACATCACGAGGTATCAAGACGTATGTATTTTCTAACTAGGCCAATCCAAGGGATTATGATTATTATTCTTTATCAAGGTTTGGTTGATGAATTTTTAAAATTAAAAATTCTAAAATAGTTTGAATTTTTGTTTTGATTGATAGTAACTGTTGAGTTAAAATATATAAAAAACAAATTAAAGAAAAAAGAAAAAAATATAACCTCAATATCTCTCTTATTTTTTTTAATAATAATTATTCTAAAAACAAGAAAGGAAAAGCCAAAATCAGAAAAGAGAAGGAGATGAGGAGAGAGAGGAAAGGAAAAAAATGAATATAACATTCACTGCTACTAATTGATGTTTGTTTATATGTTGATGAGCTTTGATATGGGTTTGAAGAAGACTGGCTGAGAGAGAGATTAGTGAAGATCAGAAACAAATCATGGTCGTTGCCCAGAAGCCATGAAGAGCAACGACACATCCACAGAAAGCAACAGTAGAAGAGAAGATGATCGTAAGGAGACGACTAGTACCAGTAGTATCTCAACCCTCGATTCCAGATTCAACCAAACCCTCCGAAATGTTCAAGGGTACGTCTCAAATTTTCCAACCACACCCTTAGATCCACTTTTGACTCTGTAATCACCAAGTCCAGAAAATCATTCATTTCCTTATAAATGCTCATTTCTCACTTCTCACTTCTCACTCATCAATCAGTGGTTTTTTTTTGTCTGATTTCAATACCCATTTGGAAAATTGTTCCGATCTTTCAATTTACTGGAAAGTAGTTGAGAAAATGATCACTGGGTATCCTTAAATTCGAGGTAGTCTCTAAGAAATCGGAAATAAAATCTAGGATTTCCAATTTGTCAGTTCAAAATTGCATCCATATAGGAGATTTTGATTTGTGACAAACTTTATGCGTTTTTAGTGATGACTCTGTATGAGAAAAAAAAGTTTGGTGGTCTCCCCTCTTCTCTATCGGATTTAAGTGTGATCATGCGAACTCAATTGGGATCTGTTCAGTCGCACATTAATGTTACAATTACTTCAAAACATGGTAGCACGCCTCCACTCCCTCTGTGCCTCTGTCTATCATTTAGAACAATTAATAGGAAGCTGAAATGGGTATCATTTGCATATAAATGTGGATATCAAATATAGACAATTGATAGGTAGTCTACGATACAAATTTATTCTTTTATGAGCTGATTCTGCTATTCTACATTGGTTACTGAAAACTAAATAGCAAAATGCATGCATGTAGGAGACTTTGATTTTGTGACACTTTATGTCTTTTTAGTGCTAACTCTATATTATGAGAAGAAAAAAAAGTTTGGTGGTCTCCCTACTTCTCTATCGGATTGAAGTGTGATCATGGGAACTCAATTGGGATCTGTTCAGTTGCACATTAATGTTGCAATTACTTCAAAACTAGGTAGCACGGCTCCACTCTCTCTGTGCCTCTGTCTATCATTTAGAACAATTAATAGGAAGCTGAAATGGGTGTCATTTGCATATAAATGTGGATATCAAATATAGACAATTGATAGGTTGTCTATGATACAAATTTCTTCTTTTATTCTAAATTATCTCAATTAAGTAAATAATGCTTTTTTAGTCTAGTAATCCCATTGAATTTGTGATTCCTACCAAGTACCAATTCAACAAGGTTTATTCTCTGATTATTTGTTAAATAATACTCCAAGTATGTTTAGAAGTGATTTGTTCATTTGTCAATAGTGGTTTTTGGGCCTGTAGAATTTGTTTGAGATGCTAACAATGATTTTCTGTACGTATTGCACCTCATCCATATTTGACTGCATCCCTGTGGATATGGATTCTGGTGGGTTACACGATTCCCATTTGATATGATTGTAACTATAATAACTAATTAGCGATTACACAGTTTCTAATTCATATTGAATAGGAGGCTAAAAAAAATAATAGTTCAAGTTCATATTGGATAGGGCTACAGTACCATGTTGTCTCGACTTCCAACAATTTGACTAATTTCTGTGTTAATTGATTTATCCAACCTTACATCATTTCAGTCTTTGGGATCTTGTCAGCCTCTTTAAGGAAGCATGATATATAAATTCACCATATAAGACTAATTTTATCTTATAAACTGATCCTGTGTATTTTCCATCATAGCATTAATGGTGTTGTAGTTATAGCCTTATAGAGGTTCCATAATCATGAAATTGTGATTACATTCTTTTTCATTCTCCTAGATTCCTGTGCGTGTTCCTGCTCAATTGCCGAATTTATATCCTTATATCTAATTTATCCTTTTTATCACAATCTAGGTTGCTTAAAGGTCGCAGTTTTCCTGGCAAGGTACTGTTAACGCGGAGATCTGACCCCCTGGATGGCTCAACTTTACTCTCCCAAAAAATTGAGAGGAGTTTATCAGACGCTAATACCGGACCAAGTGAACAAATGGACGAGTCTGTTGAGGTAGTCCTCTGTTTTTGTCTGCATATCATATTATAACATCTAATATTGAAGGAGTAAGAATTGAAGAACCTGTTGTTAAGGTTTTTTTATTTATGATTTTATATTATTATTAATGTAGGAAGAAGTACTGAGTAGAAGTGCTCCAAATACTAATTCTGCAATTAACAAGGTCAATTCGTCAACTTCAAGCACTGAAAACACATCCAAAGAGGTTCAGAAACCCACAATGGGTGCTAGAGCTACTGATTCTGCTAGGCTTATGAAGTTTGCAAAAGAACTGTCAGGGACAACTGTCATTTTAGGTATAATTGTCTTTCTTCTATAATACTTAATTATCTTTAGGTTTTTTTCTTGTGTAGGTAAGTACATTATCCAGAGATAGATGTAGCTGGGATGCATGTCTTAGAGCCTCACAATTTTCTAGTAGATGTAGAGATGGGAATAAAGTTGAATATGATTGTTGATGGGGCTTTTTCCATATGGTTATGATTACCTGAAATTTAAGTTCCCTATTTTTGGGGCGAATCCAAGTGGTGATCATTCGGAACAACATTGTACCATAGATTTATCTGCAGAGATGGTAGGACATTGTACTGTTGCATTTACTGTAGAACCCCACTTTGCAATTCCCCCCCACCCACCCAAAAAAAAAAAAAATTTGTGCTTTATGTTCTTACACAACCATGCACATTTTTACAAATTCAAAATTACCCTCATTGTAAATTAAGAGTAATGAATTTCTTCTTGTTTAATGAGCAATTCTTAACTAATTCAGGATAATAAATGATAACATGAAAAAACTATTATCCAAAAGTAAATGCATATGTGCATGTTGTATACGCCCATACACACGTATTTATAGCCATGGTTCTAGATCTCGATTTTGAGGGATTGCTTTCTCAGCATGTCTGTGTGGACACTTGATACATGTTTCTGTCTCAGATCATATATACTTTCTTCTTTTTGGGCTTTTATGTATTACTGTAAATGTTTTTTTAACTAATGAGTTGTCACTTATTTTAGCTGCCCTTTATATGGTATCTACATCTTGAAAAGAGAGTCCAATTCATACCTTTCGTATTAAGAATGGTAGCTGCCTTATGATTTTGGTAATTATCTCTCCGTCCTAAAATAAGTGTTCCTATTTTCTTCGATCATAAAATAATTATTGCCCCTTTTGAGAAGTTAGTGATCAAAATTTTCCTAAGTTATCCTTCTGTTTTGAAAACTCTTCCAATTAACACTATAAATCTTTAAATTTTGGAGCATTGATTTTGGAATTTCAAAGTGATACATGCGGTAAATAAATGTCCCTTAAAAAAGTTGGAATCGTCTAAAAAGGCACTTATTATAGAATGCAGAGAGTATTGTTTGTTTGTGCACGAGTCAAAATTTCTTGAGTAGCATTTTCGATTTAGTAATTTGAGTGGTAATTTACCTGTCAAAATTTAATCTTTTATTTTGGTAGCTGAGGTGCTAGATTAAATTTATGTCAGTATGATATTTTTTATACAAATTGAATTTATTGACGTAAAGATTGATATTTACTAATTTCTCGTCTTGCAGAAAAATTACGTGAATTAGCTTGGAGTGGGGTCCCACCATATTTGCGTCCGACCGTATGGAGGCTTCTTCTGGTAAGCTTTATTTTTTTATGCAAGCTATTTACGTTAGGAATCACATTGACAAAATACTTTGGTTTGTAATAAAAAGTTTGCTTACTTTCCAATTACTATGCCAAAGATCATCTGGTTGTGGTGGTTATACCATAATGAATTCCTGCCATTGGTTTGGTAGAGTCCCTCTTCTTTTCAGAAAATACTGGGGGAACTTTTCCACATCGCCTGAAAGGGAGAAGTTACTGGCACTTATGCCTTCTACCTATGTAGTTGCATTAGGGTGCAAAGCGGATGGCATCAGCACAGTTGAGGCGGACCCTGTTAGATGGTATTAGAGTCGACCCTCAGTCAGAATATGGATTGAGAATGCTAGGTCCGAAGAGGGTGTGATTGTGACATCCAACATCGACTAGGGGGAGAAGTTGCTGCAATTGGGAGGATGCCTTCTACCTATGTAGACACATTTTGAAAATTGTGAGCACCAAGAGAGTACAAAGTGGACAATATCTACAGTGTGAGATGGGTCTTTTATAGATGGTATTAGAGCTGATTCCCAGCTAGAATATTTTGTGTGTGTGGGTTGGGGGGAGGGGCACAATCCCATCAGGGTCGTGTGTCTCAAGAGGGAGTGATTGTTGTGTCCCACATTATTAAGTACGGCTGGCACCATTTTGATGCCTAGGGAGAGAAGTAGCTGGCACTTATGAGGAAGGATACCTCCTACCTGTGTGGACTCATTTTAAAACAGTGAAGGCAATGTGGGTGCAAAGCGGATAATAACAGGACACTGTGAGGCAGGTCCTGACAGAAATGGCATGAGCGTTGTGCATGTGTGAAACAAGCTTTTAGTGTACCCCCCTCCTTTTTTGAGAGAAAGCGAGTAGGTCTCAATGAGTGGCAAGTGCTTTTATTTGATGAATTGGCTGCTATATCAAGTGAAACTAGGCATGCACCTTACTTTATAGTCTGGGAGACTTAGGTCTGATTTGAACTTTGTGCGTGATATATTTCATACAATATAGGACATATACTAGAAAAGGACGAATCTAAACTTGCCTGTTGCATCTGCTATGTGGCTCTTTTGTACCATATGGGGTCTTCTAATTGCGTGAAGTACATGTGTTGGATGCTTGATACTTGAAAATGGACATGGCCGTCAATATGTTTGGTTGGACATCCTCCTAAAACGCATTTGCAATAATTCACCAAACTCTCTTATTATGCCCATTTTATGAAATTTTTATTTCATAACGAGTGAAGTGCTATATCAAAGATCCTATATTACATAAGATTACCAATTTACCTTATAAAATAAAGGAAAAGATTAAGAAATATGAATATGTGGCTGTATTCCTATGCCTTGAGTTTGAGTATTCGATAAGTTTGACATTTAGACGCTTACACATATCGGGACTTGCATATCTTAGTCCAAGAAATGTGGCATTGTAGAGGGCATTGATACCTGTCATGGCCATGCCTGTGGTGTGTCAATTTTAAGTTTCTTCACTTTTTCCCTTATATTTAAATTTTTTATGTATAATTTGTTTCTTGTACTTATGTAGGATTCCTCATGCTATGGTAACCTACTTGTCAAAAAAAAAAAAAAACGAAAGAAGAGAATATGGTTACCATTGGGATTGAACAAATGGTTTATTTTATAATTTTTTTTTCGTTTGGATTTAGTCCATTCCAATATTCTCATTGGATTGAAATAAATTTGTTTTATAGTTTTATATTCTTGCTTTTATTACTCTCATGCATATTGATGTTATTCACCCTTGGGGTGTTGAATACAATTTGGACTTTGGCTTAGGAGTTCAGTATCAGTATGTATTCATTTTATTACATTTGAAATAGATTTTTATATGTTTCTGGTGAGTTGGTTGGTATTTTAAACCTTTTAGAGCATGCATTTTTGAAGACCATAAGGGCATACTTGACATGACCTCTCGTCAGTCAGAATATTTTATTTTATATGTTTTTATTGAAATTATTCTGTTTCTTGTATGGAAATTTTAAATTTGAACTGACAACAGGGATATGCACCCCCTAATTCCGATAGAAGGGAGGGGGTTCTGAGAAGAAAGCGCCTCGAGTATCTAGATTGTGTTGCTCAGTATTATGACATTCCAGACACTGAACGCACAGATGAGGAGATTAATATGCTTCGTCAGGTATTATGGATGCTGACTGATTGAATGCCCCTTCTAGATCATATAATTCTTCTGCCCCATGCTGACAGATGGTGTTATTTAACCACATAAAAACTTTCCTTTCTTGTCCTCCTTAGATTGCCGTTGATTGTCCTAGAACAGTACCTGATGTCACATTCTTTCAACAATTGGAAGTTCAAAAATCCTTGGAGCGAATACTTTATACATGGTAGGTACTACTCTCTGTCTCTCTCACCCCTGTGTGTGTGTGAGTTGCATTCTCTCTGTAGGTATGAATAGTTTGTTACTGATAAAAATTTAAAGAAAACTCCCATATAGCTTTATTATCAGTTTGTGTGCTTGCCAAGGAAAAAAGAGATAATTTCACCTTCATTGTTGAAGATATATTGAGTTAAATGGGAATAAAATTACCTAGTTGCTTATATGCAATTTGGAATTTATATAACTTGATCAAAATCGATATAATTTTCTGGACAAAGGTTGGGGCCCAGAGAAATTACATGGCTACACCTCCAATAATTATACATTGATGAGTCATCAGCCTGCCATGTTTGATGAATGATTACTCTCTTTTTATTAAAGTATGTATAGCAATATTATTTTTATATATTCTATATTGCCTTCTGGTATCTGCTGCACAGCTTGCAACTCCTGGAAACTAATAATTTAGAACATAAATGTCAATCTGCTATTGATTTAATTAAAATGTATTTAATAGTCTAATCAAGAAAAATGTATTTAATAGTCTAATCAAGTCCAGTTGGCTTGTCCATGCAACTGGTTTCAGTGAGTACCATAATGGTCGCTTATATGTGTTTCAGTGAATATAAGACGCGTTCTTTCTGCTGTTCTTTATTCTTTCTATGGGGTTGGCAAGTGGGTTACTGAATTTACTGGTTATTGGGTTGATAGATATTTGATAAATGTGTTGTTCAAGCTTCTAGGATTATGTGAATCAAGTCTAGATATTGCCACCAGACATCAACATCGAGACCAATGCCTTGCCTTCCTAATTCAAATTATGTGCTCCTGCCTTAGCACATGACATTATAAATGTGGATGCTGTGTCAGATAAAATAGCCCATGTCGTGACCTTGTTATGTATATTTTATTACTTTAGTAGCCCAGAATCATTCAGTGATGATGATTCCATCACTGCATGAAAGACTTTTTTTTTCTTTCACACTACATGTTTTTTACGCAGATTTCTAATGCCTTTCCTTCCTAATTCACAAATATCTTCAGTACTCCCTTTTTTCCTTTACCATATAGTCATATAATACTGTTGAGGATGAACCTTTTGATCAGGATGGTATTTTGTCTGTGGGGCTTGAGTTGTTGTGTATACATGAGATGGGGACGCTGACAAAATTACTGAATTCAAAACCTAATCATGAAATATGCAGCTTTTCTGTTGAGGTTTGCAATTTAGATCATGTCATATAGTACTATAATAAGTTTTTTTTTTCCTTGTTAGTACTATAATAAGTTTAGGCTTTAGATAACCGTGACAAGTTAGTTAAATGCAGGACCTTTCCATTGCTCAGGTTTGGGTTGCCCATTTTTATGATTGTACTGACTTTCTAACTTTTTCACTAACTATATACCGAATTTCTAACTGTTCTGTGATGATCTCTAATTCATTCTCCATTTCTGAGTCATTCCACTGCTTAGGAATTCTTAGATCTCATCATTTACTTCATAACAAACCTGTTTAAGATACATGAATGATCGGAAAAGATAATGTTTGTTTTTATTTTAGTGTTGATGGTAATTTATTTTCTTCATGGTATTGTTTGTTTGTCTTTTTCATTTTTCTCTTTTTCCAGGGCCATTCGACATCCTGCAAGTGGGTATGTTCAGGGAATAAATGATCTTGTTACACCGTTTTTAGTTGTTTTTTTGTCTGAACACTTAGAAGGGAATGTGGATAATTGGTTGATCTTGGATCTACCTGCGGAGAAAATCTCTAATATTGAAGCAGATTGCTATTGGTGCCTATCAAAGTTGCTTGATGGTATGCAAGACCATTATACGTTTGCTCAGCCTGGAATCCAGAGACTTGTGTTTAAGCTGAAGGAATTGGTCAGGCGAATTGATGGTATGCCTTTTTGGTTTTTTGTTCTTATTGTTAGCCCCCCTTTGAATAATTGTACTAAAGGCTCTGCACTTACCAAAACAAATTTTAACTTCACCATTATCCCCCCCTTCTGGTAAGACTGCACTTGGTTATGGTATATAGCTATTTTTTGAATATTTTCTGTGCACTGCTGCAGAGAAATAGCAAATCAACTGTGACTGGTTTCTAGCTGGCGGACAATATGCTTTGTTTCTTTTAATTAGGAATCTGCATAGGAATTGTTGAAAAATATTGGGGATAAAAGAGGGGTGGTATATGCACGAGTCTAAAGATTAGTGACACGTAATAGATGGTGACTGTGGACAATTCCCATGTGTTGAACATCTTCTTCTTCTTCGCTTTCTTTTTATTTATTTATTTTTATTTTTTATAAGTCCCACGTGTTGAACATCTGAATGAAGCTTACAACAGTGGAAACTAAAACATGTAGATATGATATTGAGAAATAACGTGATAAAGAATGTGGTTATTTTTTATTTTGAAAGATGAATGCATTCTTCTGTTAGTATGAAGATTTTGTCTGTGAAACGAAGTACTTTTGTGCTCTGCAATTTTGGCACTGTAGAATATGGTTTTAGTTCCGCTGGCCAACCCTAACCTAATCTGATCTTATTCCGGTCTTTGAATAGGTTTGGGCAGCACTTTCTATTTACTCGGCTGGGTTGAAAATTTTCAGGCTGACTTTCATTCGTGTTAGATAGATAGGCGGAGGTATCTAACACCTTGAAATTAAGTACAAATGGATGAAGGGTAATAAATCCTTCATTGAACAAAGCTAGCAGGCTAAAGTGTATATAGACAAAACCCCTATATAAGGCCCCACCTACAAGCACCTATAACTGCAACCCAAAGTGTATATAGACAAAACCCCTATATAAGGCCCCACCTACAAGCACCTATAACTGCAACCCAAATCCCTCTCACGGAAAATAAAAAAGTGTTGTTTGAAAGTAATTAATGTGGTATCTCCTCGTCTAGAAAGAAAGTCACCTGTCTGGGGTAAAGATGCACAAGCGAATGATTACGTGGAATGGGTTGTGGAGGTGGTTTACTGAATTTTTTTGTTATAACCTGGCATGCTTGCGATTCGAGATTGTGATGGTTTTATTCCAATACTTTATTTGGTTAAGCTCATCTAAGGATGGAGGGTGCAGTTGTTTGGTACAGGCTTTTGAATTGGTAGTTTCAGTGTAATCCAATTGGGGTGGCCTTGGTGATAAGATGAGATAGGGTTCCAGCAAAGAGGATATAGATATTTTTGGTTCCCACAGACTTTTTGTTTACTTGGTTGGTTGAAGGGGATAAATGTTTGACGCTGGATAGTAAACAAGAAATGTTTTAGAAAAGAAGAAGAATGCAAAGCTTAAGAGGATGATAAATCCTTGTAAGGAAGGTGACAAGAGCCACTAGAATATATCAACATCCCCATCCCGTGGCTGCCACTAGGATGCTCAAGGTGAAAAAAAGTGGTGTGGCTGGTGCCTAACAGTCAAAGCAACAATCCTCCCTTCTTAGCCATTAGATTGACCTGCTCGTTGCCCAATCTAGAAATTCACCTGATCTTTGCTTGAAACAAGGAAGATACCCATGGTTTTTCTCATTATATACAATCACAATGCCAAGAACCTAAGGCCTTTGACTGCGCCTACCCAATAACAACCTCCTTATCACCCTGGATCCAATAGTGCAGAAGATCCATTACGGAAGCTTCTCAAGCCTTCTAAGAGAACTTCGACCTCCAAACTAAATAGCAAACCTGGAGCATCAGGTCTGGCAAAGGGGAATTGTTCTCCAAAACGTCTCTAAAAGTGCCTCCAATGTAAGGGTGGTCATTGGCTTGTTGACCCGCCTAGCCCGAAATTCCCAACCTGTCTTATTACTGGCTTGTGCTAGGTTTGTAGGACTGTTATCCTCATACGATGCCTTTTAAGGCCTGATCAACTCCAGAAGCAGTTTTGGAAAGTATTTAGGTCTGACCAACCTGCCCAACTTATCATATTATACAACTCAACTGAACTCTATAAAGAATTTTCCCAACTATAAGGAGTCAGCTACATGAATCCCATCTTTTCATTTTGCTTTATCTATGGCCGTAGCCTCAGTCAAGGAACTTGTTATCATATCTTTCCTTACCAACTCTACCCATGTTAATTTTGGTCTTCCCCGTCCCCTAGCATTGTCTTAATGCGAACCATGTCACTGCACTTAGTATTACTCTACCTAATTACTCATTGTATATATAAATTATGTATATAAATATTCTCATTTCAAATATGAGATATGTTTAAGTCTATTGATAGAAGAAACCCTACAAAAACTACCCTTAACCTAAAAAGTTGAAAAAGCAATTAGATACTATTAGAGTTACTAAGCCTCCTATGTCGCTTACTACTGTATATTTATATTTATTTAACAAATGGCACATTTAGGGGGAAAGAATATATGGCAGGCTGGCTCGGACTGTCCTGAAAAGTATCAGGGCCGGCCTTGGGTTTATTAGTTAAGGCCCAATGTGGGGCTTAGATCATTACATCTTGTCATTTTGGAGTGTGCACCCCACCCTAACCAGGTTGGCCCCTATCCTCCATTACATGCTCCGCCTCCACTAGTTTTGTCATTAGAAAACTTATTGTTTATTAAATACATGAAGTATGACTTTGCATGAACCCATACTATTTTTGCTGTGGTATCTTTTTCTTCTTTTTTCTTAAATGAGATTTAATGTGTTTCGGGGAGTTTCACTGGGAATTTTTTTATTTTAATTGTACTTTATGCTATTCTAACTAATGAAGGGAAAACTCTGGGCGTTTCACTGGGAAATATTTAATTTTTATTTTACTTTATGCTATTCTACCTAATGAAGGGAAAACTCTGGGCTTGGTTCAGACTCATAAGTACAAAAATTTTGAAAACATTTCTGAGTTTCAGAACTTAAAACCCATGCAATTTTAAGCCATTTATTAGAATTTAGTACAATATGATTCACTGTTTTAACTGTGTAAATATTTTAACCCATGTTGGAGAAAAGCTATTAGATTAATCCTGTGATACTGATATGATTGTTTTGTCCACGAAAAATCGAAGCAGCATCTGATGGGTGGCTCCTATAATAAGAGCTCTCCAACCCAACAACTTTTATTATTATCTGTTTTGTTTAAAACGCCACCATTCAAACATCACTTTATGTTTAGTGAACTGGAAATCTTCATGTCTTCTCACTTATCAATGACCAAATAAAATGTATCCTATTGACGACTTTGTTGTTTGAATTATAATAGAACCTGTGTCAAGACACATGGAGGAACAAGGGCTTGAGTTTCTTCAATTTGCTTTTCGCTGGTTCAATTGTCTTCTAATAAGAGAGGTTTGCTTTGACCATGCATAATCCACTTCAGTTGTTGTGATTGCGTCCAATTCTCCGTTTTCTTTATGTGAATTTCTTCAACTAGATGTATCTTAATCTTGATACGTTAAGTTATTTTAAATGAAAAATGCTAAATGAACTTATATGTGTCACAGATTCCTTTCCACCTTGTCACCCGTTTGTGGGACACTTATCTTGCGGAAGGAGATGCATTGCCCGATTTTCTTGTATACATATTTGCCAGTTTCCTTTTAACGGTATGCTCTCAAGTTAGTTGTGCTGATATTCTTGGTCAAAGGATTTGACATGGAAATATCCAGAAGCAAATAATATTCCCTGCTAAGAACACCTGCTTTTGGTATAATTGGTAATTATTTAGTTTTAATCCCTGTTAATTGAGTGTGCTGGGATGGACAGATTTACGCATTATTTGCAAAAAAATGGCTGCAATCAGACTCAAATATGTATTCTCATGCTTGACACCTGATCTTTTACCAATACAAGCAACGATTCCTTACATGCTAGTAAAAGATGCTTCATCTTTCTAATGCTATTTGGTAGAAGATGGGTTAGCTGGACTATTTACATGGATAAGATTCTTTTAGAAAGGACTTTTAATTTGTAAAGTCAGGTTTCCATAGGTTTCTTGAAATGCATTTTATGGTGCAAAACATGTTCCATGCCAAACAATCTTTACCACGACAGACAAGCCTATGAAAGGCATTCCCATACATTATCTGAATTCCACTAGGGGGGCTTACTATGAATATGTTTAAAGTAGCGTATGAACTTCTCCCCTTCTAGATTCAATTATTATTGGTCTGACCTCTGAAATTTTCAGTTCATATAACTAACTTTAGAACATTGGTTTTTATCATTCATATTCTGTGAAAGTGTAACTAGTTATCTTGAACAAAAAAATTGGATACTCTTAGAAGTGTTTAAATGATTATTTATAGTTTTTTCGCCTTGGGATAATGCTATACTGTTTATGCACATAATGCTGTTTCAGAAATGGTATAATATTCTTGGGCTCCATCTATGTAGGGATTGGAGCAGCCCATCTTTCATGATCTTCCATGCTAACTTTCAGGCCTCTGTGGCCGTCTCCTGTATTACCATCAACTACAGTTGTATCCTTGTGCCGAACCCCCTTTGCATGCCTTCTATGCACTAGTGCCCCTGCTTTTTTATTCTGAAATTTCCTTTATGACTTTTGAGTCTCACGGATGCAGTTTTCATATTGAATAGCTCTTAGAACTTTCTTGGGCTTGTGACTAATTTTTGCACAGAGAATTCTTTTGCTTTATTGGGAGGAATATTTAGATTATTATTTTTGAAAAACAAAAACTGGAATACTTAAACATGAATTTCTATTATACTCAAATACATGTTTTCTTTATTTTCAGTGGTCGGATAAGCTCCAGAAGCTTGATTTCCAGGAAATGGTGATGTTCCTTCAACACCTTCCAACTCAGAACTGGACCCATCTCGAGCTTGAGATGGTGCTTTCTAGAGCATACATGTGGCACACCATGTTCAACAGCTGCCCAAGTCACTTAGCAAGCTGAAACGGCAGTAATATTATTTATTCCTTCGTTATGAAGCCCTTAAACTTCTAGGTTTTGTCGTTTTTTCCCTTGAATTTTGTTCTCAACTTGGGTTCTTTGACGAAAATCAACCGGTCACTCTCTCCTTTGTATTATTTCTTGTAGTATCTGTATGTTTTATCATTTCTATATATTCTTACTTTTGGCCGAGGATGGAAAAAGATTTTCATTGTATAACATTCCTTGATTTACATGACTGGTGGAGTTTGAGAGAACATTCAATATATATGTGTAGTGTTTATATACTGACAATGTATAGGGAATTTCATTGATTGTCTGTAATTGTAGTTACTTTTCTTGCCCAGAAATGAATAAGAGGATCCTTTTCAGTTGTCATAGCTTTAACGGTGATTGATTTATGCTTGCCGTGGGGGCACTTCAAATGTACAGAATAACCAAAAGATACACAAACGAACAAACACACGAAAGATATTGTTACTGCGGGCATTTTGAATCAGATTTCACATCAACTTGAGTTAAGGTCAAAAACTGGAGCCTGCTTTCTTGCAAACTAGGTTGCCCTAAATGTCGTATACGACCAGTCAGGCTATTATAAAGCTAATTTTATTAAGCGAAGTATGCATAAAAGAGATCTGATGGCTACCACAACTTGGTTACCGTAAAAGAATTTTGTTGTTGGGAGCTTTAAGCTGATTATAAATATGAAATTCTTGGATCAATATTGATTTTCTCAAGTTACTATAATAGTTCAGTTAGTCTTGTTAACAGAATACTCAGGACATTGTTTGTTTCAGAGAAATTTAGTTTGGTAACAAGAAATCCGTCTCGTGAGTACCCTCCAATAGAACAGCTTAATACTTTCCTCACATTTATTTTGGAGATTGGAAGTCCAAGTCCTTTGGAAACCCCACACAGGAAATTTTCCAATAAATGAGATTGCACGTGGATGGTAGTGAATTACCAGTTGTTCTAAGAAGTCCGACGCCACTATTGTTTGAAAAAAAAAAAAACTCTCTATGGATCCCCCTTTTTCTTTCCCCCCAAATTCTTCGAACTTAATTTACTACACAAACACCGGATACGGTGCATCAGTAAAAAGGCAAATGCTCGTCCTCATGAAAAGCAAATATATGACATACAAATACAGCATTGACAGACTATGTCTGTGTTTAGAGACTTCACAGTTTCTGGGTAAAGAAGCATGCGGAAATTCTCAGTTCTGAAATTACAATTCATAAAGCGACGGGTGCCTGATTAGAGTACACACTTGGAGTAAATGACACGAACACTATATTTTATGCAATCATTTTCCCATAACATAAGTTCAAAACTGGACAGAGAAATGCCTCAATAGTCAATACAAATTTATCCACAACACACTGCTCAAACTGAAACTTCTACCCCCAACAAATTTCCTTGCTTAGGACAGCATTTGATGCAGCTCCAACAAGCATGTCCCTCGCTGATCATTAAAAGCTCGAATGTGCCACAAAGAAATGGTTAGAAGTTGGCCATATATGTGGCAATAGTTTTCAAACAAGATTAAGCGACCTCCGCTTTGGCTGGAAAAAACATAAGAATTGAAGTCAAAATCCACATACTAAATTCAATGAACAAAACCTTAAAACTGCAAACTTAACAAATTAATATCATTTGGCAACATTCTATCACACTTGCAGTTCAGTGGCTTGTGAACTTAATTAAGATGTAAATGAATAAATCTTCCTTGCCTGCAATGTCCTTTTTTGCCAAACAAAGATGTGATTGCAAAACATGTATAAGCAACACCAAAGCCATCTAAAGAATATATAAGGAAATTTGGTATCCGCTGTTTTAATCATCATACACAAATATGTGAATTTGATTGTCAGGTAAAAAAAAATGCTTATTGATATATATATATATATATATATATATATATATGTATGTATGTATAGAACAAATGAAAGTTTACTGAACAAACTTAAGGTTCTGATTGGGAGAGAAGGAATTTGAGACTTCAAATTGAACCTTTGCAAAATCCATAATTTGCACAGAATGCAATATAAAAACAACACAAGTTTTTAATTTATGTTCAAATTTTATAATTGCACACACGGAAGATGCAGACATGCTTATTCCATTCTTTTCCCTGATAAGCAAACAAAAGTTTGCAAATCAGAACATGTCTATTCTATACATAATACAATTACATAGCCACTCGCTATTTTTTGGAGGTTGAACACCGGTTGGAGCATGAGAACAACCGCATTGTCTAAATAAATATTAAGTTTGTATCCAATAAACCTCTCCAACTGGCTCGCATCAGCAGGACACATACGGCAATAATGTTTTTTATGCGGAGGTCAAACGTAAGTTCTCCGCAGGGGTTAGAACCTAATATTATAAATTTTCTTCCACGTGGCACTAAGATGGATAACTCGAAGTGATTCTACTGTTCTCTAAAAGTCATTCTACCTTAAACTATTTCGATAAAAACCTTATTAACAAGTAGAATTTTTAAATAGAAATTAAAAGATTATGCAAGAGCTTCCACACAGACACAACAGCCTTATTTCTTTATATATTCAAGTGCAACCATCTTAAAATATTAAGCTCACACAGCAAAAATGATCTCTAACTGGTGCCACTTATAGACATGATCTTATGCCTCTCATGTTCAATTTTCAGCTAAAAAAGTCGCTTGTGATTTGCCTATAAACCCTAATTGGAAAGGAATAAGATTCTGTCTACATCTTGGAATAACATGATCAAGTACTCAAATCAATCTCAATCACCATTGAGAAACAAATGAAATGCATTAAGTGGGTAAGTCATTTGCCCTTGGTACCTCATGAAGAATCAGGTCTAAGGTTCGACTCCTCTTGTGTGCAAACAATTCCTTGAGGGGTGTGTGCGAGAGTAATCAACTAGGGCAAAAAACCACAAATGAAATACATTAAAGGCCAAATTCTTTCCAACAAATATCTAAAAAAATTCAGTTCTATTTTATTCCCTATATTTGCTCAAGTGAAAATGAATATATTAGTATTGGAGAAAGGAGGCATAAAAACTACAAATAATTTTTCCCCTTTACTTAAAAGAGAAAAAAGACCAACGGGTCAATGGCCTAGCGGTATCAGCCTCTTATTTCCCAAAGGGAGGTCAGGGGTTCAAATCTCAAAAGAGACAAGTGTGTGTGAGTACCAACTAAAAAAAAAAAAAGAAGGAGAAGAAAGTGCATGTATACCAAATGATGGAGGCCAAAGCTATAAGCCAAGGCCAGTGCTTTAGAAAGCTACAAAAGAAAAAAAAAAAAAAAAAAGGGAATTGTACTGGCAACACGAAAAATCATATCATACATCCCACTTCCAATCAAGACTCAATAGATCATCCTAAGGAGGATGGGAGTTTTTGAGTGTAGTTCACCATATTAGAATTTAGAACTGGTGGTAACAATAGATATATGCTTACAGATTGTGACTACATTTTAAATTTTGGTAAAACACCAATTTCAAATTAACAAGATTGGAATACCATATTCGGTTATCCTGAAATAACGATTAAATACATACTGCAGATATTTAAAATAACAAATGAAAATTCAAAATAAATTGGAACTTCTTTAATATATATCGGCCATTTTGCTGCAACAAAAGACAAGCTGATGGAAAATAACAGACAAGTAAAATATGAAAAATGATGACACTGTAAAATATCATGGCAGGAATCGAGATAACAGTTATATATCATTCCGCACTGGAAGCTTGAAAGTTGAAATCACTACTAAAAAAAACGACATTAAAAACCATGGTTGGGACAAGTTGCCGTATAAATTATGTTTTACAGGACAAAAACAACAGCTATGCTTTTAACAACAAGAAGCTTATAAATCAACAAATACACTGACAAGTATTGCAATTATTTGAGGATTGTGAGATGATACTGGGAAAAAACTAAGACAGATAAAACAGTATACCAAAAATCTAATATTACCCCAATAGGTGATATTAGTAGGGAAGCCACATGCAAGCCAGAGACAAAGTTTAGAAGAATGGCAAGGAAATTAACCAACAAAAGAAAAAATAAAATAAAAGAAAAAACAATGTGGAAGATATCTGGTCAGAAACACCGACAGATGAGTTTGGAATTCATAGTAGTTACATGTGTTTGCAATCAAATGCAGTGGAGAACAGTTCATGTCCATCATTTTGCATCTAATGTCAAATTTAAAAAATGGAATATCAAGAAAAATCAAAGAATATAAAGTATTTTAATGTTAGATACTAATTTAACATGCACAATATAATTTGTTTTGTGAGCCTGAAAGGATTTGTAAGACATAGATACACGGATTTAGGAATTAAAAATCTATGCATAGAGAAATGTGTTTCTTACATATTTCGTTTGAATTTCTTCAAGGAATTTCTTAGGAGAATCCACATATTCATCAGCTTCTTTCTTTACCGATGCTGCAAGCTCTTCTTCTCCAGCCTTTTCAAGGTTCCTTATCAAAATTGTCAAGGTTAACTTGTCAGGGACACAACCCGATTCCTTCATTAAATGATATGTCTCCATTGCCTTCTGTATCATACCCACTTGTAGATATGCTCCAATGAGCTCAGTATACGCCCTCGTGTCAGGTACTAAACCTTCTTTCTTTAATTCAGAGAAAAGCTGTTCAGCCATTTCAATCAATTTATTCTTTCCCAGCAGCAAGATCATGTCACTGAACACAGATAGATTTGAATCATACCATACTTCCTTCCTCACAAACTCAAACACCTGAACCCTGATTTTATTTTAGATAAAATGCACAGGAACTTGAAATGGCATACATAAGCAAATCAAAAAAAAAAAAAAGAGGTGTTGACTGGTACGGTTGTGAGAATGGCAAAACTGCTATGAACATTCAGATAAGTGGTCAGGTTCAACTATGAAAGAGTTGGAACTGTTCAGTTATTTGTATCTTCACCATAACCTCCACTCATATATAGATATACTGAAGTTATTGAAACAAGTGCATCTTAAACCATCTTAAAATAAAGCTTCTCTCCGTATCCGTAATTGGTACTTGCTTGAAAGCCAAATGTATATATATAAGCTATGTATTGAGAAAGGTAAGTAAACTAGTACCACTACCTCTTAATAGTTTGATGTTTATAAACAATGCAAGCATATTTATAGATGTAATCCCTATTATTAATCCCTGAGAAAACAATGAATGATAACAAGAATGAATAAATTATATACCTTTAGGGCTAAGTCCAATTCATTTTGCCGCCTCAATTCTGTCAAAGTATCCAACAAGTCAGCTTTCAAGAGCCTGCTTACTCTGCTACTCAAAACCTCCTCCAATTTAGTATCTGAGGAGGATTTCTTGGCCAACTTTAGAGACTGAACTGCTTGTATGGCTTCTGTTGACAAAACCCTTGACCTCCATATGGATTTTCTGGGCCCACCTCTCAAACCACAGCTGATCATCATCATCGGAGGAGGAGGAGATTGTTTTACCATCATCAATGAGCACTTGTTCTTCAGCGGAGATTTGCAAAATTGGGGTTTTGGTTTTGGGTACAAACTCATTTCACAAAGTTGAAATCTAAGAGAACCCATCATAAATTACTATGCATAACCACAACTGAAACTCAAGACACCCACACACACACACACACACACAACACACCCAGGCTAAGAGGGAGTTGGTTTCTTTCTGCGGCCACGATGTCGTTTCGAGGGTGCAAGGAAGTACTTGTATTTCTATCAGAAGAAAAGAAAGGCATCGTATTTATTTGTTTATTATTTGCCCTTTCTCAAGCCACTATCTTTCCAAATCTGCCCTTAATTTATAGAAAGAGAAAGCTTGCTTGTGCGCACACACGCAGAGAGAGAGAGAGAGAGTGAAATGGGTTTATCGATATCGAAAAGGGTGTGTCGAAGTTTCCAGACGTCGCCTGAATTCAACTCAGCATGCGACTCCGTGTACGAAGAGTGCTTGAAGCTGAGCCAAGACGCCTTCTCTGGGGTTCGACCCTACCAGCTCTTAGCGGCCTCAGACCGCCTCCACTACTCTCTCTCGGCCATGCCCCATGTCCACCCTCTTATCGCGAAATGGGTCCCAACCCCTCCGACTCGGTCCCAAGTCGACAAAGCCCTCCGAGAGGTCGTCGTCGTTGGAAAAGATACCACCTTGGAGCTGGGACAGGCTGACTTCAAGGCCTTTGCGGTGGAAGTGTTCACGGACGCTGTGGTTTCAAACGCCGGGAAAGCGGTTCTCCGACGAATTCCGATCGGAGTTGCTGGAATTGCAGGGGTGGGGATGGTGAGTCGTTCTGGGAAGGACTTGGTTGGGACCGCGATTGGAGTCTACGCGCTTGGCGTTGCAACTTCCATTTATCTCAGTTTGGCAATTTAGTACTCCACGATAGCATCGTCCAACAAATATCAAATAAATTAATAAATAATGTTTATATATATATATATATATAAATATATATATTTCCTTGTGTTTGTTTATTATATCCATTGACACATTAATTGCATCTATCTATATAGTTTATTAGTATTGCTATAATATTGAATAAACCTGCTTATTTTTTCTGCTCACGGCTGGGGGCTATTGGTATTGGTAACATATTCTTACATTCTTGCACACTCACTCACATACTAGGCTCTTTTGGATCCCAAACACTGAAATGATAACCTGTTATTCAAATACTGTTCATTTTCTAAGTTTAATTCTCGCTATATATATATATATATATATTTAAACTACTGTAGTATATAGTATATGGAAATCTAAAATTTGAATGGTTATTTATTTTATTATTATTATTTTTTTATATACTACCTGCTGCATCACACACTTCTTTAATTTTCCTTCTCCTTGCTTAATCTTGTTCACTTCACTTGCCAAAATATATAATGAAATCAAATTTCTCATCTATCTTCAACCTAAATATTTCTTCTATCCATGCAAAATCAATCTTCACAGCACAGAAACACCCACCAACAAAGCATTTCTTCTCTCAACTGATCAACTCTTTACAACCTCATAAGAAAAAGAAATGCACAGAGAGAACAATACTTTTCTCTACAATTGTCAATTAATACAAAAAATGAATTAATTCAAGTATACAGCAGTACAAGTGCTTAAATCATGGACCTCTTTTCCAGCTTTTGTTCTCCCAAATGTGGCAATTAATAAGATTGTCATTTCATCTCACTCTTCATCTGCTTCAAGCCCTGGTATGTACTCCAAACTCACATCGAATATAACAGGGCTATTAGGACCCACTCTTGGCCTTCCCGGAGCTGAAGTCAGACCTTTTGGGAACGCCAACTAATCAAAACAAATTTAACACCAGAAAAGTTTTTAAAAAAAATGCATTAGAGAGAGGTCTACAGCCAAAACTTCCTTTTATTTTACAAATTCTCATTCAGTTTGTAAAGATGCATACAGGGGAAAAGAAAATGCTGAATCTTCATCATACTCCAAAGTAAACAATAAAGGAACTATAGAAAAATCAGGGGCTTAAAATTTTAATCTCATATTACTGGATGGGCTAAAAAGGTTAGAACAATGGGTAGGCAGTTGCTCGTCAATATAACTATTTTCTCAAGCAATCAGCTATAGGGTAGGAAAATTTTTGAACATCCGATCACACATATAAATAAGAACAGGAAACAATTGAAAATAGATCCTCAACAACAGGAGCAACAGTATTCATATCTTTCGTTTTTCTTCAGTTTACTTGGTTTTCTTTTATTTACTATATTTTTCTAAGAGATGGTTGACCTCTCCCAACATTTTCCTTAATGATTTTTTTTTTTTTTTTTTTTCCATGGAGGGGTAAAAGAAGGGGGATGCTGAAAAGGTGTACAGACTTAATTTTGAGGTGGTTGGCAGCCTGATTTCCTTAATGATTGTCAGCATGGCTGACCAAGCCATGAAAATAGAGGTTTTGTGAATTAACACAACACATCAACCCCCACGGGGTAGCTGAGTTGGTACTAGGCCTTCGGACACTACTGTCAAGCCACCTCCTTGGGCTTTCCCAATACCCGTGGTTTAGGGGACATTGCAATATTCAAAAGGATTAGTCACACTCCTAAAGGGGGTTGGGATGCCTTCCATTACCAAGAGCAATGCCTCAATTATCATCCAGATCACTCAACTTAAAAGAAAATGGGAAAGAGTTCAAATCCATTTAATTGAAAACCTAATAATCATATAAAGAACTTACTGATCCTGGAATGTAGAGTCGGCGTTTCCCTCCAATTTTCATGCTCAGGATCCCTTCATCAAGTCCCTTGATCACCTATTCTAATAAAAATCAGAGCTAAATAAACATGTTTATCCCTAAAGAGAGTAAAGTAGTCTGATAATGATGTTTAAGGACTTCACAAACAGAACTCTCCAGTTTCCTCCAATAGGAAGTCTTGGTTGTTCAAGTAAACTATCATCAATTCACTAGCAAGTGCATTGTTTTAACACACCAACTGTTTTTATTTGCAATGGGATTATAGAGCCACATCTCTCTGATTACTGATAAATGACTGGAAAACAGAGAAGAGCAAAACCATCCCGACTAGCTGGCTATATAACTGTTCAGCATAAGATGCAATACTATAGATTCACACAGGAGGAAAAAGCTCAACGAACCAAGTAACATAGACCAAAAGCCTACCAAAAGAAATTACTTCAGCTAAAATGTTTCTTTTCTTTCAAATAGTAATGAACCAGGGTGAGAAGTACTGTAAAATATAAATTGATTAGGATGGCCTGTTAAAGCTTACCTGATCAGCGCCGACTCGAAAGATATAAGGCAGGCCTTTCTCCAGCGAACTATGAAATTAAAGATAAAGTAAGAAAATCCAAGCGCAATAAATGCAAAAGACATGCATCCATTTTACAGAACCCAAGCATAGTTTGTCAAATACCATGGTTAAAGTTTAAACATGTGGCAAATTTTTAGCTGCGCAGGCATATAACAAGATAAGGACCTGCTGACAGATCATTTATGTAACAGACCACTGTGATTGGGGCAATCTAATTAAAAGGCTCAAATCTCACCTTTTTTTTCATTAAAATTAATTTTGTAAAAGATAGTAACATTATAAATCAGCTATGCCAAAATTATTTACTCTTGTTAAAGATTGTTAAATGCTGATATCTACTGGGAATGATAGATCTTTTTGGTCCCGATCTTCCATTTTCAAGCCACATCAACAAGTAATGATGGTCCTTACTCATATCTATATATTTGTCTTTTGTGTATAATCCAAAAATAATAATTTTTGTAAGTTGTAATTTTTAGCTGCCAAAAACACTAAGAGTTTGGGGATATTCACTAGTATTTAGCATAGTATTTTTAAATAGTAAAGCTAGCTACCTGTCAAATATTTGTCCAGATGGAATCATGGCAACATAATTTGCAGCAACCTGTAATCATGCATATATTGTTATGAGAAAGAGTAAGAGATATGCGAAGCAAAAACCAAAATTCAATGTAAGGCCAAGCCCAGCAGTACGGTACCCTTCTCCATTAAATCATCCTGTTGAAAATTCTATCAAATCATCATTCTCTTCTCCAGAAAATGAATAATTATGGATATAAGAATTTATCAGATTTACATCTCTTGAACACATCAACTAACTATACTTAAAAAATGGTAAGCACATCATTAAAGATCATTTATATTTTCAAAAGGAAGTCCACATAAAAATATTTTAACAGAACGTATCCATACTAGATAAAGGATCCAAGGTTGAAGAAATAAAATCAATTTAGATTCTGAAAGCAATAAGATGTCCTATCATGGTTTTATAACAGAACAAAATAAAAAATTCAATAAAATTAATTTAGATTCTGAAAGCAATAACAGGTCCTATCATGGTTAGATAACAGAGCAAAATAAAAAAATCAATAAAATATATTCTGAAAACAATAAGAGGTCCTAGCGGACAATTTTTTTTTTTTTGTATCCACTAAACAAATTCTGGATATTCAACATCACATGTTTTCAAGGATTGTTAATAAACACTAGCGTACATACCAAGGGCCTTGTAGCCTAGTGGTACTTCCTTACCTTCCAAAGTAGAAGGTCAAGGATTCAAGTCCCCCATAGGGGAAAAATTGGGTGTGTGTGTGTTTATTGCCAACGAAAAAATAAATAAACAAATAAACACTATCATACAAGGATCAGAAAATGTACCTGAAAACCAATTGGGGGACTAGGGCCTTCACCAACTTTAATATCCTTGTACTGCAAACCAGACTCAGTAGTTACCATAGGTACCTTCATCAATCAGAAGCTTTCCTACACTTAGTACTCACCCTCATTCATAGAAATCAACGATCAGCATCAACTAAAACCCATTGATTATGAATGCAAGATTTGTTTTCTAACCAGCGAGACACCCACCAAAATCCCAGTCGGGACTTGAACCCTGCACCTTCCCCTTCAGGGGTGGCAGAAGACAATATTCAAGCTAATAGCTGGTGGTTTAGTGAGTACATAAAAATTTAATGCTAATATCTTGTGTGGAAATGTTCAACTCACACTATGTCTCAAGAAGTATTTAACCAAATTGCAGGGAAATAAATGAGATGAGGAAGATAAAAGTGTCACTAAACAATCATGGATGAGATGTCACCAGAAAATATAAAATGTTTAAATTGACAAATTGAATCATTATAATGACTTAAACGATGGCATTCAATGTGAATGTTTAAACAGGTTGTCCTGAAAAGTCCATGCTAATAGAACTAACTCAAATAATGGCAGTAACCCAAATGGCCATTCTTGTGGATAAGTAGCAGAGGTATGTGCTGCTTCCACTAAAATTTATGCATCACCAAGTGCTTCTCTTTCTTTCTTTTTCTTTTTAACTATTATTATTTTAAAAACCAACCATGCTTCATTTTTAAGCCACTAGAAATGAAGTAACGTATTTCTTTATATCATCAAATGCGCACCCACATGTGTGGCAAGAGTCTTAGGTCACCCTTATGAGTGGGCTGTAGACGACAAGACATAAATATATTTTAGAGAGAGTATTAACCAGGTTAGGTTTTGTTTGAAATCTGGAATCAGCATTTGACATGCCAAAATGATGATGATTTGATATGCCAAAATGTGACGTAAATGTTGGGAACTCATGGCAAGATGAGAAAATAAGTTTTTAGCCTTCTGATTTAAAACTCGCGCTCCATTTCATGTACATTTTTGTGCAAAACTGGATTTATGCCCAATAGTTGAGATCCAGTATTTTGTCAAATTGAGTAATAATATCAAGATGTAAGCGTGAGCAACAAAGAGAGTGAGAAATAGGACCTGTTACATCTGAAATGGCTTTGGTGCTAAATGGCATGAATTTTGCTCAGTGACCTCTGTCCCTACCAATGATTTTTTTTTTTTCCTAGTTGGTATTCACACACACTTGTCTCTTCTGAGACTTGAACCCCTGACCTCCCTTTGGGAGGTAAGAGGCTGATCCCGCTAGGCCACTGACCCATTGGTTCCCTACCAATGATTTCTTCAACTCCCATAAAAATTCACAAGAACAATCAATTGGATAGATTCTAGTTGATCATATACCTTTGATGTAACAGGTTGCTGGGCCTTGTTATACAGTCATTGATAGAAAACCTTCTAGTCTCAGAGTCATGAGTTTAAGACTATGCTGAAATCAATTGTTATTCAAGAGAAGATGGACCAAACATTATGTCAAGCATTGCCAAAACAATTTGCATTATGCGTCTTTGTGGATGAAAAATTCGATAATCACATGTAGAAACTCAATAAATGGTTATAAGTGTACCTATGAGCATTGAAGAAAGAAGATAACACACACATGAGAAAAACATATTAAACTATATAATCTGAATATATGAAACATGTTGGTTGATCTAAAATTTGACTCTCCTAGAGGTAGTATTAGAAGTGGGATGCTAAATCTATATCTAGACTATCAAAATTCTATGAACTATTACACTATGAAACAGTCAAATTTCAGTCCCTCATTTGGAAATGTGGAGGAAAAGCAATTCATGTTTGGATAAGGCAAGAGTAAGGAGAAACTTTTATGAGTTCTTCAATTAAATCCCCACCCACCCCCCCCCCCCCCACACACACAAAAAAAAATAATAATAATAATAATAATAATAATAAAATTGAAATGATAGAATAAGAATGACCTATAGACCTTTTATAAGATTTGCATGTTGCTTTTATGTAAGATGCATTAAGTTTATTTCTCTAAGTGATATGATCTGAAGTCCTAATAAGAGTTTTAAAAGTTTATAACTACTACTAAGTTGCACATAATATATGAAGCAATCTTTTATAAAAATAACAAGTGAAACAAGAGAAATCATATTCTTTTTCTGATTTATAAGCGAGAAGAATTCTTGAGGTATAAGGGACATGCCTCATATAAAAAGAGCAAGCGTTGCCTGCAGGCATGCACCTCACATGTGCATTGTTATTGGGATGGAGGAATTGCTAATTTTCAAAGTACTTAGGGCCTGTCATGACTCCTGAAGTAAGCAACAAGGCAAAAGCTTAATAGTTTCATTAGAGCATTACTTTGGATTATGTTAAGTTTGAGATTTTAAACGTCTAGAGCTTGGTTAGAGTGTTGTGTTCCAAATTTTTTGTATCTTTGCAGATTGAATATAACATTTTATAACAAAGTTAAGAGATATAAAAGTTTCTTACCAAACCTTGGGGATATGTATAATATGTAATGTGGGATCACATCATAACTGCCAAGAATGAGAGAAGTAATATAGATTAGGGGGCTATGTAATCTCACCATACATTTTCAAGCTCTTTCTCACAAGCATTGTCACAAAGTCTTGGTTTTTCCTCGGGGGGCAAGCCAGCTCCCTTGGCATATGAGTCTAACAAGAGGCTTGAAACACCCAAAACTAACCCAAGCACATCCCTGCGCTTAATTAAGGTCAACTTGTCCCAACACTTGTTTGTCTGCAAATCTTTTCCAGATAATTCTGTACTTGAGTGCCGCACAATCACATCTCTGATTTTGCATCTCGCAATGGTTTGATGATTTGTGGACAAACTTTTAGCAAGTGCGGAACCTAAATCAATGGAAATACTTACTGAAAATGTGTAACTTGATAGCAAAACACTGGAAATTTTCATTTTACAGTAGAACTTAGTAGCAAAATTCATAAAAAGGAATTTGATATATTAATATATTGATAAATTTATTTTAGTGAAACAGAAAAAATAGGTGATAACATGGACCTGACTTGGCTCAAGTTTTGTTTATGAGATTAGCAAGTTTTTTTGTTGAACCAGCATATGTCCAGAATGTACTTAAATGCAGAGTGGTGAGGATTGTAGCACTGTTGGTATTGATGTTATGATATAGTGGTATGAGTAATGTGTAATGAACGATTAATGAAGCAGAAGGCCCTCAGGTGTTAAAGTCTGCTTTCGAAATCTTTTACTTGCAAAGCATTTTCTGCAAGAAGGTTAAGGTTGCAATATAACATTTGCTTCATTTGGTTAAATGATCAACATAATTAATTTTATTCTTTTTTCTCAAAACATTGACGGAACCAATTTCCAACGTAGTGATGAATACAAAGAGAAGCACTTCAATTGAACATGATAGCTTAGATTTCTTTTGTATTTGTCAAAACAAGACTAAGGAGAAGCTGACCCATCATCAGTGCATTACCTATTATGGATGCAAAATCTAAGGGGTAATTTATTTATTTATTTTTATTAAAAAAAAAAAAAAAGAAGTAGAAACCATAGGGTGATTCCGGGTTCTATGTTAACAATATATGGCAATTGTTAAGTTAGAATATGAAAACATAACCAAAAAAATTTGCCCTTTCACATACCTACACAGTTTACGAGAAAAACACGCAGTGGAAAAATTACAGAATAAATTTAATTCCAGCTAATGTTCATTGAGAATGCATGAAAATTCACAATTGGATTAAAGCCATTCAGACTTAGAATTGAAGCAAACACACACACACGCATACATGAAGCACACTAGCAAGCAATTGAACAAAGGTTGTAACGGAATGGAAGGGTTGAAATGGATTTACCGAGTGGAAGAATGAGAGATGAAGAAGCCATTCTTTTTCTTTAAAAACTCAATCGTTCTCCTTCACTGCTCTCAATCGTTCAAATGGAAAGAGAGTGGATAACGAAATCGGTGGTGGTTTATATATGCCGCATTCCGATGTCTGAATTACCAAAATAACCTTCGCTGATGGAGCTCCCCAGCCCCATCCCTGCTGTATATTTTCTATTATTATATGTTGAGAAATTACGACTGTGGAGGACAGTCGCTCCTAGAATTCATCAATATTCAACCAATCATATATGTATATTGTATACTCAAAATATAAATAAGTTATACATAAACAACTAACTTGTGTGAAGAAGAAAACCCAAAAAAAAACGTGTGTAAATTGATTCTCAAAAAAAAAAAACAAAAAAAGCTTAGTTGTTTATAACTAATGGTTTTTTTTTTTTTTGAAAGGTTAATTTCAAATTTGTTATATATAGTGTGAGAATATACGGCCCAAAAGGGAAAGGGAAAGATTGGTGGCCAAAACATAAGCATACATTTGCAGCCCACAAGTGACACTGCCCAAAAGGCCCCAGCCCATACATTGAGAGAGAGAACCGAATGGAGAAAACAGTTGCACAACTCCACACTCCGGTGAAATCAAGGAGAGAGAGGTAGTTCCCATTCATCAGCAATCTATACTATATTGTTATTAGCATTTCTCATCTAATTAGATTCCATTTTATTGAGTTAAATAAATAATTTTTTAATATTATATATTTCAATCTCTAATTAGATTTCCGTTGCAGTAATTAAGTTTTTAAATATTATATAATTCTTCTCTAATTAGATTTTCTATTACTATGTTATCATTAATTATTACTAATATATCCTATTACTGTATTATTAAATAATTTTTTTAATATTATATATTTCGTTATCTAATTAAATTTTTATTTATTGAATTTCAGTATTTTTTACTATTATATTATTATTAGTAGTATTTCCTTCTCTCATTATTAAAAATGTATTATATAAATAAAAATAAATAAACCATGTACTAATTTATAATTTAAATTAAATTATTTAATAACTTTAATTTTTATATTTTCAATTAGTTATTTCTCAAACAAGACATCTTTTTTGGAACGGAGATGGTAGAATTTAAAATTTGTGTATTATTAGCAACAGTCTCCCTAAGGGTTGCTTCTGCATTGCCAGGCCGAGCTGTACGTGGCAATAAAACTGTAACTGTTAGCTTCCCTCCACACTTTCAGCTGGTGCCTTTCTTTTGTTAGTGAAGTAGTAGGCTGCTCGTCTCCTTATGGGATAAGTTTCTTTTGCCCAAATATCAAATCTCGTGCGTGAGCTTCTTAAGAATGAAAAAAAAAAAAAAGATGTACTTACGGGATTTTTTTTTTTTTTTTTTAAATAAGTTTATTGGACATGATCTAACACACATGTTATCTAATCAAAGTTCAATTCTCATTCCTAAACTTCATTTATTGTTGTGCATTATAAACACTCTTGAAATTGAAAATTAAAGGGCAACAATATTAATTTGATCTTTAATTTATAACTGGTTTTATTTTATCTTCTCTTCCGTGCGCCAAATTATAGGTGAAGAGCATATGCGATGCATGTGAAATCCTCTAAAACAATTAATATGGACTTGTGCTTTATGTAAATAATTCTCTCAATTTTAGCACTACTCTACTTGTTACATGAAAAAAAAAAAATAGGACAATTGATAAAATAACACTACTTAACACAAACTCTTAAAACAACATGAATTCTTTTAACTCTATTTTTTGTCATTTTAAATTTAACACAAACTCTACTTAAGAAACTCTTAAACAAAATAATTCCTTTAATTCTAATTAAATTAAATAGCAACTTCAAATATTATCAGATTTATTTATTTTTTTGTTTAATTACTAGTGATATATTTGAAGGAATAAATAATAATAATAATAATAATTATTATTATTATGCTTTGTTGTTATTATTAATAGATTTCAATGTGTAAATTTTATTAATAATTTTTATGAGTATGTAAATTAATGTGTAAATAATAGGTAATTTATATATGTATATAGATTTATAAATTGTAGTTCGTCCCAAACATTCTTTTAACTTAAGCTATTGGGAAAAGAAAAAAAGAGAGTATATATTTAACTTAATATATCGAATGCCCTCAATTCCAACAATAGTCACTCTACACTAATATTGACTAAAATAGGATGATAAATTTTCACTAATATTTATTCAAATAACATGATAAACAATGCTGATGATACAAATTAAATTAAGCGCCAGGATTAAAAGTCTTTTACCTGATCAATCTCAGTCATAAATGGCATACGGTTGCATGTGGCGAGATACTGTCAACAAGCAATTGAACCAATTAAATTCTACACCATGCACACAAGCACCTAAACATGAAAAATATCATGATATATAGTAAAACAGTGTAAAAAAATTAAGCGACAATCATAACTTCATAAGGACATAAATAAAAATAAAATTAATGTGTACACGTACGATTAACATCTCTTCCATATCAAAATTATATCTATTAGATTTTTACTTAAATTACTAAAAAAATGAATTAGTTACATCTATTAGATCTTCATGGGAACGTAAAAATGGAGGATAGAGGTCACGAATGAGAAGTTGAGAACACGTGATGTAAATATTATGCTGTGGTGAGCTCCTGCATATGTTATTTTGATTTATTTTTAATATAGAATTTTTAGAACTCTGAATTTTGATAGAATTAATACTCTTTAATAGTTTTATTATTTTATTTATAAAGAATTTGAAACTCCTTTGCTCACTTTGTACTTTTAATAATAGTATAGATACAAATATAGGATATAGATATATACACACCCACATAAATATTTATATATATACGTACACATATGAATCAAGACAGGAAAGAGAAGAAAAGTTTAAAAGAGTATATTTGTCTTCAAAAGATTTGTTCTTTTTGTGTCCTCTTAATTAAGGAAACAAGTGCTTAATGAGCTTAAAAGTGATCAATAAAAAAAGCGATTAAAAACAGCCCTAACTAATTATGTATGGGCCTCACCACTTGCACAGGGGACTCACACATGTATGAGCCTAACCTAAATTGGCCCAGATAAACAATTTTGGTATGTAACGAGACTATTAAAACAGCCGTAAGATCAGTAAGAGGCTTAATAGATTGAGACGGTTTCGGAGAAAAAAAAGCTAATAGATTGAGACGACGGTTTTAGAGAGAAGAAGAAGAAGAAGAAGAAGAAGAAGAAGAAGACTACGTAGTAATGTATGTGAGATCGATGTTATTAGTTCCTTTCCTTTCATAATATTGGTTTTATGTTGGGATGCTAACATATTTATCTATATTGTCATTGTTTTAGATTATTTTTGTAGGTAAAGATGGTTGAAACTCTTTTTGAAGATATTTTTAAGGTTGAACAATTGAACCCAGATGATAAAAAATTCGAGAAAGGTATTTTATTTATTTATTTATCCATCTTACATAAAATTAACTTAATGCTCACTTATTTAATTTGATGGTGTTTTCGAGTTATTTAAATAAAAGACATAATACTATTCCAACAAAGGAGGCAGAACAGTTGATGAAAGAAGAATGTGTTTGAGAGATAGATACATGATACATGATACATGAAAGTATGTTTGGTTTGGTTTGGTGTTGTTAGTTACTCGCGTTGAAGCACACAGTGAGCAGTTTGACATGTACATGGTGCTAGATGTGAATACTGAGATATATCCTGTTGATGTTGGAGACAAATTCATGATGGTATTAGCATCCACCCTAAACTTGGATGGAACACCTGACACTGGTTACTATACTCAGGTAATCTTCTACTCTACTCTACTCTACTCTTGTTGAAATTTATATCTACTATGCAATTTTAGGGTTTTTTTTTTTAATTTTTTACTCACACACACATCGGAGAGGTTATAATAGAACCAGATGATGTCCTATGCAAGTTTGATTTATTACTTGGTGTTATGGACAATTATTGATTGATTCTTACACAAAAGTTTAAACAAACAAAAGATTGTTTATTGAGGTTGTTGGAAGACAGTATGGTGATATTAGATAGTATTAATTAATTAAGATGATGTGTGGTTATAAACTAGACTTTGTGCATTTTAACTTAAACAGTTTCTTGAAATTGTATAATCATAAAATATTAGGGGTGACAATCTATATCAAAATCCATTAAACTGTGGTTCATTACAATTAAATTATTTGGGTACTCAATTTGAATGAGTGGGTAATTAATGAGTACCCATACAATTAATGGGTAAATAATGAATTAAGGGTAAAGTACACTAACACCCCCTGAGGTTTGATAAAAGGACACTCAGATGAAAATTAGGCTATTTTGGGACAAAGACACCCCCTTATCAAATTTACAATCCAAACAGAGCTTAAAATTTCGTGAAAAGTCAATTTTACCCTTCACTATTTAATTAATTATAATTATAAAATATCAAAATAATTAAATGACTAAATTACCCTTGCCCCCTCTCTCTAAAATACAGCGTTTCTCTCTCTCTAAAATACATTGTCTTTCTCTCTCTATACACAGCCACAAAGAATAGGCACACTCTCTCTCTATACACAGCCGCAAAGAAAGAAAATAGACCAAGAAAGAACAACACAACAAATTTCTTCAATGTATATATATGAAACGAGTGGTATATATATATATAAACACAGAAAAAGAAAATTGGGTATGGCTTTTGGGTGTTAATTTTCAGGTGGGATGGTGTTGAAACGAGTGGTGGTCGGTGGTGGTGGTCCGGTGATGATGCTGGTATATAGGGGTGTGGGAGCGAAGCCAATTGTGTGGCGGTAGTGGTGGTGGTGGGTGTTGTGGCGGCGGTGGCTGCAGTGGGTATTGAAGGAAGAAGAGGATTGTAGGCGCGTGAAGTCCACGCGATTTGCAGATCTGAAAACCACCGTTTTGCGCCTTTGTTGCAACCACCGTCGCGGCCTCTGTTACAACCACCGTCGACACCTCTGCCACCGACGACATCATCATCATCTAATTCACCAGTGTTATTCTCCTTGACGACAGCTCGTTGCCGCCCGTCGCCGCCTTGTATGTGTGGATATATATATGTTTGTATCTGTATACACACACACACACATATATGTGTGTGGATATATATGTGTATATGTGTGGATATATATATGTGTGTATGTGTCTATATGTGTGTCTATATATATGTGTGTGTGTGTCTATATGTGTGTTGGTGTTGCAGGAGGAGAGAACCGAGAGAGAAGAGAAAAGGAAAGAAATAGATTAGTAAGGTTAGAAAGGTCATTTTAACATTTAAATTAGTCAATTTAAAAGTTAAAGGGCAAAAATGTCAATTCATTACCATTGGGGTGTCTTTGGTAAGTGTATCAAACTTGAGGGGGTGTCTTTGTCCCAAAATAGGCTAAGTTTCATTTGTCTGTCCTTTTAGTAAACCTCAAGGGGTGTTAATGTACTTTACCCATGAATTAAAATGGGTACCCAACTTAACCCAATCATTCTATCTACTCTTTGAATTTGGAGACAAGCTTTATCATTATTCAACTAATTTGAAGATTACAAGAAGTTGAGAGACAGTTTTGTTTCAATATTTAATCTTAAATTTTACCCTTTCTTGTTTGCTTTTTCTATATGTTATATATATATATATATATATATATATATATTAGTGTGGCCTTCAAAACTTTTTGTTTATCAAGCTTGGCAAACTAGGTACCTTTGCAATTTGAGCAGTCTTCTTATATGGATCAGTGGATTTTACCATTTACGAGCTTCAAGCAAAGAATAATTTGTCCTATATTTAATATCTGCAATAAATTGTTTCTTCCTGTAATTTTTTTTTCTTTTTTTCTTTTTCATGCTTATATAATGCACAATACCCATTTTATCTTTATGTTTATATTCTTAGAGCATGCAACTCATTAATAAAGGTTTGGAAGAACAAAACTGTTTATAGATTTTTTTTCTTTTTCTTTTTCTTTTCTTTTCTTTTCTTTTATTATTATGGTGTTATTGGACAGTGTCTTGTTTAATCTTCAATGCAAAATGTCATTTTTGCATGCCAAATTTATATCTTGAGATGAGCTACAGTGTCAAAATGCTATATTTTAGCAATTCTGCTCCAATGGTGTATTTCAACCAAAATGCTATTTTTTGTTACAACAACCATTATTTTTCAACTACCATTTTTTTTTTTTTTTTTTTGGGAAGTGTTTGTATTTTATTTAGCTTATTAAAAATAAATAAATAAAAATATAGACATATATATATATATATATACACACACAAGAACAACAGAATATATACACACAACAGACATATACATATATATACACACAACACTGACGTATATATAGATATATATACAAGCACAACTGACATATATACACAAGCACAACACCAAATTGGCAGCCCAACACCAAATTTGGCAAAGTTATATTTTGGCAGCCCATTTAGCATGTCATTGGAAAGCTCATTTTAAACCCACATGCTATATTTTGAAAATAGCAGTCCAATGGAGTTGCTTTTATGTGTTGTTCATATTATGTGTCATTTTCTGCTTGCTTTCTGAATTTGGGTAGATGGATTTGTTGCATTTGGAGGCTTGTTGTTCCTCATCAAATTAAATTAAGTTAATCTTTCTTATTTTTTAGTTGTTTTTTTGAAGTAATCTGAGTTCAGTTTGTCATTTTGAGAAAAAAAAAAAAAAGGAAAAAGAAAAAAGAAATCTTATTGTCATTTTGAATTTGCTTTTTCAATATCAGATGCTTGTCATCTCTTCATATCCCCCATTTGAGCTCTGGCCAACTCATGACCCAACATTGGTAGGTTATGAGTTAGTAGCCCATTCATGCTCAACCCATTCAATACCTACCTAAAACTCGCTCAAACCCACCCAATTGCCTAAAAAATATAATAAATGATTAGCAAACAAATAGTACACATGCATAGTTGAATTTGTTGTTGAAGTTTGTCATGATTAGTAGGCTCACTCCATGTCAAAAAAGACATGGTAACTTCACTTATTAGTTGTCGTCCTAGGTCCACAATCTATAATATATATGGTAATTTTTTTTTTTTTTTTTGGTATATATGAAAAATTTTATATAATGCCTCCTAAATTTTATAACTCTAAAATTATCTCTTCATTTTTTCTTACAAAAAAGTCAAATTTTTCTTCCTTAATTAAAACTCTTAACTTTTTCCTTTTAAAATTCTCTCATTTTTTTTTCTTTTTTCTTTTTCTATTTCTACTTCTTAAAATTGTTCTTTTGAACTTGCATTTTTTAAATAATTTTTTTCTTCTTCTTCTTTCGTATTATATTTATATATATATATATATATATATATTGCGAATTAAATTCCTGGCTCCCTTCTGCTTTACAATCCACTTGAATATAAAACACATGGTACTACTAATTAATGAAGAACCTTGAAAAGGAAAGAATGATTACTAGCTGAAAGTCGAACATTAGTCCTCCATGAAATTAAAGAAAAAACAAAAAGTGAGTACCATCACTTGTTGAACACACCCTATTGGCAAACCCGCCACACTCTATTAATACCAAATTATTCTGAGTGGGACAATCAATAGACCTACATAGGCTGGAGGCCATCTTTGAATAATTATTTATTTATTGATTGAGTTACATGCTTCTTAATTTCAAAAGTGTGTGTGTTTTCTGGTGTTGTCTCATTTTTCTGAAATAATAATTCTCAGATTACTCAAGGCTTAAGACCAGCAATTTACTGAATTGTAATTTTAATTCCAGGGTGCACGGAAAACACTTGCAGACAAATTCGAATACGTTATGCATGGGAAGTTGTTTAAGTTTGCAGAGGAACGTAAAGGATCTGAAGTCAAAGCGTATGCATGCAAAGCTTAAGCTTTATATATATATATATATATATATATATATTCATGTGAAAAAGTGTGTTTTATATGCAAATTAGCCTTTTCTTTTTCTCTCTTTTTTTTTTTTTTTTTGGGTTTCCGGTCCAAAATATTTTTGTTTAAAAAGATTAATTATTTATTCTAAGGTCTAATGCCAGCTTATTGGTTTGTGTTTTGGGGTTCAGGGAGATATATGTTTCATTTGGTGGGCTTTTGATGATGCTGAGAGGGGATACATCCATTGCAGCAAAGTTTGAGCTTGATCAAATGTTGTTTATCCTCATCAGGAAAGTTTGAGCTTGATCAAATGTTGTTTATCCTCATCAGGAAAGTCTGACACACAGACAGACATGCTGAACCCCCATTATGAGTCAGAGACGTGGTCGTGGAAGAAATAATCTATTTATTGTCAAATTTGAGAGAGATAATGCATTTTCAATTTTGCATGCTTCATAAATCTTCTTCTTTCTACTTGCTGTGAGAAATTTGAGTTGGATCTGTTTCATCAATGCTTGTTTGTTGGGTTTTATCATAACTTACCTTATTATGACCGTATTGCTGTTTATTAACTACTCCTGTACTTTTGACTATGTGTATGTGTGATAGGGTGCACCCACAACATTTTTCTAGCTTTATTTGTAATACACATAAGTAAATAATGTAATGTTCGACTTATATGAGAACATGGTAAGGATAATGACAATAAATTAATTATTTAGTTTCATTTTCATTTTCATTTTCTTAACTCAATTCTAAAACCATTTTTTTTTTTTACAAAGTATTAATAAAAAGTACTTTCTAATTTATGATTTATTGATCCTTGTTAATATGATTTCAGTTCGTACACTTACGACAATGTTCAACTTTAATGGTACACTAGAAAAAATGTTAGTCAAATTTGTTAATTTCAATGTTCAAATTTTCTACTAACATATACATACACATGGCAATATGGCATATACATGTATATAGTAGTATATATACTGATTTTGAATAAGAACTTGAAGGAGGTGAAGTAGTCGTGTTCAAAACCATCATTCAAGCAACGTTTTCGTTTAAAAATATTTCAAAAAATTTCTTGTATTTTATTAACTACTTTTAGACTTTTGACTATGTGTGTGTATGTGCTGCAACTACTGCAGCCAGAGGTAGGGTGCACCCACAACATTTTTCTAGCTTTATTTGCAATGTACACACATAATTAATTAATGTAATGTTCGACTTATATGAGAACATGATAAGGATAATGACGATAAATTAACTATTCAGTTTCATTTTCTTACCTCTCAATTCTAAAACCATCTTTTTAAAAAAAAAAGTAATAATAAAAAGTACTTTCTGATCTATGATTTTTTTATCCTTGTTAATATGATTTTACTTCATATATTTATGACAATATTCAACTTTAATGGTACACTAGAAAAAATGTTGTAACTTTTCCTAGTCAAATTTGTTAATTTCAATGTTCAAATTTTCTACTAACATATACATACACACGGCAATATGGCATGTACATGTATATAGTACGTAATAATAAATATACTGATTTTGCATAAGAACTTGAAGGAGGTCAAGAAGTCGTGTTCAATACCATCATTCAAGCAACGTTTTCGCTTAAAAATATTTTAAAATTTTTATTTTTTAAAAAAAAAGTAATAATAAAAAGTACTTTCTGATCTATGATTTATTGATTCTTGTTAATATGATTTCAGTTCATATATTTATGACAATGTTCAACTTTAATGGTACACTAGAAAAAATGTTGTAATTTTGGTAGTCAAATTTGTTAATTTCAATGTTAAAATTCCACTAACATATACATACAAGTGGCAATATGGTATATACATGTATATAGTACATAGTAGTATATATACTGATTTTGCAAAAGAACTTAAAGGAGGTCAAGTAGTCCTGTTCGCTAAAAATATTTCAAAAAATTTTCGTAGTCCTGTTCGCTAAAAATATTTCAAAAATTTTTCTTTTATCGGTGTTTATTAACTACTCCTGGATTAGTGAAGGGGGAAATGTGGTTTCTAGACCACTTATCCCACCACCATTTTCTTTTCTTTTTTCTTTTATTTTCTAGATATTCTTGTGAGTTATGCCATGTTGCTTAAATTCGACTAATTGTGGAATGATGAGTATATGCATGTCCTTGAAGCATCCATGCATTGACATTGGGCATGAAAGGGAAGAAATGATTTTGAAATAAAAAGGAAAAATTTGGGGAAAGAGTTTTGATGAAAAAAAAAAAAATTATGAAAACCCTGTCGCCGCGGGGGTACCAAAGCGCCGGAAGGTTAATATAACCTAGAGGAAACTAGGGAGTCGCCCTAGCGTGGTTGAGCTAGCTGGGCCCCATAATGACGCCGCGGAGATACCAAGGGTCAGGGACACTAGACAATATTTCTCTCATGTCGCTGCGGGGTCACCAAAGGGCGGGTTATATTAACAATTTGAAAGTGATGGTTTGAAAGTGAAAATGGGAAGAGACATTGTCATACATTGCATTGCATAACACCTCATTGTTTATACTTGAAAGTTGATTATTATATGGTTTTATCCCAGCATTGTATGATCCTCATTTCCCATTGCTCTATTCTTTGTATGGATTCACGGGGACACAAGAAGCGTGTCTTAAGTGCTACCTACTGAGCTTTATGCTCACCCTATTATTTAATAATTTTTTTCAGGGAACAGGAAAGAAGTGGCGAATGACTTTCCACCACGAGTCTAATTTGGATTATAAGACTTCGTTTTGCTATTTTTGTATTAAGTCCCATATTTTTTGTAAAATCTTAGTTTGTTATATTTGGTATAGAGATTTGTGAACTCTTGTTATTGTAACTATATTTTGGAACTGTCATTATGATAATTTGGATTAAATGGTTTGTAGATGTTCCACTATGAGATGAACCATGTTGAGGTATAATGAACAGATGAATGGGATGTTAGAGTATATTATTTGTTTTATGTGTTGGAATAGGTTAGAGGTGTTTTGAAATGCCAGGAAGGGCCATTGCATTTTTTTATTTGAGCAGGTTGTGGTAGTCCCCTTTTTAGGGGAGGTCATGCCGAATTTTTTTTTATAAATGGGATCAGTTTAGGGTCGTTACACTTACTCATTGATCATTTAAGTCAGTACTACACATATATAATATACAAACATGTAATCGTTAAGCATGCGCACTTCTGTGTTGTATTAATTCTGTGAGTTATCACCTATGATCGAGGATAGGTATGTGACTGTATAATTGTTGAGGTTGTGTAAAGCGATGGATGATTAGAAAGTGGATCTTATGGTTGTTTTGTGGACTGTATAGGGTTGTGTTTGAGGTTTAGACCTGAGGACAGGAACGATAGCTGTGTTGAGATTGGATCGATGATGAGAATGGCCTGGCCAACCATTTCTCCTGAATCAATTCTTCTTTGGCACGATGTCGGGTCAATGGTCAATGATTGTTCCGACTTGTTAGTGATTATGAGATTATAGTACTGTACGTTGTGTGGGTGTGACAATGTGGACTTACATGATTTATCTTGGGTGACGAAAGGTGTTAGATGGTTTTGGGTGTTTGATAACGGGTTAGTGGTACAATCATTGATTATTAAAAATCTTGTTTCGAGAAATTGTGCCTTGGGTGCAGGATAGTATACTTATTGATTTGGTGATAAATATATATGTGGTTATTGGAGGACTCATTGTTTGATTATGTTGAAGTTGTTAAGTGTAATGATTGTTGTATAAGTATAATTAGTATTTGTTGGTACGGTTATGTGGTGGTGTAGCTACTTCTTGGATAGTAAGTGTTTGGTCTATCAGAGACGTATGGACTAGAGTTGAAATGGATTGAGAGATGAACGGGGATGGCTAGATTCGGGCTTAGACTGAAGAGTTGGCGTTACAAGATTTTATTTTTTTTTTTATTTAGAGAATTTTTTTTGTATATTGAGGTTATTGACTTTGTATAAAGAGGGGACAATTTTTATGATCCTAAGTGTATTTTGATGTATTTAATTTGTATAAATTGAGGATTTTTGTTAGAATTTTCGGGACGTGATAGTGAATGCGTGCTGCAACTACCGTAGCTATAGGTAGGGTGCACCCACAACATTTTTCTAGCTTTATCAGTAATACACACACATAAATAATTAATGTAATGTTCGACTTATATGAGAATATGGTAAGGATAATGACAATAAATTAATTATTCAATTTCATTTTCTTACCTCAATTCTAAAACCATTTTTTTATATATATATAAAAAAAATAAAAATAAAAAAAGTAATAATAAAAAGTACTTTCTGATCTATGATTTATTGATCCTTGTTGATATGATTTCAGTTCATATATTTATGACAATGTTCAACTTTAATGGTAACTAGAAAAAATGTTATAACTTTTGGTAGTCAAATTTGTTAATTTCAATGTTCAAATGTTCTACTAACATATATGTACACATGGCAATATGCCATATACATGTATAGAGTAGTATATATACTGATTTTGTATAAGAACTTGAAGGAGGTCAAATAGTCGTGTTCAAACTTCAAAACCATCATTCAAGCAACGTTTTTCGCTTAAAAATATTACAATTTCAATATTTTTCTTGCTAATATCGTAGTAAGCAAGAACAGTCCATTCAAATACAACAAGAGGGGCAGTCTGCCTGTCCGTCAGTCAAATAAAAGTTCCACACCTAGCTTAATTAATTGCCCATATCTTTCTCCCATAACTCACCCAATATTACCGTCGTCCGAGTCAAAAGACCTAAATTACCCTCCATAGCATATGGTATCCAGCCACACCCACCCAGGATAAGGGGGCATTCCTGGAATTCAGGATTTGAAATTCATAAACATTGATATATTCAAATTAACGACGTAAGAACCCACGTATTGTCACACATATTTAATCGTCCACCACTCCCCTTATATTCAAAACGCATGCACGACCATGACCACTTCAAATGAAATGTGCTTGGTCAACACGACAGCCCATTCAACACCAATACAATATATTCAAAGTGTTTCGCCTCCTCCGACTACACAAACCAAATCTAATTCCACTATAAATACTCACAAACTCAACCATACTTTCTCATACATATATATCCTCCTCAACCAACACATACATACCACATAGAACATAGAAGTAGAACCCTCCCCCCTCCAATTAACCTTCACCTGAAAGTACCTACCGTTCTTAGTTTCCGGCAATCCATCAATCAACTACGTACTTACATATATTCATTCCGAATTAAGATGATTTATCCAAGGCAAACAAGCACCCTTTT